GTCTTGAACCGCCATGTGGGTGCTGGGAATTGAACCTGGGTCCTCAGGAAGAACAGTCAGTGCTCTTAACCCCTGAACCATTTCTCTAGCCCTCTTGCTTGCCTTTTTAAAAAACAGAGTCTTATATATCCAGTACTGACCTTGAAGTCAGTGTATAGCTGAGGATGACCTCGAACTTCTGAAACCTCAGAACCCACTCCTAAGTGCTGGGCTGACAGGTGTGGACCACACACTTGGTTTATGTGGTGCTTTGTGCTTGCTAGACAAACACTCCGGGGTTTCTGATTTGACCCCTGCAGGCTGCCAGTTTGAAAAGCAAATGGGTGGCCTAGTACCCAGCACCAGACAGACAGCAGTGGCTGCAGAGTGGGTGTGGTTCACAGTGAACCCTGAGCTCTGAATCCCCCATCTCCAAGCAGTATGTGATGAACTGTTTGTCTGGTTATTTGTGATTATGGCTCCAAGTCTCCACCACAGCTCCCCTCCCACCCCCCAGTCAACCCTAAGCCAGGGGGTTGCAGTCTCCACTTGCTCAGACCGTTGCTTTAAGACATGCCAGGGTGGTGTCATTCTAGAATTCTTAAGCATAGAGCTGGTGTCACTTCAAGGCCATGTTGCGGAAAGTCAAGGGTCTCAAGTTGTGCATTTTTTAAATTGCAAGGAATATGTATGAAACACACACGCTTGTATAAGAAAGTGCCTGAAAAAAAAAAAAAAGAAAGTGCCTGGCACACATGTGGAGGTCAGAAGGCAGTTTTTAGGAGTTGGTTCTTTCTCCTTCTACTGTGGATTCCAGGGGTCAAACTCAGGCTGTCAGGGTTGGCAGGTACTGCCTCTACCCACTGAGCCGCCTCACCTGCCCTTCCCGTTGTGAACCATGCTGCCATGAGTATGTATAAAATCATTTTTGAACAGGCATTGCTAGTTTACGGTGTTGAGCTTCTATCACACAGTTGAATCGATGAGCCATAGTAAGAACTACAGCTTAATTTAAAAAAGATTTATTTTTATTTCATGTGCACAAGTGTTTTGTCTCCATGTTTGTCTGTGAGCTGCCCATGGAGGTCAGAAGAGAGCATCAGGTGCCCTGGGACATGAGTTACAGATGATGGTGAGCTGCTCTGTGGGCACTGGGACTCGAACCAGGGTCCTCTGCAAGAGCAGCCAGTGCTCTTAACTGATGAGCCATCTCTCCAGCCCTCTGCTCTGTGTTTAATCAGCTTGAGCTTTGTCTGTGATATTAAATTAGTGTCCTGTGACTTTTAAAATAAGCCATCACAATTTGGGTGAAAGCTCTAAGATCCCAAAGCAAGGGAGGTCCCAGGGAGGAGCCTCCCCACTCTCTCCCACCTGGCCCTGGTGTGTAGCTCCTGCTGCCGCCGAATCACCTAGCCTCTGTCTTCCGAGTGACTTCCTATCACATGGCCTCTGTGTGTGTCTGTAACTGTCTCTATGTCTACAGTTCTCCTGCTTATATGAACACCATTTAATGGCCCGGCCCCCCCCCCCCCCCCAACTGACCTTGTTTTGACTGGATTGCCGCTGCCAAGACACTCTTTCTAAATAAGCTTCTATCTCAGGTTCTGGAGCGAGACCTCAGCATGGCCTTTTATTTATGTGTGTATTTTAAATACACGGTTTTGTCTGCACATTAGAACAGAGCATCAGATCCCCTCGGGCTACAGTTAGAGATGGTTGTGAGCCACCACGGGGCTGCTGGAAACTGAACTCTTGACCTCTGGTAGAGCAGCCAGTGCTCTTAACCACTGAGGCCTCTCTCCAGCTCTTAGGGTAGCCTCTTTGAGCAGATACCCTCCATCCCATAATATGTTGGAAGCAGCAGCTCAGCTGCTTCGTTTCTGAGAGAGCTGGTTGTCTAGTGCACCCTTCCCTCTCCTTCACAGGGACGCTTAGGTCTGGACGTGTGAAGGCCAGTCCCCATGCTCCACACAGCCATCAGTGTGTTATTCTGCCCATGAGCACCAATGAACAGTGCCAGAGCCGCCAGAATCAAAGGAGAGTGGCTTCCATCTGTCCTAACAGAGCAACTCAAGCACATAGTCCCTGCCAGGGCCACAGCCCTGCGTACAGGCCTCTGATGCCCCACATAGTAGATATTACAGGGGAGCCTCTCACCACTGTGGCTCAACCTCAGTGGACCCCACCTCTGTTTCTGATCCTCATGGCCAAGGGTCCTTCTTTCAGAGTATCTGATGTGATCCTCCTCAGTTCACCTTTTGGAACATCCTTTCTTCTCTGCCTCCTGAATCTGCCCATTTACTGTGACTCTCCTGTTCCTGTGCTCTCCACTTCCTGAGAAGCTTGGGTATCAAGAGCCCTCTGAGTCTCTGTGGTTGTTAGGTTGGCGTTAGTTAGCAGAGGCTAGGGGCTCTGGCCTCTTCATGTTTGCACATACAGGTGTAGACCAGTGCACAAACACATGCACACACATGCACACACGCACGCACACACACACACAGACTAGCACGTGTGGGCAGCTTTTCTTACGCTCTGTGCTCTCTACTCTCCCGCTGTGCTGGCCTTCGCCCTGCCTGCTGGAGAGTGAGCTTGTGATTGCCCCATGTAGGTCCTGGGCACCTCGATGGTGCGTCTACAGTTGGTTTTGTCTGAGGCACCCCTCCGCCCAACTAAGGATGAGAAGACAAGCCCAGGATGCAGAATGACCCTATGATGGCTAGAACCTGATGTCCAGAACATTAAGCTCTTCTGAGAGATCAGAGACCCAGGTTGTTCTGAGTCCCTTGGTAGGGCGTGGGAGTAGGAAGTGCCACTCTCTAACTGTGATGGAATTGAAAGGTTGCCACGTTGTCACCAGTTAACTGCGGCTGTCAGTCTCTCTCCTAGGAATCTGTGCAGCCCTAGCCTTAGCTGCACCCTCTTCCATGACAGCTCCTAGTTCCATTGACTCCACGTTTAAATTATGACTGGGGAGCAGTGACTGGCGCTGGTGCGGCTGGCGCGGCTGGTGCTGATGTGGCTGGTGCGGCTGGTGCTGATGCGGCCCACATTGGTTCAAGGCCTCCTGTGGTTTGTCTCCCTTGGACATGTCAGAAAGGTTTTCACAAACCCTTTCAAAGCCTTGCTACATCCTTTTGCTCAAAGTAGTTTTTTTTCCCTTGACATCTGTTTTAGCCAACATAAGATGGATTCTTAATGTTCTTGTGTTTCCTTAAAGTTGTTTAAATTCTTAAACAAGCTTTTATCATGGAACGTTTTACCAAGTTGGTCATTTTCAGATTCTGCACTTGGTCTCCACAACAGAATTCCTCCTGGATATCACAAGAAAACAGATCCGGGAGGAAATGTGCAGAATTCACCCAAGAACCAAGAACCTCAGACTCCCTACCAGTGGGACGCTAGTTAAAGTGTCTGTCAGGATCGTCATAATTTTATGCAAATTGCCTTTATTTGAATGCCGCGATTTAGCATTTTTCAAAGATTTCTGTTTTTTGTTCTATTGTGTGGATATTTCCATTTAATTGGAAGATTTCCTCCTGGAAGGAGGGGGGATTCTTAAATCAGGAAGCTGAGACATCTTATGAGGCTCCCAAGTCCCCTCCCCAATTAGATACATATATAAAACTTCTATGTACAGTTACTGGAACAGGGAGCTCCAAGGGGGCAGTTTTGAGACTCGTTACCCATAGTTCAATGGGCTTTTCAGTGCTGCAGCCTTCTGTGAGTCTTTCATGCTTCTGTAAATAACCCCAATGAACTCATTGTTTCGCCAAGATACAATTGTGTGAATGGCTGTTTGCTCTGTCATGGGTGCCCTATATGGGGTGAATAGACAATTGTTCTCATCTCCCGGGAAAAGTCATATAGCAGGCCGCCGTAAAGAGGACTAAGATGACTTGTCCTTTTCCCATGAAATCCATAGCTCCCTGCCCCTGTCCTGGTTAGGGTACGACAGGTTAGGCAGTTACACACACTGACAAAGGGACTCTAGATGATCTATCACATTTAATTTTGTTTTGATAAAAAAGTTTAAGAACTAAAAAAATAAAGTGTGTGTGTGTGTGTGTGTGTAAAATGTGAAGCTCAGAGGGCAACGTCGAGGAGTTTGGGTCTCTCCTTTCCACCATGTGGGTCCTGGGAGTCAAACTCAAACTTTTCACCTTGCAGCCAGCACTTTTACCTGCTGAGCTGTTTGCCAGCCCAAGAGAAGAAATGATTCCTTTTCTGTCTTAAATGTATTATTACTTTAATTCCACAAACGTGTGCGGTCTACTGTGATGATGTGACTCATGAAGACAGTGTGTACTGATCAGACTGGGTGGTGAGCACTCCCGTGTCTTCCGCGGCTGTCTCCTGGCTGCTAGCCTCCTTCAGCTTTCCTTGTCTCTGCTGACTTGTTTTGTTGCATGTGTGTTGACGTGTCTTCCACATTGTGTGTCTTCCATTGTACTAAGTCTCATTGTACTTTCCTTGTTTAGGTTGCCTACTTTCAGGCTATCTACAGCATCACCGATTCTTTCGGTACATAAAATCTCCACTGAACCCTTCAGTGAATATGTCATTTTAGCTGTCGGACATTTCACCTCCAGAATTGACACCTGCTTTGTTTCTTTTTTATTTCTTCGCTCATTCTGAGGCAGGGTCTCTCTGTGTAGTTCTGGCTGTTCTGGAACTTGCTTTGTAGACCAGGCTGGCCTCGAATTCAGAGATCTTCCTGATTAAAGGTGTACAAACAACAACATCACACCCAGCTTTTTTTTTTCCGAGATAGGGTTTCTGTGTAGTCCTGACTGTCCTAGAACTAGCTTTGTATACCAGTCTGTTCTCAAACTCACAGAGATCCACCTGCCTCTGCCTCCTGAGTGCTAGGATTGAAAGTGTGTGCCACGCCGTCACGGCAACTGTAGTTCTCTGAGGGAGGGACGTCAGGATTAACACACAGCACACTTCAGGTTCTGCAGACAAGCCTTTATTCCACTTTCTCACACAGTATATATATAGCCCTCAGCAGGGGAGGCTGAGCCAGCAAAAGCAAGAAGCTCATCACCGTAGGGGGTAAACATCTTTAGAAACATTGCTGAAAACAACAGATTGTTCTTGGTTTTGGAACAACTAACCACAACAGTGCAAAACAGATCAAGTAGGGTGTGAAGGCCTGTCCTCAAGGGACCCAACAGTGTGCACCACCACCACTGCCACCCTGTGGTGCTGTTTCTCTCTCTCTCTCTCTCTCTCTCTCTCTCTCTCTCTCTCTCTCTCTCTCTCTCTCTCTCTCTCTCTTCCTCTCTCTCTCTCTCTCTCCCTCTCTCTATGATCTCACCATCTAGTCTTGAATGGTCTGATACTTGATAAGTAGACCAAACTGGCTTCCAGTTCACAGAGATCCGCCTGCTTCTGTCTCCCATGTGCTGGGATTAAAGGCCTGCATCACCACCGTCCGGCTTTTTTTTCTTACTCCAGGGTTTATTTGTATCTTGTGCCTTTCCCCACTAATAGGATTTTCTGAGCCAGGACCCCATCCAGGGGTGATCAGGCATCGAGTGCACCTGTCCCTTGGCCCCAGGGCTGGTCCTCATTTTTCACTCAGGAGAAACTGCTTTAGCCTTGATCTGTTGTAGGCAGGAAGGCACCGTTCCTTGGGAACATATGCTAAGAGCCTGACCCGGAAGGGCACTGGAAGGTGAGTGTGTGACTGTGGGCCTTCCTTCCTATGTTGGGAACATGTATTTGTCAGATGCCTAACATCCATGAGGCAACCAAGTCCTGGAGATGCTTCCCAAATAAAATACCCAGGATGGAATTAAACATAGGCTTTTCTAGAGTACACAGCTTATGCAGAGACACCCCATCCTCTCAACGCAATCATATTAGATGCAGATGTAGGAAAGGGCTCCAGAATCCCTGGAGATCAAATTTTGTTGGTTTCTGCCTAAATTTATTTTCTTAGACCCCAACGTCTTTTCTGAGGTGTAACTCATGAAGATCACGTGCCTTTTAGAAGTGAAATGGGATGAGCTGGTGTGTGTGCACACTAGAGAAGAATTCGTGGCCAAGCTAATGAGCGCAGTCATCACCGTCCCTCTCTGCACACACTTGAGGGCACTTCAGCTGGATCCTCGGAAACTGAAGGAGACACATGGTACAGCTTTGCTAACACGGACACGGGGCTGTGTAAGAGTCACAGAATGTGCTCATGCTTTATCTTTTGCACATTTTGGTCTGTATCTCTTCTGGTTCTTAAAATGTTAGAACTATGTCCACCACTAGTCCAGCAGTGCCTATCCTGGGGATATAGCCAAACAAAAAGAAGTTAGCCTGAGAGGCCTCTACACTCCTGCATGGGCTGCAGTGTGATCACAGCAGCCAAGGAACAGAAACAGCCCCGTGTTCATCAACTGATCAGTGAAAAACAAACAAACAAACAAACAAAAAAAAAAACCAGTGTGTACTGTTGTCATTTGATATCCTTAGAGAATTTGCTCCAGGAGCTCTTCCCCAACCCCGCTGTTGCCAAAATCCACAAATGTTCAAGTCCTTGATTCAGAATGGCTTAGGGGTTGCAGAAGAAATTCCACATATCCTCCTCTTTTGTTCCCCCCCCTCACTCCCCCTTCTTCCCTTGGCTTTTTGATACAGGGTCTTACATCACAGCCTGGGCTAGCCTCACACCCAGTCCTGCTTCAGCTTTCTAGTGCTGGGGCGATATAGCTTTGTGGTCAATGGTATCCAGCTGCTCCCCTGTATTTAGTTTATCTCTAGCTATCTGGGAATGCCCAACAGAATGTAAAAGCTGTGCCAATAGCTGTCTTTTTTGCTTGGAAATTAGTGACAAGAATAGTTCATATCTGTTCAAGACAGACAATTCTTTGTTTTGGTTTGCTTTTGAGACAGAGTATCATTGGCTGTCCTGGAATTCACTATGTAGCCCAGGCTAGCCTCAAATTCATAGCGATCCAACTGCCTTTGCCTCTGTGGGCTGAGATTAAAGGTGTGTACCATCACTGCGAGTTTTTTTTTGAATATTTTCTATCTGAGTGTGTTTGAATCTGAGTATAACAAATCCAAATATTAAATACGGATTTAACGTACCCACAGAGTGGAGCGCGGTTCTACCTAATGCAAAATTCTGTTATTATTGAGTGCATGGATGGAAGAGGATACAGAGTGACAGGTGCCAGATTTCTCACTCAAATGTAGAGTAATAAAATAGATAGAAATTCCAGAGAGGCAGAGTAATTGCTAGGGTCAGGTAAAGGGGCAATACGGAGAGTTGCTGGGGGAGGATGAATTTGGGTTTTGCATGTGTTTTTCAGACTCAGCAATAGTGTGACTGTCCTCGCTGGGGTAAAGAAGTGGCCAGGCTCCTGACTAGACAGAAACACAAATGCACACACAGACAGAGAGGTGACCCACATCCTGAGGACACGGGTACAAGCCACTCCAAGTGCTAGCTCCCAGGCAGGAAAGGGGAAGGGCAGTTCCTCTTTCAAACAGACTGTCCAGAAGGGGAGCTTTGAGGAGCCAGTGTTGGAGAAGGGCAGCTGTGAAGGGGAGGGGTTACAGAAAGAGGAGCACAGAGTGGGAGGACACGGACAGAGAGGAGGAGGAGCTGTAGAACAGGAGGAGTCCAGGCCTTGTAGAAACCTGGAATGATTCACTTTGGGCTGTGACAGCTTGGCAACGGACCTGTTTGTCTCCAGCCTCTGTCTCATAGTGTGTACGGCCAGCCGTTCTCCTTTAACATGTCTCAGCTGCGAAAATCCCTGGACGTGCATTCCTGTGGGAACCGGTGTCTCTCCGTGGGTCTGGAGTCAAAAGAATCCACTTCTCTATTATATCCCACGATGATGAGAGAGGCTCAGGAAACAATTGTTTTGCCAAAGGATGCAAGCAAGAAATGGGGCAGATCCTGGGCTGAGCACTGAGTCCTGTGGACTTTGATGGATGGGAGATGCACAAGTCTGCAGGGCCCACTGCAGCTTCAGGAAGTTTTGGTGCAAGCATCACTCAGACCCAGGTGGGAGACAGAAAACCCAGCCAGAATGGTACTTCATGGATGAGCCAGTGAGGTAAGGGTGAAGACCAACAGAACCTAGGGCCAACCCTGGAGTTAGGAGGAGCTGGGCCTGGTACCATGTACTTGAAATACCAGCACTCAGGAGACTGAGGCAGGAGGACCATGAGTGAGTTTAAGGCCAACCCAGGCTATGAAACAAAACCTTGAACTGTATCACTCAAGCAAAAGAAGATCCCACTTTGCCAGCAGGCCCTGGAGGTAGTCAGGGAGCTCGATAGTTTCCTGTGTCCTTCCATGCATGCCCTGGGTGGGCGTGAGGCATGCATGCTTCCACATAAGCTGATGTCTCCATACCCACACACTCGTGAACTAACAGCTGCGCAGACACTTACACTCACACATCACACACTCCCACCCATAAGAGCCCGTGTGCGTGCATCAGCCATAGCTTTTCAGGGTCTTGCTCCTGGACCTGGTGTCTTCCATTTCTCTTTCCTCATGGAGATTAGGTGCTTTCTCCTTTGAAATTCGAATGCTAAAGCCCCTCCCCTGTGGCACTCGTGTTAGGGGTGGGGCTTTTGGGGGTCTGGAAGCCATGAAAAGGGAAACTTGTGAGAAGAATGAATGTACCTACACAGGAACCCTGAGAGTCCTCTTACCCTCTCTGTCAGGTGAGGATTGGGAATACTATCAGAAGAGAACCCTTACCACAGGCTCAGAGTACAGGCAAGGACACAGAACACTGGCCTTGGCTCCAGAATAGGGGCCAGAGTAGAGGGGTGAAGTAGCTCCCAGCCTGGGTCCCACAGAACTGGCAAGTGGGGGGCAGCTATAGAGTGTGTGGGCCACAGAAGACAAGCCTTGGCATTTCGCCTTGATTCCCCATGTCCTTAAGAGGGGCTGGCAGGAAGAACTTATGCCTTCCTCAATACTGTCTCCTAAGGGTTCGGAAAGACCAAGGATCCCATCAGCTACCCCCAACCCTAGGCTGCCAGCTCATCTTCTCCCTGGGCAGAATCGACTCCAAGTTTGGGGGAATGGGCAGTCCTGATGGGACACAAAGCAGCAGGTACTTCCAAAGTCCACAGTGGAAGAATGAACAGCCCTGCCCGGGCATAAGACAGTGCTCAGCTCAATCCCGGCTTCAGATCCCATGGCCCTGGCTAGGTTGGTTCTTATTAGGGTTCCACTCTCATTCAAGGCCACCACACACAGACCCAAGCCAGCCCGAGCACGGCATGGGGAACAAGGTTGCCTGGGTTCTAGGTATGGACAGGGCAGAGTGGGTGAGTCAGGGACCAGTGTATGGCTAATGGCCACCCTGTTATACTACTGGGTCCTAGATAGGCCAGGTGGGGAGGACAATGTGCACACAGTAAAAGGAAATAAACTACTCCCGGGTCTTTGGGTTGATTTGTGTCCCCTTGGGCCGATTCTAGACCCCTGTGTAGTCTTGTGATCCCTTAAATGTTGACCTGGTTCTGTGTGGTGGGCCTGGGTCCCCTTCATGGTCAGTGTCAAGTTTTGTCCTCAGGACTGCTCACTGGACCCTCTTGACACCATTCTGGGACCCTATGCTCGGTCCCCCACCACACTCCAGGATGCTGGTCCGAGGAAAGCTAGACCAACTCCTGCTGCCCACATCACAGTGGGAGGACACAGGCATCTCCCTGCCCCTGACCACCTGCCCTTTGCCTCCTTGGGACTGAGGGTGAAACTGAATCCTGGACTGTGACACCAGGGGCTATTTTGGAGCTAGGCTGGGCTGGGCTGACCAGAAATGGGGGTGGGGCAGGGGCGGGCCCAGCCCTCTTCAGCTGACAGCATTTGCCTGTCCTTTCGTCCCTGTCCAGTCTGAGGACCGGCTGGAGTGTGGGCTGCTGGGTGGGAACCACGTCGGCCTGGGCCCCAGGAAGGAGGCAAGACCCAGCAGCCCCTAACTCACCATCTGTGCCCCTTGCCTGGGCGCTGCCCCAACCTCTGGACGCTGCCCCCAGCCCAGGCACACACAGGTGAGGAGGCAGAGCTGCTTGGAGGGCCCACTCTTGCTCCTGGAGGTCAGATGGACTGAAGGTCATGGTGGTTTGTGGAACATGGGGATCTTAGGGGCTTGGTCAACCTGGGCCACTCCCTGAGATGACAATGGGCGGAATGCCAGAGCTGGGTTCTTCTGTATCTCTGAGTTGAGACCTCACAATGGGAAGGGACAATTTGCCCTCTGGGATTTGGGAGGGTTGGGGCTGGTACTGTGCAACCACTGGCCGGGTTACCCCCAGTCTTCCTGCTGCCTGGGGGTCTGGTGGCCCTGCCCCCAGCTCTTCCGAGATGGATGCCCGCTGACAGCTGGGGCTATTTTGGGCCTGTTGGCTCAGTGGAGGGGACAGCCAGAGGGGCACTGACACCTGACTCCGGGAAAGAATTTCCCGGGGAGCGGGGGAAGCCACAGTCCCAGGGTCTAAGGTGAGGCTGAGCTCAGGGGCTGCCCTTGGAAATCCGCTCTAGAAGGGCACGGGGGCCACAGGCCTGCTGGTTCTGTTCTCAGAGTGCTGTAGAGGAGAGAGAGGGCCGGCAAGGTGGAGTTCCAGGGAGGGGATAGCCTCTGCTTCTGGCCAGTCTGTGTGTCACCGCCCCCTGGGTTCATCCAGAAAACTGGTCCACCCTGCAAGAATCAAAGTAGCCAAGTTCTGTTAAAGTTGTGGAGGGTGGAGGGTGTGGGTGGTGTGGCCAGTTGTATGAGCCAGTGGCAGGGGCTCCTGCAATCCACCCTGGGCAGTAGTGGGGTTCACGGCACCTGCTGGGTTGGAGAAGTCCACTAGGGGTTGAGGAAGAGCTGACTTCGGAGGAAGAGGCTTCTTTGAGAGGATGGGGCTGGTCACCTGGACAGTGCCCTGCTTAGCACACATGCCCAGAGCCTCTAGCCCAAATCAGGCAAGAGGAGGGGCCTGTCAGGGATAGATTTCCTGAAGCTTCTGTTACAGTCTCGGTTTCTTCATCTGTAGGAAAGAAAAGAACAGATTCCCCAGTCTCGGGAGCCTCTCTCTGGCCTTAGCCCTGCTTGTCAGGGTGGCTGAGTGGCTCTGAGGCTGTCATTCTGACCCCATGATAGTGGCCAGTGCCTTGGTGTTCAACTGACTGGTAACATAGTTGCGGAGGGAACCAGGCCTTGAGCAGACAAGGAAACCCAGGGGCACCATGTGTGGGGGGCTAGGAGAACTCCAATTACTCTTGCCCCTCCAGGGCCTGTGCACCTGCTGAGGCTGGGCCCAGCTCCCCTGAAACATGTGTGTGCCAGGCTGCTTGCATATGCTGGTTTATGGGTCCCAGGCTGGGTCACCCCAGGCCATGTATAGGATGGTTGGTAGACTCAGAAGGTGCCCTGCCATGCTCCCGGGGAACCTGCAGACTGAGCATGGAGGCCAGAAAGACCTCTGATGCCAGGCCCCTGATACTGATGTGAAGGCAGACCCTCCACGGAACAGATGCCGGATGGCAGCTTCAGGGGCTGCTCACAGACCGCAGTAGGTGCTGCCCGATGGCTATCCTAACCCTAAGAGATGAGGCCTGTTTGTGGGTGGGGGACAGAGGTGCTGACTGGACAGTGAGTCAGCAAACAGGCCAGTGCAGCTCAGTCCTAGTCCAGAGTCAGCCTCCTGGAAGAGGATTAGGGGGATTAGCTACCTGAATCACAGGACTGGAAACTGGAGGGTCGGTGGAACATAAACCCATCCACTGGCCAGCCCCATAGCAGGCAGCCCAGGAAGCTCTGGTAAAGCGGGGCAGATGTAGAGGCGGTGGTTAAGGGGTGCTCATGTCTGCCAGGGGTGGAGGAGGTGAGCCTGTTGAGCCAGCTCCGTGCCCACTGTTCTTATATAAGACCCGGTGCAGGCAGATAGTCTCATCCACTCACTGGATCAGAGGCTGGCTGGCAGGGGCCTCGATCGGGCAGAGGTCAATGTTATCTGGGTGCCGATGATTCCTAGGAGGGCTGAGGCATGCAGTCTCATTCTTGCAGAGGGTCCAAGTTGGCAGGACCGTGCTAAGGACTGAGTAGTGTGACCCGGCCATCAGGCCCCAAGTTAAGTTAGGCCCAGCTGGGCCCCAGCTCTCGTAGAGAGAAGCTGTCTGTACTGACCCCAGACTATAGGGACCCTCTTGCTAGCCTTTGTAGCCATTGGCTGCACTTTCCTACACCCCGCTCTTACCTGGGGCCAGGCTTTCCCTGAAGACTTGAGGGCAGACAGGTGCTAGTGATTAGAGGGCCACCTGCAGCCCAGTGGGAGAGAGCACTTCCGTTAGGACGAGCTTCATTTCAGGAGGTGAGGGTTCCTTTTCTTTCCTGCTGGTTGAAGAACACGTCCCCTTGGCAGTCAAGAGGACTTGATGGTTTGGGTAGTGAGGCTGGAGTAGGGGGTAGACCGGAAGTACATCAGGTAATTGAAGATGCTAGACTTCCAAGTCACAAAAAGGGCTAATCAGAACCGATGGATTTTGGAGCTACTAGGCTGGCTTGGGAGTGGAGGAGAAAATGAGGCTTACTGAGGGGGTAGCCCACTGAGTTTTCCTGTTAACCCTGGATAAGGAAGAGGGCCGAATGTGGCACAGGCGACTGGCTCATCTTAATAGCATCCCCACCTTCATCTTTGCCCTTTGTAGACCCCCGGCCCTGTTGCTATCATGGACCACTCCTTCAGCGGAGCGCCTCGTTTCCTGACACGGCCAAAGGCTTTTGTGGTATCTGTGGGCAAGGATGCCACGCTGAGCTGCCAGATCGTGGGTAACCCCACGCCACATGTGAGCTGGGAGAAGGACCGGCAGCCAGTGGAGGCAGGAGCACGCTTCCGCCTGGCCCAGGACGGGGATGTATACCGCCTCACCATTTTGGATCTGGCACTCGGTGACAGTGGGCAGTATGTATGTCGCGCGAGGAACGCTATAGGGGAGGCCTTTGCAGCCGTAGGCCTGCGTGTAGACTCGGAGGGCACGTGCGCTGAGCAGGCGCCCCACTTTCTGCTGCGGCCCACCTCCATTCGCGTGCGCGAGGGCGCAGACGCTACCTTCCGATGTCGCGTGGGCGGCTCACCACAACCTGCCGTGAGCTGGTCCAAAGATGGGCGGCGCCTGGGACCACCCGATGCCCCCCATGTGCGCGTGGAAGATCACGGAGAGGCCAGCGCGCTTCGCATCCGGTCGGCGCGGCCTCGCGACGGTGGCACCTATGAAGTCCGAGCAGAGAACCCACTGGGTTCCGCCAGCGCTGCCGCTGCGCTCGTGGTGGACTCAGACGCTGAGGCTGCAGGACCACCCGGAACCTCCACCGCCTCGCTCCTGGCGCATCTGCAGCAGCGGCGCGAGGCCATGCGCGCTGAGGGCGTCCCTCCCTCCCCACCTGGCGCCGGCACACGCACCTGCACGGTGACCGAAGGCAAACACGCTCGCCTCAGTTGCTTTGTGACCGGCGAGCCCAAGCCCGAGACAGTGTGGAAGAAAGACGGGCAGCTGGTGACCGAGGGCCGGCGACACGTGGTGTATGAGGATGAGCAAGAGAACTTCGTCCTTAAGATTCTTTTCTGCAAGCAGTCGGACCGTGGCCTCTACACCTGCACAGCCTCCAACCTCGTGGGCCAGACCTACAGCTCGGTGCTGGTGGTCGTGCGAGGTGAGCAAACTGGCTTCTCAACACATGCGCAGGGGTGAGGCTCTTTCCAAAAGTTCGGCTAGGGTCGGGTGGCTGCATTCTGAGTGGGAGGTCTGGGCGACTCTGGTTCTTCAAAATGAACAGGCGAGGATGGTTCCTGGCGTGAACCACCGTAGGGAACCCAGTCACCATCCCTACGTCCCTTCCTGCACACCCCTACCTCACACCTCACCCTGCCATTGTCTCTTCCGTGCTCCACTTTCCCCTTCTCTTACTCTCCACTCTATTTCTTCAACTTACCTATCCGACCTTGTACCCTCTCCATTTTTGATCCCTTGGTCCGCTGTGTTTCCTCCTCCTCCTCCTCCTCCTCCTCCTCCTCCTCCTCCTCCAATAAACCCGTCGACCTCTCTCCTGCAGAACCGGCGGTGCCCTTCAAGAAGCGACTGCAGGACCTGGAGGTGAGAGAGAAAGAGTCTGCCACATTCCAGTGTGAGGTGGCGCTGCCGGCCACCGAGGCGGCGTGGTTCAAGGAGGAGACGCGGCTGTGGGCCAGCGCCAAGTACCGCATCGAGGAGGAGGGCACCGAGCGCCGGCTGACCGTGCGCGACGTCTCCGCAGACGACGATGCGGTGTACATTTGCGAGACCACAGAGGGCAGCCGCACCGTGGCAGAGCTCTCGGTCCAAGGCAGGCGGGGCGGGACTGGGCGGGACTGGGCGGGACTGGGCGGGACTGGGCGGGACTGGGCGGGACAGACCGGGAAGAGAGAGCAAGGGCACTAGAAGTGATCAATAGGTGGGGAGGTTCTAGGGCATAGAGGTGTGCAGTGACCTGGGGCTGGGGACAGATGAGGCTGGCAGCAGTCAGAGGGAGACTAGGGTTAGGGTTAAGTCTGGTTCTGGAAAGACAAGGGACCAGAAGGTGGGAGGATGGGGCAGGATGGGTAGAGAGATGAGATGTAAGTCACACTTTTATTAGGGGTATGTGCAAAAGAAGTATGGGATCCACAGGGAAGGGGCTTGTCTTACCATCTTGGCAATCTTCTCACTCTAGGGAACTTGACCAGAAAGCTGCCTCGGAAGACTGTAGTGCGCACTGGAGACACAGCCATCTTCTGGGTAGAGCTAGATGTCCCCGAGGGTCCTGTCCGGTGGCTAAGGAACCAGGAGGAGATGGTGGCAGGGGGCCGGGTAGCCATCACCGCAGAAGGCACGTGCCACACATTGACCATCTTCCAGTGCACCTTGGAGGATATGGGTGAGGTGGCCTTTGTGGCTGGTGGCTGCCGAACGACCACCCAGTTCTGCGTATCAGGTAAGCGTTGGAAGAATGGTCTTTGGGTGGCCCTCCTGGCAGGGACACAGTTGCGCCCCATCCTCCCTCAGTGCTGCGGGCTCCCCTGGCCAGTGGAGGTCCGAGGGTGGCAGAAAATTGTGGTTGTGGGTCCTCTACTCTGAGTTCTTTTCTTGCGGAGGGGCCTTCCCACTGGGACTGTGTGACAGCAGGTCTGGAGAGGGCTTCTGCACCCACTGATGGGGGGTGGGACCATCACTTCCACCAGAGCGGTGCCAGGGAAAGACTCAAGTTCTGACATTCCCTTTCTGAGTGACCCGAAGCGGGGGGGAGGGAGTTCTCAGTTGGTGAGCTCAACCTATCTTTTACACAGCACCCAGGAGGCCTCCCCTGTACCCCCCTGCTGATCCTGTGGTAAAGGCCAAGACAGAGAGTTCTGTGACCCTTAGCTGGTCCCCACCACCCTGTGGGGAGCGCCCTGTCACCATTGATGGTTATGTGGTGGAGAAAAGGAAGCTTGGTGCTTATGCCTGGAGCCGGTGTCATGAAGCGGAATGGCTGGTCACAACTGAGTTTACTGTCGCTGGTGTGGCTGATGAGGGGGACTTCCAGTTCCGTGTGTCAGCTGTCAACCACTTTGGCCAGAGTCCTTACCTTGAGTTTCCAGGGACGATCCACTTGGGTGAGTGAGACCATCCAAAAACATCACGGGGCTGCCACCCTCCCTTGAGTTACCTGACCCCGAAGCATGATTCTGCCTATAGGGGAGGCAGGATGATAATCTTAAGTGGACTCTATATGTGGTTGGGGGACGTTGAAGCCTCCCCATACAGGAGGGGGTATCCTAAGACAGGACCCAGCAGCCGCAGGGAGTCAGGCTTCAGCTACTCCATCTTTGTGGGGGCAGGGCAGAGGAGGGAGAGCCAGAACCTGTGCTCTTATTGTCTCCAGCTCTTACCATGTTTCTACCCTCCCTACAGTCCCCGGGCTGGCAGTAAAGACACCTCTGAAGGCGGTGGAGGCAGTGGAGGGAGGTGAGGTCACCTTCTCTGTGGACCTCACGGTGGCCTCTGAGGGCGAGTGGTTCCTGGATGGGGAGCCCTTGAAAGCCAGCAGTGTATACGTGATCCGCTGTGACCGTACCCGGCATACGCTCACCATCAGAGAGGTTCCTGCCAGATTGCATGGGGCACAGCTGAAGTTTGTGGCTGATGGTATTGAAACCAGCATCCAGATGGTGGTCCGAGGTAGGCCCGAGTCCCTGAGTCCCGTTTTCTTTGCAGTGGGGTAGTAGGCAGGAGAGGTAGTCTCTTGGAGAAGATTTGTCTGAGGGCAATGCGATGAAGTGGGTAGGACAGTTGGGGGCTTGAGGCTGCTCACCTCAGGCTGGCAGTTGAGGCTGGTGTGTGTGTGTGTGTGTGTGTGTGCGCGTGTGTGTGTGTGTATGTGTGTGTGTGTGTCTGTGTGCGTGTGCGCATGCATGCATGTGTACGGGATGCCCCAGGGCTGGATGGCATCTCTGACTGCCTCTTTTCTCATTCTCTTGTCTGTCTATTCCTATGTCTCCTCTCTGCCTGCCTGTTCCCTTCTCACCTCTGCCTCACTCCCCCTACATCTGGATTTCCGCATGGTCTCCCTCTCTCTGCTCCCCCTACCTCCTCTTCATACCCTCCCTCTCTTGCCTTTCACTAACTTGCTTTCCTTCCAATCCCCCCTTTTTCCTGGGTTTCTCTTTTCCCTTTAATCTCTCTTTCTCCACCCTCATATCCTCTCCCCTCTCCCTCACTGCCTGTGACTCCTGTTGCCCGCTCTCTTGTGGTCTTTTTGTTCCCACCATCTGTCTGACCACCCTTGACCTGTAGCAGCTCTGGGGCTAGCCAGCAACAAGCTTCCTGATGTGGCTGCCCGAGAGGTGCTGGCCCGGTTGCACGAGGAGGCACAGCTGCTGGCTGAGCTGTCGGATCAGGCTGCAGCTGTGACATGGCTGAAGGATGGCCGTGAGCTGCCCCTAGGACCCAAGTATGAGATGCAGGTGTCAGCTGGGAGGCGAGCCTTGCTGGTGCGGGATGTGGTGCAGGATGATGCTGGCCTCTATGAGTGTGTTAGTCGTGGGAGCCGCATTGCCTACCAGCTGTTGGTGCAAGGTAAGCACAGGTTTGCAGTGGGGCTGGCGTCATGTCCTGGGGCTGCATTGTCTTCTGGATGTGTATCCTCTGTTCCCTAGCTCCAGGCATTCTCTGAGGGGCTCTAGGCAGTGGGTAACTGTTTTCCAGTGTGTGTGTGTGTGTGTGTGTGTGTGTGTGTGTGTGTGTGTTAATGGTGGTGAATAGCTCAGCTCTGTAGGGAGAAGGCCTTCCTAGCTGGGGTTGGAACCTCTCTGGTATGGGTGAGAGTCAAAGTCACATGTAGTCTAAGTCTGGGCATCTTCATCCATACCCTGTAGGCCTCACAGCTTTTTATTCACAGACGTAGCAGGTGACTGTGGATGCTGTGGTTGGGAGCCAAGCTGGACCCCAGAAGCACATGTATAAGAGTACTGGGGCAAAAACAGCAAGATGCTTGGGTCTTTGCCAGTGCTTCTTGTAGTAGGACATGGGGATATGGCATTGGCTGAGGGCAGCTTCAGACACCAGACAGGGCAAGGGTATCTCCTTCTGTTCCCTGCGTGAAGATGCTGTAGACTTACAGTTCTGGCATAGGTGCATACCACCCTTGAGAGGTCTGGGGTTCCCCACACTGGACCGTTGGTGGGGTCCATGTATGTCTCCACAGCTAAAATCTCTTTGCTGCCTTCCAGAGGCATGCGTTCCTCACACGGGCTCTAAAAGCCTACACATGTATAAATTCTGTGCAATAGAATTCTTAGTAATATGGCTTTTTAAGTTTGACTGTTTCCAACAGTAAAAATCATGGCGCAGTCAGTTTCCAGGTGGTGGAGAAAACTGGGGATGTGTTTATGAATGGGGCCTTCCTCTGCTCTGTGGAAAGTGTTTCGGTAGGTTAGGGAATAGGAGAACACTGTCTTGGCCTGGAAGGGCTGGCCTGGGGATTTCCTGTCGCCATGCTCTGCCAGTCGGATCTGGCATCACACACTGACTGGACACTGCACACCCACTGCCAAGCAAGGGGCTTTGGGAGTTTCCTGGATTCCAGAGTTTATTAACCAGAATCCAGGACTTAGGGGCTTGGAAGGAACCACTGAACAAGTGTCTTTGTCTGCCTGTTCCCAGAGGCCAAGGTCGTGTTTGCCAAGAAGCAGCAGGCTCTCAGCGAGGTGAAGACAGAGGCAGGCGCCAGCGCCACACTGAGCTGCGAGGTGGACCAGGCCCAGACTGAGGTGACCTGGTTCAAGGACGGGAAGAAGCTGACCTCCAGCTCAAAGGTTCGAGTTGAGACCTCGGGCTGCGAGAGGAGGCTGGTGGTGCAGCAGGCTGGCAAGGCGGATGCTGGGGATTACAGCTGTGAGGCCGGGGGACAGAAGGTCTCCTTCCATCTGGATGTCACAGGTGGGTGCCAGAGTTGTGCTCAATGGGGTTATTCCAGGACATATCAGGTATCTTGGGCTGGTGTTCTCCCTGTCCTTAGACCTTAGTTTTTGTGTGTCTTCAGCTCTGTCCAGTGACTTATAGATCTGATCAACTTAGGCTGATGGTGAGCCAATCTTGGGGGACTTTCCCTGGTAACACCAACCTGGGGTGATGAGCTTGAATAGTGAACATAAGTATGGTTGGGGTTTAGGCTGTTGGCTGTGGGTGAATCCCATGGCTGCAGAGCAAGTCCCTCAGATGGCAGGAGATGCTTCTGTCTGTCCATTCCTACTTGCTGGTCCCCAGGGTTCTGGGAGCCCTCGCTGGCCATGTCATAATTCCCATGTGACCATGAATGTGTGTCCAACCCTCTCCACCCTGTCCTTGAGTGTGGGAAAAGGCCACACACCGTAGCCACTCTTTCCTGCTTGATTTTATTGCATTTTGCTGTCTTGCACTTCCTCTCTGCTGTGGTCCAGAAAGATGTGGGTTTCTGGTTTGGGACTGAGGTGGCCGTTCCTCCCAAATGTGCCTCCTCCTGCTGTTTGTGGTCTCTGAATGTAAGAGGGCTGGGAAGCCATGGATGGCCTGAAGTTTCTGGGGGTTCCAAGGCAGGGAAGAGTCAGAGTTCTGTCCTTAAATGTCAGGATAGGCATTGTTAAGGGACACTAGCAGTGATGACCTTAAGGGCTACAGTAGCTCACCTGCCAGCAAGCATCAGAGTGGGCCTGCAGGTTCTTAGGGCAGTGACAAGAACTTGCATGCCCAGGCCTTCCACACATGAAGCTTCAGCAATGCAGCTTTGGGACCCACGTGACACAGAACCTTGTTTATGATCACTTGATGATCTGTCAATTATGGGAAGTGTTGCCTTGGCCATGCCTGGGCTCTGATGAGCCCCAGGCCCTGAAGAAGGGTTATGTATAGTTTGGGGTCTCTGACCTTGTGCATTCCTATCTGTCCCCAGAGCCCAAGGTGGTGTTCGCTAAGGAGCAGCAGGTTTACAGTGAGGTGAAAACAGAGGCAGGCGCCAATGCTACACTGAGCTGCAAAGTGGCCCAGGCCCAGACTGAGGTGACCTGGTTCAAGGAGGGGAAGAAGCTGAGCTCTGGCTCGAAGGTTCGAGTGGAGGCCTCGGGTTGCGAGAGGAGGCTGGTGGTGCAGCAGGCAGGCAAGGCGGATGCTGGGGAGTACAGCTGCGAGGCCGGGGGACAGAAGGTCTCCTTCCGTCTGGATGTCACAGGTAGGTCCTTTAGGACAGTCCACATGTGTATTTATAATTATTATATCTTCTTTATTTTTTTTTTAAAGTATCTCACTATGTAACCTTCCCTGGAACTTGCTACGTAGAACAGGCTAGCCTCAAACTTACAGGGGTCTGCTTTTCTCTGCCTCCCGAATGTAAGACTGTAGCTATGCACAAGGACACCTGGCTTATGAGTCTCTTACCAAGCCTAATTTTTTTAACTAAACTTTCTCAGGAAATACATACACAGTATTTGGTGCTATCTGCATTTGAGGCACCTTCTGCAGGTCTTGGAATGTATTCTGGATGGATGAGGGAGCTTGACTTTCCCTGTGTTTCCAGGCCCCCGGGGTTTGTCCTGAGCACAGAGGGTACAGGGCCTGGAGGACATCTGCTGTTCAGCTGACCCTCCCAGGGTCTTTCCCACTGTGACCTTGCTGATCTAGATAATGCTCTGATCCTGTGTATCCCTATCTGTCCACAGAGCCCAAGGTGGTGTTCGCCAAGGAGCAGCAGGCTCGCAGCCAGGTGAAGACAGAGGCAGGCGCCAGTGCCACACTGAGCTGCAAAGTGGCCCAGGCCCAGACTGAGGTGACCTGGTTCAAGGACGGGAAGAAGCTGAGCTCTGGCTCAAAGGTTCGAGTGGAGGTCTCAGGCTGCGAGAGGAGGCTGGTGGTGCAGGAGGCAGGCCAGGCAGATGCTGGGGAGTACATCTGTGAGGCCGGGGGACAGAAGGTCTCCTTCCGTCTGGACGTCACAGGTCAGTTGGTTAGACATTTGACTCTGTTATGGGACAACCCCGGGGGAAGCGGTCCAGTGTGGGCCGGGTGCTGGGTGTGTTGCACAGGCTGCATAAGGGTGTGTATTGGATAATTCTCCACAAGTAATCAGCAACCCCAAGTTCAGAGGCGTGAACAAGAAGTATACTTTTGTCTCTCTAGTTCATGGGGTAGGAGACACCATGCGGTCTGTGCTGATGGCTCATTTCTGTCCAGTGTGGTGTCCCTGGGGCTGGGAATCCAAGCTGTGCGTGTGTTTGCATCTGACGTCCTCACTGAGATGGCCCTGAAGAAAGGGGCTATAGGGGACAAGAGGCCTTTCTAGCAAAGGAGCTGACCTCAGGGCTGCTTTGGAAGCCCTATGCCTCCCTTTGTGTTCTCTCTTGCTTGGCAATAGCTTGTCCCTAGAGTGGTGGTCTCTATGTGGGCCATCCAGGCTTCTTCTTGAGGTTTCCCTCAGGGTGCAGAATCTCTTGAAACTCTGCTCTGGGAGACCATAGTGTTACCTCTGTTGTTTGGCCACAGTTAAGAAAAAAAAATCCCTCCTTGTCCCCAGAGCATAGAGGAGACCTTTCTTTGGGCACCAGGGTGGCATGTCCCATTGCACAGGGGTCTGGTCACAGCAGGACTGATATCTGGGTGACCCTTTCTGACTTTTTATCAAGAGTCACAAGCTTCCATTCTGTGTCATCTTCTTTCAAATTCTTTCTGCCTCATGGTTACACATGGCTCTGACCGTCACCTTCAACTTTCAAAAGAGGAAGGATATGGAAGGACTAGTGCTCTCTCTCTGAGTGTATGTGTGTGTGTGTGCGTGTGCACAAGCACTTGTGCATGCCTGTGTGCATGCACATGCTACATTAGTTTTTGTTTCTTTGGTTTTGGGGTCCTAGCCCAAATCCATTATCTTTATCAATACACTGACTGTGATGTGTTCCCCACACTCCCCTCTAGTTGTCTCATGGCGTCTGGTTTTATGTTCAGTTCTTTGATACATTTGAGTTTATGTTTAAATAGGGAGAGAGTTAGGACCAGTGCTTAACTGGTCACTGTGAACTTTTTTCTGTATTTAGCGGGTGAGGAGGGAGTCAGACCATATGGTCTGAGCTGGCCTGGAACTTGATACATAGGCCAGACTAGTCTCAAATTTATGGAAATTGTATCCATTTCTGCCTCCGAAGTGATGTGAATCAAGCCATGTGCCAGTATGCCTGGCAAATCATTGTAAGCAAAAAAGATGCCCGCATGTCTGTATACCTACCATATGTGTGCAGTACCCGAGGAGAAAAACATAGTGCGGTAGACTCCTGGCGCTGGAGTCACAGGTAGCTGTGCGCTGTCGTGTGTGCTGGGAACACTACTCCAGTCCTCTGAAGGAGCTGCGCATGCTCGTAACTGCTGAGCCGTGTCTCTAGCCCCGGGTGAACTGTGACGGTTCAGTAAGTTTTAAAACTGGAGATGGAACTCCACTAATTTTGTTCCTTTTTTTCTTTTAAAATTGGTTTGTTTTCTTAAAACTTTATTATTTTACATGTATGGGTGTTTTGCCTGAATGTATGTCTGAGAACCACACTTGCGCCTGGTGCCCATGAAGACCAGAATAGGGCATCAGATCCCTGGAACTGGAGTTATGAGCCCTTGTGAGCTGCAGTGTGGTGCTGAGAACAGAACCCAGGCCCTCTGGAAGAGCAGCAGCCAGTGCTTGACCACTAAGCCACCTCTTCAGCTCCTCTTTCTTTTAAAAAAGATTATATTGGTCTTCCAAGTTACTCTGAATTTCTGTTAACTTTGATGTCCCTTCTCAAATTTACCAAGTGAGGATGCATAGTTTACATGACCACACAGATCAGCTTCAGGTACTGCCTTTTTAAGACTAGGACTTCAGATCTGTGACTATGGCATGCCTTTCCATTTGTTTACTTATCTGAATATTTTCAGTGATGTTTTCAGCAAATAGGGCTTGCATTTGTTTGAGAACTTATCACTAAGTTGTGTATTTTTCAATGTCACCACTGTGATGGAATTCTTTCCTTAATTCTACCTTAAGAATGTATTTTTTTAATTTCATATATGTATATATCTTTTTTTTTTTGAGACAGGGTTTCTCTGTGTAACAGCCTTGGCTGTCTGGAGCTAGCTCTGTAGACCAGGCCGGCCTCGAACTCACAGAGATCCACGTGCCTCTGCCTCCCGAATGCTGGGATTAAAGGCATGTGCCACCACTGGAGGGCTGTTATCTAATTTGCTGACATACAATCATTCACAATGTGTTTTGAGAGCCTTTGTAATTGTGGGACGTCTGTCTTGATGTTTTCACTTTTATTTTGGATTTTATTAAATCAAGCTATTTCTTTTTTCTTAGTTGAGACAGTGGTTAGTCTGTTCTATTGATCTTTTTCAAAGAACTAACTTTTTATTTATTCCAATATACTCTTTTCTTTCAAAGAAAAGGTTTATTTAAAATTGTTACCGACATCATTTGCTGCTGGTAGTGTCTGTGTGTTTGTGACATCTCTGAGCTGGGCCATAGAAGAGATATTCATCACCATGTGACTGGACAGGGCAGGTCTGTGGCTGTTATCCATGAATGTAACTTTTCCTGAGCAGGACCTGTACACTGAACTCAGCATTACCTCAGGCCTTCACTGAGCTTGCCCAGGTGTGCAGGCCTTTCTGAGCATGGCCACTGTGCTAGGAGATACCAACACACTCCAAAGCCCTCTGTGGAATTTCATTCCTCAGCTTTTGGTTAGACTTGTTTGCTACAGGCTGTTCTTCACTGTCCATGGAAGCCTGGAATTCGGCAAAGACTTCCAGTTGCCCTATGGTCCTTCTTGGGAGCAGTGCTCTGCACTGAGAACTCAGAACAAATGGAGACAACCCGTGAGTGAAGCTCAGAGACTAAATCCATACATACATCAGATGATGCTGGTTGTCTGGGGGCCTGGTCTGCCCTGCTCTGTCTGCAGCTGCAGACACACCCCTGGGTTCAAAAGCACACTGGAGTAGAGAGGGTGAGGAACAGTGATATAAGATTTCTCACTTGGCTGTCTGTGACCCAGATTCAGAGGTTTTTCTGGACCATGTCTGTTCATCCTCAGATTACTGTAAGCCATTGACCAATTTCTTTCTTTCTTTCTTTCTTTCTTTCTTTCTTTCTTTCTTTCTTTCTTTCTTTCTTTCTTCCTTCCTTCCTTCCTTCCTTCCTTCCTTCCTTCCCTCCTCCTCCTTCTTTTTCTTCTTCCTCTTTTTTGGTGGCACAGGACTGGGGCTAATGCTTCAATTTCTCTTATCATAGAAATGAAAAATGAACGTCAAATTTGTATTGGAAATGCATTCAAAAGCACACACTTATTCTGTTGGGCCATCCCACATACCTGGGAGCATTTGAAGACACACGGAGGTGTCCACTAAGGGGAGTGGTCCTCTGTTCTTTAGATTTCTGGAGATAGGAACATGGAGATGATACATTTAGCTTCTAAGAGGCTAAATGGAGAATTGATTTGGATGAGGGGAGATCAAAGTCAAGGAGAGCAGGTGTGAGGCTCTTTTTTACTCCAGGAGGTGGTGAGGTTAGGAGAGACAGTGACTCTGAACACAGAGAGGAGGCCGAGGTTTGAGAACTGTTGTAGGGGTGAGTGGAGCAACACTAAGAGGCATGAAAAATAAGGAAGAGGGAGTTGTGAGGTATAGTGTAGACTTGGGGCGACAAGAAACAAAAAAACGGTGGTCACAGAGGTGCACATGTGCAGGCTGTCGGGAAACACCGACAGGGACAGGTCCAAGTAGACCGGGCACAGGATGTGCTGACCACTCTGAAGATCCTCATCATTGGTGAGCATGGGGTGGGCAAGTCCAGACTGCTCCTGATGTTCCCAGATGACACCTTTAATCCAGAACTTGCAGCAACAATAGGTGTTGACTTTAAGGTGAAGTGATTTCAGTGGATGGGAATGACGCTCAACTTGCTGTGTGGGATCCGGCTGGTTCAGAGCGGTTCAGAGCATTAACCCAGCTGTTACAGAGGCGCACAAGGAGTTATATTAGTTTATGATGTTCCCAGAAGAGACATCTTTGCTAAACTGGATAATTGGCTAAATGGATTGGAAACATTCGGTACAAGAGGTGACATAGTAAACATGCTAGTTGGAAATAAAATTGGTAAGGAAAATCATGACGCTGATAGAAATGAAGGCCTGAAATTTGCACGCAAGCATTCCGTGTTGTTCATAGAGGCAAGTGCAAAAACCTGTGATGGTGTTCAGTGTACCTTTGAGGAACCTGTTGAAAAGATCGTTCAGACTCCTGGGCTGTGGGAAAGTGAGGACCAGATGAAGGAGTCAAGCAGTCACAAAGGGAAGAGCCGTGGAGTGGGAGCCAGTGGTGGCTACTGTTCTGTGCTGTGAACTCTGGGGTTTCTTTCTCTTGCATATTTGATTAGATAGTGACAACTTTCTGTATATAAACTCTCAGCTGCTATTAGGGACCTTGCAGTTTGCACATAATTGTTTTTACCACGGCAGTGAGTACTTGTAGGAAACCCCCTCATGGGCTTCCCAGACGAGATGTTATGGTAAGCACACACAGTTGGCAGTCTCTAGGGTTTTTAAATATAATGTAAAATAGGTGTCCCTTCATGAGTACATTTGATTTTATGATTTACATTTATCTTGTCATTTTTTCTTTTTTTTAAATTGATTTTTATTGAGCTCTACATTTTTCTCTGCTCCCTTCCCTTCCTCTCCCCACCCCTTCTACCCTCTCCCATGGTTCCCATGCTCCCAATTTACTCAGGAGATCTTGTCTTTTTCTACTTCCCATGTAGATTAGATCCATCTATGTCTCTCTTAGGGTCCTCATTGTTGTCTAAGTTCTCTGGGATTGTGATTTGTAGGCTGGCTTTCTTTGCTTTATGTTTAAAAACCACCTATGAGTGAGTACATGTGATAATTGTTTTTCTGGGTCTGGGTTACCTCACTCAAAATGATGTTTTCTAGCTCCATCCATTTGCCTGCAAATTTCATGATGTCGTTATTTTTTTCTGCTGTGTAATGCTCCTTATCTTGACATTTAAAAAAATATCATTTGTCTAGGATGTGTTGCTGCAAGTCCGCTTTTGTTTTCATTTTTGCTTAAATACTCTGATCAATTACTGAGTTACTTGGTAGCAGAACTAGAACGATGGGGAGGTAAGCAGGTGTCATCAAGTCTATCCAATTTCCCTCGAGGAGCAACAAAGCCGGATTCACAGCTTTTCTCAGATGCTTGAGAGTCTTAGTGCTAAGTAAAATTCTCAGTTCAGAATGGAGCCCAGGCTGATCCATCACTAAAACTCTGTTCTGATGATGCTTCCAAAATAGTATTGATAAGGGAGCTTTAATCCATTGCCCACTTTGGGTACCTGATCCTTGGAGCGATGTTTTAGTTACCATGGCGTCTGGCAGGACGGCAGCGAGGCTTTCATTTGGGATTCAGAAGGCATGAACTGTATATTCTAACTCCTTTAATACATCGCTTCTAAAACCCAACATCTTTCCCCACACCTGTTGGCAGTGTTTGGCCAGTGCCTCAGCTGTGGCTTGTGTAATGACTATCTGTATCCTGTGGCTTCCGTAAATGGCTAATTGCTATTCAAAAACCCATTTCTGCGTTTTGATGATGGGGAAGAAAATACTAAGTGATAATTTGAGAAAGGCAGATCTCTTCCAGATTCTGATGGTGGGGAAATGCTATTGCAATGAGATGGTTGATAATTTACTATAACAAGAAGCCAATAGTTTATTAAAAACCTACTTGCACAGAATAATAAACCTTTTCCACAAAAAAAGAAAAGAAAAAAGAAACAAAAACAGTGATGGCGTGGTGCCCAAAGTATTGAGGGAAATAACTGTCAGCCGCAAATTTCATGGCCTGCTAAGCTGTCATTCAGGAGTGAGGGTGAAATAGCACATGTTCAGGAAGTATCTTTAGAGAGTTTACCATTTACGAAAACTTCCTGAAAGAATTGGCAATGGATATACTGCTCAGAGTTAAAAACCGTAATCAAAAGCTAACAGAATGGGACCCTTGAGTCACCAGAGTTTGGGAACCACGGTGGATTTTAACTTAGTTATAGCAACTGTGTGTCCCTGTTTATCTCCAGAGCCCAAGGTGGTGTTCGCCAAGGAGCAGCAGGCTCGCAGCGAGGTGAAGACAGAGGCAGGAGCCAGTGCCACACTGAGCTGCATGGTGGCCCAGGCCCAGACTGAGGTGACCTGGTTCAAGGAGGGGAAGAAGCTGAGCTCTGGCTCAAAGGTTCGAGTGGAGGCCTCAGGCTGCGAGAGGAGGCTGGTGGTGCAGCAGGCTGGCAAGGCGGATGCTGGTGAGTACAGCTGCGAGGCCGGGGGACAGAAGGTCTCCTTCCGTCTGGACTTCACAGGTGGGTGTTGAGATACTAAATTAGTTTGCAGATGTCATGAGCCTGGTTATGGCCAGGTAGGCCCTGGTGTCTTTCCACCGAGTATCATCTTTGCCTCATCCTTTGCCAAACACATCCCTGCGTCTGATCTAGGTGGCCTGGTCCAGGTGCATTTGGTGCATATGTGTTCAGGTTAGTCAGGGCCTCTTGTGTGCCTCAGGAGGTGTCTTAATGCTATAATGTTCTGTTTTATGTTCTCAGCACCTTCTTAGGTTCCACCAGTGTTGCTCGGTGCCACGGACTCTGGTCCTACTTGTGTGTCAGTCTGAAGCAACCAATGTCTGTTTGAGGTCCCTCCCACAGCTCTCTGTAGTCTCAGCCTGTCCAGCATGAGCTGTCTTTTAAAGAGAATTTTTATTTCATGTTCAGCCAGGGCAAGGAGGAATGTCAGTCACATAATCATATTTGAAACTATATCAACACTGAACCTGGGGCTGCCAGGGTTCAGTTAGGTGTTCTGGAATATTCCCCCACTGTGCCTGGGACTAATGCAGGATTGAGAACAAGACCTTTCTCAGTTCAAAGACCTTTCTGTGCTTGACCCAGAGACGTAAGGCACGAGAAACTCAATGACCACCAAAAGTCAGCCTGAGTCAATGCTTCTTAGTTTGTTTCTTTATGCCAGAGAACATAAGAGATTCGGAGGTTCGGATAACTTGTGGGAGCAGCAAAGTGGAAGCAGGTTTTGTTAAGAGAAATTAGGGAAAAGTGAAAGGCCTCCCTCCCCACCCCCAAGCGTGAGCGGGGGATCCCAGAGAAGAAAAGACTTCAAACTTCTTTTGTCTGGAAGGTCTTTTTGTTTGTTTTAAAAGATTTATTTATTTTGTATACAGCATCCTATCTGCAAGTCTGCCTGCAGGCCAGAAGAGGACACCAGATCTCATTACAGATAGTTGTAAGCCACGTCGTGGTTGCTGGGAATTGAACTCAGGACCTCTGAAAGAGCAGCCAGAGCTCTTAACTGAACCATCTCTCCAGCCCTGTCTGGAGGTTTTTTATAGGACTCCTGGCAGAAACTGGGCAGAGACCGAGGCAATTACATTTTAGTCAGCCAATTAGAGAGCCCCATATCCTGTCTCCCGATTTCCTGGTCCAATCAGAGAGATCGCCTGCAGTGCCAGTCCAGTTAGGGGACGGAAGCCCCTCTTCTTTCATCTCTGACTCCAGCTTGTACTTATCGACCTATAACTCAGAGCTGGCGACACTGTCCTCTGACCTTGTAGGCACCTCAAGTCCAGTTAATCACTGTGTGAGTTCTCTGTTCTCACAGCTACCAAGAGGTAACTGAAGTTGTTGTTTTTGCTTATTTTTGGTTTTTCAAGACAGGGGTTCTTTGTGTAGCCCTTGCTGTCCTGGAACTCGTTCTGTAGAGCAGGCTGGCCTTGAACTCACAGAGTGCTGGGATTAAAGGCGTGCGCCACCACCGCCCAGCTACTGCAGTTGTTCTTAGTTAACTTTCCAGTCTCTGGACGGTCAGGAGTGACTTTAGCTTTCCCCATGGACTTTTTCTCCTTACAAACCACACAGCTAGCTCCTGCATTATTAGTTCAGGATTCCTGGATTCCTTGTGGAACACACGAGGACCTGTGGAGTGGTAGACAGATGCTGTGTGTGTGTGTGTGTGTGTGTGTGTGTGTGTGTGTCCGTCCTCGTGCACACACGTGTGTGTGTCCGCATGCGCACGCATGTCTATGTTTATGCGTGCGCATGCGTGTGCTCATCCTGCTGGTGCCCGCTAGGCAAGTGCTTTACCACTGTGCTTCCCCCTTGTTCGGGCTGAACTCTTCGAATCTGATTTATGCTTGCAGATGAGGACTGAGCAGCTCGTGGGGCAGTGGCTCACTTATCAGCACCGAGTTACTGTTATAAAGTAGTGTCTAGTCCATAGTCCTTCACCAGTGACTCTGCCCTGCCTTAACTGCCCCTGAGGCGGTGGGCTGGATGTGTGGATGAACTGTGGTTTAATGCTGAGAGGTTTGAGGGAGTTCATTCCCCTCTGCTTCCCGGTAGCCTCATCCAGGCCTTTTCTCCATGTGACTTTCATAACTCAAATGGTTTCTGATGTTGTTTGTTCTCAGAGCCCAAGGTGGTGTTCGCCAAGGAGCAGCAGACACGTAGCGAGGTGAAGACAGAGGCAGGCGCCAATGCCACACTGAGCTGCACTGTGGCCCAGGCCCAGACTGAGGTGACCTGGTTCAAGGAGGGGAAGAAGCTGAGCTCTGGCTCGAAGGTTCGAGTGGAGGCCTCGGGCTGCGAGAGGAGGCTGGTGGTGCAGCAGGCTGGCAAGGCGGATGCTGGGGAGTACAGCTGCGAGGCTGGGGGACAGAAGATCTCCTTCCGTCTGGATATCACAGGTAGATTTTTCTTCCCTCCCTCCCTTCCTTTTTTCGTGTTCTGTAGTGTGCATATCCGGCATTAGGGTGAGACACTACCTTGTGACCTATTTTCCCAGCTTCACCTATAGTCACTGCTCGCAATTGCTGGTCTCTTTTGGGTTCCTTGGTTTTGTGAAGTGCGTCATATTTGTAAAAGGCTTTGAACTTCTCAGCAATTCTACGAGAAAGAATCCTGACTATTCCCATTTTAAGGTGGGCACAGAGGAGCTTTGACTTTCTAAGCCAGATAGTTACAGAGCCAAGGTTTGGGTCAGCGTTGGTTTCCCCCTGAAGGTCTCTGCCCCTTGGTGTCTGCTACAGTGGGTCTCCTGCTATGTGGCTTCTCGAAACTTCTGTTTGAAAATACTGATTTTTGGCAGTTGTGCTGGTTGGTTTTATGTCAGCTTGACATAAGCCGGAGTCATTTGGGAGGAAGGATTGTAAGTTGAGAAAATGTCTCCATAAGACTGGCTTCTAGGCAGGTTTGTGGTGCCTTTTCTGAAACAGTGACCTCCCAGTCCACTGTGTGCAGTGCCACCCTGGGCAAGTGGCTTTGGGTGTGTAAGAAAGCAGGTTGGCATGGGAAGCAGGTGCACAAATAAATCCTCTTCTGCAACCCGGAGCCGATTGTCCAGTATGAGCTTTGGTACCCAAGGCTGCTCAACAGGGATGCCCGTGGATGAAGTTTGAACATGAGGCTGGAGTGGAAGATCCCTTGGATGGATGCTTGTTTCAGTGTAGCACTGGCATATGCTACATACAGATTAGCATTCTGAACAGTTAGGGAGGAACAGGGCATGAACTCATTTTCAGAGAAAAGGGGCGCCAGCAAGTGAGAACAGACCTGCTCTAGGAGGATTCCTAAGGTACATTGTTTGAAGGAATTGCCAGAGGTCCTCTGGTGGAGAACTTCAGAGTTGTCCTAGGTGTGTGTTTGATTCAAAGAGGGATGAGTGAATAGAAGAATCATAGGCTGATAGCACAACTGGATTAAAGACCTTTCTTTGAGAACGGGTTAGTTTCAGAAACCTTGAACTCGAGTGGCCTCAGTGGACAGTGAAGGGATCACAGGTGGAATCCCCCAAAATAATTTTGTCTAGTTTTATACATTAAACGAAAACTCTTTACACAGTTGAAGGAAAGAGAAAGAAAGGAAGGAAGAAAGGAAGGAAGAAGGGAGAAAGGAAGGAAACAGGCTGAGCGGGCCATGAGGAGTACTTCTCCATGGCCTCTGCATCAGCTCCTGCCTCAGGTTCCTTACCTAAGTTTTTGCCCAGAGTTCCTTCATGGTAGACTGTGCTTGGTTAAACTCTTTCCTCCCCAGATTGCTTTTGGTCACGGTGTCTTACAGCACCTGACACCCTGATTAAGACAGTAGTGTTCCAGTGAGGACCTCGTATGGTTTGCTTCATATTGGGGGCTGAATCATCTTGAGCCTGGGGGTTTATGTCTTTCTGTTGTGGGGATTCTTGGTCTTGGCTGTTTTGTCCCATCTGCCATCTGTCCTTGGAAGGGCTCCTGTGACTCTGGCTGACCCTTTCATATTCTTACACCCACTGTCACACACGTGCTTCTCTCTGCTCAGTTACAATCCTCTGTGCTTCCGACTCACTAATCTTACGTTACAGTACACATAATGACTACCAACGCCGCCAGAAGTAAATATGCTTTTAATTGTTGCATTTTTCAGTGCTATAATTTCTGTTTGATTGAACAGAATCTATGGATTCTTGTGCACACACGTGTGCGTGCACACACACACATACACACACACAATACACACATACATTTTGGTGTTGGATCCAAGGCCTTTTACAACCTACTTACATCCTCCACCATTGAGCTCTAGCCTCACCACATCACCACGGTTGGTTTTATTCCTTCTGTGACTGCACCCTTGTCTGACAGCTCTATTGAATGTTGTTGCTGGTCCTGAAAGGGCAGCCCCATGACCCACCCATGTCCCACTAGACCCCACCATTTTTGCAGTTGGGGGCTTTTCTCATTTCCATTCTTGTCCTGGTGTGACAGGGAATTTTTTTTTATTGACTTAGACACATTTAATGTTCCGACTGCTGATTGTGCTGATGTCCTCTAGTCCCTCTATTTTCTGGGTGCTCCAGGCTTTGTCTTTGGGACCACCAACCAGCTCCCAAAACATGACTCGGAGTCTTCTTATTAGTTTGAATGCTCAGCCTAGCGTAGGCTGGTTTCTGGCTGGCTCTTTTAACTTAAATTAACCTGTTTCTCTTTATCTACCTTTGCCTCGGGGATTTTTTACCTTTTCCCCCTGTATGTCTTACTTTTCTTGCTTCTTCCATGTCTGTCTGTCTGGTGACTGCCTGGCTGACTTTGGCTGACTGACTCCGGAAGTCTCCCTTTCTCCCTATCTTCTCTCCTCTTTTCTTCTCTAGATTCCTCCTCCCATTTATTCCCTCTGCCTGTCCCACCTAGCCTTTCTTCTGTTGGCTGTTCAGCTCTCTTTTTTTTTAGTTTTTTTTTAAAATTTATTTTATTTTTATTATGTATACAATATTCTGTCTGCGTGTACACCTGAAGGCCAGAAGAGGGCACTAGACCTCATTACAGATGGTTGTGAGCCACCATGTGGTTGCTGGGAATTGAACTCAGGACCTTTGGAAGAGCAGCATCTTTGCTGCTCTCTGCTCGGGTTTGGGTGACTGGCTTCTCATATAGGCGTGCGTGCTGGCATTTGGTTCCCCATGTGTTGAGATGGGAGACATTTACAGGGTAGGCCCCGATGGAGGTGCAGGCTGTGGAACTTCTAGCTTCATGAGTAGCTAATGCAGTGGGCCAGGTCTTGTGGGACTGGTGTGGATGGGTTCTCCCGAGTGTCTGTCACCTCTCAGGTCCCTTTCCTGTAGGCAGAGCTTTTCGTTGGTACCACTAGCCGGGTCTGTCCCATAAGCTGGCTCCCAAATAACCACAGAGACTTAATATTAATTATAACTGCTCAGCCGACAGCTTAGGCTTGTTTTTGGCCATTAACCCATTCCTATTGATCTGTGTGCTGCCTGAGACCCATTTACCTCATCTACAGACTTCCCATCCTGTTTGCTCTGCATCTCCTTAGACTCCTTAGCCCTCTTCCCAGCATCCTCCTGCTCTGGGTCTCCCACCCAGTCTCTTCCTGCCGAGCTGTAGGCCAGGCAGCTCTGTATTAACCAATGAGAGTGATGCATCTTTACAGTGCACAGAGACTGCTCCACAGCTCCCTCTTAGTCTCCTCCCATTGCTGCTCTCCTCTGTGTGTCCTCATTAGAGCCAAGCCAGTCCCAGGGCTGTTTCCTTCAACCTTTGGAAGAATGAACTGAACAAACCCAGTTTAGTTATTTGTTTATTTTAATGACGTACCAACCTCAGGCTTTTTGTTCTAGCAACACAAACCGACTCGGGTAGCTTTGTAACCTCTTAGGCAGCTTCACAACTCACCCACCATGGAAGGGAAAGTTCTAGAGTGTGGAACCTCGCTCCACACTATTCATTGGGGGTTTGTCCTCATAAATTTGAGTTCTATCTATAGGAGATGTCAGCCGCCTCATTGATTGCTTTCCTTTTTGTTTGTTTACTTTGTGGTCCCTCCCACCTCCTGTTTCTTGTAGAAACCCTGTGCCTAGACTCAGGTCTGGTTTCACTGTCACACTCTAGCTAGCATAGAAAGGCAGGGGTGGGAGTAGCCAGGTGTGACAGATGCTTTTCCCCAGCACTCTGTGTGCCACAACTCAGGCACCCACTCCCTCCCTCTCTTCCTCCCTCCTTCCCTCTTTCTTTCTTTCTTTCTTTCTTTCTTTCTTTCTTTCTCTTTCTTTCTTTCCTTTCTTCTTTCTTCTTTCTCAAGACAGGATTTCTCTGTGTGTCTCTGGTTGTCTTGGAACTAACTCTGTAGACCAGGCTGGCTTCGAACGCACAGAGATCCACCTGTCTCTGCCTCCCTGAGTGCTGGGCGCCTACTTTCTTGCTCACAGTTCCTTCCAATGGTTTAGATCTTTTGTATGTCAGTGTTCCACTTGTCTGGCTGTGTGTCCCTTAAATACTACTGCACACCAAGGTCCCTGGCTGTGTGTGCCTTAAATACCACTCACCACCAAGTCTAGGTCACCTGCTTCCTTTACCATGCCAGCTTTGATAACAATCTTGTTTCATGGATGGGTGCACCTTTATCTTCATGGTATAAGTTTGTGCCCCACTCATGAGATGGTGAAGTGTGAGCCTCTGTGGTTCACTGCAGGCTTCCTAGCTCTGGTTGCCCCTCAGGAGGCCCTCTGCTAACCTTGCCTGTGGAGATAGTTGAATAAATCAGTGAGGTGCTTCCCCAGCCTGGGATCGCATTTTCTCTTCACCTGCATTTTTTCCACATAACATGTGCCTTTGAAGATTTTATGCTAATGAAAAAATTACAGCATTTCCTATGTAAATTGTCTTAATAAAATATTCATTTAGAATTTAATGTAATTAAATTGCCTTTGCAATTCATGGACAAATCATTTTAATTTAAATGAAAACATCTTACAGATGCAGAAGTGAGCAGAATCATGGAAGCTGGTGCTCTATGACTATGACATAGGTTCTGATTAGAGACGGATGAAGCAGGCACAGGTTAAGAACATGGATGACAGCAGGCATGGGGTGGGAGCTGGAGGACCTGCTAATAGAGCAGTGTCCCTAAAGCCAGAGAGCCCTTTGTGCTGATTCCATCACCAAAGATGTAGCCAAGGATGTTCTTAAGACACTCATATTTTTATTTATGTGTATGTATATGCCTTGTACGGCTATGTGCGTATGAGTGCAGAGAGGGTATTGGATCCTCTGCAGCTGGAGTCACGGGCAGTTGTGAGCCACCCGACATGGGTAATTAGTTACTTTTCTACCTCCTTGACAAAACACGTGACCAAGACATACTCATAAAGAAAGCATTTAATTGGACCATCGTGGTGGGGCAGTGTGGCAGCAAGCAGCAGGCGTGTTGGCTGGAGCAGCTGAGAACTTACCTTGATCTTCAAGCAGGAGGCAAAGTGAGGGAGACATGCGAGGAAGGGTTGGAGACTTTTGTAACCTCAAAGTCTGCCAGCAACACACTTTCTCCAAGACCAAATCTCCTAATCCTTCCCCAAAAGACCTTCCACCAATTGGGGACCAAGTATTCAATCCTGAGGGGGGGGGTGCACATTCTCTGTCAAACCACCTCAGTGGGTGCTAGGAACTGAATTCTGTCCTCTGTAAGAGCAGTTTGAGTTCCTCACCACTGAGCCATCTCCATGGACACTAAGTATGTTTATAGCAGCTTTATTGGTTGTATCTCCAGGTGAACGGCCCAAATGAGCCATAAGAAGGAATGGGAAAGTCATTCAGTTACGGTTTTTATGTGGTACAACCCATGGACTGGTACATAACTCCTATGCTGGTGCATGTAGCAGCGTAAAGGAACAAGCTTCTTGTTTTAAAGACAGGCTCTCACTATGTAGCCCTGACTGACCTGGAACTCACTGTGTAGTCCAGTTAAAGTCGTGTACCACAATCCCTCACCTAATGAAGAAATGCTACGTAGCATGGATGGGTCCTTCAGACAAGCCAAACGAAAGCACACAAACTCGCCAGAATATAACAAAATAAACGCGATGAAGAATTTGTTGTTGGGTGATTTCCCATCACGTGGGTACCACAGAGTACAGTCACACAAATGGAGATAGCTCTAATGTTGCTGGGTAATATTACCTTAAGGGACCATCATTGTAATTTTGGGGTCTGCCACTGAGTGGAGCAACACTATAGAGCATGTAACTGGCCCAACAGGTGTGAACTCAGAGCCCAGGCAGAAGGCTCTATGTGTGTGTGTGTGACCCTGTGTGTGTGCCTACACCTGTGCATGTATCTGAGTGTGTGTATGTTTGTGTTTGTGTGTATGTGTGTGTTTTTTGTATCTCTCTCTCTCTCTCTCTCTCTCTGCCTGCCTATGTAGTGACAGTCTGTGGATGGGGAGCTGAAATGCTCTGTTTGTTCATAGGTTTCACTTCTGTGCGGAGAGAGAGGTCCATTTGGGGTTCACTGAGCTGAATAGATGCTTGTGCGTACTTGATGTATGGATAAAACCAGCAGAGAATGAGGCTATTGTCCGCAGAGCACACAGTCTGCCAGCTCTGGGATGTATCACCGAGCAATGGGGTCTGCCGCAAACATGGCAGAGACAGTAGACACAAAGGTAGAGAGCTGGAATAGCCCAGCTGCTTTCTTCTGGATCTTGAGTCAGGATAACTTCCAAATGCATATCTGAGCCACCGAGACAAGACACTGTGTCTGTGTAGACAGTTTAACATCTCACTGGGCACCTGATGTCCATGACTCCAAGGACACAATTTATGGAAACTTGGAGAATTGGTGTCTGTGAAGTAGGTAACATTGTCTCTCTCACCGTGTGCCCTTCCTTGTCTCCAGAGCCCAAGTTGGTATTTGCCAAGGAGCAGCAGGCTCGCAGCGAGGTGAAGGCAGAGGCAGGCGCCAGTGCCACATTGAGCTGCACGGTGGCCCAGGCCCAGACTGAGGTGACCTGGTTCAAGGATGGGAAGAAGCTGAGCTCTGGCTCCAAGGTTCGAGTGGAGGCCTCGGGCTGCGAGAGGAGGCTGGTGGTGCAGCAGGCGGGCAAGGCGGATGCTGGGGAGTACAGCTGTGAGGCCGGGGGACAGAAGGTCTCCTTCCGTCTGGATGTCACAGGTGGGTGCCAGAGTTGTGCTCAGTGGGGCTATTCCAGGACATTTCAGGTATCTTGGGCTGGTGTTCTCCCTGTCCTTAGACCTCAGTGTTTGTTTGTCCCAGGGTTCTGGGAGCCCTCGCTGGCCATATCATAATTCCCATGAGACCATGAATGTGGTCCAACCCTCTCCACCCTGTCCTTGAGTTTTGGAAAAGGCCATACACCATGTGGCCACTCTTTCCTGCTTGATTTTATTGCATTTTGCTGTCTTGCACTTCCTCTCCGCTGTGGTCCAGAAAGATGTGGGTTTCTGGTTTGGGATTGAGGTGGCCGTTCCTCCCAAATGTGCCTCCTCCTGCTGTTTGTGGTCTCTGAATGTAAGAGGGCTGGGAAGCCATGGATGGCCTGAAGTTTCTGGGGGTTCCAAGGCAGGGAAGAGTCAGAGTTCTGTCCTTAAATGTCAGGATAGGCATTGTTAAGGGACACTAGCAGTGATGGCCTTAAGGGCTACAGTAGCTCACCTGCCAGCAAGCATCAGAGTGGGCCTGCAGGTTCTTAGGGCAGTGACAAGAACTTGCATGCCCAGGCCTTCCACACATGAAAGTTCAGCAATGCAGCTTGGGACCCATGTGACACAGAACCTTGTTTATGATCACGTGATGATCTGTCAATTATGGGAAGTGTTGCCTTGGCCATGCCTGGGCTCTGATGAGCCCCAGGCCCTGAAGAAGGGTGATGTATAGTCTGGGTTCTCTGACCTTGTGCATCCCTATCTGTCCCCAGAGCCCAAGGTGGTGTTCGCCAAGGAGCAGCAGGCACGCAGCGAGGTGAAGGCAGAGGCAGGCGCCAGTGCCACACTGAGCTGCACAGTGGCCCAGGCCCAGACTGAGGTGACCTGGTTCAAGGACGGGAAGAAGCTGAGCTCTGGCTCCAAGGTTCGAGTGGAGGCCTCGGGCTGTGAGAGGAGGCTGGTGGTGCAGCAGGCGGGCAAGGCGGATGCTGGGGAGTACAGCTGCGAGGCCGGGGGACAGAAGGTCTCCTTCTGTCTGGACGTCACAGGTCAGTGCTTATGTGTCAAGGTGGCTTGTTTGCAGGTGGTGGGAAATTCCCTGATGACCCCAGTGGTCCTAGTGTTTTTCTCCTTAGAAAAACTATCTCTGCATATGGCTTCCTTTCCAGTTGAACTACTTGCTTTATGCTGGAATGTGTGTGTGAGAGAGCAAGGGGCTTGGGTCCCACAGTCTCTTTGGAGGGTACAATCCCAGTGACCTAGTGTCCGACAAGACCCCTAAATACTAAATTTTCCACCACCTCCCAGTGGCACAGTCTGGGAATCAAGCCTCTAACAGGTGGGCCTTTGGGGAGCATTTCTGATCCAAACAGTAGATCCAAAGAACAAAACAAGGATACTTTGCTGCACCACGGGTCAGCTTATGCTAAAATCATGTAAAGACATGGGTGTCTCAGTGCAGTTATTGGCAACCAGACTGAAGGAGCAGACAGCAGAGCTCAGGGTGGACTCTGACAGCAATGGATTCCCCATCCCCACCCCGCCTACATCTCTCCTCTCCCCTTTAAGACTCATGGAACAGCTGAAGACAGTATGATTGTTTCATGAGAGATTATTCAGCCATACTGAGGAAACACTGGACCAGTGATCACCACATACAAATCCAACTATAGTTGGGTTCCAGACTTAGAATAGAAAGAGAAGCACAGAATCCTCAAAGTGACATGCAGGTATTCCTGTGACTCCACTTAAGGTCTGAATTCATCATTTTGACATACTTAACATTTAATGATCTACAGAGTGACAGTGAGGTGCAGTGTGGGATCTGATAACATGTCAATGATGCGCACTGGTCAAACTTGGGCAGTCTGTGTCTCCAGTTCCTTTGATGCTTATCGTGTTTTTGTTGGAAACATTCAACGTATTCTCATGTAGTTCTCATGAAGTACTTAGGTTGTTCTGTACTGTACAGGTGAACACCAGAATTATGGGATGACTGTATGTGCCAATAGAATAAATGTACACTCTGGAACACACACTCTCTCTCTCTCTCTCTCTCTCTCTCTCTCTCTCTCTCTCTCACACACACACACACACACACACACACGCGCGCGCGCGCGCGCACGCGCTGGGCATGGAATACAGAGCTCTGTGCATGCGAGACACAGCTCTACTGCTGAGCAACCTCGGTGCCCAGGAACAAGAGAACAAACACAGTGACCACCATGAAACACATATGAATACTTTGAAACTGAAAACTGATTTAGGTCTGGTGAGATGGTCCAGCAGGTTTGGATGAGCTGGGTGGGGTTCAGTCCCCGGAATCCACGTAAGTGTGGAAGGAGAGAATGTACCCACAATGTCATCTGGCCTCCACCCTAGAGCTGTGGTGTGTGTGACCTCCTGATCATGTCACATAGAGCAGTAATACTAACTGGAAAATTAGAGCCCAGCGACTCAGCAGAGCCTACCAGAAGTGGCGAGAAGGCAGGTAGCAGAAGGGAAGTGTCTGGAGTGTATGCTATTTATTGTCACGTCGCTATAGTGAGACTAGGAAATATGGTGGCTGCCTAGAAGAAAGAGTGCTATTGGAAATTAGGCAGAAAATTGGCAGGGAAAAAACTGCCTTGTGACACCAGAAAGGACTGACGGGGTGTGTGTCACATTGTGACAGTCACACTTTTTACTCTGGTTTTGCTACCCCCTGTCATCCGTGGTTCTGAAATACATGGAAACTTCCAGAAAGAAGCAGTTCTCCAGGTGGAGGCCAAGGTATCTCTTCACTTCTGTTCTCTTGGTCCTTATTTTACTTGATAATGGTCTAGAGCATGGGCTTCTGTTACACTATGTTTCTTTAATTTTTATCACTAGCTGTTATGATTTTTTTTTGGGAGGAGGGGTTGAGGCAGACTCTTTTTCTATGTTACCCTGGCTGTCCTGGAACTCACTATGTAGAGCCAGGTCAGCCTCGAACTCACAGAGATCCACCTGCCTCTGCCTCCCAGGTATTGGGACTAAAGGTGTGTGCCCCAGCACCCAGCTTTTTTTTTTTTTTTTTTTTAGTCAAGGTCTCACTATGTAGTCTTGACTGGCCTTGCCTGGAACTTGCTATGTAGACCAGGCTAGCAGCAAACTCACAGACATCTGCCTTTCTCTTTTTATTGAGTGCTGTGATTAAAGACTTGCACCACCATGTCTGGTTAACGAGTTTCTTACCAAGCGTAATTTGTTAACTAAACTTTTTCAGGGCCCTCCAGGAAAAACATCCGCAGTATTTGGTGCTATCTGCATCTGAGGCACCTTCTGCTGGTTTGGAATGTATTCTGGATGGATGAGGGAGCTTGACTTTCCCTGTGTTTCCAGGCCTTGGTGTTTTTCCTGAGACAGAGAGTGCAGGGCCTGGATGATCTAGATAATGCTCTGATCTTGTGTATCCCTTTCTGTCCACAGAGCCCAAGGTGGTGTTCGCCAAGGAGCAGCAGTCACGCAGCGAGGTGAAGTCAGAGGCAGGTGCCAGTGCTACACTGAGCTGCATAGTGGCCCAGGCCCAGACTGAGGTGACCTGGTTCAAGGACGGGAAGAAGCTGAGCTCTGGCTCCAAGGTTCGAGTGGAGGCCTCGGGCTGTGAGAGGAAGCTGGTGGTGCAGCAGGCAGGCAAGGCGGATGCTGGGGAGTACAGCTGTGAGGCCGTGGGACAGAAGGTCTCCTTCCTTCTGGATGTCACAGGTGGGTGTTGAGATATCAGTTTGTGTAGAGATGATGACTGGATCAGGTGCATCGCTGACCACTGGGTTCTTCCTGTTACACTTTGTCTATTACCATCCTCTGCCTTCCCACCTGCTTTCTCGTATCCGTGAGGAATACAGGCAGGTGTAGGCCTTTTTACATACCTTGAGCGGTGTCCACATGGTGTAGATAGCTGTGTGTTCCGAGAGCCAGCCCAGCATCTTTTGGTTGGTTCTGTTGGAATTACTCGGTTCTTGGTTGTAAGGTGACCTTGTTACCTTCACCTGGGAGAGTGATCGTCCTTGGATTGGGGCACTGGAACTTCCAGGGTCTCTTTCAGAGCCATGTGTGTTTCTCCATAGCCAGAGCTGCCACTTACTCAGGGTAAGGACAAGTCACAGGCCAGGTACTCGGTCACACCTGTAACTGTCTCAAGGCTTTCTTGCTATTCTCAGCTTTTGGTTTCCTGGGCTCCCCTTCACTCCCTTTCTGGGGATTTGAAAGCCAGCCTCCCGCACACCTGTCTGTAGGAACCTGCCTGCTGGTGGACGGTTGCACAGCTTGTGTGAAGTGCACAGAGCGGGGAGTGGTCATCTGCTTCGATAGACATATGCAGGGCAGAGTGGGCTTCTCGATCATGTCCTGGGCTCCTGTTGTTTTTCACCAGAACATTCTCCTCATCAGCCCTTGGGAGCTGATGCACAGAATTAGCGTGGAGAAGCACTGATGTGGTGTGCAGCCATGTTACTGTGAGAGCTGCCACTGACCGGAGTGCTAGGAAAAGCCTCAGTATGTCCCTGGTGGCTGGGTGCCACTGGGCTTCTGATTGGTTGCATAGAGATGGCTGAAAACCTCACGTATTTTCCTTTTGTTAGGACGCTTAATGCTAAGTCATTGTAGGCTGCACTTCTGCTCTTACCCTGCAGGTTTGTGTTGTGTCCTTAAGGGTTAGTTCCAGGACCCCCACCACAGATGCAGGATCCTCGGATGTGCCAGCCCTTTATATAAAATGTTGGTGCATTTATGTATAACCAACACACATGTTCTGCACATGTTCTTCTAAGAAATATTTCATTTTTTAAAATGATGTGTGTGTGTGTGTGTGTGTGTGTGTGTGTGCATGTGCATGTCTCTGTGGGTATGTGCATGCGAGCGCAGGCACACGCAGAAACCAGAAGAGGGCATCAGATTCCCTGGAGCTGGAATTACAGGTGGTTGTGAGCTGCCCAAACTCAGGTCATTTGAAAGAGAAGGAAGCATTTTTAACTGCTGAGTCATCTCCCCATGCCTGTCCGTACACTAAAAAAACAAAACAAAACAACAACCTGCCATCCCCAAACAAACCAGATTTATTGATTTCGTGTATATGAATGTTTTGCCTGCACGTATGTACGTGTGCCATGTGTGTGCTTGGTGCCCATGGAGTTCAGAAGACAGCCTCAGATCCCCTGGAGTTGGTAGCTGTGAGTCACCGTGTGGCTGGTGAAACCAAACCTGAGTCGTCTGCAAGAGCAGCCCATGCTCTTAACTGCACAGCCATGGGTACCTGTTCTCTCTGGACATCTCAGCTCCTGTCCTGGCTGGCGGTATCCATCAGTGTCAGGGCCACCATCTGCTGTCTGTATTATCCGGGGACTAATGATAAGAACAAGCCTGTGCTTCTTGTAGATGCCGTTCTGTTCCACCTCTGCATTTTCTGTTTGGTGTCGCTGAATCCGTGATGCAGAGGGCCAACCATACCACCAGTTGTGAACATGGACAACTGTTAAAACAGTCTGCTGTTTCTTTCTGGGACATTGTTTGAAGAGAATATGTCAGCCGATTTCATGGTTTAAAAAACTGGCAAGTTGTGACAGTTTGGCTGATTCCTGGAGAACCATGCCAAAGCTGACAGAAGAAGAAACTGAAAACTCAGATGCTGTAAGCGTTAACTAAATGGAAGCAGGAGTCTAAGAACTGTTTCAGGGGCAGGGTTTGCAGCCAGCAGGGACATCATTCCAGAAGTTCTGGAGACAAATTGTCCTATGCTTACAGAAGCTCTCTTGGGAAACAGGAGGAATGCAAGATGGATCATTTTATGCAAACAATGTGACATGCAAACCAAACAGGACAGGGAAAAGATGCAGAACTCAAGGCCACATCCACGCCAGGGCTGGATACTGAATGCCTGGTAGAAAATTGCTCTGCAGGAGTTGAAGGCTGTGTGGAGAGGGAGGCCAGGCATAAGGCATTGGCTCAACACAAGGCACAGGTTGGGCTCTGAGAGGGAAATGCACAGAGATCCAGCGAGTGCCGAGTGGCAGGATTTCATAACATTTACTCTCCTGGGACTAGTGAGGTGGCTGAGTGGAGGAAGGTGTTTGCTGCCAAGCCTGAGGATCTGATTCCCAGGACCCACATGGTGGGAAGAGAGAACCAACTCCTGCAGGTTGCTCTCTGAACACACTCATGGTGTGGCACACACATGCCTACACACACACACACACACACACACACACACACACACAAATCAATCACCATCTCATCCTGAAAACTCTTCAGTAAAATTCATCATGAATTCTTTACAGAAATCAACACCCCTCCCCTCAACTGTGAAAGACAGAACTGCAGTAAACAGCAGCTAACATCCCACTTCGGGTGAGAGCTTTTCCTTTGAAATAGCAACAAGACAAGGCAGGGCAGGCCATCAGGGGTAGAGTTGACTGCCACCAGTTAAGAGCATTCCTGAGGCCAACAGTGTAGTGAGAGCCTTGGGAAGGATGCCTCGCACAGAAACCCAGCTTGCATTAGACATCGCTCCCTTCAAACTCTGCAGCGAAGCCTTGGAAAACGAAATTCTACTGAACACACAGGAACTGAAGGTGCACCGTTTTCATACCTGATGCCCAGCAAACGACACTGGAAGCCCAGTGAGGGAACGGTTGAATGTTTCTGAGGGACTATGATGAACACCTGAAGAAGCTACTAGAAACCACAGAAGACTTGATTTCATCCCTCGATCAGGATCTAAATGTATTTGTTTGAGTGTGACAATGATTGACAAACTGATGGCAAAGGCTCTGTGCTCTCTTGAAGATGAGCATCTGCGAGCGTTTCCTTCCAGAGATCAGCCCTCATCATCAGGCCACACTAACAGGACAGCGGAACCAAATGTGGCCACAGGAGAGTAGAGCAGGATGAAAGTGGCTTCTGGACCAGCTCTTGACTGACAGCCGTCATAGGCCCGCCTCTCCTTTCCCGTGGATTAGTGTGAAGCCTAGAGCTAGGACCACCTTCCCCTAAGGGCAGTGCACATTTGTTATTAGCCCTGGAAGTCTCCCTGCAAAGCATACGCTGTCGTCAACAGTGAGCTGGGTGACAACCTCAGAGAAAACCGATATGAGCTGACTGGGCCACGGCTTACCATGTGAACCACTTCAGAGCCAGTACATGAGAACATGGCTTACAGAGAACCAGTTGTGTTGCTTCATGAAAATTCTTGATTTAACCAGAACACACACACACACACACACACACACACACACACACACACACACACGAGAAGCAGAAGAACACAGATGGGAGAATATTGATAATGAATGTAGCTGGTGAGACTCTGGTACTCAAATACATACAGAACCCCTAGGATCTGAAGACAATGCAGGTATAAATGGGGTCAGCCTGGAACAACGGACCACTGAAGGGGCTGAAAACATCAGGTCTCCACCACGGAGCCCCTGGAGTAGCCATCAGAGGGACAGTCTCCAGAATAGCTCCTGCAGCAGAGGCAGGGTCTGTGTCTGGTCTGGGTCTGTGCTGAGAGGCACCGGGGCTTTTGGGCACAGTGGCTGTAGAGTCTGGTGATGTTCTGCCCTCCAGTGGTACCACTACCATCAGACTTTCCCCCAGGTGGCCTTGCTGACTTAGTGTCTCTGACTCACTGTATCCCTATCTATTTACAGAGCCCAAAGTGGTTTTCGCCAAGGAGCAGCAGACACACAGTGAGGTGAAGGCTGAGGCAGGCGCCAGTACTACGCTGAGCTGCAAGGTGGCCCAGGCCCAGACTGAAGTGACCTGGTTCAAGGACGGGAAGAAGCTGAGCTCTGGCTCGAAGGTTCGAGTGGAGGCCTCGGGCTGCGAGAGGAGGCTGGTGGTGCAGCAGGCGGGCAAGGCGGATGCTGGGGAGTACAGCTGCGAGGCCGGGGGACAGAAGGTCTCCTTCCGCCTGGATGTGCCAGGTACCTATTTGGCCTTATGAGACAGTGGACAGGGGCCTGATTTATCGCTTTGACCTTCATCGTTCACAATTCCCGTCCTTCCTCTTCCCCTGCAGCTAGGTGAGAATGAATACATAGGAGGAAGAGGGCTCCATGTTGTCAGCCTTGAGGGTCTTACTGTGGGGCAATCCAGAGTCTCACGTTCCCAGAGCATCTTTGCTGTTCTGTACGGCATCTGGGACTCTGGCTGGACCTAGTACATCTCAGTCCTCTGTCCTCTCTTACACAAAGAGTATAATCTAAAGCAAATACCACTTAGCCTTTGCTTTCAGTTTGGATAGTGTACCAGGAATCCCCACAGGGTTCCTGCCCTGAACTCAGGGATGGTAAAGGGTGAGCGTCTCCCACCTCACATTGCTGCTGATGCTGGTGCCTGGCTCCAGATCCTCAGAGGGACAAGTCTGAGACAGACAGACATTTGCCTTGTGTGTAGGTGGAGCTTTGGGGACTTACAGGGTGGGCTGCAATCTCAGCTGGCCTCTGGCACTGCCACACTGCTGGGCTCTATTAGATGCCCACATAACTGCTGTCCATGTTTAGATATTGAGAAACGAGCTAGCGTTTCTCATCATCATCATCATCATCATTAGTTTTTCTAGACAATTTTTCTTTGTGTAACAGCTCTGGCTGTCTTGGAACTTGCTTTGTAGACCAGGCTGGTTTTGAACTCACAGAGATCCACCTATCTATGCCTCCTGAGTGCTGAGATTAAAGGCGTGAGCCACCACCGCCCAGCAGAAATGTTATTTTAAGAGGCTACCATAAGACATTTTATGGTAATAAATCTGAAAAGTTGTACAGTTTGGCCGGTTACTAGCAAATTGTGAAAACGGACATAAAAATTCAACAAATCCCATGTGTTTTTAAATAAGCAGAATAGCAGCCAAATCTTCAAGTAATTTTGTTGGGAAAACATCAAATAGTCCTGGAAAGAGTTATTCCATGATTATGGAGACTTTTTCAGAGACCAGAGAAAGGAAGTGAACCTGTAGGTCATTTCATGCAGTCAGCATAGCACTGACCTCCAGATCTGACTGGGAAGGCGGTAAGAGCAGGGACTAAAGATCCATCTGCCGTGAGTGCCACAGTTGAAGTCTACAGACAGTGTTGGGGGAGTGAACTCAGCCGAGACAGGAGGCCTTATGCTGTGATGAGGGTCGTAGTCTTCACATCAAGGCCGAGAAAGTTCTGTCCTCCATTGTCCAAGCCGGCTCTTTTCCCCGTGGCCTTTTTGACCCAGACAGTGTCTCTGACCCTGTGTGCCCTTGTGTTTGTTCTCAGAGCCTAAGGTAGTGTTTGCCAAGGAGCAGCAGGCTCGCAGTGAGGTGAAGGCAGAGGCAGGCAACAGTGCCACACTGAGCTGCACGCTGGACCATGCCCAGACTGAGGTGACCTGGTTCAAGGATGGGAAGAAGCTGAGCTCCAGCTCGAAGGTCCGAGTGGAGGCCTCAGGCTGCGAGAGGAGGCTGGTGGTGCAGCAGGCAGGCAAGGCGGATGCTGGGGAGTACAGCTGTGAGGCCGGGGGACAGAAGGTCTCCTTCCTTCTGGATGTCACAGGTGGGTGTTGCCGTATGAAGTTAGCCTTGTGTGGAGGTGGTGGAGCCTGGCTATGGCTTGGACAGATCCTGGTACTATTCCCTTAGAGAGTGACTTCATTATTACTTTTTAATTATGTATATATGTAGGTGGTATATACACATGAGTGCAGTTACAAATGAGTCCACAGGTGGCCCAGGCTCTCCCTTGCAAGGGCTACAACTGGCAATACACAGATAGGGAAGGGCGTGGAGCCCTGGGGATTCTCACCTCTGTGAGGCATGGCCTACCAAGTCCCGGGAGACTCTCCATTGTCACTGTGGGACACGTGGTTCTCTTGATTCGCAGCCTGGCCATTGGAGGAGTGGAACCATGTCTCCCCTTGAGTGATCCTGCAGCAGCGACAGGATATGGAGATAAACCAGGGTTTTGTGTTGAGAGGCCCTGGGCTTCCCTGGACACTGTGTGCAGAAGCTGAGTGATGCTCTGCCCATGTCTTTCCCCATGTGGCCTTCTTGATCTAGACAGTGTTTCTGACCCTGTTTATGTGTCCTTGTCTATCCTCAGAGCCCAAGGTGGTGTTTGCCAAGGAGCAGCAGACTCATAGCGAGGTGAAGACAGAGGCAGGCGCCAATGCCACATTGAACTGCACGGTGGACCAGGCCCAGACTGAGGTGACCTGGTTCAAGGACGGGAAGAAGCTGAGCTCCAGCTCGAAGGTTCGAGTGGAGGCCTCGGGCTGCGAGAGGAGGCTGGTGGTGCAGCAGGCTGGCAAGGCGGATGCTGGGGAGTACAGCTGTGAGGCCGGGGGACAGAAGGTCTCCTTCCGTCTGGCCGTCACAGGTCAGTCCTCTGGGACAGTCCACATGTGTATTCACAATTATTACATCTTTGTCTTCCATTTTGGGTTTTTGAGACAGATTTTTTTTCAGTAATTATGGAACTTGTCCTGGAACCCGCTCTGTAGACCAGGCTGGCTTAGAACTCACAGAGATCCACCTGCCTCTGCCTCCTGAGTGCTGGGATTAAAGGCGTGCACCACCACTTCCTGGCAAGACATCTTCTTGATGAACTACATCCTTTACTAAGCTGTAGTGAACTTCTTTGTCCCTTGGGCTAACTTTAGCTTGGAATCTGCTTAGTGAAATGCAAACCTAGCTACCCCTCTTGCCTCCATTTGTTTATCCTTCACTCCTAAGTCTATATTTTCCCATGAAGCGTGTGTTTTAAACACTACAAATAGTTCCATATTAAGCCAATTATTGACATACTTAAAAATAGCTTTAGATTTGTTATTTTATTTTACATATGTGAGCATTTTGCTTGAATGTGTATCTGTGCATTATGTGGATGTCTGGTGTAACTCATATCGAGTTCCAGATGGTTATGAGCCACTGTGTGGATGCTGGAAATTGAGCCTGGGTCCTCTGCAACAGCATCAAGTGCTCTTAGCCACTGAGTCATCTTTTTAGTCCCTGGATCTTATTTTTAAACCAATGCTCTGTTGGGGGAGTTGAGATCGTTTATATTTAGGATTACTATTGAGAGGTCTTTTCTGAAGGGAGCATAAAAACCACAGGGGCCTTTGACATTAGGCAAAACACTGGAGGGGCAGCGTGGAGGAGCAAACACCAATGACCCAAGACTTGAGGTTCCCACTCTCAGGACCAGGCAATAAGGGCCACAGGTAGTCCAGGTGTCCTCTGAATAGAGCAGCTGAGGATGTTAGTAGCGGGCAAGGGAGCGGAGCTTGGGAGACTCTACGAGGACATGTTCTGCACCGTCCTGCGGGAGACTTTCCACTGTCACTGTTGATCAGGTGCGTCCGTGTTCTGAGCCACAGTTCCTCCTCCTCGGAGCCTTGCTCAGACTCTGTTATAGAGGGCCCACTGGAGCAGCCCCTGAATAGGTGGCAGGATGTATGGGTGAACTGGTTTTGTTCTAAGAGACTCTGGGGCTTCTCCTGGGTATAGCTAGTGAGAGCATGGGGGAGGTTTTGCCTTTTGGCCACCTGTTCAGACTCTATCGCTGTGGCCTTCCTGACCTACACAACTTCTTTGACCCTGTGTGCCTTGTCCATTCCTAGAACCCAAGTTGGTGTTCGCCAAGGAACAGCAAACTCGCAGTGAGGTGAAGGCCGAGGCAGGGGCCAGTGCCACTCTGAGCTGCACAGTGGACCAGGCCCAGACTGAGGTGACCTGGTACAAGGACGGGAAGAAGCTGAGCTCCAGCTCTAAGGTCCGAGTGGAGGCCTCGGGCTGCGAAAGGAGGCTGTTGGTGCAGCAGGCGGGCAAGGTAGATGCTGGGGAGTACAGCTGTGAGGCCGGGGGACAGAAGGTCTCCTTCCGTTTGGACGTCACAGGTGGGTGTTGGAGGGTACTAACCTTACTCATTTGGATGAGATGCTAAGACTAATAACCTGAAGGACCCTGGCCCTTTGGCGGGGAGCTTGCCCTCTGTTTCCACATACAAGGCTTGCTTATGAGAGCAGAAATGAAAGTGATTAAGTCAAGGGAGCCGTCCTTATTTCCATGTGGTAGCATTTATTCCTCCAAAACATCCCAGGGGTTCCCTGTGTTGCTTCTTGGTTCCCAGGGACATTCGTCGCTCTTCCTCGTGTTTAGGATTAGGAATAAGCTAAGGATTAGGCTCTGTGAGTGTTCAAGTGTCTGAGGTCCTCCATGCTACAACCCTGCTGAGACAGCCATGTCTAGGGGGCTGACATCTGAACACTAGTTGCCACCTGCTCTCACTCTTATGGTGCCTGACATTTTTCACAAGAAGCATTTCCATTCAACTTAAATAAAGCTAAGAAAATTTGGATTCCCTAACCATGATTGGATTTTCATGCAACAGAAGCCAACTTATTGTGAGTTCAAGTACCTGGCTACTCTGGGTGTCACTGCATAACATTTTAAGTGTTTCATTATTAGGAATTGGTTTACAAATAAACATACCAACAAAATAAAACAAGACAACAAAAAGAAAAAAATCTTGTATCTCTACTGCATTTTATTTTTAGAGAATATGAAACTAGAAAAATAAAGCCATTTGTTTTTCTATATAAAAAGTGACACAAAATGAAGTAGAAATCTTGAGTAGTCCTAATGTCTTTGAAACAGAATCATAAACACCAATTTATCATAGGAAAGGGCGTTAATACAGGAGCTTGTGGATAAATCATATCATATGTTCTAGAAGGTCATTATTATTTCCTGTGCTTTATTGCACAGTAAGATGATGATAGTTCACAATAATGTGCAATGCATTTCCAAACAGCTAAGAGGATTTAAAATGTTCTCACCACAAGGAAATGATGAACAGCTGGTGCAGTAGATATGTTAATTACCATGTTTGATTACAATGTAGACAGGTTGTTGAAACATTGCATTGCATCCAATAGTTTATTATTTGTTGATTAAAAATAAAAAAGAGGAACCAGTCAGATGGGTCAGAGGTTCTTTTATATTTTTTAAAGATTTGTTTATTTATTTAATGCATACCAATGCTATATCTGCATGTATGACATCATGCCAGAAGAAGGCCTCAGATGGTTGTGATCCACCATGTGGCTGCTGGAAATCGAACTCAGGATCTCTGAAAGAGCAGCCAGTGACTTAACCACTGAGTCATCTTTCCAGCCCTGGGTCAGAGGTTCTTGCCACCAAGTCTGATGGCATGAGAGTTTGATCCCGGGACTGAGTGAGTCAGTCTCTACTATCTGAGGCCCTAAGACCTCAGTACCTCCACATCAAGGACCAAATTCCTATCACATGAACCGTGGAAACACACGACTTCCCAACAAAGCACAGGAGGAAGAATCAGGTGACTGAAGTAATAATGTACCATGTGCTCAAAAATAGCTCGAGATGAACATTTCAAATGTTTTACCATAGAAAACATGGAAATGGTTCTTAGTTTTAATGGTCAACTTGGTACAACCAGGAGTCTCTTGGGAGGAGGCATTGCCCAGAACAGATTGTGTGTGACCACGTCTATGAGGAACGGTTTTGGTTGATGATTGATGTGAGTGGACCCAGTGTAACACCCGATTTTGGTGTTACACCCTCGGTACAGTTCGCGCGCAGCTGTACCGAATGCGAGTCCGGGCAAGGGCCTGGAGATTGAACACAAGACACAGAGACCAGGGTCATTCGATAGGAGATCAAGCGAATGCCGTTTATTCAGACTTGGGGAAGCCTTTTTCTACCTAACTGCAGCACAAAGATCTCTCCGCCCAGGGAGGTGGGAAATTACCATATTAACAATGGAGAAGATTGCCTGCAGCTAATCACCAGGTGGGGCAGGGATAGCACGGAAACACACAGGAAGCTTAGTTAACTGATAACAAACTGTCCCCGCCAATGCACCCCAGGAATAAGGGAGACCAGGCGCCCACAACCCAGCCCACTGTGGGGAGCACCATCCCTATGTAGGTGGCCTGGGCTGTGTAAAACAGCTAGGCAATGGAGCTAGACAGTGAGCCGTGTTCCTCCGTAGCTTCTGCTCCAGGTCCTGTTCGAGCTCTTACCCTGTTTTTCCTCAGTGGTCGTTGTGACAAACAAGTGTGAGTGGAAGCCAAATAACCCTTTCCTCTCCAAGTTGCTTCCAGTCATGGTGTTTATCACAGTAGAAAGCAAACCCGAATATGATGGATATTTTATCTAGTGTGTCTTAACAATTTCATGCTGTAACTTACATATATCAAGATGTCATATTGTGCTCCATAAAAGTGTATGAAAGCTTTTAGATACAGTAGAGGACACTGAGATGGAAACTGTTCTTTGAGGCATTAGGATTTATTTAAGCCATGGACAGATAGACAGACAGATAGAAAACAGCATGGTAGGCACTTTGAAGAGAGTTCAGGCTGGAGTACTAGAGACAGACAACATGGCGGAGGCTCTGCAGAGGAATTGGGGTCCACATGGCAGAAAGGGGCATCTCTACTTACAGCTCTTTGAGAAAGAGGAAAGTCTTACAGCAGGTGCCTGCAACCACACAGAGCTAGGAAAAGAACTAGGGTCAGGCAGCATGACAGCCAACCGCCCCTGGGATGAAAACTCACTTCTCAAGGTGAGAAACCCCGCACCTGCAGTCCCTCAGCTAGCGGCTTACAGACAGTGTCTCAGTGGGGAGCCTGCCAGTGTCCCTGAGAGGGGAAAGCTGCTGTGGAGTGTGGTGGCCCGGATTCAGCAGCTGGATTCTAACATACATGTGTATAATGCACAGTTATGATTCCAAGTTAAAATATTAGTAAAACCTAAATCATTATGTAGAAAGCATTTCTTTCCAGTGTCCGGTGGAACACCTTCTGGTGGAACACCTTCTGATGGAAGGTGGGATTTTAAAAGACAACACAAAAACTCCGTTTCTACTTCTAAATCTAAAAGGAATTCTTTTTTAAAAAAATACATATTTATTATGCATATTGTGTTCTGCCTGCATGTATGCCTGCACACCAGAGAGGGCACCAGACCCCATTACAGATGGTTGTGAGCCACCATGTGGCTGCTGGGAATTGAACTCAGAACCTTTGGAAGAGCAGTCAGTGCTCTTACCCTCTGAACCATTTCTCCAGTCCTAAAAGGGATTCTTAAGGAATCCATGGGGGAAGAGTTATTACATGTTTTTGGAAGATAGTAAGAAGACCAAAGTGCATAGAAATCCATGGGAGACGTGAATATATTTATGTCTGATAAAAATCCAAATGCATGTCTTACTTTAGGGAGTTGGAAGTTAAGAAGATTTGAGGAGGAGACAAGTGTGAACACACAAAGTGGGGTGTCACACAGGTAGCTGCCACACTTGAGAACTCTCATAAACCCAACAAACAGAACAGGAACCATGACCAAACTTGTGAACAAAATAATTGCCTTTTCTTTTATTGGCAGGGGACTTGGATCACCAGGTAAAGCCACCTGCTGCCAAGCCTGGCATATTAAGTTCAATCTCTAGAATCCACATGGTGTGGGAAAACTCTAAATTGTGCTCTAACCTACACACACACACACACACACACACACACACACACACACACTGTGGAATGTGCGTGCATGTACACACACACACACAAATACACATTAAGTAAATGTAAAAAAGGTAAATCACTTAAAAACACATGTAAACAAGGGATAGGATAGACAGAAGTGCTAACTTAGTAATTTCTGTATTAAAAAATTAGCCCAGGCCAGGCAGTGGTGGCGCACGCCTTTAATCCCAACACTCGGGAGGCAGAGGCAGGCGGATCTCTGGGAGTTCGAGGCCAGCCTGGTCTACAAGAGCTAGTTCCAGGACAGGAACCAAAAACTACGGAGAAACCCTGTCTCAAAAATAAAAAAAAAATTAGCCCAGGAACTCACTCAAAGTGAGTGTCGGGTGGCACAAGAGCCCAAGGCCCTGAGAGAATGACTACAGTGGCCTTTGAACATTCTGGAAGTTATCTGGTCTGTGCTTATGGCTATCCCCTTAGAGAACAGAAAAGGGAGAAGACCCTTTAGTTCTGTGTATTTAGACAGCACAGCATACTAAATTCCAGCCAGAAGAGAATAATTCATATTTTAGGTCAATCTATTATGGATATCAAGGACAATTTGTGAGACACAGTCGGAGTGAGCTGAACTCAGGGCCACCAGGGTCATACCCTGTGAGGACATTTCTAGCCCAGGAACATCGGTCTGGAATGTTGCAAAATGAGTACAAGTTGACCTTATCTGAGTGACCCAAATGTGAAATTATCTCAGGAAGGGCAGAACAAAGGATAAAACTCAGCAATGTGAATTAGAAAGAAGCTTTTGACAAAAATCTATCTGCGGCCATGCCATAAGATTCGTAACAAATGTCTTTAAGCAGACTGTTTCTAGGCGTGGCCAGCAGTGCTGCGTGCGCATCGAGGGCTGCGGTGCTCTGCTCCGTGATCAGCAGCAGCATGAAGAGGCCAGCTGCCACCACACCCCACAGCACAAGTAGCAAGAACACCCCACAAAAGGCACAAAAGTTAGGAAGAGAATACCCCAACAGAGTCATAGAGGGTAACATTTATTCAAAAGACAAGTGAATAGCTTTAGTAACAATTGAGGAAGAATCCTGCACACAAAGGCCAGTATAAAGAACACCCCCCCCCAACATCTACTAGCAATGAGCATGTTGCAAGACGTGTTTAAAGCTTTAAGGGTTAAAAGCGTCATGTTCATAATACCAAGTCTGATACCACACGTGGAGAGACTGGCTGTGGATCACTAAACATTTTTTGGAGAGACAGTAAGCTTTACACAGATGGATGGAAATAAGATGGATTTTGCAGGTGTCCAGTCCCCACCACCATCGGAGCATTGCTGTAGGATGGGTTGAAATGACTGAATTTCTCAAGCTAGGCACAGCCAGCCCCCTCGCGGGGAGAGCTGGTTATGAAGAGTCGCCGTGTTAGGTACAGGACCGCCACAGAGATACTGGATGTCTTTAGTTAGAGAACAACATGGCTGGAGAGATGATGGCTCTGTGGTGTGGAGCATTTGTTGCACTTCCAGAGGACCCAGTTCAATTCTGAGCACCTACATGGTAGCTCACGGCCATCTGTTAACTCCATTGTGGTGGGTATATGGTGCCCTCTTCTCGCACCTATCGGTTCTGCATGCATAGTGTGCCCTGACAAACATGCAGGCAAAAATCCCCCCTCCCATACACAGAGGACAGGATTGCAGCAGATTTATTTGTAATCCTAGAATTGGACAGCAATTTAGTCCAGGGAAAGTTATGCCCCATAACACAGGCAGCTTATATTAACAGTCAGAGAAGTGATAGCCACACATATCAAAGGGAGGTTAGGTGGAGACAGAGGGATTGCTTTCAGCAGGTGTCTGTCTTGTCACAAGAGTAACTTATAGCCTGATCACTTTAAGATAAATTAGAGTTGAACAACAGTAGCAAAACACTCTAGACCAGATCTAATCCAGTTTAATACAAGGAGACAACATATTTTCAATGCAAGAGTGGTTAACAGATAACAAGAATATATATGCATGCAGAAGGAGGTGTCTTAGTTATTCTTCTGTTGCTGTTAAGAGACACCATGACCAAGGCAACCTAGAAAAAAGAGCATTTAATCTGGGGGACACAGAGGATTAGAATCCATGGCCATCATCATGGGGAGTGTGGCAGCAGGCAGGCGTGGTGCTGGAACAGTAGTTGAGAGTTTATATGTTACCTGCAAGTTGGAGACAGAGAGATTAAACTTGCCCTGGTGTGGGCTTTTGAAACCTCAAAAACACTTCCCGTGACACAGACGCCCCCAACAAGGCCACACCCCCTAATCCTTCTCAAACAGTTCCACCAACTGGGAACCAGACATTCCAGTATATCAGCCTCTGGGGCCAGCCTCACAGAGAGCATCACAGAGAGCAGCGTCCATCTCCCACCCCCTTAGCTCTCTACATCGGTGCGGAATTTGTAGAAAGAGACAGCATCTGCAGAAACAGCACGTGGACCACCCTACTGTGTGTGGGAAAGACTGTATGGTTAGAGTAGCAGCTCAGACCCTGTGATTGAATCCAGATGGGCCACAACAAAGGACAGGAAGTGACAGTGTGAAAACTGTGATGTCATGGATTGCTCTAGGGACTGCACGGGGAGCGTTCCAGAAATGTAGGTGTTCCCATTAAAACCCACGCTGAATACTTGGAAACACATGGAAACTGAGTGCACTGATTCAGAAGGACCTTTAGCAGAGCCGTGGAGACACTGGGGCAAGCCGAGGGCAGCCCTCTCCCACAGTTTGCCAAATTAATAACATGTCACCATCCAGTGAACCGAGGTATAAGCAAGAACCTTGAGTTAGGACAGCACAGTGCATCTGTACATGTGGCCAGAAAGATCAGAGGCTTGCCACCATTGGGATCAGACAGTAAGGTTGCGTGTGGTCCAGGCTCCCCTGCAGATGCAGTGGCTGGTGATGGTTGAAGCAGGACAGGGCGTGTTTTTGTGAGACTCAGACCTTGTGAGAACACACCCTTACACGACCTATGGGAGACCCGTCATTGTCAGGGAGGGGCAAGAGGATAAATGTCGTGACCCTCAGACCTTTCCAGGATGAGCCTAGGAAGGGGCACAGCAACTCTCCCAGAACAGCCTATGTAGCAGTGGCAAGTTGTGTGCGTCTATTTTGGTTCTGTTCTGAGAGGGACCATGGTTTCCTCTTGGTTCAGCCAGTGACAAGCCTGGACAGTGCTCTGTCCTCCACCTTTCCCATCCAGGACTTTCACCCATGAGACCTTCCTTATGGATTACAACTCTGACTCTGTGCATCCCTGTCTTTCTCCAGAGCCCAAGGTGGTGTTCTCCAAGGAGCAACAGGCTCTCAGCGAGGTGAAGACAGAGGCAGGTGCCAGTGCCACACTGAGCTGCAAAGTGGCCCAGGTCCAGACTGAGGTGACCTGGTTCAAGGACGGGAAGAAGCTGAGCTCTGGCTCGAAGGTTCGAATGGAGGCCTCGGGCTGTGAGAGGAGGCTGGTGGTGCAGCAGGCGGGCAAGGCGGATGCTGGGGAGTACAGCTGCGAGGCTGGGGGACAGAAGGTCTCCTTCCGTCTGGACGTCACAGGTGGGTGTTGTGATACTAAGTTGGCCTTTTGGGGGTTCAGGGCCTGGCTCATGCCCAGGGCTGGCTCTTTGTCCTTGTGTTTCACACCGTCTCTTCACATCCCCCCCTTTCTCATCTGCATGGTTAGTGCAGCATTGAGCAGGACATTGACCGGCAAGGGTGTCCCCAGGAAGGTCCTCTCCTCCCTGGCTACCTGGAGAGATGCTCCCAGGTTGGGGGGTTTCATCTTCGTCATGTTTTTGTTCCTTCCTGGAGCCTTCCTGATGTTGCTTGGGTCCATCTTTTTGACCAGAGTGCGGCCAGGTGGCCTCACTTGGCGTCTGAGTCCAGGCTGCATTGTGATGCGCAGTGTGGCGGAACTGTGGTTTCATGCTGGGAGGTGCTCAGACTTCTACTGGGCACAGTGAGCGCTGTGTCTGGAGGGTGTTCTGCTCTTCTGCTGCCCCATTCAGATCTCTGTGTGACCGTCCTGACCTGGATCGTGTCTCTGATCCTGTGCATCCCTGTCTGTCCCCAGAGCCCAAGGTGGTGTTTGCCAAGGAGCAGCAGGCTCGCAGCGAGGTGAAGGCAGAGGCAGGGGCCAGTGCCACACTGAACTGCACGATGGCCCAGGCCCAGACTGAGGTGACCTGGTTCAAGGACGGGAAGAAGCTGAGCTCCAGCTCGAAGGTCCGAGTGGAGGCCTCGGGCTGCGAGAGGAGGCTGGTGGTGCAGCAGGCGGGCAAGGCGGATGCTGGGGAGTACAGCTGCGAGGTCGGGGGACAGAAGGTCTCCTTCCGTCTGGACGTCACAGGTGGGTGCTGAGACACTAAGTTGGCCTTGTGGGGGTTCAGGGCCTGGCTCATGCCCAGGGCTGCCCCTGCGCTCCTTCTGTTTGGCTCTGTCTGTTATACATTGTCTCTTAGTGTCTCTCGTCTCCCTTATGCTGAGCCTGTCCCGGAATGGGATGGACGTCACCCCATGTGCCACCGTCTGCATGCAGTGTCTGTGTAGAACGAAGAACACAAGGCAAATGGATAAGGAAGGGCCAGTGACCCATGTCTCTGAGCTGTGGGGGTCTTTCTGAAGCAACTGTTATTTTTCTAAGTCAGAATTTTCTGTTTAATATCTTCGAATGAGTTTAATGGGTGTGTTAGTGTAGTGTATAAAAGGGATGAATGGAAGACCCACCGTGATTTTTTTTGACAAATGATTTGAAAGGACTGTGGCATCATTTAATGTAGGTAAGTTCCCACAATTTCAATAAACTCTTGGCCAATTCCTAAAAATGACTATAAAGCTTTAAAAAAAAAGTCCTAAACCCCCTAAAACTCAAAAATACCCCAACCAACTGAATGGTGATAGCACACACCTTTAATTCGGGAGGCAGAGGCAGCTGGAGCTCTGTGAGTTCGAGGCCAACCTGGTCTACAGAGTGAGTTTCAGGACAGCCAAGGGTGTTACACAGAGAAACCCTGTCTCAAAAAACAAAACAAAAATCCTAGGGATTCGAATAGTTCTGTAATCTCTTATTTTATATTTATTTTATTTTATGATTTTAATATATGATATATCTATATATATTATCGCACACATATTGATTTTGCAGGACAGGGCTTCTCTGTATTTCTCTGGTTGTACTAGAACTCACTCTGTAGACCAGGCTGGCCTTGAACTCAGAGATCCTCCTGCCTCTGTCCCCTGAATGCTGGGATTAAAGGTGTGCGCCACCACTGCCCGGCTAATATATGTTGTGTTGTGTGAGATGTATATATATGGCAAGTGTGTGTGCATGTTTATGTGTGTGAATGTGGGCATGCGTGTGCCATAGTGCATGTGTGGAGGTCAGAGGCCATCTCTGGGTTAAGTCCTCTTTAAGGCATAGTGTTTTGTAGTTTACCACGGTGTAGCCAGGCTAGCTGACCCACAACTTCCTGGGATTCTCCTGTCTCCCCGTAGGAGCACTGGGTTTACAGATGTGTGCCACTGCATTCGGCTTGTGTGTGGGTCCTGGGGAATCCCAGCTTTGGTCCTCGTGTGTGCTTGACAAGGACTTTATCTGCAGAGTCACCTACCCTAGTATGCTCCTATAGCCTTTTAAAGAGATGCAGCCCTTCTTCAGAGCTTATTCGTATCACAGTGATTCTACCAGAGACTATAAAGGGAATGCGCACTGCTGTGGGCTGCATGTTGACGGGACAGTGTTGAAACCGAATGGCAGGCATTCTCTTATGTGCACTGAAGACGACGTCTGTACAAACCTTTGACAAGGTGAACCGAGCTAAGAGTTAGTGTGCAGGGATGGAGGTTGTCACCCAGGAGTGCAAGGTCGGTGAAACACAAAAGTGTGAAAGGGAAGAGGACAGTAAGACTTTTTTTTTTTTTAAAGAAAGAGAGAAGAATCTTGTGCATTTAATAAAAACAGAGCAAAGTGTTTGCTAAAATTTTAGATCATATATCAAAGACAAAGTTTAACGTGCCCTCCTGTTTATTTATTTATTTTAATTTTATGGGTGCATGGGTATTTTGCCTGCATGAATGCCTTGTGCTCTACATGGGTGCAATGCCCACTGAACCCAGAAGAGGGCATCAGATTCTCTGGAACTGGAGTTATAGACAGTTGTTAGATGCCTGTGGGTGCTAGGAATTGAACCTGGATCCTCTGGATGAACTGCCAGTGCTCTTAACTGCTGAGCCACTTCCCAGCTCAAGAGTGATACTTGTTCCTGATGGCTACCAAAGTGGAGATCTTTTGGTGTTGTCAAAATTGACGTGATGCTTCCAAGGCCCAAGTAGAGCCAAAGGAGTCATGAAGACAATACTTCGTCTGCTAGATGTCCAAGGTTATTTTGATGCCGTTGTGCTGTAGACAACTGAATGTCAGTGTAGGTATGGGCAGCAGAGCCAGAAATGGAGTAGAGAACCTGAAAACAGACCCGGCACCAGTCAGGATTCCTTCCTTTGTGTGTGTTTTGACCGTGGCCCTGGTTGGAGACATGGAAAGAAAGCGCCACAGGCAAATGGTGATGCGACCACGCAGCCATCCGCATCAGAGCAGAAAATACAGTAGTGACGGATGTGCTCCCTACACCAGAAAGACACTGGCCCCCAGCAGCAGCAGACCCAGTGAAGACTCCGGGAGAATATGACTGGAACAGAACACAGATGCCCTCAGCATGAAGGACAACAGCGCTTTTCCTTTGCCTGAAGCATTGCATCCCTGTGACCTATGAGATGCCTTTATGTCATCAGAAGATAGCACTCTAGAGGAAAAAGAAAGGCCCGTGGCTGACAGAAAGATACTAGCTCACAGTAATCAGAGCCTTAGCATGTGAAAATATGTAGTCTGCATAAAAGGGCTGGGAGAAAAGCCTGGCAACACTATTGGTCGCTAAATAAATGTTACACTAAGGGGGACCAAGCACTAACAGCCAAGACCAGACTGGGCTCTTTCTGGAGAGGCATCAGGATAAGGTCTAAGCATAGACAGCCAGCCCCTTCCTGACATAGCAGCTGACATCGCTCCTAGCAGGCAAGGGCATGGGGCCTCAGGGACCCTCAGCCATGGTGATGTTCTCTGAGCAATGCTATTGGTGGAGCTCTGCTGTCATGGAGGGGTTGAGGCACCTATGCTATGGGCCTGCGGTCCTTCCCTCAAGAAGGCTTGTCACAGACACTCTGTCAATGGCCTCCTGCAGTGTTAGTGTCCCGTGTGGATGATCTGATTTTTGTTTGTTTGTTTTTTGAGACAGGGTTTCTCAGTGTAAAAGCCCTAGCTATCCTGGAACTAGCTCTTGTAGACCAGGCTGGCCTCAAACTCACAGAAATCTGCCTGTGTCTGCCTCCCGAGTGCTGGGCTTGAAGGCGTGTGCCACCACCGCCTTGAAGGATAATCTGATTTTGTACTGAGAGGCCCAGGAGTTTCTCTCCTGGGCATAGCCAGTGCTAAGCGTCCTCTAGCTGACCCAGCAAAGCTGTTTTTCCATGTGGCTTTCTTGACCTAGACAATGGCTCTGACTCCATACATCTGTTTGTCACCAGAGCCCAAGGTTGTGTTTGCCAAGGAACAGCAAACTCGCAGCGAGGTGAAGGCAGAAGCAGGGGCCAGTGCCACACTGAGCTGCACGGTAGACCAGGCCCAGACTGAGGTGACCTGGTTCAGGGACGGGAAGAAGCTGAGCTCCAGCTCGAAGGTCCGAGTGGAGGCCTCGGGCTGCGAGAGGTGGCTGGTGGTGCAGCAGGCTGGCCAGGCGGATGCTGGGGAGTACAGCTGCGAGGCCGCGGGACAGAAGGTCTCCTTCCGTCTGGACGTCACAGGTGGGTGTTGTGATAGTAAGCCTTGTGTGGAAGGGATGACTGGCTTACGTCCATGACTGTGCCTTCTGTTAGGTCTGGACCCTTTGCTCCTTTGTGCATTAGGCCGTGGCTGACCATGGCTGACTGTGGCTGGCCGTGACTGACCATGGCTGACTGTGGCTGACCGTGGCTGGCCGTGGCTGACCGTGGCTGGCCGTGGCTGACCATGGCTGACCGTGGCTGACCCTATGCTCTCCTGTTACATAATCTCTTCATGTCTTCTCTCTTCCCATCCCCGTGTTTTGTCCAGTGTTGAGCAAGACACAGAATGGGAAGGGTGTCCCAGGAAGGTCCTTTTCTTCTTGAGTACCAGGGGAAATTCATCTTGGTCATGCTTTTGTTCCTGCCCAGAGCCTTCCTGATGCTCCTTGGGTCCATCTCGTTGGTGTTGACCAAGGAGCAGCAAGCATGTAACCTGGCTGCCTCAGACTCTACTGAGGAGGAAAACAGCTCTGAGCAGACACTATGGATTCTTTAAGATCTGGGATAATATCACTACTCGACACAAATGAAAAGCCACACTTTCGTCTCTGATGGGACCTTGCATTAGTGTATCTTACATCTGACACGTGGCAGATGGGAAGATACTGTGAGCACTGCAGGCACCTTAGCATGCAACGACATAAAGAGTATCTAGAACTGACTGCCAATAGGGCAGAAGCAGGTTAGCCATGGAGTAAGTGTCACATCCTGGAAGACCACCCCTTAGTGGCCAGAACCAAGAATGGCCCTCCACCTGTGAGGCATCAGGAACTGTAGAGAACCCTCCTGTAGCATGGTGGGATGTGTACATGAACTATGGTTTTGTGTCAAGAGGTACAAGGACTTCCTAACCCCTCAAGTAAGGAGCCTGGAGGATGCTCTGTCCTACTGCCACTATATCCAACCCTTCTTTCCCCTGTGCGATCTTCCTGACCTGGATGGTGTCTCTGATCCTGTGTGTCCCCATCTGTTCCTAGACACCAAGGTGGTGTTTGCCAAGGAGCAGCAGGCTCGCAGCGAGGTGAAGACAGAGGCAGGGGCCAGTGCCACACTGAGCTGCACGGTGGCCCAGGCCCAGACTGAGGTGACCTGGTTCAAGGACGGGAAGAAGCTGAGCTCCAGCTCGAAGGTTCGAGTGGAGGCCTCGGGCTGCGAGAGGAGGCTGGTGGTGCAGCAGGCGGGCAAGGCTGATGCTGGGGAGTACAGCTGCGAGGCCGGGGGACAGAAGGTCTCCTTCCGTCTGGACGTCACAGGTGGGTGTCATTGTGTTCAGGGTAGAGATGCAGCTGACCCCTTCGAGACACGAGGGTTCCTTGTCTGGTCTCACAGCCCTGTCTCTGACTTTTGTTTCTCCACTGTCTCCTGCCTTCTACTCTGAGGGCAGAGCCTCTTTCTCATGTATTTCTGATGTCCCCTGTACCAGCCTGTGCCCCTGTCCACCTCCTTCCTCATCACTAGTTCTATTGGGCTGGCCTCCTCCTCCTCTTCCTCCTCCTCTTCTTGAGACAGTATTTTTCTGTAGCTTTGGAGCCTGTCCTGAAACTTGCTCTGTAGACCAGACTGGCCCAGAACTCACAGAGATTCGCCTCTTTCTGCCTCCCGAGGGCTGGGATTAAAGGTGTGCGCACCACCACCCTGCATGGGCTGGCTTCAGGTGTAAGAGCTATTGAACCTCAAGTTCTGGGGAAAGCACCTTGTTTAGGTGGGGCCTGAGTGGACCATCCTGCAGTTCTGAGTCCTTGCGAGCTATCAGGGTTCTGGTCCAAGGTTCAGGAACCTGCTCTTCCTGTTTCGGCCCGTGGGCTTTATATTGGCCTTGGAGTCCTGGTGGTTCAGCTGTAGCATGTTGCCACGGTGTTTGTCTGCATTTGGCTTCTACTGTACCCGCATAGCTGTGGTGTACTGTATACCGCATATACAGTAGCATAGGTGGCCCTGGACAAACCTGGACAACTCAAGCACATGGTTTGTCTAAGTGCAGTTGCTGGCCACGGCTCTGCCGAACCATCTAGGTCTCCTGCACACCCACCCTACTTTTGCCAGTAGTGTTTTGGCTTCCAGGCTATCTTTTCAGGCAGCTTCTATGACATCCAGTCTCATCCCAGGTCAGGCCAATCATACCCTGGGCTGCGAGTTGTCTACCCTTCTATGCCATCTGCCCTGTGGGCTGAAGTCTCCCTGGAGGCAGGACTCCTGGGATCTTGGTTGGGACAGTACCGGTGATGATGGCCCTTAGGAGGCATTATGTTCTTGCTGGACACAGAGGGGCAGCAGCTAGCACACATTACTGTTGGAGATTCGTGTGTGTTTGTCCTTTCTTACATGCCTACTTTACTTCCCAGAACCAGAGCCCGAGTCCCAGATTCCAGAGAGACCCAGCCGCAGGGAGCCTCTGGTGGTCAAGGAGCACGAGAACATCGTCCTGACTGCCACTCTGGCGGCACCCTCTGTGGCTGCTGTGACCTGGCTCAAAGACGGTGTGGAGATTCGCCGCAGTAAGCGCCATGAGATCACCAGCGAGGGTGACACCCACACCCTGACCGTGAGAGGTGCACAGGTGCTGGACAGTGCCATCTACAGCTGCCGTGTTGGCAAGGAAGGCCAGGACTTTCCGGTGCAGGTGGAAGGTAAGGAGTCTGGATCTCCTCCAGGGTCCCTGCATCTGCCCCGGAGACAAGTAGGCAGTATCCCAGAGCAGCCCCAGAGTGGAGCTCAGGACACGTGGCCATCTACCCAGATCACTGGCTGACACCCTTTTCTACCCTCAGAGGTGGCCACCAAGTTCTCCAAACCCTTGGAGCCCGTTGAAGGGGATTTGGGTGGCACTGTGAAGCTGGTCTGTGAGCTGACCCCAGACCAGGCCGAGGTCGTGTGGCGCTGTGGGAGCACACAGCTGCGGCAGGGCAAGCGCTTCCAGATGACATCGGAGGGGCCTAGGCACACCCTGACTGTGTCTGGCCTCCGAGAGGAGGACGCAGGGGAGTACGTGTGTGAGAGCCGTGATGACCGAACCAGCGCACGGCTCACTGTCAAAGGTACCCGTGGGTGAGCTCAAGTGGCTTCCTAGGGGAAGGGTCCTTCCATGTGTCTGTCTCGGGTGCGTCTCTGCGGAGCTTCTCCCGTGGCCCCTGAAGAAGACTCTCCCTCTGCAGTTCCCCGAGTGGTCAAGTTTACATCTGGATTGAGCACCGTGGTTGCAGAGGAGGGCCAAGAGGCCACCTTTCAGTGTGTTGTGTCCCCCAGCGATGCGGCAGTCGTGTGGTACAAGGATGGCACCCAGCTGCTGCCCAGCGAGAAGTTTGTTATGGCACAGAGTGCGGCCACCTGTAGTTTGACCATCTTGGGCCTGACCCTGGAGGACGCTGGCCATGTCACAGTGGAGGCTGAGGGTGCCTCATCTTCTGCCACTCTCCGGGTCCGAGGTGAGCTGGGAGCCAGCAGGGCTGTCAGGATAGCCAGTGGGTCCTTGCAATAGGTGCCTTTCCCTCCGCGTGAACCGATAAGGCAGCCCCATAGTGTTCATGTGTGTTGGGATGATCTGGTTGGCCTTGGAGGACATGGACTCTGTCTGTTGTCAACAGAGGTGATTTGGTGGTGGTGGGGGCACTAGGTATTGTCTCTTCAAGTGTACCTGGTAGGGGCAGGGATAAGGCTGAGACAATCCAGAGAGACCTCTTTCTGGAGAAAGTGGTCTCTGGTTGGGTCTGCAACGGCAAATCAGATGGGAGGCTGCGCTCAAAAGCTCAAAGGCGAAAGGGATGGGTGCGCTTTGAGAGCCAGGACTTTATTTGAAGATGTGGCAGGCTCTTGAGTATGGAGTAATGAAGATGGGTGGACCTCCCGGAGTGGGGGGGTGATGGGTCAGTGAGACCCACACTGGAGCCTTTGTCCTCCCCATATATCTTAACATGAGCAGGTGTCCTGGGGCATCGTTAGGGCAGACAATGGGACAGTGGCTGAGGGGTTGTGGAGTGGCCCTGCTCAGATGCCGAAGGCTGGCCGTTGTGGTATCTACCCATAGTTAGGAGTTCAGCACAGTTGATCACAGCCGGGCAGCAGGGCTTGGGATGGGGGGGCAGGGGGGATGGGATTGAAGAAACAGCCTTAGCTTCCCCCATAAAATGCACCTATGTGAGGTCTGCAGTTGGGGCTTACCCTGATTGAAGCAGGACTGCTTGCATGCTGAGGCTCTCTGGCCTAGACTCAGGCTGGCCTAGGGTGGGGCCTCAGTAGGCCCCCAGTGACCAAGATGACCCCTGTCCTTCTGTATCTCAGAGGCACCGGTCCTCTTCAAAAAGAAACTCGAGCCGCAGACTGTGGAGGAGAAGAGCTCCGTGACGCTGGAGGTGGAGCTGACGCGCCCCTGGCCTGAGGTGAAGTGGACACGGATCGCTGCCGTCCTGGCACCCAGCGAGAACATGGAAATCCATGCGGAGGGAGCTCGGCACCGCCTGGTGCTGCGCAGCGTGAGCTTCACTGACCGTGGCTTCTATGGCTGTGAGACACCAGATGACAAGACCCAGGCCAAGCTCAACGTGGAAAGTAAGCCCAGGGTCGGGACCTCAGAGGAAGAGAGGGGTTCTTCCAGAAGTGGGGGTGTGGCTTTGTGTCGGCCGTGAGAACGGGTGGGATTGTCTTTTGGGGAGGCAGGCAGTCCACCCTGGTTCCGGAAAGTGGATCCAAAGAAGGAAGAGATGGAGGAGGAAGTAGAGGGTCAGGCCTGGGGGGTCAGCTGGGGTTGAGGGAGAGCTGGGTGGAGGTAGGGGCTGGGGGTTAACTCCTGGGGCCTCACTCTGCTCTGTGGCCTTTGGGTGGTGTGCTGAACCCACATCTGTGTCTGAGTCCTGGCTGGTTGGAGGGTCTCAGTTTACTAGCTCACTGGAGTCCCTCTGACAGTGCGGCAGGTCCGGCTGGTTCGAGGTTTGCAGCCCGTGGAGGCTAAGGAACGGGGCACGGCTTCCATGGATGTGGAGTTGTCTCATGCTGATGTGGAGGGCAGCTGGACTCGAGATGGTCTGCGGCTTCAGCCTGGGCCCTCATGCCACCTGGCCGTACAGGGCCCTGTCCACATCCTCACACTCTCAGCACTGAGGCCACAGGACAGCGGGTTGGTGGCCTTCAGGGCTGAGGGCGTGCACACGTCTGCACAGCTGATAGTCACAGGTGAGTAGTGAAGGCTGGCAGCCCCCCTCCGAAGCACACCCATTTCAGCTCCCTGAGTGGTCCAGGGAGGCAGCTGGGCCAGGTGGAAAGTGGAAAACCCCTGTGTGGCTACAGTTAGCCCACGGCATCAGAAAGCACCTCCTAACTCCATGGCTTCCTTCCCTAACTCCCGTGTCAGAGCTGCCAGTGAGCTTCACCCGGCTACTGCAGGACGTGGTGGCCACCCAAAAAGAGAAGGTGACCCTGGAGTGTGAGTTGTCACGGCCTGTGGATGTGCGCTGGCTGAAGGTATTCCTCCCTCCTCCCTGCTTCTCCCTGTGGGCGTCCGGGAGGTGAACCCCTTCTACGGAGACACTCTAGGGCCTGACCAGTCCTCTCTGCCCCACAGGATGGTGTGGAGCTGCGGGCAGGCAAGACTGTGGGCATAGTGGCCCAGGGAGCCTGCAGGAGTCTCATTATTTACCGGTGTGAGATCGGGGACCAGGGTGTCTATGTGTGTGACTCTCTTGATGCTCAGACCTCAGCCTCTCTGAAGGTGCAGGGTGAGCTCTGGTCGGGGGGGACAGGGAAGGTTGGCAGGTATGAGTAGTGCTCTCTGGTACCCCAGTTCCCCACAGCCTGATGGCAAACTGGTAGCTTTGCTGGGAGTAGCCTATGCTTCTGGGCACACCAGCTGTCTCAGTCAGTGCTCTATTGCCATGAAGAGACCCCATGACCATGGCAACTCTTATAAAGGAAAGCATTTAATTAGGGCTGGCTTACAGTTCAGAGATTTAGTTCATTGTCATGATGGAAGGCATGGTAGGGCACAGACATGGTGCCGAAGAGGTAGCTTAAGAGTTTTACATCCAGATCCACAGTCGGTAGGAAGAGACACTGGGCCTGGTATGAGCATTTGAAACCCCAAAGTCCACCCCCAGTGACACACTTCCTCCAACAAGACCACACCTACCCCAACCAGGCCACACCTACCCCAACAAGACCACACCTACCCCAACAAGACCACACCTACCCCAACAAGGCCACACCTACCCCAACAAGGCCACACCCACCCCAACAAGGCCACACCTCCTAGTGCCACGCCCGCCAAGCATTCACATATAAGAGCCTATGGTGGCCAGTCTTGTTCAAACCTCTGCAACAACTCTCCCTTCCCCTAGGCCGCAGTGTTCAGATTACGAAGCCACTGGAGGATGTGGAGGTGATGGAGAAAGAGGGTGCCACCTTCTCCTGTGAGGTGTCCCATGATGAGGTTCCTGGACTATGGTTCCGAGAATCCAGCAAGCTACGGCCCAGTGACAATGTGCGCATCCGGCAAGAAGGTCAGAGGCTTCAGAGCAGCAGGGTGGGTTTCCCAGGCTGCACTTCTCTCTCAGTAATACGGAGTGTCCTTTGTCTCCAGGGAGGACGTACACTCTTATCTTCCGGAGGGTACTGGCCGAAGATGCAGGGGAGATCAAATTTGTAGCTGAAAATGCAGAATCGAGAGCCCACCTCCGAGTCAAAGGTGAGGAGGGCTCAGGGGAGGACAGGGACTGAACATGGCAAGCTGGGCCTCACAGACAGCTGGCCTCCCACAGGCCTGGGGTGCCTTAGGACCCCTTCCAGACAAGGCAGCAGTAACTCATGGAGAGGGGAGAGTATGGTCTCAGTGGTAAGAGGAGGTGCAAAGACACCAAGCTTCACTTTAATGGTGGTCAGTTGTACCCAGCAGATTCTGGGGTAGCCCTGGGTGGGACGCTTGACTTGGCCACCTGTTGGCCCGGGTGGAAGGCGTGGGCAGCTGGTTTGGAGCAGAAGTCAGTTTCTTGGCTCCTAGGAGGTTGCCAGGGCAAAAACATCCATCCATGTCACCATCCTGACCCAACTTGACTGTGCCCACAGAGCTACCTGTGACCCTCCTGCGCCCATTGAGGGACAAGATTGCCATGGAAAAACACCGTGGTGTGCTTGAGTGCCAAGTGTCCCGGGCCAGTGCCCAGGTGCGATGGTTTAAGGGCAGAGTCGAGCTGCAGTCTGGGTCCAAGTATGAGTTGGTCAGCGACGGCCTTTACCGTAAGCTGGTCATCAATGACGTGCAGCCTGAGGACGAAGATACCTATACCTGTGATGCCGGTGATGTCAAGACCAGTGCCCAGTTCTTCGTGGAAGGTATGGGATGAAGGGGTGGACGGTCCTCCTGGGTTTTGGGGGAGAGGATTTGTGGTTTCTGTGGCTTTCCCTGGGGATTCTGGAGGCTGCCATACCATCTCAGACAGATAGGGAAGTATGCTTAGCCACGTGGGTAGAGAGAGATAAGAAGGGACAGACAGCTTGTAGGATGGGGAGCCTGGTCCCTGTGGCTGAGTTTCACTGGTGACCAGCTCCTCATCCACAGAGCAATCCATCACCATTGTGCGAGGCCTGCAGGACGTGACCGTTATGGAGCCTGCCCCAGCTTGGTTTGAATGTGAGACCTCCATCCCTTCTGTGAGGCCACCCAAGTGGCTCCTTGGTAAGACTGTCCTCCAGGCGGGGGGCAACGTGGGCCTGGAGCAAGACGGCACGGTGCACCGGCTGACACTGCACAAGACCTGCTCCACCATGACCGGGCCTGTGCACTTCACCATCGGCAAGTCCCGCTCCTCGGCCCAGCTGGTTGTCTCAGGTTAGCATACTGTCTGGGGCACACTACTCAGTGGTTTGACAGCTTGTGGAGCAGAACACGGGTCCTGGGCGGCACATGGGTGGGGTTACTAGGAGCTGACTTTGGGAATCGGGATATGGTCAGAGGCCTAAAAAGTGGGATATAGGCACTCAGGTACAGCAGGGCTTTGGGTCAGGGCAGAGGTGTGTGGGCAGTGAGGAACTTGTGCCGCACACTCCCAAGGGAGGTGACCAGGCACATTGTAGGGGCTGTGCTTGCAAACAGGTTAGCACCTAGGCTAGGCAGGGTGGTCTGGGTGCTTGCGGCTCCCAGCCCTGCCTTTATGCTGTTCTCTCCAGACATTCCCATGGTATTGGCACGGCCACTGGAACCCAAAGCAGGGCGTGAGCTGCAGTCGGTAGTCCTGTCTTGTGACTTCAGGCCGGCCCCCAAGGCTGTGCAGTGGTACAAGGGGGACACGCCTCTGGCCCCGTCAGAAAAGTTCAAGATGGTGCTGGAGGGCCAGATGGCAGAGCTGCGTATACTCCGGCTCACTCCAGAGGATGCTGGGCTCTATCGGTGCCAGGCGGGTAATGCCCAGAGCAGTGCCGAGGTTACTGTGGAAGGTAGAGAGCTGGAAAGGAGGGGAGGGTGGTGGACCCCACGCCAGGGCTGAGGGTGGCTGAGAGCACAGTGCTGAGGTGATGGTGGGTGCCTTGTAGCTCGGGAGGTGAAGGTGACTCAGCCTCTGAAGGATGTTGAAGCCACGGAGGAAGGCCGGGCCTGCTTCTCGTGTGAGCTGTCCCATAAGGATGAGGACATCGAATGGTCACTCAATGGGATTCCCCTGTACAACGACAGCTTCCACGAGATCAGCCACGAGGGCTGTCTCCACACACTGGTGCTAAAGAGTGTCCGTCAGGCCGACGCAGGCACTGTGCGTGCCACCTCCCCCAAGGTGTCAGTTTCTGCCCGGCTAGTGGTCAGAGGTGAGGAGTCCTGTGGAGTCTGTGGGGTGTTTCCGCCCCCCCCGGCGGGCACAGGCTCCCCTCACCGGCCATGTCGTTCCTTTAGCAAAGCCGGTGGTGTTCCTGAAAGCACTGGATGACTTATCTGTAGAAGAGCGTGGCACGCTGGCCCTGCACTGCGAGGTCTCAGACCCTGAGGCACGTGTGGTCTGGCGCAAAGATGGCGTGGAGCTGGGTCCCAGTGACAAGTATGACTTCCTACACAAGGCAGGCTCTCGGGGCCTTACAGTGCATGACCTGAGCCATGAGGATGCTGGACTGTACACTTGCCACGTGGGCAGTGTGGAGACCCAGTCCAGGGTCAGTGTGCATGGTGAGTGGCTGGGACTCTAATGCAGGATGGCTATCTTAGGGTTTCTGTTACTGTGGAGAGATGCCACGACCACGGCAACTCTTATAAAAGCAAACATTTAATTGGGACTGGCTTGCAGTTTCAGGGGTTTAGTCCATTATCTTCATGGTGGGACATGGTGGTGTGTAGGCAGACCTGGTTCTGGAGAGGTTGCTGAGAGTTCTTCATCTTGATCCACAGGTAGTAGAAGCAGCTGTGTACTGGGCATAGCTTGAGCATATATATGAGATCTCAAAGCCCGCCCCCACAGTGACACACTTCCTCCAACAAGACCACACCTCCCAATAGTGCCACCCCCTATGGGGACCATTTTCTTTCAGACCACCACAGGGTGCTAAGCCTTCTTCCATCCGGAATCTCCAGGCTGCTCTTCAAGCCCCTAAGGCTGTTCTGTGTATCCAGGAGGCAACAAAGATGTTGTCTATAGCACATAGGGATTAATGTAGTCCTTTGAAGTCCAGGGGCAGGCAGATGGGCTAAGGAACAATTGTCTACGGAGTCTCACAGGGGGCTAGTGTGGATCCATTCAGGTCTCTGGAATTTGCTCTGTACCATGTGCTGGGATTGGGAGAAAATCAGCCAGGCATGTGTGAGACACTAAGAGGTGTGACCAGGAGACAAACTGTAAAGGGCTCCCAGGCCAAGGGTGGATGTCCTGTCCTGCGGGTAATCAGGCCTCCAGGCCATCTATGTTCCTGTTTTTTACAAAGCCCCAGCAAGTCCATAGGTTCATAGGTGCTGCCCCACTCAGCCCCGTTATTTCAAAGACGTAGGTCCCTTTGAGCATACCTCTCTCAGCCTGGCCCCACCTGGCTCTGGCTCGGGTCCGGCATCCTGGCTTGGAGGAAACAGGTTGGCAGCCTGTTCATTCATGATCTCTCTGGGGCTCCGGGATGGCCTTATGGGAAGGCAGCACAGTGAGGTTTTCATAGGACAAGACTTGTTCTTTCTGGAAGGGGTCATTTACGGGGTCCCTGTCCCTCCTCTCCTGGCATTACAAGATCGTTAGAAGCGTGGAGGAGCCTCCTTCTCTCAACCACCTTGATTGACAGTTCAGAGGTGTCAATCACACAAACACTCGGCCATGCCAGCTTGAAGCTAGGATTTTGGTGCCAGTTTTGAGATGACACACTTTGTTGTCAGGTGTGGAGCTAGGAACAGTGGGAAACCAGGCATGGGGTTCTACTGTTCCCCGAGGTTGACATCTGTGGGCTGACCTGTTTCTTATATCACACAGATCTGCACGTGGGCATCACCAAGAGGCTAAAGACAGTGGAGGTGCTGGAGGGGGAGAGCTGCAGCTTTGAGTGTGTCCTGTCCCACGAGAGTGAGAGTGACCCAGCAGTGTGGACCTTCGGCGGGAAGACAGTGGGTAGTTCTGGCCGCTTTTGGACCACTCGCCAGGGCCGCAAATACACTCTGATGGTCAAAGATGCTGCGCTCAGTGATGCAGGGGAGGTGGTCTTCTCGGTGATGAGCCTCACGTCCAAGGCCTCGCTCATCGTCAGAGGTGGGTGCTGTGGCTGGGGCCAGGGGCCTGATACCGTGGGCTGGGGCACTGTTGGGATGCTTCTAGGGACTGTCTACCTGTCATGGTGGGGACCCAATATAGTGCTAGGGGAGTCATAGCCCTGCCTGAACATCTTTGAATTTCTAGAGTGAGCTGAGAATTCTAGTCTCTCACCCATGGGCTGGCTGCCCTCAGTGCATGTAGCTTACTCAGCCAGTCTGACCCTTAAATTGAGGCCAGGGAGGCAGGGAAGAAGCCTCTGGTGTCTTGGAGCTGGTGTTCATGGCTGGATCTACACAGGGACCAGCCAAACTGTGGCCATACCCTTATATGAGCCTTAAAGAGCTTCCGGTATAGCCCACGCTTTCTAGGTCACACTGTCACAGTGGGAGCTTTGGGGGCTCCCAGAACTTCTAAGTCTTGAGCCTCTAGCGGTCTAAGGTCCCAGGAGTCAAGGACTGTAGGTTTTGTGATTTTGATCTCTCGAGAGTGCATGTTCCCAAGTGTCTGCCTGTTCGTATCCTGGCCCTGGCTGAGGCCGTTTCTAAGAGGTTATTGCAGTTGTGATGTGCCTTAGGTCATGGCTGATTCTGTGGCCAAGGGTGTGCCTCATGGGAACCAGCTCTACTTATTTCAGAAAGGCCAGTGGAGATTACAAAGCCCTTGGAGGACCAGCGGACAACGCTTGGAGAACACGCTACACTGAGCTGTGAGCTGTCCAGGGCGGGCACCTCTGTGCGCTGGCTGAAGGACGGAAAGGCCATCAGAAAGAGCCAGAAGTACGACCTGCTCAGCGAAGGCACGCGGGCTGTGCTGGTCGTCCGCGAGGCCTCACTCAAGGATTCTGGAGAGTACACCTGTGAGACAGAGGCTTCCAAAAGTACCGCCAGGCTCCTTGTGGAAGGTAAGCACGTGACCCTGTCAGCCTCCCCTGTGGCATAGCCTGTGGCCGCCCCCGGGACCTCAGTGGAGGTACCCCCTCATGTCAGCCTGTGTGCTCAGGTTGTGGGGGGACATAGCCCCTCATCTCTGCCTGTTTTGTCCCTTACCCAGAAAAGGCAAACCGTTTCACGGAGGAGCTGGCTGACCTGCAGGTGGAAGAGAAGGGCACAGCCGTGTTCGCATGCAAGACGGAGCACCCAGCATCTGTCGTGACATGGCGCAAGGGCCTCCTGGAGCTGCGTGCTTCGGGGAAGTATGTCCCCAGCCAGGATGGCTTGACCCTGAAGCTCACCATCAATGCTCTGGAGAGGACAGACAGTGACACCTACACCTGTGACATTGGTCAAGCCCGGACCCAGGCCCGGCTCCTCGTCCATGGTGAGGCAGCCCTAACTTGCATGCTGCTTTTGGTTCCTTCGTGACTGCTCTGGTCTTCTTGATCTGAAGTGGACTCTGGAGGCTCAGAAGTAGTTAGTCATCAGGCCTCTGCTTGTTCTGGACCAGCTGAGCCTCAGTTTCTCCATGTCTAAGGATAGAGCAGGTTGCCTGGGCATCTCAGTCTTTCCTAGTGTGACCTTCTGTGAAGGAGCTAACGAACTGCCTTCATTTATACAGTAGGCACTTTCTGTGTGTTCTTACAGCATCCAGGCCTGTGCTGAGTTCCAGGGTATGTCTTCTGTGTGTGCTTACACACTTGGCGTGTCAGTTATTGTAGAGGGACAGCTTACCATGCTTGTTGAGAACTAAGGAGCCTCTTGTGTTCTCAGAGGAGAACTGACCAATATTGATAGTATCGGTTTAGAAAGGCTAGAGACAATGTTATTAAAGAACAGTTGCCCTGCTGGGAAGGTGTGGCATCAAAATGAAAGCCCAGGGTGCATTCCAGAGCAAGGAGCCATAGACAGGTGGGCATGAGCTGCTTGGATACAGAGCTCAGGGTTCCTGCAGACACGGGGCAGGAGCTGGTGTCTGTGGTTGGTGGGGGTGTCCCTGCTGGGCAGTTGTCTGTCCAGGTCACCTGTTCGGAGTTGCTGCAGAGCTCAAGAAGGTCAAAGGCAAACTCTGATACGGTCTGTGTGTATGAAGCATGGGGTGCATGTGGAACAAGAGGGGATCTCTCGGGGCCTTGAGAAAGTGTTGTGGATGCCAGGCAGGGTTTTCCCGGGGTTGACAAGAATGCTCTCTGCAGAACTTACAGTACAGTTTGTTGCTGTTTGTTTGCTCTTTGCTTCCTCGGTTTGTTCTCACTTATGAAGCGCCATTTCCCCTCCATTGTGTAGCGTGAGAGCGATTGTCCTCTCTGGTGTGTAGAGAAAGGAAGTGGTGACTAGCCTGGTTAGTAGGGTTGTGCCATGGTGTCAGAACAGAGATGACCCTGGCCCTCCTGGCCACAGCCCTCCCTCACCTGGCTCTGTGATCCTAGCATGGAGTCCAGGTTGACATTTAGGGACACTCGTCCTGAAGTCTGCCTTCAGGAAATAGTGTTTCTCGTGTGGTGAGAACCCTCTCCATTGATGATTAGAAGTAACAATTTTTACCCTCTATATTTGCGGGTTCTGCATCTTCAGATCTAGCCTCCTGTTAATAAAATAAAAAAGGAATTCTGTGGCTAGGGAGATGTCCCAGTTGTTAAGGCACTTGCTGTGCAAGCTCTTGAACTTGAGTTTGGATTCCCCAGAGCCCATGGAAACACAGGTGCTTGGGAAGGTGGAGAAGGTAGATCTCAGAGCAATCTAGGTGTCAAGCCTAGCCATATAAGTGAGCTCTGGATTGACTGAGAGACAGACCCTGCCTCATTGAATTAGATGGAAGAGCTAGTCGGAAGTTTCCTGAAATCAGCCTGGAGCCTCTACATGTGTGTGCACATGCATACATATGTGCTTCCATACATGCAAACATGCATGCACACTGCACACACAACTGGAAAAAACATGGCTGTGATGAACACAGATTTTTTTGCTTGTCACTGCTCCCTAAACAGTACAATGTAATACTGCACTGGTACTTCCACTGCATTGTCTATTAAAAACCAGCTATTAAAAGTGTATCAGCAGATGTATGCAGAGCGCAAGTATTTCATCATTCTTTAAATGTGAGACTTGTGTGCCCTCAGATTTTGATATCTGTGGGGAATTCCAAAACAACTCTCCATCAAGACTATGGGAGGTAGAAGTAGGAGGAGCAGAAGTTCAAGATCATAGCAAGTTCAGGGCTAGCCTGGGGTCCATGAGACCCTGCCTCAAAAAAGAAAATCAGTAAAATGTAGACCTTAAATATAAACCATACAGATGCCTGTGGGTAGAGTAGAGCGATCATTCTCCGGGTGACAGCCTACTGATCAGAGAAGGGCCCTTTCTCTCAGTGCCATCCAGTATTGGGGTTTTTCGAGAGGAGCCCTACTTTCCAAGGTATTTGTGGGTGCAATTGTGTGTATGCAGGATCCATGTCTATCTACCCCTATTCTTCTCCTTCTCCTCTGTCTTCTTTGAGACAGGGTTTCTCTGTGTAGCCCTGCGTGTCCTGTAACTCTCTCTGTAGACCAGGCTGGCTTTGAACTCACAGAGAACTTTGAACTTCACCTGCCTCTGCCTCCCAAGTGCTAGGATTAAAGGTGTGAGCCACCACCAGCAGCAATGCTACCCTTTTTAATTTAACAATGGAATATTTCTAGGAGTGTATATATTTTCTCCCGTGTGTGTCCAGATCTGAGTGTGTTCATGTGTGTGTAGGTACCAGGTGGTGGTGAGCCATCTGATGTAGAATCTTGGAATTCTACTGGAAGAGGCTGTGAGACACAGGGTGATCATTGGGTGTGTGTTGGCAGACTGTAGGGATCTAATCAGGCTACCGGGCATTTCTGTGCTTGAGTAGTTATTATTTCTGCATGTCGTGAGACTTTAAGCTTTTCCTCGAGGTCTTTAAAATGTAGGTGAAGTAAGCCAGGCACAGGGAGTCAAATACCACAAATTCTTTATGCTTGTGGATCCTGAAACCCCCATCTCGTGGAACCAGAGAGGAGAATGGACGGGACCAGGCGGAGAGAGAGTAGGAAGGCTGGAGTCGGTTGATTCTTTGCAGCAGAGTGGGGGTTGGGGAACTACCGCCTTTTCTCACCCACCGTTCATCTGTCGATATGAGATTGCCTGCGGTATGACTTGTGCCGTGCTGTGGTGAGCACTGCTGGTGTAAGCGGTTTGGGGAGCGGGTGGCCTATTTGTTGGCAAGCCCCGTTCCCTATGAAGGGCGGGAGAGATGACATGAGCTCCAGCTGGCTGTGGGCCCTCCACCATCTTAGCAAGAGGGCTTCAGAGGGGGATATAGGTTTGGGGTTCAGAGGGTGACATACAAAGGACTCCTTGGCTCAGATCTGCTTTCCAGTTTCATTGAGGTTAAAGTAAAGTAGATCACTTGCTTATGGCCTCACCCAGGGTCTTGGGCGAAGCTGTTTCTTTTGGCACTTAGCCAAGCCTGGCGCTAGGCTGCAGGAGCTCTGAGATGACCGTTGCCTGGCAGGTCAGAAAGTGCGCATTACTGAGGACCTGGAGGACGCTGCCGTCCAGGAGGGCTCCTTCGCCAAGTTCTGCTGCCGCATCTCCCCTGCCGACTACAGCCCCGTGCACTGGTTCCTGGATAAGACCCCCTTGCACAGCAACGAACTGAACGAGATCACTGTCCAGCCTGGAGGCTACCACGTGCTCACCCTACGGCAGCTGGCGCTCAAGGACTCAGGCACTGTCTACTTCGAGGCGGGTGACCAGCGGACCTCAGCTGCCCTGCGGGTGACTGGTGGGTTTTGTGTCTAAGGGCCATCCATGATGGGGACACTACATGGCCTAGAGAAGCCTTGAAGAGGGGCAGGTGACAGCTCTTCCCAAGCTCTGCCTGGTGCCCAGTGTGGTCCCGGGGCTATTGGAGAGGCAAGATTAGCTGTCAATGGGAAGGGGGTCTCTCATCCCAGGGAGGTAGTGAATGACATGGGGGGGCATCTCCCATCTCCTAGGACTTGGTTCAGAAGACTGAGTTGGGTCCTTTCAGAATTAATTTCTTAATTCAGTATTTGTGGATGATGTGATGTGTGCTGTCTTCCTCCAGGATGGGAGCTACACAGAGCCTGCATTTCTGTCTGGCTCCTGCTTTAGGGCAACAGACAGATATGGGTCCAGGCCTTGTATGATCTACTACGCTAGTCCTCTCATAGAGGAACCACAGTCCTAAGCATCTTTGTCCTTTCTCTATCCCCCAGAGAATCCGAGCGTCTTCTCTAAGCCACTCACAGATGTCACAGTCACAGAAGGCGAGGACCTGACTCTTGTTTGTGAAACCACCTCTCTGGAAAGCTCTGTGCACTGGACCAAAGATGGGAGGACACTGAAGCCATCTGCACTATGCCAACTGAGCTATGAAGGCCGTCGGGCCCAGCTGGTCATCACTGGCACCGCCATACAAGATGGTGGGCGATACAAGTGTGAGGTTGCTGGAGCCACCAGCAGCTCCATTGTCAGGATTCATGGTGAGTGTCAGGTGTCCATGTTTGGAATAAGAATAGAAATATGTCCACAGGAGACAGGGGGTCCCCGGAGCAGATTCTGGTTCCTTTCCTTTGCCTCTGCCTGCTATGTGGGGCACTTGACTTCCTTGTGTCTCAGGGTCTCCCACTCTCTCTTGGCCTCCTGACCCCCACTTGGGGCCCATTCTTGACTTGGCTTTGGTGGACCCCTCCGGAGTCCCTCTTCCTGCCCTGTGGCTTGCCTCTGTCTGGGCTGCTCTAGGCTAGCAGTAACAGAAGTCAGCTTGCACAGTAGGAGTCTCTTGTCTACCTGGTGAGTAAGCCGGAAGTAGGAAATCAAGGTTGACTTGCCTTCTGGGGTCTGCCTCCTTGGCTCTCAGATGCCACCTTCTTGTAACTCCAGGTGCTCATTCCTCTCTGCTGGTGCCCTAGTTAAGCACACCAATCTGATGAAATAAGGGTTCATTCCAACAACCTTATTCTGTTTTATCTCTTTGAAGTCCACACTGTCAAACAGTCACATTCTGAGATCCCAACTTAGAGCTTTAACATCTGAATTTTCAGGGGATACATTTCTGACTGTAATAATTGCCTTTAATTTGTTCCATACCTACCTTTCCATTTTTAAAACTTCAGACCCATCTTTCCCAGAGGTCTTTGGAGTCTTGCCACTGGCATCCACTGTCTGAGTTGTTCCACGTCTTAGAGCTGCTTCTGGATCTTGGGTGGGGTTCTCCTCCAGGAGGCTTAACTGAGTCTGCCTGTTCACAGCTCGACCAGTGCACTTCAGGGAGTCCTTGAAGGATGTGGAGGTACCAGAGGGCAGGGCCGCCACACTGCGCTGCGTGCTGTCGTCCGTGGCTGCGCCTGTGGAGTGGCGTCATGGAGAAGACATTCTGAAGTCCAGCAGCAAGTACAGCCTGCGCCAAGACGGTGCTGTGCTGGAGCTGGTCATCCGAGACCTGCAGCCCCAGGACAGTGGGCAGTATTCCTGCTCCTTTGGGGACCAGACAACTTCAGCCACACTCACAGTGAAGCGTAAGTGCGCCTGGCCATCCTGTGCTCAGGCTCCAGTGGAAAACTCACTGCAGTGACTCATGAGGTCTTTTGTGTCTATCTGTACCTTCTGCAGCCACATCTGCCCAGTTCATAGGAAGACTGAGAAACAAGGAGGCCACAGAAGGGACCATGGCCACACTACGGTGTGAGCTGACCAAAGAGGCCCCCGTGGAATGGAGGAAGGGGACAGAGACCCTGAGGAATGGGGACAAGTACAGCCTTAAACAGGATGGGGCTGTGTGTGAACTGCAGATTTGTAACCTGGTTGTGGCAGATGCAGGGGAATACATGTGCGTGTGTGGACAGGAAAGGACTTCAGCCACGCTGGCTGTCAAGGGTAAGGACCACACATGTGGTCGTGTGGGTCAGTGGTTTGCCCAGGAGTTGACCTGGTGCTCCAGCTCCCCCTGTGCTTTTTCCTCATGTTTGTGCACCTTCTGTTCATCCCACCGTGAATCCCACCCTACTCTCTGAGTCTTTATATGAGCTAGGAAATACTAGTATCCGCAGCTGGTTTCCCGCTCTTGAGCCCCGGAGGGTTCTGTCATGTTTCTCTGCTGTGTTCTGTCTTGTTCCCCATCCTGTCCTATGTCATGTTCTATCCCACAACACTCTATCTGATGTTCCCATCTGTCTTACCGTCCTAGCTCTGCCTGCCCACTTCATCGGAAGACTCAGAAGCAAGGAGGCTACAGAAGGGGGCACGACCACTCTACAGTGTGAGCTGAGCAAGGCTGCCCCTGTGGAGTGGAGGAAGGGAATGTAGACCCTGAGAGATGGGGACAGATACAGCCTGAAGCAGGATGGGGCTGTGTGTGAGCTGCAGATCCGCAGCCTGGCTGTGGAAGATTCTGGGGAGTACTTGTGCATATGTGGGCAGGAGAAGACTTCAGCCACACTGACCATCAGGGGTAAAGACCGTGTGTGTTCCTGTTTGCAGGTGCCCTGTGCATGGTTGGCTGTATGCCTGAGCGTCTTCTCCTACCCACCTCCCCTGATCTTCTGTGTCTCATCTTTATCCTGTTAGCTGGTATTTCTCATGCTTGTTGTATAGGACCTACTTTAGATGCCAGAAAACAATGGAGAATCAGGTCTTTCCCAACTCCAGGAGCGTCCTGGTTGGGATGAGTGTGTGTGTGTGTGTGTGTGTGTGTGTGTGTGTGTGTAAACAATTACAAAGGTGCAGTTATAGGTCCTGGGGGCACACCGGGAGCAGGGGGAGGCAGGAAATGGAGGAATGGCCCACCCGGCAGGAATACAGGAAGGACAGCTTTGACGTTGCCTGAATGGGAAGGTGTAGATTCACCATGCGTCAGGCAAGGTTGAGTGCCCACTCCCTAGGAGTCAGATAAAGGTGGGGTCCCACCTTTTAGGAGTCAGGGTGGAGGTAAGAGTCCAACATGCACAAGTCAGATGAAGATGAAGGCATACCCTATGGGTATCGGGCAGAGGTAGGCACCTGACCCATGGGGAGTCAGGTGGAGGCAAGGGCTTGCCCCGTGGTGGTGAGGAGAGGTGAAGACAAGTCTGTGGGGGTGAGCTTGACACTGCTCTCCCTGGGCTTTTCCTGGTCAGTTCCAGGTCTTCCCACTGGAGAAGGGCTTGATGATCCTGCCTCTGGCCACTCTGTGTTCTGTGTTGTACGTGTTGTCTGTGGCCACTTTTGTCCATAGCTACAGAGTTTAATTATCTTCTTTGTTACACCCACCCCCCTCAGCTGTGTATCCCCCCCCCCAGTTGTGAACAGTACTTCACAGATAGTTAGAGGCCTGGGGGGAGGGCACTACCGGGAGTAAGGTCACACTGTAGTGTGAACAGAGCAAGGTACCTCCCTGGGCATCAGGATATTAGGGCATCACAGACAGAGGCTCTCACAGTTTGAGGCAGATATGATACATGGAACCCTGGCTGTCATAGATCCTGTATACGCCGGCAGCAACACACCTTCCTAGAGTGACTGGCCTGCTGGACCATGCTCCTTAGGCACAGTTGTGTCCAGGGAACTGGAATTCCTGTCTTGGTGTAACTGGTGACCTAGGAATGAATCAGCTCTCTGTCAGGGGTCCTTGGGGGGGCCGAGCATCCCTGAAGGGAAGCAGATGGAATGCACAGACAATTGTTTGAGGACCTTGGACATCTTGGAGAGTGAAGATTGAATGAAACTCCCACAGGTGTGAAGCCCTGGGCCTGGTGGGCTCTGCTCTCCTGTGAAGAGCTGACTACTGAGGGCGCTGAAGAGGAAGGTATGGTGAGGGCTTGCCATCTTTGTCCAAGCTGTGGCAGGTGGCTCCTGTTATCATCACAAGCATTAGAGACACTTGAATGAAAACCATTTACCATGTAGATGGATCAATGTCAAAACACAGAGACCTGGCGCCGTCACGCATTCAGACATTCCAAGAAATGACAAAAGGACGCACCCGAGGCCTGTCCCATGGCTGGAGTTAGAGAGAGGTCACAGGAAACCCTTCTCCCTATTCCCATCCACAGGACACATGGTTGATGGCTGAGGTGTAGAGGGTCCTGGCAGCCAGCTGCTTTCAGAACTGGGTTTGTCCCAACAAAGACTAGACCTTGATGGATACCTTTCTAGAGAGTGCTTCATCTTCAAAAGCTAGCCCTGGACCACAGCGTCCTGAGGATGCTCCAAGCACGCAGAGCTTGGTGTTCATGAGTTCTCAGTTATGGCCTGGTAGCCAAAGGAAGGCTTCAGCTTTGGCCAACAAGAGCCAGTTCGTCCCTCTTCTCTGTGACCACTTCCCACATGGCAGCCAAGGACTTGTTCCTCTCCTTGTTCACTCGTGGACCTTCAACACTGCTCCCTCACACCAGAGAGTTTGCCTGCATCGTGAAGATGGGGCAGAGCCCTGTGGCCACCTATTCTAGGCTGACAGCGCCAGGAAGAGACCCAGCCAAGCTGTTCCTTCTTCCCAGTTTGTTCTGAGAAGTGGGGTTTGCTATGATGGGGGGCTGGGCCAGGCACCCTGTGAGCTCTCCCGGCATCATCAGAACTAGAGCACAAGAACTACTTGGAGTCGTTCACAACCATGACACGCTGTGACCTAGCAGTAAAGCCATTCAGCATGGAGTTTGTGTGTGGATCATGGTGGGCACAGAAGCCATGGGGCCAGGAATATTGTAAATGCTTCTGCTGTCCAGTTCCTGGGTGCTCTCTCTAGACCTCCTTATCTTGAGGTGCTCTGTTACTTTGATGCTTCACCAGGGTCAGGATGACCGTTCTCTCTGCTGCCCCTTCTGTGCTGTTCCCCACGTGTGTCTGCTTGTTTATACCTTACAATCTCCAAGGTGTGTTTTACTGTTGCGTGTTTCATCCCATCTTCACCATTCTGTAAGATCCTGATGATCTTTGTTTTGTCCCCAATCCCACAAGCCAAACTCATACGGTCTGAGGCCTGCGGAAATCACAGAATGGGCTATGGCCACGAGACACAGAGTCTCGACCTAGCAAAGTCCTCTCCTCAGCTCTGCTTGTCATGCCCGGAGTGTGGCCTGTGTGCGGTCGGGCTTCCTGTTTTCCCTGTCCATCCACATCTAGAGTCTTCCATGTTCTCAGAGAGTGTGATTGTGTCTGTGTCTTTCTGACCTCCCTAGCCCTTCCAGCTAAGTTCACAGACGGCCTGAAGAACGAAGAAGCTACAGAAGGAGCCACGGCTACCCTGAGGTGTGAACTGAGCAAGGCAGCTTCTGTGGTATGGAAGAAAGGAACGAAGACCTTGCAAGATGGAGACAGATACAGCCTGAGTCAGGATGGAGCTGTGTGTAGGCTGCAGATCCGCAGCCTGACCATAGCTGATGCCGGGGAGTACTCATGTGTGTGTGCACAGGAGAAGACCTCAGCCATGCTGGCCGTCAGGGGTAAAGATGGGTGGTTTGGATTTATGTTGTCCCTGTCCTGCCTTCTGTCTTCGTGTGTGGCACAGCCCCTGTGTTAGCCACTGTCTCACGCTGATGTCCTTTGAGTATTTTTTTTTTTTTTTGCTCAAGTGGATCTTCCTCCTGCTGCTGTCTCTTCCCAGCTCCCTGCCGTCTTTACCATGGGTTCATGAGCTCAGTCGTTCACGCCATGGCTCTTGAGCAATGTGTGTGGTTATTTTTGGGTTCCATGTTCATGCAGAGACCTTGAGAGAGTTTCATGTTCTCAGTGCTTGCTTGACCCTTTCCAGGCCTGCCTGCCAAGTTTATAGAAGACTTGAAAAGCCAAGAAGCCACAGAAGGGGCAACAGCAACCTTAAGATGTGAGCTGAGCAAGGCTGCCCCTGTGCAGTGGAGGAAGGGGTCTGAGACCCTGAGGGATGGAGACAGATACAGCCTGAGACAGGATGGAACTGTGTGTGAGCTGCAGATCTGTGGCCTGGCCCTGGAGGACGCTGGGGAGTACTCGTGTGTGTGCGGGCAGGAGAAGACCTCTACCACACTGCATATTAGTGGTAAAGATGTGTGGCCGATTGGATCTGTGTCTTGGTGTCTATGGACATGCTGCTCCTCTAGCTCATCCCATATTCTGTCCCTTTGTCTGTGTGTCACCTTTCGTAACTGGATAGAGTCCCAACTTTTTGGGGAACTCTATGAAACAGCGAAAAATCACATATGCAGCTTGTGCCGCCACGAGTTAGGTACTATTTTTGTGGTAGAGTCCATGTCCTGTTGTCATCCGGGCTGAGTCGTGCCTGCTAAGGTTCTGCAGAGAATGTGGCACCCTTGTGTGTTTCTGGCCCTCTCTGACCATCATGCCAGCTCTATGGAAAGGACCACCGTCCTGGCATTAAGAGGACACGCCATGGAACATAAAATTCATGGCCTGTTCTCAGCACAGCAGCACACGGCCCACCCTCAGAGGCGTTTGTGCATTCTTGGTGTTGTTCATGTCTCATCCACTTTGTGTGCTCTGAGTGTAATGATTCCCGTGCCTCTGTGACGTTCCTAGCCATGCCCGCCAAGTTCACAGAGTGTCTGAGGAATGAAGAGGCCACAGAAGGGACCATGGCCATACTGAGGTGCCAGATGAGCAAGGCTACTCCAGTGGAATGGAGGAAGGGAGAAAAGACTCTCAAAGATGGAGACAGATTCACCCTAAGGCAGGAAGGGGCCACGTGTGAGCTGCAGATCTGTGGCCTGGCTGTGGAAGATGCTGGGGAGTACTCGTGCGTGTGTGGGCAGGAGAGGACCTCAGCCACACTGAATGTCAAGGGTAAAGGTCATGTGTGGCTCCCTGAACCTGTGACTTGATGTCTCTATGTTATCTCGATGCTATGTCTGTTTTTCATATGTGGCACAGCTCCCGTGGTGACATCTGTCCCATAACTGGGGTCATCTGGGTTCTCTACTTTCCTTTTCCCAAGTCCAGGAAATATTCTCATGTTTGAGCCCACCTCACTGCCCTCTCTACACCTTCCTGTGTTCTTGCTTCCTCCCTGTCTGTTCACTGTTCCTGTCAAATCCTTCCAGAATGTGTGTCTCTTTGTGTATTCCATGTTGTGCACAGCATGTCCTTCAGAGTCTCATGTTCTCAGTCGCTGCTTGCTCCTTCTCAGCCCTGCCTGCCAGATTCATAGAAGACCTGAGAAGCCAAGAGGCCACAGAAGGCACCACAGTGACACTTAGGTGCCGGATGAGCAAGGCTGCCCCTGTGGAGTGGAGGAAGGGGTCTGAGAGCCTGAGAGATGGGGAGAGATACAGCCTGAGGCAGGATGGGGCCACGTGTGAGCTGCAGATCCATGGCCTGGCTGTGGAAGATGCTGGGGAGTACTCGTGCGTGTGTGGGCAGGAGAAGACCTCAGCCACACTGAGTGTCAAGGGTAAAGATCGTGTGTGGCCACCTGAATCCGAGATGTGGTGTCTCCATGTTGTCCCATCGATGCTTCTGTCTCCACACGTGGTTTCCTATGGTGGCCCTGTGATCATCTATTCTGCCCCTCCAGTCGTCTTGGCATCTCCACCTATGATTTCCACATCTGTTCTTGTGTTCACATCCAGGCCACTGCCCTCTCTGTTCCGCACGAGATCACTGCCTCACCATCTGCACCTTCCATCACATGTTCATGCTGTGTTCCTTTGACAGTGTGTCATTCTTTGTGAGTGTGTGTCCTGTGTGTGCAAGGTTCTCCAGCTTCGTGTTCTCAGTAAATGCTTGGTCCTTCCCAGCCCTGCCCACCAGATTCATAGAAGACCTGAGAAGCCAAGAGGCCACAGAAGGCACCACGGTGACTCTCAGGTGCCAGATGAGCAAGGCTGCCCCTGTGGAGTGGAGGAAGGGTTCTGAGATCCTGAGAGATGGGGAGAGATACAGCCTGAGGCAGGCTGGGGCCACGTGTGAGCTGCAGATCCGTGGCCTGGCTATGGAAGATGCTGGGGAGTACTCGTGCTTGTGTGGGCAGGAGAGGACCTCAGCCATGCTGACTGTAGATGGTAATGACTTTGTGTAGCCACCTGATTGGTCTGCCTTCTCCCATCTCTCCTGTGTAAGCTTTGCCCTCCTATGCCTCTCAGTGTCATCATGTCGTGCACAGTCACATGTCTGTGTGATCCATTCTCCCAGACCACGCCAGGTTAGCCTAGTCTAGGACATGAACCCAGGGAAAACTAGTACACAGTTGTAGAGGAGGTACTGGCGCATTCCATCAGTGTCCAATGGGAGATCTGTTAGAGCTACTTGCATCTTGCTAAGGCCTGCTGAGACTTTGGGTTCTTTGATTCCAGGCCTGGGGTTGACAGATGTCTGTCCCTTGATGGACGTGCAGAGCAGTGTGTGGTCCTGGCTGGATGTAGCCAGGCAAACACTGCTGAAGTGTAACTGTTGCTTTGAGATAGCGCCAGGCTCTGAAGGGCTTCTGCCTGAGTCTGCTCATAATTCTGGAGGCTGGAATTCTTTTGTTGAGATATCAGCAGTATTGTTGTTTCCCCTGAAGATGTCTCTTCTCTCCGACTCTTCACATGGTCATTCCCTGTGGCTCTGACCTAATAGATGCACACGAGCCACTTTGGACTTGAGTCTAGCCTGACCTCATTTTGACTCATTATTTACTTAAATGTTCTTGGGAGTGGAGTGACTCCCCGGGGCACTGGGGAAATTGCAGCTTCAATGTGTGTGTGTGTGTGTGAGGAGGCGGCCCAATTTAGCTCATGTGTGAGTCACTTGTCTATTGCTGTGATAAAAATGCCATGGCCAAAGCAGCATAAGGAGTTTATTTGGACTTCCAGGTCGAGAGAGATAAGAGTCCATTATGGGAGAGAGCCGTGGCAACAGGCAGTAGGCGTGGCAGCAGGAGCAGGAGTCTGGGGCTCAAATCTTGACCGCAAGCATAAAGTGAAAAGAGTGAACTAGAAATTTTATGACTCTCAAAATTTCTCAAGGTGACAAACTCCAGCAAGACCACACCTTTTAAATCTACCCAGACATTGTCACCAGCTGGGAACCAAGTATTCAAATGTCTGAGACGAGAGGGACCATGTCATTCAAACCATAGCCTGTAACTTTCTACCTTCTGGCCTCCGCAAATCCGTTGTTCTTTTTGCATGTGGCAATGCATTCCTCCGGTTCCTACAGCCTGAGGTCTGTCTCTTCTAAGTGTGATGTTTTAGGTTTCATTCACACAGAGGCACATTTGCCTCTTTCTTATGAAGCTACAGACCCAGGTAGAACCATGATACTAGAACAATGGTTCTCAACTTTGCGGTCAAAAACCCCTTTCACAGAGGTCACATATCAGATAAGCTATAGATCAGATGTTTACATTGTGATTCCTAACAGTAGCAAAGTTACAGTTGTGAATAGAAGTGAGAACAGTTTTATGGTGGGGGTCACCACAACATGAGGAACTGGATTAAAAGGTCGCAGCATTGGGAGGCTGGGACAATGACAGGTCATGTAGCAGATGTCCTTACCCAAGGAGGAGGAGATGGGATATGGATTCCACCTATCTGAAACAGCAGGGCAACTCTACTGGATTTCAAGGCAGGAGAATTATCCCTGGCTCAAGTCCCTGTCTTCTAGACCAGCCCTCGTAGTCCCGAGAGGAGATGACCTAGGGCCAAGGAGGAGAGTGCCTTCTCCCCAGGCCTGTGATCATGGGGCTCCTGGTGGCAGTGGCACCGCTGTTGATCTTGATCCACACTTCTGTGTCACTCTCTTTAAAACTCATTTTCTATGCAGCCCTGGGTAGCCTGAGTGGTTAGCCTAGAGCAGTCTGGCCTGGAGCTTGTGGGACATCGCCTGCTTCAGCTTCTCAAGTGCTGAGGTTACAGGCATGAGCCAGCCACCCAGCCATGGTCATCTACCTGAAGGGTCACGTGTAGCAGATGGATGATGGCTCTGTAGTCTCATCAGGTGTGATCGCCTTCTTCCTTCCCTCAGGTCCCCATCCTTCTCTAGTCTAAGTGATATTTCAACTGGCTTGACATTCTCCGTGTCCTTACTTTCCTGTGAATTCCCAAAGGGTCTTCCACAGCTGTGCTCTCTGTCTGTGACATCTGCAGAGATGACACGGTTAACTACGTCCTGAGGTTCTCTTCCGAACATACATCCTCATTATTTTTTGGCAGCATGGGCAGGCTGTAAATTCTCGGAATCTTCCATTCCTTTACCATTTTACTTTTTAGTTCTTCAGTTTACCTCTGTATTCTCTCACTCTTACTGTAAGCAGAAAGAAGAATCCAGACCGTGCCTTGAACACTTTCCCAATAAACCCCCTATGATAAATGTCCAATTTCAAATTTACAAATTCTGCATCCCACAAGGCACTAGAAGAGAATTGGGCCAAGCTCACTGAGGCCGAAGAAGGGTCACCTTCCTTCTTTCTGGTTTTATTACCCCATTTCTTTCTGATGCCTGACTAGATGTGGAATTAATATCCATATTTCCCTTAACAGACCATTCCCAGCAATCTTGGTTTTCTTTGATATATACATCAAAAGCTACCCAGCCTCTAGTTATCAACTGCTACCAGACAGCTCCAGATTCTTAGGTATTTGTTACAATAGTATCCTCAAATATGTGTTGTTTGGGTGACCATCATGAAGAACAGTAGATCAGGACTCTTAGAAGTTAGTTTCCTTCCAGTTCAGAAGGCTGGAGGCCTGTGAGCAGATGGCCAGCAGAGTTGGCCCTTCCAAGGCCTCTCACTGGCTCCCAGGCAGCTGTTTTCCCAATCATCATCTTTATTTATTTATTTATTTAGTTAGTTAGTTAGTTAGTTAGTATACAAAATTCTGTCTGTGTGTATGCCTAAAGGCCAGAAGAGGGCACCAGACCCCATTACAGATGGTTGTGAGCTACCATGTGGTTGCTGGGAATTGAACTCAGGACCTTTGGAAGAGCAGGCAATGCTCTTAACCTCTGAGCCATCTCTCCAGCCCATGATCATCTTGTTTGTATCCAGACGTCTTATAAGGACATTATTCCTACTGGATTAAATACTTGTCTGCATGACTTCATTTAGTATTTTTCTCCTCTCAAGGGCCAAATACACTTATTCTCTGAAGCTGTTATCAATTAGACATTTAATATACATTTGGAGGGGCACAGTCAATTACAATATAACTAGGGTGAGCTCTGACCAGTCAGTGGGGAGGACAGCGGGACAGAACCAAGGGTCAAAGGCCCGCCTAGGAGTTCCCAGGTGCAGTCTATCAGGGACCAGAAGACACGAGCCAGGGAGGTGGCACCAATGGGTGGAGTGTGGTTCTAGTGTTTCAGGACAGGAGCATGAAGTGGAGGAGATAGGGCTTCGTATAAGCTGTCAGGGTGAGTCCAAGCATGGACAGTGCCGGATGGAGGCCCTGGGTGAGTGGGCATCTTATCTATAAGGCTGGAAGGCATCGCAATTGGGAGATGCCTGCCGTGGAGTTCGGTCAGGAAATGTGTTTGAATGCACGGTTGATCTCAGATGCCTGGCGTGTCTCCTAGTGATGTGAGGACTACAGGAAGGCGAGTCTGGAATGGTACCCACCTTCCAGTCCACCTGCATCTCAGTAGGCACAGCACAGGAACCTCAGCTTGCACACTTTGATCTGCTCCTTCCCATGATCTCTAGCCCTTCTGCTTCTGATTCCTTCCTGGATACTCAGAAAGTGACCTTCGAAACTTTCATAGAGTTTGATGGCTTCTGTTCACCTGATCCTTCCTAGCCCTGCCCACACGGTTCATTGAAGAGCTGAAGTCCAAGGAGGTCACAGAAGGGTCCACGGCCACTCTGCAATGTCAGCTCAGCAAAAAGACCTCTGTGGAGTGGAAGAAGGGCACAGAGACCCTCAAAGATGGAGACAGATACAAGCTGCAGCAAACGGGAACCATGTTTGAGCTGCAAATCCATGACCTGACCATGGCAGACGCTGGAGAGTACTCATGCGTGTGTGGTGAGGAAAAGACCACAGCCGTGCTGACCATCAAGGGTAAAGATCTGTGTGGTGGTACCCAAGTCTGCACATCAGCTGCCTGTCACTGCGGGGGATCCATTCCTGCTTCCTGGTTGTGTTACCCAGAAGATAAGAACATCTGCAGCCACTCTCCCACTGCCGTGTGCTGTGTGGGATTTGTGTTGTTGGATCCCGTGTCTCTTGTTCTCATTGTCGTGCCCTGAACCCCAAAGTTCTCTAGGAAATCTGAGGTTCTCCATGCTATTCTATCTTTGACTCTGCATGCCAGGTCCACATGAAATATAGGAGCCAAGGAAGCTGCAGATGGAGCAAGGTGCAACTGTGCACAGTCTAGCCTGAGGAATGCCACACCAAGTTCTCAGCACGCTCACATGTGTCCTTTGGTTGAGTTCTGTGTTTTCTCTGTGTCATCTGTGTCCTGTCTTCCACTCGCTCTGACAGAATGACCGTGCCTGTGTCTTTCTGACCTCCCTAGCCCTACCTACCACGTTCACAGAGGGCCTGAAGAATGAAGAAGCCACAGAAGGGACCGTGGTGACTTTGAGGTGCCAGCTGAGCAGAGGAGCCCCAGTGGAGTGGAGGAAGGGAACAAAGATCCTCAGAGATGGAGACAGATTCAGTCTGAGACAGAACCAGGCTGTGTGTGAGCTGCAGATCTGTGGTGTGGCTATGGAAGATGCTGGGGAGTATTTGTGCCTCTGTGGGCTAGAAAGGACCTCAGCCACACTGAGTGTCAAGGGTAAAGATCATATTTGGTCATCTGAACCTGAGGCGTGATGTCTCAATGTTATCTTGATGCTATGTCTGTTCCCCCATATGTGATACAGCTTCTGTGATGACCTGTGGCTATCTGTCATGAAACTAGGGTCATCTGGACATCTCCATTACTCCATTACTAGTTCTTTTTGTTGAGGAAATATTCTCATGTTTGTGCCCACCCTGCCGCCCTCTCTACACCTCCCTGGGTTCTTGCTTCCTCCCTGTCTGTTCACTGTTCCTGTCAAATCCTTCCAAAATGTGTGTCTCTTTGTGTATTCCATGTTGCACACAGCATGTCCTTTGGAGTTTCATGTTCTCAGTCGCTGCTTGGTCATTTCAGCCCTGCCCGCCAGTTTCATAGACGACCTGAGAAGCCAAGAGGCCACGGAAGGCACCACGGTGACTCTGAGGTGCCAGATGAGCAAGGCCACCCCTGTGGAGTGGAGGAAGGAGTCTGAGAGCCTGAGAGATGGGGACAGATACAGCCTGAGGCAGGATGGGGCCACGTGTGAGCTGCAGATCCGTGGCCTGGCTGTGGAAGATGCTGGGGAGTACTCGTGCGTGTGTGGGCAGGAGAGGACCACAGCCACACTGAGTGTCAAGGGTAAAGATCGTGTGTGGCCACCTGAATCCAAGACGTGGTGTCTCCATGTTGTCCCATCGATGCTTCTGTCTCCACACGTGGTTTCCTATGGTGGCCCTGTGATCATCTATTCTGCCCCTCCAGTCGTCTTGGCATCTCCACCTATGATTTCCACATCTGTTCTTTTGTTCACATCCAGGCCACTGCCCTCTCTGTTCCGCACGAGATCACTGCCTCACCATCTGCACTTTCCATCACATGTTCATGCTGTGTTCCTTTGACTGTGTGTCATTCTTTGTGAGTGTGTGTCCTGTGTGCCGTGTTCTCCAGCTTCGTGTTCTCAGTTAATGCTTGCTCCTTCCCAGCCCTGCCCACCAGATTCATAGAAGACCTGAGAAGCCAAGAGGCCACGGAAGGCACCACGGTGACTCTGAGGTGCCGGATGAGCAAGGCCACCCCTGTGGAGTGGAGGAAGGGGTCTGAGAGCCTGAGAGATGGGGAGAGATACAGCCTGAGGCAGGATGGGGCCACGTGTGAGCTGCAGATCCGTGGCCTGGCTGTGGAAGATGCTGGGGAGTACTCGTGCGTGTGTGGGCAGGAGAGGACCTCAGCCACACTGAGTGTCAAGGGTAAAGGTCATGTGTGGCCCCCTGAACCTGTGACTTGATGTCTCTATGTTATCTCAGTGCTATGTCTGTTTTTCATATGTGGCACAGCTCCCGTGGTGACATCCGTCCCATAACTGGGGTCATCTGGGTTCTCTACCTTCCTTTTCCCAAGTCCAGGAAATATTCTCATGTTCATTTCTACCCTACCGCCATCTCTGTACCTCCCTGATTTTTGATTCCTCCCTGTCTGTTCACTGTTCCTGTCAAATTCCTTGCCAGAATGTGTGTCTCTTTCTGTATTTCACGATGTGCACAGCGTGTCCTTCAGAGTCTCATGTTCTCAGTCGCTGCTTGCTCCTTCCCAGCCCTGCCCGCCAGATTCATAGACGACCTGAGAAGCCAAGAGGCCACAGAAGGCACCACGGTGACTCTGAGATGCCAGATGAGCAAGGCTGCTCCTGTGGAGTGGAGGAAGGGGTCTGGGATCCTGAGAGATGGGGACAGATACAGCCTGAGGCAGGATGGGGCCACGTGTGAGCTGCAGATCCGTGGCCTGGCTGTGGAAGATGCTGGGGAGTACTCGTGCGTGTGTGGGCAGGAGAGGACCTCAGCCACACTGAGTGTCAAGGGTAAAGATCGTGTGTGGCCACCTGAATCCGAGACGTGGTGTCTCCCTGTTGTCTTATTCTGTCTGATGGCACCTATGGCACAGCCTCTGTGGCAACCCCGTGGCCTTCTGTCCTGTAACTGGAGTCGTTCTGCTTGCTGAAGAGATACTTTCATGTTCTCAGGCATCTTACTGCCCTTTCTGTTCCTCCTGGAGTTCTCCTCCTCACCATCTCCACCTCCCTCCACCTGTTCTCTGTGGTGGTTTTTGTTCTTTGTGGGTTGTGTGTCCTGTGTGTGCAAGGTTCTCCAGTTTCATGTTCTCAGTGACTTCTTGGTCCTTCCCAGCCCTGCCAGCCAGATTCATAGAAGGTCTGAGAAACCAAGAGGCCTTGGAAGGTACAACAGCCACACTGCAGTGTGAGCTTAGCAAGAAGGCCCCTGTGGAGTGGAGGAAGGGGTCTGAGAGCCTGAGAGATGGGAACAGATACAGCCTGAGGCAGGAAGGGGCCACGTGTGAGCTGCAGATCCGTGGCCTGGCTGTGGAAGATGCTGGGGAGTACTCGTGCGTGTGTGGGCAGGAGAGGACCTCAGCCACACTGAGCATCACAGGTAAATGAGCTTCCTGTGGCCACGTGATGATTTTGGACTTCTGTTCCTGCTCTCTACCTACCCTGTCCTGCTCTGCCTCTTCCCACGATGTCCTCTTTCATCTTTTCTGTGATGCTGTGTTTGTCTTGTCTGATCTCAGCCACGTCATTTCCATGGTCTTGGTGTCTGTAACTTACCACTTGTGCCCTTACACTGCCAGCTGTCATGTTGGGGCTGAGCATGTTATTCTGTGTCCCCAGATATCCTACTCTTTGCCATCTACATTCAGGTTCTGTGTGTCATGCTTAACTGAATATTCTCTTGGACTGGGGCAAATTGGATGTTCAGAGGTGACATGTGGATCCCCCGGTGGGTCCTGGACCCTGCAGAATGGGGTTGTGTTCCTGGTGTGGCTCTGTGAAGCCCAATGACTAATGTATCTTGAAGTCTCCAGAACGTGGAGGCCAGAGCCCTGCCTGATCTTGAGAGGACTGGCTATTTCCTGGGGTCTGTGGGACACACTGTGTCCTAGTATCAGAGGGACCATTCCAGCAGCCAGGGAAGAGCTAAGCTATGCTCTGAGGTCTGGTCTGAGGCTGTGATCTTGGAGGACAAAGCCCTTTCCTGGGTTCTGGTCTGTGGGGACATGACTAGACTTGATTCTGTTCTGGGTAGTCTGACATTAGTGCTCCCTGGATCCTTTGGATATAGCCCTGTAGGGGACTGGTCTGTCTAAGTCGGGGGCAAGCATCCTGAGTCAGCTCTTGAGTTCTTCCCAATATCCCCACTGGCTCTCTTACTTTGAATCCCACCCATCCCCATGGTCTCATTCAGCATCCATCCCGTGGCTGCCCTAGGACCCTGTCTGGCTGCCTTTGGGTGCTCAGGGGTGCACCTTGAGTTGAGTCTGTTAGCTTCTCATCCTCTCACAGCCCCACAGGTGGTGTTCCAGAAACCACTGCCGAACCTGAAAGTAGAGGAAGGTTCCACGGCCAGCCTGCAGTGTGAGCTGTCAATCCCCAACGCTGCTGTGGTCTGGAGCAAGGGTGGCCTGGAGCTGCAGGCCGATGAGCGCCGAGAGTCACGGCAGCGGGGGTGTGTGGCGGAGCTGCTGCTTAGGGATGTACGCCGTGAGGATGCGGGCGAGTACAGCTGTACCTGTGGTTCTCAGAGCACAGGTGCCACGCTCATGGTCACAGGTAGGTGTCCCAGGCTGGTCAACTCCAGTGTTGGGCTGGAGTTGGCTGTGTGGGTACAGTTTTCATGCTGACTCCCACGGTTGCAGCCGTGTTTCATGGGTCCCAGCCAGGAGAACTCATTCAACTTAGCGGCCCTGAGGTCTGCCTCCCTCACCAGTAGCTGGGTCCCTGAGATTCTCCTGGGCATGTCCTTCATTCTGTCATTATTAGGTGACCCACCATCACATGCTGTCCCTCTTTGGTGGCTTCTCCACTGTCCTGCCAGGTGACTCCAGTCTTTTTGTGTTCTCTGTCACTCTCCATATCTGCCCCATAGTTCTTTCTGTCACCTGCTATAGTTTCACTGCCGTGTCTCTGTGACCGTAGCTGTTCCTGCTCTCTAGCCCTCAGAGTTATTTCTTCAGGCATTCTCCCCTTCCTGGTAGCTTCCTGGGCAGGCACAGCAACCCCACTCACTGCTGTATGCCGGTCCCTAGTTCCTCCTGGCCGTGTCCCGTGGATCCTGACCACAGATCCACCGTGGGTGGTTCCCTGACAGGAACTCCCTTCACGACTCCGGGACCTGCTCTCACGCTGTCCCCCCAACCTTGCAGCTGCTCCTGTGCGGTTCCTCAGGGAGCTGCAGGCCCAGGAGGTGGATGAGGGGACCAGTGCACACCTGCAGTGTGAGCTGAGCCTGGAGGCCGTGAGTGTGGAGTGGCGCAAGGGCTCCCTGCAGCTTTTCCCTTGTGCCAAGTATCAGATGGTGCAAGAGGGCACCGCTGCCACACTGCTGGTCCGTGAGGTGGAGCAGGAGGATGCAGGCGAATACATCTGTGATGCAGGCCACACGCAGAGCGTTGCAAGGCTCTCAGTCCGAGGTGAGCTGCCTGTAGCTGTGCCCAGCCCCCTCCTATTCTTAGGAGCAGGAGATCTTGTTCAGTCAGAGTCAGGGGATGAGACCTGCGATTTTAAGTCTTTTTTTTTTTTTTTTTTTTTTGATGCTCCTCAGCCCCCAAGCCCAAGTTCAAGGCTGGCCTGCAGAACACACAGCAGGAAGCAGGGGGCGTGGCCCGGCTGTGTTGTCGGCTGAGCGAGACTGAGCCGGGAGCTCCAGTGCAGTGGCTCAAGGAGGGTGTGGAGCTGCATGCCAGCCCCAAGTATGAGATGCGGTGCCAGGGGGCTGTGTGCGAGCTGCTGATCCACGAGCTGGAGACTAAGGACACGGGAGAGTATGCCTGCGTGGTGGGTGGCCAGAAAACCCTGGCCTCTCTCAGAGTCAAAGGTGAGTAGCTAGACTCCAGGAGGAGAACTTGAACCCTTCCTGTCATGCCCACCTCTTGGGACTCCCCTGGGTGCACCTTATATTGGTCCCTGTCATTCCTACACTACTTCCAGGTCTGATTCCCTAACTGAAGGGCCAGGGCAGCCAGGACAGACCTCAGTCCCCAAAGGCAGCCCTGACTCCTCTTCCCCAGAAGGCAGAACAACATTGCTGGCCTTTGAGGTGTTCTCTGTGCCTGACTTATTCCTACTGAAGGTTTTGCTTCACGGTGACCTAGCCAGAACAGGGCTGGCAACAGTATTAGGGCCAAACACAGCCCTCACCATTGTATGCACAGTTTCTCTCTTGGCCCATGGGGAAGCAAGGGCCCCAGCTCAGCTTCCATGCCTATGAGACCAGATGACAGGAGAACCCTGGAGTGTCTAGAAAGGCTTTCAAGGATTCTGGCTCAGGCTGATCAAGAGCCTCTCTCTCCTCTGTCCCTCTTCCACAGAGCCTGAGGTGACCATTGTGCGGGGGCTGGTTAACATGGAGGCACAGGCTGATGAGGATGTGGAGTTTACTTGTGAGGTGTCGCAGGCAGGAGCTGCGGATGTGCAGTGGCATCTCCAAGGTCTGCCGCTGCAGAGCAATGAAGTGACAGAGGTGGCGGTTCTTGGAGATGGCCGTACCCACGTGCTCCGACTGAAAGCTGTGACACCGGAGGATGCTGGCACCGTCTCCTTCCACGTGGGCAGCCATTCATCTTCTGCTCAGCTCACAGTCCGAGGTATCTGGCTCCGGGGGACCTGGCCTTCCCTCACGTGGGATGAGACTGTTCAGGCTCAGATCATTTTGGGGGATGATAGATACTCTTTGTGAGGGAGGCAGGAGGTTCTGGTAGTGAGGAGAACCTGTGTGCTGGTAATTCTACAGCTGCATCCGGCTGGTAGGCAGTTTCAGTGGGTTCCCAGAAGCTCAGATTGTCTTGGCGCTTAGAACCTACCCACCAGCCCTCAGGACATTCTGCAGACTGTGCCAGTCCTAACCCTAGGCCACCTCTAGATTCCCCGTGGGTCAGAGCCCAAGCTGTGTTATCTATATAGATAGAGGTAGAAGAAGGGGGTTGGTAGTGTACTCCCATGGGTTCATTCTCAGGAATTGGGGGTGAGGTATCATGGGATTTCTGGGATATGAGAGCTTTGCTATTCAAGGGAGCATTCCAGATGCCAAGGCTGATGTCTATGCTTCCTATGTCTAGTCCCCGAGGTGACCGTTCTGGAGCCCCTGAAAGATGTGCAGCTCAGCGAGGGCCAGGATGCCCACTTCCAGTGCCGGCTGTCCAGGGCCTCGGGCCAGGAGGCCCGCTGGGCTTTGGGAGGGGTTCCCTTGCAGTCCAACGAAATGAATGACATCACTGTAGAGCAGGGCACGCTCCACCTGCTCACTCTGCATAAGGTGGGGTTCTGGGACCTGCCTCTACCTCAGAAGGTTCAGAGTCCATTAGGGAAGATCCTCTTCCAGGGCGGTGGGCTGGGGAGGTGACAAGCCCCTATCATGGGGTCTGGGAAGATGGATCGGCCCCTTTTGATCAGGATGAGGTGCAAGGGCAAGCATCTACCTCCTGCCTCCTCAGGTGACCCTAGAGGATACTGGAACCATCACTCTCCAAGTGGGCTCATGCTCCTCAGAAGCCCAGCTGAAGGTCACAGGTGGGCATCCCTATCCTAAACCAGCCCATGCCCGTGGATGTCTTGTGTTTCCTAGCACTGCAGCTGTTGGAGGGGAATCAGGAGCCCCAGACTTCTAGCTGGGATTTTGCACTGGGGATGTCAATTTTGCAGTGGTATCTCAGACCAGAATTGATTCTGCCTCCTGGACAAGCTAGAGGGTCTGACTAGCATAGGCTTGGGCCTTGAGTGGAGACATGATCAACTCTGTGGTTTAGGTCCTTGCACATGCATGTATGTCTATGTTGATGTACATTTGCTTACTCAGAAGGGTGCAATCAAATACCTATGACACAGGTATGGATTTGGCCATGGTAAACATGTGTTCTGGTAAGGCTTTAGGAATCTTCAGTTTAGAGTAGACCTTGTCTCCAGAATAGGTCCATCCTGTAGAGCTTGGCTTTGAGCAACCTTCTCATGCTGCCTTGTCCTGGTTCTCAATGTGATGCTGTTGGCCCCTCCATCATCTGCCCACTTCCTGACTTATCCTCTATCCATCTGTCATGTACAACACATCCATCCGTTTATGGTCACCACTTGTCACCCACCTAAGCCCATTCTTCATCAACCTTCCATTCATCTGTCATTCATCTTCCACGTCACACTGACCCACTTATCGAGCTACTCATGATTTGTCCATCCGTCTGCCTACTATCCATCTAGCTATCCCTTTACTCATCCTACCATCTGTGCATTTATTATCTCTTACCATCCAACCAGTCAGCCATTCACATACCATCCATCCACCCATCCATCCACCCATCCATCCATCCACCCATCCATCCACCCATCCATCCATCCACCCATCCATCCATCCACCCATCCATCCATCCATCCATCCAGCCCCTATTTGCCACCCAGACATCTGTTCACCATTGGCTAACAACTCTGATCTACCCTTCGTGTCTAGGATTTCAGGATGGGTTATACAGACAGCTTTGCTACGATGGAGCCCTCAGTCTACTGAGGGGAGCTAGATGTGTAGGATAGAGCATGTTCTGGATCCCATGTTCCGGAACTTCAGAGACGGTCAGGCATGATCAATTCTATGGCCCGTGGGGCTGAGAAAGACTGCCAATTGCCAATGTATGACATGAAAGCTGATTGATAAGAATTTCATAGTTGTCATGAGTAGGGGGCAGGGCAGCAAAGGTCTGTGTTTACTAGGGGACAGCATGGACCAGCAGGCTGTGTTTCTGTCCTGCTCTAGGCTAGCTGTTCCCATTCTGAGAGAACTGCTTGTGTACAGCTTTGTGTGGCCTTGGGAGGAATGGTTGTCCAGGTAGCTTTGCTATGGACAGGCTTGGGAGCTGGTGCTGGAGGAGGAGCGTCCATGGGGAATGGTGTGGACAGACTTCTAAAGGAACCCTCTGGGGTGACCCTAGGGGCTGCCCTGTTTTGCTGGGTACTGATGTCTCTACAAATGGTTCCTGACTGACTTCTCAGCCTCATGCTGTGGTGTAGAAGCAAATGCAACAGAGACATCTGGACTTTATCAGTTGCCCCCAGGAAGGCATCTGGTAAATGCTCAGGGAGAAGCATGGGGGGGGGTGCCAGCCTCCTTACCTGGTCCCAGGTAGCAAGTGTGGAAGAGACCACTGGTCTTTTCCTGTCTGTCCCAGGCTGTTGAAAAGTCAGCTATGAGACCATTCCTGCCCTGGAGTGCTTGGGCTCTCCATCTGCTGTGGTTCCCTCAGAAGGTAGATGGGCCGCAGGGAACTAGGTTGGAGTACATCTACATCTATGAGGCTCCTGAACCCTGGGCTTGCCGTGAGGTGGAGGAGCAGTGTACCCAGCCATTAAGGCCATGGGTGGCAGGATCTCTGAGGACATCTAGACAGACTGCCCCTGTCAGCTTCTATACCCCGAGGAGTGGACTGAGCCCCACACTCTTGGACCAACAGGTCCTGGGGTGCATCCTTCTTGCACATATTAGATTAGAGGAGGCACCTGTTGTCAAGAAGAGCCCCAAATGTGGAGTTCATCCATTGCTCCTTCTGAAAAAGATGCCAGATAGGTGCCATTGGCCTCCTGAGGGTGAAGCCAGGGAGTGCTCCGAATGTGTGTGGGATATTCACTGGCTCACATACTTTTCATGTGCTAGTGTGGATGGCCTCTGTGCTTTTCTCTTTGATTAGGTTGTGCTAACTGTCTAGAGTGGGTTTCTGGACCTTTGGTCCAAGCTGTTCTAGTCTGGGTAGTGCCTGATCCCAGAAGATGCCACGTGGCTCATGTCAGTCAATCTCAAGATTGTTCTAGTCAATCCACTTGGGATCCCAGTTGTAGGGAACAGTATTCTTACTGCCAATCCCCTCTACATTCTGCACAACACAGGACACCTGACTAGAACAGTGGGTTCCCCCCATACCAAGCAATCCTCCAACAGACACCAACTGGATGCAGTATAGTTGGTTTCAATTTCTGGTGTTACCCAAGTAAGCACAGATTCATTGGTTATAGACTCAGCCCCAGGAGAGCGCCCCCCTCAACAAAGTCAGTTGCAAACCTAACCTTGCTAACTAAATGGGTGTGAGTGGGGGGCTCACACTGCCTACCTGGGTTTCACCAGTTTGCTTGGACAGCTGAAAGTCATGAAACAGTTGCTGTCACTGGTTGTCACACAGGACACAACCCAGCAACAGACAAAGACTGACATAGCGAGGGGGGAAGTTGACAGGTACCCCTCCCGGTTTCTATGTCATTCTCCACCCCTTTGGTACCCAAGACCTCGAAGTCAATCAGATTTGTTTACATTTATCCCCAGCCTTACTGCTGTCCCGAGTCTGGTGGGTTGGGCTGGACATTTGAACCCTCTTGTCACTTGGTCCTCCTGGTGACCGGGTCCCCCCTTCCTGGAGCTGGCACCTCATTAGCATAGCCCCTGATGTGATCAGAAGGTGTTGGCTATGTGTAAGAGCACTTGTGAAACTCAGAAAGTTCTGTGCTAGGAATCGGGACAAAGACCGATTTGGCCATTGGATCACATTCCCACATCAGTGCCCCCGAGTGTGGCCCCATTCCCACACACCCCAGGGAGCCCCAGCCCAGACTTCCTTCTCGCCCTCTTGCACAGAGGCAGCCCTGTGCCTGGTACGTGGCTTGCAGAATGTGGATGTCTTCGCGGGGGAGGTGGCTACGTTCTCCTGTGAGGTATCTCGTGCAGGTGGGCCCGAGGCCCGCTGGTGGCTGGATGGCACCCTGCTTCAGAACAGCCCTGAGAGTGCCATCACTGTGCAAGAGGGGACTGTTCACTCCCTCATGCTCTCGGGCCTGGGGGTGGCCGACTCGGGCACCATCACCTTCCGCACAGGGCCCCTGGTCTCCACAGCCAAGTTATTGGTCAAAGGTATTGGCCAAAGGGGACCTCCCCACGCTGGCGCTTCTGCCCTTGCTGTCCCCGCATGCTTCCTGCAGGGTCCTGGGTAATTGAACAGTGTCAGGTACTGACCCCAAGGGCCATGGTTGAGATATTTACTCTCTGTCTATCATGGACCCAGGGCTGAGGATGTGCTTCCACTCACCTCCTGAGTGGGAGGGTAAGTCTCTGGGAACTGTTTGGTTTGGAGACCGGCCTCCTGCACATTTGCCGTGTGGGACCTACACACACTGGCCCTTGTTTACTGCCCGACTGGGTAGATATCCCAGCCACAGGCCAGCTTCTTGAAGCAGGGAGGGGTTTCCTGGGCTCCTGATGGAGAAGCCACTGATTCCAGTTTTGGTTTGCTCCTCTGCGCACCTGCTTCTCTTCCTGTGTACACTCTTCTGGGGAAGTGCTGGCTGGATAGGGAGGGCAGCAGGTTGTCAGGGGCTCCAAAGGGCTCCTTTCTAATCGTCCACCCAGTGTCTTTGTCTAAGGCCTCCTGTAAGGCCTCATAGAACCAGATCCAGGATGGACCGTTATTGGTTGTGTAGGATCTCAGCAGGTGGGGATGGTATGGAACCCCAAGGGTGTCAGCAAGCATCCCCACACCCTTGGAGAGTGACAAGATGGTCTGCATCTGCAGACTTGCAGGATCTGGGGTCCAGGTGTGTTTAAGATGGGACCTGGTGTTCACTCTGGGCTAGAGGGTCCCAGCCTAGACTGACATTGTCTTCTGCCTTGGCGTTGTCATCTGCCAGGGTGCAATGAGGCATGTCTGATGTGTAGGGCAGCTATGATGGGTCCCCTTCCTGGCCACATGCCAGGCACCTATTGCTAAGCCATTGCCCACCACAGCTCCATGCTTGCAGCCGCTGAAGCAACTAACATGGACAGCAGAAGGTGGGTGGGCCATGGTGGCACTGTCCCAGGGGCTGATGCTTGTCTGGGATGTTGGCCGACAGATCCCACAGTGGAGGTGGTGAGTGCCATGCAGGACCTGGTGGTGGAGGAGGGTGGCTCTGCTGAGCTCCTCTGCCAGTACTCGCGGCCCGTGCAGGCCACGTGGAAGATGAACGAGCGGGAGGTGTGCGCAGATGGGAACCGTGTCATCATAGAGCAGGACTGGACCGTAGCCAGGCTGACCCTCAGGCCAGCCCTGCCCTGTGACAGCGGCATCTATTCTTGTGAGGCCGCAGGCACTCGAGTTGTGGCACTGCTCCAAGTGCAAGGTGAGGCCACCTGGCAGGCAGGCCTAGCATGATCACTGTAGAGAGGCAGGCAGTGGCCGCTAGCCTTGCAACGCAGGTGACCTATATAGTGAGAACACCCATGTGGGTGCAATGCAGAGATATAATAGCTAGGTTAGGACACAGTCTCGGCTTGTGGCTTCTATGAGAAACAGTGACTAATATAACTGGAAAGAGGGGATAAGGGGGGGTATGGACTTGGGAGGTCTCCAGTTGACACCGATTTGAAGATAGCATCCCAGGCACCAGGACAAGTCTAGCAGGGCTGGGTGGGGGTCTTGAGGAAAGGGTGTAGCCCACACCCTGAGGCTTTAGGCACCATGGTGGGAAAGGGCACAGATCTGTATCTCCAGTGGGCTTGAGTCTGGGCTTGTGAGCTTCTGGTCTGTGAATACCTATGGCGTTTCTCATCTGTGAGACACGGGTTGTGCCCACTGATGTGAAGCCTCTGGAGAGGGTGATGGGGTGGGTGGGGCTGGGAAACCACACCTCCTCCAGTGGACCCTGAGTGCCACCCTTTACAGTCGCTGCTGGGGTCGGTCCTGTTCTCTTTAGCCTGCTATAGTTTTGGAGGGCTCTTGCAAGAGACAGTAGTGAAAAATTATTGGAGGTCCAAAAAAAAAAAAACCCTGAGCCCCGCTTTGTTCGCAGCTAAGAACACAGTGGTGCGTGGCCTGGAGAATGTGGATGCGCTGGAGGGCGGCGAAGCCCTCTTTGAATGCCAGCTGTCCCAGCCCGAGGTGGCCGCCCACACCTGGCTGTTAGATGATGAGCCTGTCCACACCTCGGAAAACACAGAGGTGGTCTACTTTGAGAATGGCCTGCGGCACCTGCTGTTGCTCAAAAACCTGAAGCCACAGGACAGCTGCCGAGTGACTTTCCTGGCGGGGGACGTGGTCACATCTGCATTCCTCACCGTGAGAGGTGCTGAGGGAGGGTGTGGTTGGGTAGATGAGCTGCAGGCAGAGGTGGTAGTGAAGGGGTCGTCTTAGAAGGTGGTATTCTCTGAGATCTCACCATCGAAGCCTGTGCAGGACAGGAAAGATGTTAGATTTGAGTTCCTTCCACGGGGCCGCTATCTCAGTGGAACTCTGTAGGATGGAAGGACTTGGGTCTGGGATGGGGGCCACAGGTGGGAGAGTCATTTCCAGGTTGAGATTCTATTGCTGCTCCTCAGGAGTGGAGACTCCTTTGAGAAAGACGACAGGCTCTACCTGCCTGGGGGAGTCAGGTGTCAGCTCTCCAGACTCTTCTCATAGGCTAGACCTCCTTGGTCTACAGGGACTTAGGGGCACTGGGCTAGGGAGTGGCATAGGAAACAGGAGACACCCTCCTACCAGCCCTCCTTGAAATCTCTGGGGCCCTGGTGGCCACCAGAGCAATGGGACTGGGACTGCAGGTGAGGGCTGTTGTCCTCCCGGATTCCCCAACAGGAGGCATTTTTGGGCCAGGAGAATCAGGTGGATCAGTCTGAGACACCTCCAACTTGAGGAGTAGCCAGAGGCCTTGCATTTCCCTTCCGGGTCACCCCTCCTGCCAATGCTCACCCATCCTGCTCCCCACAGGCTGGCGTTTGGAGGTCCTGGAGCCCCCACAGGATGCATCTGTGAGAGCTGGCATGCAGGCCTCCTTCACGTGCACGCTCAGTGAGGCGGTGCCTGTGGGCGAGGCCACGTGGTACATCAACGGGGCTGCCGTCCAACCCGACGACACCGACTGGACGGTCACCGCAGATGGCAGCCACCATGCCTTGATGCTGAGCAACGCCCAACCCCAACACGCAGGAGAGGTCACATTTGCAGCACGTGATGCCGTGGCCTCTGCACGCCTCTCTGTGTTGGGTGAGTGGGTGGCAGAGGTCCCTCCCCTCCGGTTTGGGTCTGGGGCACACCTGATCCCTCCCCCCGACTTAGTGACCATTCAGAGCTGGCTTCTGTGCAGTTCCATTAGACCCTACGAGCCTGTGGATAGTGGCTGCAGTAGCTCCTGTTGCAGGTCCAGGAACACCCTCTGAGGCTCCTTGAGAGTCTTTTCTAGCCTCTCTCTTTGCCTAGTGTATATCTAACCCCAGCTCTTGGGGGAAGGATTAAGAGAAGTGAGATCCTCCAGTCCCAGTGCCTGCCCTTAGTAGTGGGTGCCAAGATGCACAAACACAACCCCATCGAGGCTTCACCAGCTTCCCTTGCTCCCCAAAGCGGTCTGGACCACTGGGTTCAGGGTCTGACAGGACTCATAAGGGAGTCTACCCCGAAGTATATGCCATGTTTAGTATTGGACCTCAGTGACTTCCGGAAGGACTTCAGGTTCCAGTGTGTGTGCTAACCTGCTCTCTTCCACACAGCGCTCCCTGACCCCCCTGAAGATGCTGAGGTGGTGGGCCGTAGTGGCCATTCTGTGACCCTGTCCTGGGTGGCTCCCATGAGCGATGGTGGCGGTGGTCTGTGTGGTTATCGTGTGGAGATGAAGGAGGCGTCCACAGGCCAGTGGAAGCTGTGCCATGAGCTGGTGCCTGGGCCAGAGTGTGTGGTGGATGGCCTGGTCCCCGGCGAGACCTACCGCTTCCGAGTGGCAGCTGTAGGTCCTGCAGGTGCTGGGGAACCTGTACATTTGCCCCAGATGGTCAAGCTAGGTGAGTTACTGCTCTCAGTCCACAAGAATGCCCAGCTGCATGAGCTGAAGGGAGGGAGCTCTTTTGGGTTGGCCGGTGACCCTGGAATCCATCGTGGCTGATGTGGCTTATCTTCTGTGAACACTCTTTTTTTTTTCTTCAGCAGAGCCAACGGAACCAGCCCCAACCCCAGCCCCAACCTCAGCCCAAGTCCCAGCTCCAACTCCGGCCCCAACCCCAACCTCAGCCCCAACCCCAACCCCAGCCTCAGCCCCAGAGACACGTCAGGCAGTGGTTGGTGAGGACGTGTGTCTGGAGTTGGAAGTTGCGGCTGAGGCTGGTGAGGTCATCTGGCACAAGGGAACAGAGCGCATCCAGCCCAGTGGACACTTTGAGGTCCTCTCTCAGGGACGGCGGCAGATGCTAGTGATCAAGGGGTTTAGGACAGAAGACCAAGGGGAGTACCGCTGTTGTCCCACCCGGGGCCCGCCCTCCTCAGGGACAGCCACTTTTAATGGTGAGTCTGAGCTCTGGGGTTGGATCCTGTGGGAGTGGGGAAGAGTTGATTTGAATTTTCTTCTTGATGTGCTCTGGACACAAGGCTGAATCCTTCCCAAGACTCCATGAGATGTGCAGAGAAACCAAGGCTTGGCCAGGCGAGGCAGGTCTCATGTGATTGAACTGTGCTGTAGGCCAGCCTCCTGTCCCCGAGTAGGACTGGTGGTGGATTTCTCAAGTTCTGGGACTCCTGCCCACAGGAGTTCTGAGACCTCTTCTGAAGCTCCTTGTAGTCTCTTCTCAGTCTGCTCTGCCTTCCAAGGCACTCCCACACTCCGATCCTGTCTGCACCCTGGCCCACCCCTGCTCTTAGCATCATCCTCGAGAGGCTCCCGCTGCACCAGGCACTTTGACCTTCTCCCGCTTCCCTGTGCCTGAGGTCCTACCCACACTGAGTCTCCTGTCCCTTGTCCCATGCTCCCAGACCTTCCATTGGTGCTGAGTCTATCCCTTATCAGCCCTCCTTCCCAGAGCCCCTCTGTGTTATGCATATTCCCTCCACACACTGTCTTCTGAGCCACATGCTGTACTGGGGTCTCCTCTCGCGTGCTGAGTCTGCCCCATAGTGAGCATATCCTCTCTGTGCGGTGCTAATGTCCCTGCGAGCCTGGGCATCTGTACCAGCAGCAGGGCTGAACAGGTGGAAATACATCTAATTTTATTTTGCTGAGTGATTCCCTGTCCTGGTTGAGTGACTGTGTGCCCCTGGCAAGGGGCAGACTGAAGGGGAGCGAAAGTGAGGGTGAGGGTGGGGTGCTGAGCCTTGGAGCATCTCAGAACAGATAAGTTTCCTGGTGCAATCTGGAGAGCAGAGGTCCAGAAGACCACATACAGGCCGTACCCGATCCAGCAGCAAAGGCAGGTGTGAGGCTGCAGCTCTGTCTGACTTCACCCACTGACTGCCCTATTGCCTTCCTCAGTGGTCACGACCTCTGGGGATGAGGTCCCCACACAGCCCAGCCTGCCCCCCGAGGCAGCCCAAGAGGGTGACCTGCATCTGCTTTGGGAGGCCCTTGCCCGGAAGCGCCGCATGAGTCGGGAGCCCACACTGGACTCCATCAGTGAACTGCCCGAGGAGGACGGCCGCGTGCAGCATCCGCGGCAGGAGGCGGAAGAGACGGCCCCTGATCTCTCTGAGGGCTACTCCACAGCTGACGAGCTAGCACGCACAGGAGAGGCTGATCTCTCACACACCAGCTCTGACGATGAGTCCCGGGCTGGCACCCCTTCCCTAGTTACCTACCTCAAGAAGGCTGGGGGTCCTGGGATCTCACCCCTGGCCAGCAAGGTGAGCCTCCTAGTTGGCATGCAGGAGATGGTTGGGGGAGGTCTCAGAAATTGACATCCTTTTCTGTGCCTTAATCCCATAACGTATCCATCTATTCATCCATCTCAATACCATCTACCCGTACATGCATAGTAGTCTTACCATCCTAACATCCATCAACTGACCTGTCATTCACTCTCCCCATCCTTGTATCTGTCCATCTGTCCATCCATTCATTCTCTACTCACCATCATTCCATTTGTATATGGGTTTCTCCACCCATCCAACCATCGCCCTATACTTCTGTCTATCCGTCTGCCTATTTGTCCACTCATCTGTCACTCCTGCACCTGTTGAACCGTTTGGTCACCTACCCGTCGGCCTGTCTCCACCCACCTGTCCATGCATCTACTCTCCATACCTCCTGGACTTTTTTCCGGCTTATCCGTTTATGTTCCCATCTGTTTGCCCAGGCATCCATCTCTCCGTGGTCCACTCCTCCTATATCACCTGTTCTTCCCCTCACTCATCCATTCATTCACCATCCCCTCATTCACAGTTCATTTGCTTGTTACCCCTGTATTTGCTCACCTGGTCACTTACTTCTCTCCTGACTTACGTCCCCACCCATCCACCCAACTGTCCTTCCATCCGTTCATCCTCCCACTACCCGCTCAACCTCATAACCAGCTGCCTGCCTATTTTTTCTTGCCTTCACCTTTCACCTTCCTGCTTACCTACTAAACAGTAGCTTTTTCCTGAAGAGATGGGCCTGGCCTTTCTGGTGTTCCCCACGGTGCTGTTGGTCCCCATCTGGGTCACTGCATACTGGGATTTCTAGGATGAGCATTTGCTTTGGGGAGCAGACGAAGCAGGGGTTTAGCCAGCGCCTGGGCAGCCACTCTGCTGGAGGCAGATGGAGTGCCGGAGGGGTACTGGGCCTGGAATGTTATTGGTCTTCATTTCCCAGCCTTGCTCTGACCTCACATTCTGTGTCCACAGCATGGGGCCCAGGTCGCCACCTCCATGAAGCCACAAAAGCAGCAGGAGCAAGGAGTGCCTGTGGACTCACTGCCTGGAGACTTGAGTGCAGCCGACTTGAAGGATCCATCCCTGGACAAGGCAGCTGTGAAGATCCAGGCTGCCTTTAAGGGCTACAAAGTACGGAAGGAGATGAAGCAGCAGGAAGGGCCTGTGTTCTCCCGGACATTTGGGGACACAGAGGCACAGACTGGGGACGTGCTGCGCCTGGAGTGTGTGGTGGCCAGCAAGGCTGATATGCGGGCCTGCTGGCTGAAGGACGGCGTAGAGTTGACGGACGGACGGCACTACCACATAGACCAGCTCAAGGATGGCACCTGCTCTCTGCTGGTCACTGGCCTGGGCCCCACCGACACTGGCCGGTACACCTGTCAGGTGAGCACCAAGTTCGGCTGCGTGAGCCACAGTGCCTGCGTGGTGGTCAGTGGGACAGAGAGTGAGGCCGAGAGCTCCTCAGGAGGCGAGCTGGACGACGCCTTCCGGCGGGCAGCACGGCGCCTGCACCGGCTCTTCCGCACCAAGAGCCCAGCTGAGCTTTCAGAGGAGGAACTCTTTGTCAGTGCTGATGAAGGCCCCGCCGAATCAGAGGAGCCCGCAGACTGGCAGACATACCGAGAGGATGAAAACTTTGTGTGCATTCGTTTTGAGGTACTTGAAGAGGCCCGCCGGGCAGTCACCTGCTTCCAAGACATGTTTGCCACCATGGGCATCCAGGTGGAGATCAGCCTGGGAGAGCAGGGACCCCGGGGAGTGGAGATGCTCATTGGCAAGGTGGCGCCCAATGTCACCCCTGCGGTGCCGCTAGCCAAGACACCTGGCCTTCAGACTTCAGATGCTGGTGAGCCATGGGCTACAGTGGCCTGGAATGGGGGTGGGGGTGGCTTGGCCTGAGATAGGGTAGAGGGAGAAGAGGATGGGGGCTGAATGAGGCAGAACCAGAGGGGAGCTCTGATTGGTTGTCCCCCAGCCTGTGGGGAAACATGGCAAAGCCCCAACTTTGAGGTTAGACAGTTGATTGTGAACCTCAGTTTTGTCTTTCACTAGCAGTGTGTGTTGAGGTCCATTCCGTATGGTAGTTTCTGTGTCAAGTACTGGAAGTAAGACAACCTCACCGTGCACTTGAGTCTCTCCCAGGCCACCAGGAGGTTATAATGAATGACCCTCAGTGCTGTGTCTCGAGACTTCTCCCTAGTTTGTGGTACCTGAGGTTTAAACTTCAAGCCTGTGAATTCTTTCTGCCTGCACTCCTCTGCCTCACTGGGAACCAAAAGAAACTTCTAAGAGAAGGATGGAGAGAGAAGCTCAGGGTGTCTAGCTGTGGAGTTTAGGGAACCTCTTCTAGGAAACCCTGCTGTGTCACACACCACCCGCCTGCATGGGCGTGGCATCTGCATGCATGGGCATTCCAGTGTTAACTCTCTGTACCCTCTACCTGCCTGTGCTAGCCCCAGTGTTCCTGACCGAGCTGCAGAACCAAGAAGTGCAGGATGGATACCCTGTAAGCTTTGACTGCGTGGTAACAGGCCAGCCTGTGCCCAGCGTGCGCTGGTTCAAGGACGGGAAGCTGCTGGAGGAGGACGACCATTACATGATCAACGAGGACCAACAGGGTGGTCACCAGCTCATCATCATGGCTGTGGTGCCAGCAGACATGGGTGTCTACCGCTGCCTGGCAGAGAACAGCGTGGGAGTCTCCTCCACCAAGGCTGAGCTTCGTGTAGAGCGTGAGTGCGGGAATGAGTTGGCTGTCTCCCGGGTGGCCTGGGTGAGGTCTAAACAACCCCCAAAGACCCTGCCTCCTAATACTAATACCACTTTGGTTATTTTTTTACATTGTGTGTGTGTGTGTGCATGTGTACATATGTGTGCATCTGCGTGTGTGCCATGACACTTGTATGGCGTTCAGAGGACAATTTCTGAGTGTTGATTCTCTCCTCCCACCATGTGGGTTCCAAGGATTGAACTCAGGTTGTTAGGCTCCATGCAAGCACCTTTACCTGCCGAGCTGTCTGGCCAACATTAATGTTTTAACATCATTTCTGTGGGACACAAACACTGGATGTGTAACAGCATAACCGCAGAAAAATCAATCTAGTCTCTCTTCCTATATCCTGGCCGGGAAGTCCGCGGCTTATTGGTTTTGAAGCCAGTATTTCTTTTTTCTTTCTTTCTTTCTTTCTTTCTTTCTTTCTTTCTTTCTTTCTTTCTTTCTTTCTTTCTTTTTTTTTTTTTGGTTTTTTGAGACAGGGTTTCTTTGTGGCTTTGGAGCCTGTCCTGGCACTAGCTCTGTAGACCAGGCTGGTCTCGAACTCACAGAGATCTGCCTGCCTCTGCCTCCCGAGTGCTGGGATTAAAGGCGTGTGCCACCATCTCCTGGCTGAAGCCAGTATTTCTTTAACCCCTCATGGTATTGTAAGATGGAACTGGAGGTCTTGCTTGTGCTGTTGTAACTCATGGAGACGGCAAATTGTGTGATGTCTATAGTTTGTTGGGTCAAAGAAGCCTGCAGTTAGTTAGAGCCTGGAAGTGTTGGCCCGGGCATGGGAGGGTACGCGCAGCTGTTGCCCTTCTCCAAGCTGAGTACGGTAGCTCCCTGCAGGGTTGCTCGGTCAGAGCCTCACACAACCAAGGGGGCCCTGGCGCACTGTGCTTTAGGCCTGTCCCTGAGTCATGCTTTCTTCCCCAGTGACCAGCACAGACTATGACACCGCAGCAGATGCTACTGAGACCTCATCGTACTTCAGCGCCCAGGGATACCTGTCCAGGTGGGGTCTCAGGATCTCCGAGGAGGCAGCCATGCGCTGCTGCCTGGGGCAGGGGGTTAGGGTCCTTGGATTGACAAGTCAAATCTTGGGGACTTCCACCAGGCCCTGGTGGCTCTGCTTCCTCTGTCGCTCAGTTCAGGAAGCTTCAGGTTCCCTCTGTGTCTGACATCACTCCCGGGACCCTCCTGCTTTGAACCTTCTGACTTGTTGCTTAATGGGCGCTCCCTTGTTTGTCCTTCCTAACAGCCGGGAGCAAGAGGGGACCGAGTCTGATGAGGGGCAGCTTCCCCAGGTGTTGGAGGAGCTGAAAGACCTCCAGGTGGCCCCTGGCACACGCTTGGCCAAATTCCAGCTCAAGGTGAAAGGTGAGGAGGAAGTGGCACTGCCTCACTTAACAGAGACCAAGTCTTACTGGCCACAGTTGGGAGGGGACCCCAGACAGCATGGCTGGTCATGTGTGTGTCCTTTCTGCATAAGGAGGCCAGCACCCTTTGGTCTCTGAGGGACCTCTGCTCAGGGTCTCCCGTCATCACAACCACCTGCCTTTGCGCCCCCAGGCTATCCAGCCCCCAAACTGTACTGGTTCAAAGATGGCCAGCCTCTGACCACATCTGCCCACATCCGCATGACTGACAAAAAGACCCTGCATACCCTGGAGATTGTCTCGGTCACCCTGGAGGACAGAGGCCAGTATGCAGTCTACATCAGCAATGCCGTAGGTGCGGCCTATTCATCGGCCTGGCTGCAAGTCCGAGGTGGGTTCCCCGAAGGACTGGACAGAGCTGACCCGCTACCCTATCAGAGTTGGGTCCAAGGCTCTGAGGTCATTGCTCCAGTGAGCAGAGACTCGGGTGGCCAGAAGTCAGCCCTACAAGGAACAGCCTTGAGGCTCCTTCTTCCTGAACATGGGAAGTGAATTCCAAACTTGAACCAAACCTATCCTGATAGGAGGGACGCAGTGCTACCTGTGGCCTCTTATGCCAGATCTTGGAAAATGCAGTTTCCCAAGATGCTGGGTTGTTTCTGTGCCCATGCATTTGTTGCAGATCAAGGCCACAGGTCTGGGGAGGCTGGGGGTAACAAGAATGGTAGCAGTATGTTATCAGGTCTGTGTGTCCCTTGGCCATTGTCATGCTGAGTGGTGACTCCCACAGCTCTCTGACTAAGGTTTCAAGAGGTTTGGGTATCTTTGCCCTGGGAGTGGAGCTACCAGGGCAGCTCAGCACCATGTATGGGATCAGAGCACCTATGAGAGCTCAGTGTCTGACTCTTTCTGTGTTTTCAGGTCCCAGTGAACCAGAAGAGAAGCCAGCATCAGGTGAGATAGCCCCAGATGGGCACGAGAGGGTGGTAGACCCTGGGCAGGAAGCCAGAATGGATGGACCTGGGGCTGGCTGTTGTGGAAGTGTGGATGGTCAGTGCACATAGGTTTCAGGGCATCCTCTGGGATTAGCATACTGGGGTGAGGTGGGTTTCTTTTATGGCAGGGGATCCTCATAAGTTGGCTGTGTCATTCCAGATGTGCACGAGCGGCTGGTGCCACCCCGGATCCTGGAAAAGTTCACCCCCAAGAAAGTGAAGAGGGGCTCCAGCATCACCTTTTCAGTGAAGGTGGAAGGTGAGGCAGCTGTCCTGGAGAGGCTGACAGCCACATCCTGCCTGTCCTTGGGGGCGGGCCCAGTTCCTGGTGGGGTTCTGTCTCTGGCAGGGCTGGACTCACTGCCCTCTGTCCCTCAGGACACCCAGCCCCCACTGTGCATTGGCTCAAGGAGGAGGCAGAGAAGGGAGTGCTGTGGATTGGCCCCGAAACCCCTGGCTACACCATGGCCAGCTCTGCCAAGCAGCATAGCCTGGTCTTGCTGGACGTGGGCCGAAAGCACCAGGGCACCTACACGTGCATTGCTACCAACGCTGCCGGCCAGGCGCTCTGCTCTGCCAGCCTGCACGTCTCTGGCTGTGAGTGAAGGAAGGGTCAGGGGGAAGGCAGGTACATATGAATGGGAGGGGACCCAGAGCTGGGCAGTGCAGGTTCACGGACTTCTTAGCACATGTGGATGTTCAGCATTTGTATTTCTCATCCTTCTATGGTATCAGGACACCTCCAGAGCACGTCCAGCCTCACGGGTGCAGGGGCGTTTGGTGTGGGGTTTCAGAGTCTCTCAGGTCTAGCACTCGCCCTGCTCTGTATGTGGGGACAGGTCTCTAGGGTGAGCTGAGTTCTCTGCTCCAGAGCCTTGCTCAGTCCCCTGTGGGCTGGCATTCTGAGGGTAGACTCATGTTCGTATGTTCGTGGTTACCATTGAGGTGACCTTGGTCAGGAGCAGGACAGTACCATTTCAGAAAAGTGCCTGCTCAGGGCTCGGAGAACAGAGTCTAGGTTCCTGGAGCAGCTCAAATGTCCTGAGTATGTCTGAACCTGAAACTTCAGAGTCCAGGACTTCATGCTGATGGCTCTCTGCTCTCTTGACAGTGGCCAAGGAGGAAGATCAGGAGAGAGTAAAAGAGGCCCTCATTTCTTCCTTCTTGCAAGGGTGAGTGGATGCTGTCCAAGGCCCCAGGGCCAAGATTGCAGAATAGGTCTGGGAACTGGGAACAGAACAGCTATGCTGGTGGAGATCGCCCTGTCCTGCCGATAGACCAGTTCTGGCCTGCACAGGGTGTGCACTTGGGCCACCCCCTGTTTCTTACCATGCCTCAGTTTCCCCAGCAGAGAATGAGGGTCTCCCAGGGGCCCTCTGATGTGGAGATGATGACTGGTGTCCTAGACCAACAGTGGAAGGTGGGAGACGGTGGTAGCTCCTACCTCAGGCCTCTCAGGATGCTCCTGTCTCCACAGGACAAGCCAAACTATCTCAGCCCAGATGGCGGAATCTGCAGGTTTTGCTGATCTCGCCGGGCAAAGGAAAGGTACAGGTGGGATGGGCACTCTAAGGTCTCTTCTCCCCGAGCCAGGCCAGGTGAAAGGGACGCCGCTGGCAATGGTGCTGGGTCAGTGGTCTCCTGTGGACTGAGCTTTGGTTGGAGTCAGAGCCATCTATGACCTCTGTAGATCTGGGAGCCTATGAGATCCCAAGGGAAGCCTAATCTAGATGCAGAGCTCACATCCAATGGGCTGTGGAGGCCAGCAAGCCAGGCAACAAGAGCAGAGGTGGCATGGGCCATACTCCAGGTCCTTCACAGCCTGATAGCCAAACTCTGAAACCTCTGCAGCTTCGTCCTCTCTGTTCACCCTCTACCCTGTAGCCATGCTGGCCACCTGCGGCCAGTATATCCACTGTCCATAAGCTACCTGCCGTTTAACTGTGCCTACTGTCCCTAGTAACTGTCTGGATCCTGGCTATGTTGTCCACTCCCCGATTGGCTGTTTTTTGACTGCCCAGTGGGTACCCTGCTAATCCTCAGCCACCCCTAGTGTCTCTCAGCTGCACCTACTGTGTCCTCTCTGTCTGGACTTGTTTGCCTTTCTTCTCAACCACATTGGCTACATATTGGCTCAGACCACAGCAAGCCTTCTGTCAAGGGCCGGCCTCAACACCCCTGTCCTAGAGGCTAGTCTCCTTTTCAGACCCCAGCACCATAGGAAGCCTGGTCTCGTGTGCCTGGCATCCCTCAGGGCTAAAACTGAGCCTGTGGAGTGTAGGGGGTACTCAGTAGACACCGGGGGAGGATGGTTGATTAAGGGTCACTTTTGCCACTCCAGGGGAGTCCCTGGTGGCTGACGAGGCCCACGGTCACCTGTCCCTTGCTGAGGTGGGCACAGAAGAGTTCCTGCAGAAGCTCACCTCACAGATCACCGAGATGGTATCGGCCAAGATTTCACAGGGTGAGGCACTAGTGCGTGTCCTAAGGGAGCGGTGGGGCCCAGTGCTCTCAAGCAGGGGCGGAGGCTCTCCTGCCTCCATGATCTAGAAAGTGGCTATTGGGGGGCATCACCACCCTTGTGCCCATCCAGCCAAGCTCCAGGTGCCTGGCGGTGACAGTGATGAGGAGTCTAAGACGCCATCTGCCTCTCCTCGGCACGGCCGGTCTCGTCCTTCCTCCAGTGTTCAGGAGTCATCCTCAGAGTCAGAGGATGGGGACTCGCGTGGTGAGGTTGGTGGGTCAGGACCCTTGGAGAATATTCTGGGGAGGGTACTCTTGGAGGGAAGGTATAGGGATGAAGAGGTACAGGGGCAGGATCCCAGGGAGGAGGTCTTGGAAAGCGAGTGCACCATAGGCCCTCAGGAAATGCATTCCTGGCTTGAGGGCAGGAACTGGTGAGGTACTGTGTCCATTCCCCAGGGATCCCTGAAGACTGCTTCTCCTGAGGCCTCCTCTCGCCTTCTCCCCTGCCCTGCTCCCTTTCCTCCTCCCACGCCCCTCTCCCTCTGGTGTAGCAGGCACCCCGTTAGGTCCCAGGCAGCAGGCGTACAGGTAGTAGGATGTGAACAAGTAGTATAGGCAGCCCCAGCTAGAGACCCTGCGGGTGCAGTGCTTTCTTTCGGGGGAAGACAAGGGAGAGCATCCACATTCCTGCCGTTTGTGTGGGATTGGGAACTGCACTAAATGTCCCCAAGATTCCTGTCCTGCGTTCTGGGACTTAACAGGTTTGGCTGATACTTTCTTGGGACTCCTGACTCAGCCTCTTCCCCAGGGTTTTGGGAGACTTCCCATCTTCCCTTCTCTGGTGGCTACCAGGGTACTGATAGGCTGGGTCTGCCAAACCGACCCCCCCCCCAACTCATTTCCTCTCTCTGCCCAATCAGATCTTTGACATCTACGTGGTCACAGCTGACTACCTGCCCCTGGGGGCGGAGCAGGATGCCATCATTCTGAGAGAAGGCCAGTATGTGGAGGTCCTTGATTCGGCCCATCCTCTGCGCTGGCTTGTACGCACCAAGCCCACCAAATCCAGTCCTTCTAGGCAGGGCTGGGTGTCGCCTGCCTACCTGGACAAGAGACTCAAGGTATTTGGCTGGGAAACTCAGGGAAGAGGGTCTTCAGGTCACCGGCCCAGAGGACTCTGGCATTGTCGTTCCCCTTTGGAGCCAGGGCCCAGCCCGTCTCTGATAGACACCTCTTTCTCACCAGCTGTCTCCTGAGTGGGGGCCCACTGAGGCCCCCGAGTTCCCCGGGGAGGCCGTGTCTGAGGATGAGTACAGAGCGAGACTGAGGTGAGTTTCTGTGGAGCCTTCCCTGGCGGGCCCACTGCCCAAGGAGACCTGTTGCCTGCCTCTTTTAGGGTCCAAATGGAGTTCTAACCATTTTATGGGGGCCTATGAATGCCAACTCTACATGGGGATGGGTGGAGGTTGGGAACAGAGTGGGCACCAGTTTGATGCTGATTCCCACAGCTGGCCTCTCATGGGCTATGCCAGATTACTTCTGTGGGGGGTGCGGCAGTCATGTGGAAGAGTGGTTCCTCCCGGTACCCCTCATTTCCTCTCTGAAAGTTGACAGAGGGGTTCTGGTAGCAAGAAGTGCCCGAATTTGGCAGTTGAGAGAACAGGGGCTTCGAGAGAGTCGGCTTTCCCGTAACCGTGCCGTTCCCAGGGCCTTGACGGGGGTAGGAGCCTGTGGCTACTGGAGGCCCCAAGCGCCCCATAATGGCTTCTCCTCCTGCCAGCTCTGTCATCCAGGAGTTGCTGAACTCAGAGCAGGCTTTTGTGGGCGAGCTGCAGTTCCTGGAGAGCCACCACATGAAGCACCTGGACCTATCTCCCCGCGTGCCTACAGCGGTGGCCAGCCAGAAGACAGTCATCTTTCGTAATGTGCAGGACATCAGCCGTTTCCACGGCAGGTAGGGGGGTGGGACTGCATACAGGCACACGTGTCTATGATCACCCAGCTCCTACCTGCAGGTCAGGCCTCATGGCAGGGGGCGGGCAGGAACGGAGGAAAGGGAGAGCCTGTACTAGTGTGTCACTGGGCAGACCTTCCCTTTCTGAGTATCTGGCTCATGCAGGATGAAGCCTGCAGTATACCTGCCTCTGACAAGTGTGTGCACAGCCATATGCATGTAGATTTTCATGCGCAGGCGCGCGCACACACATGCATACATGTGTACAGGAGGCATTACTGCCACTTATGCATGCACATGTGCTTAATATGTATGCATATTTGCACACACATGCAAACTCATGCTTACATCCCTGCTCAAGGATACACATAACATTTCACATCATGTACCTATATTTGCCTCACAACATACATGCCGACATGTGCACACACATTTGGGTTTCTATACATGTGCATTGTCACACAAGGCATACAAGTACACATGAGCATATATATGTGTGCACCTGTACCGAGATTCATGCACACCGGAAATGTGCCCACCACATTGCACATAGACAATGTCTGTACATGTATGTGTTCACATTTGTACATGTTTATGTGTATAGGCATGCATACTTTTAGAAAACCTGCACCACATATGAATGTTATTGTGCATGTGCACATATAATATATGTCGTACTTGTGCATGGGTGGTGGGCACACAACTGTGCACTTCTTGCACACATAACTCACCATACTCTCTCAGAGGGCTCAGGCCCTGGTAAGGAGTCTGGCCTTCTAGAGAAGGCCTGGACTGGTAGGTGGAGGGAGGCGCTAACACTGTCCCCTTCGTGGCAGCTTCTTGAAGGAGCTGCAGTCCTGTGACACCGACGATGACGTGGCCATGTGCTTCATCAAGAACCAGGAGGCCTTTGAGAAGTACCTCGAGTTCCTGGTGGGCCGCGTGCAAGCTGAGTCCGTGGTTGTCAGCACCCCGGTCCAGGAGTTCTACAAGGTGCTTCCTGTCTGTCACAAGTCCACCCACCCCGCTTGCTCCCAGACCTTAGCTCTTGCCCAAATGCCCTCTGAGGTGTAACTCTGATGGTCCACATGGCCGGCCCAAGCTTGTCTTCCTCAACCTGCATCACTGCCTGCCTACCACCTGCCTGAACCCTGGCTCAGTGGGAACTGCCAATAGGAGTACCCACACTTTGCACTCCTGAGTCGTTACGTAAGCTGCCCAAGCCCTATGCCACCCAGTGACCCTCGTGCAGGGTCTGCACCCTTGGTATCCTCCTCTAGCTCCCAGGGGCCATAGCCGTGCCTGGGGAGTTCAGGGCCATGCCTATGACACCCCTGCAGTGACTCTAGCCACCCAGGGACCATACATTCATGCCTAAAACCACTTCTGTGGCTCCTACAGAAATATGCAGAAGAGACACTGTCAGCCAAGGACCCCACACAGCCACCGCCGCCTCCACTTCAGCACTACCTGGAGCAGCCAGTGGAGCGGGTGCAGAAATACCAAGCCTTGCTGAAGGTGATATGCTCCAGCCTCGTTTGTGCAGGCTGCACCTGTTGAGGGAGGGGGATTCCTGGGTTCCGAGCATCCTGGATCCATGACTCTTGACCCTCTCACCCCAGGAACTAATCCGCAACAAGGCCCGCAACCGGCAGAACTGCGCGCTGCTGGAGCAGGCCTATGCTGTGGTGTCTGCCCTGCCACAGCGCGCCGAGAACAAACTGCATGTGTCGCTCATGGAGAACTATCCTGGAACTCTGGAGGCCCTGGGAGAACCTATCCGCCAGGTGGTGCCCTGGGATGCTGGGGGTGGGACACTGTAGGAGGCTTTTGGAGGTGGGAGCCTGTAGATAACTTCATGGTTTCATTGCGGAGCTGGATACGTGGCTTTCATTGGGGAGGCTTGGTTGACCAGAGTCCATTCACACCTCTAGGGCCACTTCATAGTATGGGAGGGGGCACCAGGCGCCCGGATGCCTTGGAAGGGCCACAACCGGCATGTCTTCCTCTTCCGAAACCACCTGGTAATATGTAAGCCCCGGAGAGACTCTCGAACCGACACCTTCAGCTACGTGTTCCGGAACATGATGAAGGTCTGTGTGTGCAGGGGCTGCTGAGGGCTCTGTAGGCTGAGTGGCTGTGCCATGGGTGGAGTCCCATTTCCCTCTCGGGTTGCGGGGTGGATGCTGGTGGATAGTCCTTGGACAGTGTGTCCCTCCTGGGTCATCCCACGTCATCCGAGCGTGGTCACATCCTTCCTACTGATATCCTCTCCCTACAGCTGAGTAGCATCGACCTGAATGACCAGGTAGAGGGGGATGACCGTGCCTTTGAGGTGTGGCATGAGCGGGAGGACTCTGTGCGCAAATACCTGCTCCAGGCCCGGACCGTCATCATCAAAAATTCATGGGTGAAGGAGATCTGTGGCATCCAGCAACGCCTGGCCCAGCCTGTATGGCGTGAGTGTCCTTTGGTGGGGCTGGGCCATAGTGGTCAAGATTGGATGGGGACATGACCCTTAACCCTAGGTGTCCAGATGGGCTGCACCCAGGCTGTGGGGACCCTAAGTCTCAGGTTGTCAGGTGACACTGCCTTGTTCCTTGCCTACTGGGCACGAGGGGGTGCTTTTGGGAGCAGAGGGCTCCACTCTCTCCTGTCAGCTCTGGGTGGGGTATAAGAACTGCACCCTCACTGGGAAATCCAGGTGGAGTATCAAGTTACCCCCAACTAGAGAGAGGGAACGCTTGGGGACATCATAGGGAGTTCCTACACGAAGACCCTAAGGTCAGGACGCCCATCTGGATTCTGCAAGATGTGGGGGAATCTTGTAACTTGGACCAGTTTTTTCAGCTAGACCAAAAACATACCATTTAAACCATACGTTTTAAAAAATTAATTAATTTAATTAATTAGCCAAGCAGTGGTGGTGCACACCTTTAATCCTGGCACTTGGAAAGCAGAGGCATATGGATCTCTGTGAGTTCAAGGCCAGACTGGCCTCCAGAGTAAGTTCCGCAACAGCCAGAGAAACCGTGTCTCAAAAAAAAAATTAATTGACTTTTGGTGGTATATGCATGTGTGTATACATGTATGTACACATGTGTGTTGGTATGTGGGCATGTGTACATGTGCTGGAACCAGAGGAAGACATCAGATGTTCTGCTCAATCACTCTCTGCCCAAATTTCTCACTGAATCTGGAACTTACGTTTTAGAGGGAGGTGTGCTAGCCAATGAGCTCCAGAGATCTGCCTGTATCTTCCTCCACGATGCTAGGGATACAAGCACATGAGGCTACATCCTCATGTGGTTGATGGGGATGCAAACTCTTTATTTTTTTTTTTTTAACTATAGTCCCTACCCCTTCCCACTCTGTATCCAGTTTGCCTCACTCACCTGTGATTTTACGTTAGGACCGCAGATGGTAACAGCCAAACTGCTGAACATGGAGTCCCAGTGTTGGGTGGGGTAACCTGCCAGGGCGTGTGCAATTGAGACGGTAGGCCTGGCCTGTACACATAACATGAGAACCTCCTTATGTATCCTCAGGTCCCCCTGATTTTGAAGAGGAATTGGCTGATTGCACTGCTGAGCTGGGCGAAACAGTCAAGCTGGCATGCCGAGTGACTGGCACCCCTAAGCCTGTTGTCAGCTGGTACAAAGGTACCCAGGGACTAGGGTCTCCAGACTTACTGTGGGGTGCTAGCTCTGCAACAGGGAAGGACCTCTTGAGAATGTAGGCTCTGTCCAGTGGTCCATTAGGCCTAAGAGGCAGGAGACAGGACAAGAGGATGGTCAAGAGGAGGATGATGTAGGGTAGGGGACAGGTGATGGACCGATAAGTAAACCTAAAGCCAGATAGTGTTGTGGCTACCCAGAGGACTAGTGGCTTGGGGCAGTGACAAAAGACAAAGCAGCCCTCTGAGATAACAGGTCTAAAACTTCTGCATGAGTGAGAGACAGATGTGAGGGCCTGAGTAAGCAACAGCCATGGCATTAAGGAGCAGCCCTGGTCAACAAGTCACATTGAGACAGTGCTGGGATTGAGGGGCATGATGCTTGTGCCTCCCTTGGCGGTGATGGGAGGAGCCACAAAGGGTCAGTCTCCACCCGACCTCACCACTGACGCCACCTGCATGTTTGGGTTCCCTAGAACCTTCATTCCTGACATCAGCTGTGGCTTGAAAGGTCCTCAAAAGCACTTTTTTAAAAAAAACTTCTTTATTGACCCTTTGGGAGCTTCACATTATGCACCCCAATTCAGGTTCACCTCCTGGTCCCCCCATCTTCCCCTCAACCCTGACACACACCCCCATAAGGAAACAAATCAGAGTAAGCAAGGAAGGGAACAAAAGCAAAACAAAAACAAAAAAGCAAAACAAAATCAAAAACCACATTAGAAAAATCTCTTTGCTTCTCCTTCTTTCCCGTTTCTCTAACTCCTTTTCATTTGTCCTGGTGACAGTGGAGGCTTCTGTGGACCTTATAGTATTCCTCTTTGTCCCATCAGTTTTACTGGCAAATGTCAGTTGCAGTGAGTCACTGGTCTGGTTCAAGGCCTCTGGTCTCCGGTGCACCATCTTCACTGGGTCCTCACAGGCAGACCGGAAGGAAGAGGGACTCCGTCTGGGCTTGCTCTCCAAATAACTCTTGAAAATTTGAGTTACACTTAAAGATCAGTATCAGTCCCTTCTCAAGGTGCTTTTATCCGTGGTCTAATCCACTTCCTCCGTGGCCCAATCCACCATCCTCCGTGGCCCGATATACTTCACCTGGAGCCCTCCACTAAAAGGTTCTTCTCAGTATCAACACTGGGGGCCAAGCTTCCAACACAGGAACTTTCAGGGGACCCACACTGAACCCAGAGAAGTCCACAGATAGCTGCAGCACTCTGGAAAAGCCTCAGGTCAACCCCAGACTGACTGGCTGAGACCGAGGAGAGGGCATAGGTGGGGCATACTGTATCCCAGGGTCCGAGAGTCCCATAAGGCATTTTCCCATAGAGGACGCAGAAGACAAAGACTGGTTATTGTGAATGCCGACGTAGTTCTCAGTCGGCATTCCCCACTGGGAACAGACCCCGAATCTTAGGTTTCTCAGCCCGCCCTGCTGGTGAGCACACTCAGGCCTGAACACCTGAGGTGGATGCTCCTAACTGACCAACCAGAAGAGCACTGATCCCATAGAAATTGGACCTTCAAAGGACCTTGAAGGCCGGAGTGCTGAGTCCAGACTTAGAGCTCCAATGGATGTATGTCGCAGACCTGGTCTTGTGAACTCAAAAAATTTTGACAGTTATTATCTAAGACTAAAGGAGCCACATCCGATGTCCCTAAGATGGCCCATCAGCAGCTGATAGTCTCACCAAGGATGTTCGTACCAGTGGAAGCCACATAGGCCGTGCCTGATCTAATTGAGCCAATCCATCTCCTGTAGCTGGCACCCTGCCACCACCCAAGGTCACCAAGGAGGACTTGACCTCCAATGATCCTTGCACTCTTTTCCCTCCTGTGTTTTGTGCTGTCTCTGTCAGCCAGTCTGGGAAGGGACCAGGAAACTGGGTTACCTGAGTTGTTTAGGTGGATGCTTGGATGACTTAGCCTACACGCACGCGCACGCACACACACACACACACACACACACACACACACACACACATTCTGGCTGTCCTGGAACTTGCTTTGTAGACCAGGCGGACCTCAAACTCACAGAAATCCACCTGTCCCTGCCTCTGTCTCCCAAATGTTGGGATTGAAGGTGTGCACCACCCTGCCCAATCTAGCCCTCGAATCCTTTACCGTGAGCCATGCGTTGCTTTCACTATTGTTTCAGAATTTACTGCCAGTCTTCAAGTATGTTTTAACAAGGTGATGATTTAAAAGATAGGTGTCTGGTGTGTCTGCTGCAGATGGCCCAAGAGTGTCTAACTTTAGGGTGAGCAGGGACAGCCCTGAAGGAGATGCGTTTTCCCTAAATGGAGAGGGGAGGTTCTGGTTGCTCATGGCTGAGGAAACTGGAACTTTCCCTTTGAGAGGAAAGGCACAAGGGTGTTGCCTGAGAGGGGGGCTTAGTACTGAGGTCTGAGCTGTCTGCTGGGAGTGGTCTCCACTTGCTCAGGGGAAACCCTGGGTGCTTGTCTTGCTACAGGGGATGGCTGGCTGTAGGACAGGGTTGGATGAGGGAGGAGGAGGAGGGGCCGCGAGGGAATGGCTCTTGCCGTTAGGCTTTCAGGGTGGAGGTGATTGACAGAAGAGGGGTCCACATCACATATGCTGGGTGTTGTTGTCTTGGAAGAGCAGGCGCAGTTGTTGAGGAGAGGAGGTGACCAAGAGCCAGCGCCCCGACAGTTCAGACCCTTTCACCACCCTCTGTTTCTAGAATGTTGAAGTTGGATGGAGACAGATAGCTGAGATGGATAGCCCTTGTGGAGAGACACTCAGGGGTGGGGGAGGGAGAAAGGGGAGAGGGAGAGGGAGATTGCGCCCAGCCTCTTGTTCTCCCTTTGGGACCTATTCCATAAGAGCCTGCCTCTGCTTTCCAGATGGGAAGCCGGTGGAGGTAGACCCACACCACATCCTCATTGAAGATCCTGATGGCTCCTGTACCCTCATCTTGGACAACCTGACCGGTGTAGACTCTGGCCAGTACATGTGTTTCGCAGCCAGTGCGGCTGGCAATGCCAGCACCTTGGGGAAGATTCTAGTACAAGGTTAGCAGGATGGGTTTCCTGGTGTGGTGGACACCCCACCATTGTCAGTTGTGTGGACTCTGCCCAGATTACAGGCTGTGGGAGGGTGGTGTGTGGGGTGAGTCTGAGGATGGAGCAGGCCCGGAGAGTTGGGGTCTCCTAGATACCCCCAGAGGAAGGTCGCTTCTGGAGGTGAGGACACGTCAGTCCCCATCCCAGCTCTCCCTCAGCTCCATCACAGACATCTTTCTGTCTTTCCTGCCCTTGCCTACCTCTGCCCACAGTGCCCCCACGATTTGTGAACAAGGTCCGGGCCACACCCTTTGTGGAGGGGGAAGATGCACAGATCACCTGCACTGTGGAAGGTGCCCCGTATCCTCAGATCAGGTGAGACTTGGGCTGCAGAGAAAGGGAACACAGCTCCTGAAGAGGCGGGAGGGCTGGGCAGCATGATCTCCTAAGCCAGGGAGGTTGTCCATGGCCATTGATCACTGCAAAGTGGGTATCATGGGGTTGTGATTCCTGCTGGACATACCCTCTGTAGCTGGGAAGAAATGGCTGGACTGTGGCTTCCAGGAAGAGAACTTAGCTAGGGACATTGGATCTGGGGTAACCTAGTAGGGGTTTTAAGCACTAGTAGCTCTCTCTGGAGGTGCCCTGAGTACCCTGAGAGGGTACCATGAGGATGGCTCTGGCTGGGCACTGGCTCACAGGACCTCCTGACTGGTTCCAGGTGGTACAAGGATGGTGCCCTGCTAACCCTGGGCAACAAGTACCGGATGCTGAATGAGCCCCGCAGTGGCGTGCTGGTGCTGGTGATCCGGGCAGCCAGCAAGGAGGACTTGGGACACTATGAGTGTGAGGTGAGGCTTGTGTGTGAGGGACAATAGCCGTCCTCAGTGGTCTGACTGAACCCAGGTTCCACCGTGTAGGTGTAGATGCTCTAGGCCAGCCAGAGGACATCAGGCTGCTGCCACCCACCATCCCCAGCCACCTGTCCTCTGCCTTGTAGCCTGTCTCCTCTCACATTAGGCTGTGCCCTGTTACCTTGTCCTCTTGCCATTGTCCCTACCATTTTAAGATGATGCTTAGCATCTGCCTGGTGGAAGGGACCTGGTGCTGACCTCAGCTGTCACTCACTAAGGTAAAAATGTAGTGCCGTTTGCCCAGTGAGTCTGGCATTGCACACACAGAGCTCACCTTTGCCCATGCACAGCTAACCTCCGTCTCTGTGCTCTTCATCCTCAGATCTGAGGTGGAGACCAGCCTGGCTCCTCTGGCCTGTGTCCAGCTCTTACTAGAGCTGTTGTCTGGAAGCCAGCCCCCTCTGTATGGCTTCATCTGCAACCCTAGGGCACTTGTGTCCCATCAAGTTTCCTGGAAGCAAGGGTTCTCTGGATTAGATAGCACAGATGCCAGGGGCCATGTAATGACTTCAAATTAAAGTGGAGTCTGCTTGTAGGTTCCTGCTATTCTTGTTCAAGTGTCCAGCCCCTGCCCTCTACCCCCACCTGAGCAGCCACATCCTGGCCAGGGAAGAAAGAGATCAGACTTTACAGTATGGGTCTCTAGGGAGCCCATGATTGGGCTAGGAGCTCTTTCCCCTGAGCATATTCAGGGGAGTGGCCCAGGCTCACTAGACCATTGGAGTGGTTCTAGTGAGAGGGTCCAGACCCCTTGAGGAGCCTGGTTCTTAATGGGCCTTTGCTGTCCTTTTGCCAGCTGGTGAACCGGTTGGGCTCAACACGTGGTGGGGGAGAACTGTACATGCAGAGCCCTGCGCTGCGTGCCCGGGACCAGCATCATCGGGAACAGCTTGTGGCTGCTGTGGAAGGTAGGTTCTGTGTCTGTCTGCGCTGTCCCAGTGACTTGCGAGTTCTAAGCCCCAGGTGGGAATCTCCACCGGCCTGGAAGGAGCCTGGTGGAATCTTTTCTGCAAACCAGGAGGGGCCTCTAGGAGGAGGAGGCTAGGTCTCAGGGTGGGAAATGATGAAGGTCGAAAGCTGGGGAGGCTGTAGAGGCGGTCAGAGGAGGTGGCTGCGGGGTCATGTGTGTACCTGTGGGTGCTGGGGAGGCTGTGCAGGTCAGAGGAGGCGGCTGCGGGGTCATGTGTGTACCTGTGGGTGCTGGGGAGGCTGTGCAGGTCAGAGGAGGCGGCTGCGGGGTCATGTGTGTACCTGTGGGTGCTGGGGAGGCTGTGCAGGTCAGAGGAGGCGGCTGCGGGGTCATGTGTGTACCTGTGGGTGCTGGGGAGGCTGTGCAGGTCAGAGGAGGCGGCTGCGGGGTCATGTGTGTACCTGTGGGTGCTGGGGAAGACAGGAGCCCAGAGTGAGAGCTGGAAGTTGCCCTGGATAACGGGCATCCCACAGTCCTGCTCAGCCATTATCTCTGCAGAGGGAACATAGCAGGGGTCTCCATCAGCTTGACTGGCAGTGGTCATGGAGGCTCCGTGCAGGTGGCAGCAGGAATGGGTGAGGGGCCCACACTGAATGCAGAAGGCACGACTGCCTGGAGCAGGGGCAGGTGGAGCAGGTGTCAGGACACCCGTGGGTGTGGACTGCCTGGAGCAGGAGCAGGTGTATGTAAGGACACCCATGGGCATGGACTGCCTGGAGCAGGGGCAGGTGTCAGGACACCTGTGGGTGTGGACTGCCCGTGAGAAGCACAACGTTGCAGTTCAGGGTCCTGATCTTGGCTCAGGGTTACTCCTGGTGTACCTGGGTAGGGGTGGGAGTAATCTCACTAGGGACTGGAGAGATTTAACTCAGTGTTAAGAACATTGCTCCTCTTGCGGAGGACCTGAGTTTAGTTCCCAGTACCCATGTCAGGACACTGCCTGTCGATCTAGCTCCAGATGGGCATCGGACGCCATCTTGTCTCTGTGAGGGTCAGCACCCATGTGTACAGAGATAAAATCAAAATAAATATTTATAACAAGATGATATAGATTAGCCTGACTAGGGACAGAGGGCAAGTTTTGTTAGTTGTCCTGGAAGATGTAAACAGACATCTGTCCGTTCACTTCTGATAGGGCGTCAATAACGGACCCAAGAAATAATTCTACACAAGTCATAGTAAGCTGATGAATTTGCTGGGATTGCTTAGAGGCACATGGGTGGGGGATTACTTAGAGAAACATGAATAACTCAAAGGCAGCTGTGTCGCCAACAGGCACATCCAAGCATGGGTGTTGTATGACCTGGAGGGGGTCTTCCTTCCTTCCCGTATCCTCATGGGGTTCCCTCATCGAAGGCGTGGTTCATTGGTTCAGTTTGGAAGATGGAACCGCATCGTACTCCACCCCTTCCCCAGACCCCTTCTTCCATTCTTTCTGACTCCTTTTGTTGTTTGATGTTCTCTGAGCCTCAGAGGGATGGTAAATATGTCTGATTACTTTCTTCTATCCATGGCTGAGTGCGGCAGAGAAACAGTCATTTAGTTTCGGGAGCTAATGGATTACGGGTCTCTGTAGCACACCCCTCCCTGGAAAAAAAGATAAGTTTTCCTCTATGACTGATCAAAATGACTGACCAAAGCTAACAGCAGCAGTAATTGATGGGTGTAAATACAGATGTTTAGAAGGCAATTTGACAGGCACATCACAACCAGTAAAGAAAGCAACATCAGTTGCCTCCACTCAGAGACCACGGGATTTTGCCCTTCCTTGAGGTACCGTATGTGAATTCCCTCTCATGGAGCAGGCTTTGAATCTAATAGGAAATGGTAGCCCTATGACGGCTGTGCCACCGTTGTCCTAGCAAGCACAACTTGTGTGCCATGTTAGTGTGGCATGTTAGTGATGTAGTGCACATGGCCACTCCTAGCTGATGATGACCATTGGTGACCCAGTGGTCCAAGCAGCACCTACCGGCACTAGTCAGCAAAAAGGGAATTTCCTCTTCAGTGCTAACTTACTTCCGTGTCCTGTTTCATAGCGTGTCAAGGCTTCAGCAGCAGGTTCTTACCATTTAGACCTTTGTTTTTCAGCGGTGACAGCAGCCTTTCTGGTTGTAAGGCCTTGTAGAGGAGTAGCCCAGGCCTGGCTCTGGGACTTTTAGTCCACACTGTATGCTTCTACGAGCATCTTCCTGTCCATGTAGGTGCTTTTGTTTGAACTCCATCCCCGTTCTTCCAGATGCTTTAACAAATCTGTAAGTCTCCTCAGGGGTCAGCACTATATGATGTCACTTCTTTTTTTTTTTTAAGCAGAAGGTGGGTGGATTCTCTGAAGGCCAGCCCTCATCCATTCTAAGTATCAAGTGGTCTTGGTCAGCTAGGGCTTTACTAAAAGAGAAACATTATAAAAGGCCAGTATAGTAGGAAAAGATCACATCCGTTGTTTCATCCGAGAGCAGTATCAGGCACAGACGGGAGGTACTACTTCATCTAGCCTTGCATAATTCACAGACATTTTTCATGAACCGTCTCTTCATCCTGAGGTGCCATCGCTGCTGCAGGACTCGTGGGCATCACCCCACTTTCTATGGCCTCAGCAGGGTGGAACCCGAGTTGCATATGTCAGCACCCACTGCAGGATCCGTACAACCCCTGCATCCCACGTGTCCCTCACTCTGCTGGCCCCTATGCAGCCACTAGTGTTCTGCGACTGTTAACTAGTGAGACGAAATGTCTGTGTATCCCAGATATGGCACGCTTGACAGATTGAAGCACATGTTTACTCAAGTCTTGATTAGCGAACCAGTGAGATGGTGGAGGGCACTTTCAGGAACACGGGTGACGCAAATGCGGGCATATTACTGGAAGCCTTCTTTGGCAAGGGTGAGGACTCAAAAGGCCGTATTCTCAGAATTTGCACACAGCCTGGAGGCTGCTCTGCTGGGCTCCACTCCCCAGCAGTTGTTACTGCTTAGGTAACTTGGGAAGCCGGCAGCGCCTTGGAAATTTTGTGGATTTCTTGAGTCCTAATGAGCCTCCCTCCAAGAGCGGGTGTTTCAAATTGCAGTAAGTGGCTACCTTAGGAGGGTTATGACAAGACAGTCACGTGGACAGTCAGGACGGGGAGGAGCCAGCTATTGCTGTCCCATCTGGAAGGGCTCCAAGATGCTTGAGAACCTCACATCCCTGGGGGCATAAAAAGAGAGACTGGACCAGTACCAAGTGAGCCACAGTGCCCATAGTAGAAGTGGTGACATATATATCTTCTGAACACCGAAAGCTGGCTCATGTGGTCCCTTGGCCACTGGAACCAGTTCCTGCCATCTAGACCCTCTCAGAACTGAGCTGCTCAGAGCCCAGTAGCTCAGCCTTGGGACCTCTGATGTCCTCCACTGCCCTCTCAGAGATTCCCTCCTTCTTTGATGAGCAAAGGTCTTTGATTCTTGTCCCTCATAGGGTCAAAGACCTTTTTCTGTGACTTGCCACACACATGCTGTGTCTGCCCACAACCTGGTTACTGGAGCACCATGCATACTGGCATCTGCCGCCACCAGCACACTCTCTTCCCATTGGCATCTGTTGGGTGCACACCTCACGGCGTGCAAGCGCATCCCACACAGTCATTTACTTGGTTGTCGTGATGAGTCTTTTTCTGGGACAGAAGAGGGGTGGCAGCATGGAAGAGCAGGCCCAGGACTCACAGGGATTGGATGTGTATCGACGCCTTGGGGAGGCGAGAAGGCTGGTCCTGGAAGACCCTGGAGCCAGAGTCCAGCCAACCTGCTTCCTAACCCCCGTCCTGCTTCCTGTTAACCCTGCGGCTCTGCAGCCAGAGTAGTCTGACAGAACTATGTGGGTGTGGCTGCCCTCTTGCTTTGTCCTGCCTCAGGCTGGGAGCCCTGCTTTGCACTATTGCAGCCTGCCTGTGGCTGCCAGTTACACCCAGGCCCAAAGCTGGTCATGTTGAGCGCTGTGAGCAGAGGGACCAGGAATGTAGCCTCTCCGAGGTGTTGTGCCCGCTGCTCTTGAGAGCAGTGAAGTGGGGTCCATTAGGGAGGGTGAAGGTGCTAGAGCAGGTGGGAAACACATTGTTCATCTGTGTACACCGAGCTCAGGCTGGAACCTAGACTCTCACTGCGGGGTCCCTTCCCATTAGGGGAAACCTTTACACGCACACATTTACAAACACATACACGCCTACTTGCATATGTGCATGCATATGTGTATATCCATGCACACAGAGCACACATACACATGCACATACATGTATGCATATGTGTACAAACCTATGTATGTACATGTATAAGCATATATGTGCCTTGTGAAAGAGAAATATGCATGTATGTGCCTATACACAACACATAATAAATGCATTTCTATACACACAGACTGATGGTACCTTATCTCACGTGCTCCTCGGCTGAGAGAGGTTGTCACGCTCTGTTGCCTTCCTCTGTGTGAACTTGCAGCAAACCAGGGCTTATGAGATAGTGTCCCAGGCTACACCCCTGGGCAGTTTCCCCCACAAGGTTATAAAGAAGTCTACTAAGATGTAAGGGTGTAGGTAGTCTATGAGCTGCCTACTGCCCGGCTGCCGAGCCTTTGTGGGGTGCACCTGGGAGATCCCATCTGAGGGTACTGTAGAGAAGAGCCCTCTTACTGCACAGAGCCAGAGACAGTCTGGTCCCAAATGAGTCCCAGCCAGTTTCTCAACCTAGAGCTCCACACACGAGTTGGGAGCCGCTGGTTATAGGACAGAGACATGCTGGGGTTGTCTCTCCTGAGAGACAGGTCTTCCCACCCTGAGGCACTGTCTACGGCTGTTGCTAGAAGGACATCTGTGGCCTCCCACCACGAAGCTCAGCTGTGCCATCCCCATTTTTAGTCTTTGTGATGTTATTGTAAAAGAGGCATCGGTCATCCTATCCTAGTCTTAGTGTGGCTGTTGGCTCCGTGTGCAGCTCCAGCCCCAGCCCCACCCCCACCCCTGGCCCTGCCCGAGCTCAGATTCTATGTCTGAGCAGTGGAGCCTTAAGTGTGACAACTTCACGGGACTCCCATGGCCTATGGACCGAGAGAGGTTTTATATAGAGGCAGGCTCTTCTTCCCACCCACCCCCAGTCCTGTGGTTCCCTAAGGTCACTAGGTACTCCATGTGAGATGCAAGGTTGACACTTCCCATAGGACAGGTACTGTTACCTGTTTCACAGAGAGGGAACTGGATTCCTGGACTGCTAAGATCTTCCCAGGAACACGCAGATAGGCGGGGCCAATGCTCCTACACCAAACAGGTTGCTATGCTATGAACACCACTCAGCTCAGCCCCCGGGCGCTGCTGGTCTGTAACGGTTGCTGTTCCGACTGTTTTCTTTGTAGTCACTGAGCAGGAGACAAAAGTCCCCAAGAAAACCGTCATCATGTAAGTGCAGGCGTGACTCTCATCTTCCTTTGACTGTCGTGCCCATGCATGCTACTAACCCCTCACCTTGCCGGCCTGATGTCCTTGCTGCCTGCCCGCCTGCCCGCCTGCCTGTGCACCTAACCTTCACATACCGCATGGGTCATCAGCATCTTGTGGATTCTTGCAGGCACCTAGCCCAGCCACTTCCCGGGGTCTGTGGACCCCGTACACACCACAGCTCTCTTCTGAGGCCTCAGAGCACATGCTGCAGGGTGCTGCTATTCTATATAGTTCATGGCGACTCACCAGGATAGTGGCTTTCCAGCAGCTGGGGAGAGCTGGCAATGAAAGCCATTTCCCTCAACAGGCTCAAGACAGGTTTCTGCCCTTTTCTGCCCTTAGGCCATGTTGGTAACAGGGCGTTCTGCAGCGATAGAGTCCCATTCCATAACCTGCCCTGCCCAACAGCGTTTAAATATGTCTAGTGCAACAGACAGCCAAATCTTAAATGTGACCCAGTTTTTATTCATTGGATCCAACCTAAATAATGCTACCATGGTAGGTATCAGAGCTCTGGGGCATTTGGGTCTCCAAGTCCAGCTGTTACATTTAGAAGATGGGGAAACTGAGGTTCTGGAAAGTAAGGAGGCCATCGGAGAGCCACTTCCTCCAGCCAGTCTTTTCTTCATTCTCCAGTGCTTTTAAAGCTCAAACAAAAATCCTATGTATGAATCCCAGGAGCTCGGAGCATGGCGACCCCACTGAATGTGGGATTGTGGGGACCAGGAGAATCTGGGAGGCCTTCCTCTATAGACTGCACAAGAGACAGGGAAGCCCAATAAGGGGAGGTCTCTTCCGCGCCATGGGTGGCCATGTTGCTGGAGGATTCTGTCTGCAGACCTTGGATGAAATCTGGGTTATCCCTTATTGTCCCACATCCAGCTCTCTGCTTCTAAGGCGGCTGCTCCCATGTTGCCACCCAGCCTATACTCACCACCCCAGCCTTGGAAAGGCCCCGTGCTGGAGGTTGGCACAGATGATTGCCTGTATCTGCCTTGTGGGGAGCAGTATTATCAGACGCTTTGAGGCATCCAGATCATGGTCCCTGGTGCCAGAGGAGACCCCAGATATCCAGTATTTGTGACATAGCCCTGGGAAAGTTCTCAGCCTTTCCATTTTTTAACCTTACCTCTGCTGGGAGCAAGAAGCAATTGAGCCCAAACTCAAAAACTTGGAAAGTCCTAGCCAATGCCTGTCACTCACCCTGGTGCTCAGGTTTTACCTCCTCCTCCTGCCACCTTCACTCCCATTTTGGAAGGTAGAACTCAAAGAGGGGACGAAGTATGTGAGAAGTCCCAAGGCCTTTGGCAGCCCAGAGAGGTCCGGAGCTAAGTAGCTCCTTCAGGTGTCCTCGTTGGCCTGGAGAGCGCTCACGGCTCACATCCATTCAATCCCAGAGACCAGGAACCCCAGCTGCAAGTCTGAGCCAGCGGCATGCTGGGCTTGCTATTGTGCATGTGGCTGCTGCACCCGCCAGCCATCTATCCCTATTAGCTGAGGTGCTTGGGGCACTGAGAGATGGCCAGGTACTATCTTCTTGGGGACAAAGCACAAAGCCTACTGTGGGGATGGGAAAGAGGGGTGACCAGCACAAAGGACATTTGCAAAGCACACCTCACTTGGTGATGGGAGGTACCCAGGACTCTTGTTTCAGATCACATCCCGATGTCTGAGGTTGATCACTGGGACTTTGTGCTTTGTTCCTATGGTTTTCTTAGCGAGGGCTGTGCAGGGTGGGCTCAAGTGCAGGCGCAGGAGTTTGTGCTGTCTTAGCCTCTGCTCACTCACACATGCACTAACCCGGGCTCTGGCGTATGCTGCTGATGGCACTGTGCTGGGTGAGGCTGTGGGTCTCCATGCCCATCTCTTCTTGGGCCCTCTCCCCCTACCAGAGAAGAGACCATCACCACGGTAGTGAAGAGTCCCCGAGGCCGACGACAGTCTCCTAGCAAGTCTCCCTCCCGTTCACCCTCCCACCGCTCTGCCAGTCCACTGAGGCCAGGGCTGTTGGCCCCCGAGATGCTGTACCCACCAGGGACCAGCCCATCCCGGAGACTTGAGGTAGAAGCAAGCAGGAAGGCCCCAGTGCCTGCATTATATGTGACAGAAGCTGAAGCCATCGCTCCAGCCTCGCAGCCCAAGCCCAAGTGGTTAGAGGTTGAGGAAACCATTGAAGTCCGGGTGAAGAAGACAGGGTCACGGGGTGCATCTCCTGTCCGAGAGATGCCCAGCAGTGGAGAGGGGATCCTCTTCACACTGCCTAGTGGGATCGCTGGCAGGGACCCAAATGCCAACAACTCCAACAACAAGAGTGTGTCCCAGGAAGCTCGGACCAGCAGCCCCCCTATAGTCCACGTTGGTAAACCCTTCGTCTTCCATGTGGACCCAATGGGCAATGTGGACTGGGCAGCTGCCAGCCATGAGCCAAAGGAGGTCGGAGCCCACCAGGAGGAAGAGAACATTGCAAAGGATGAAGGAGACAGCGACAGAGAAGAAAATACCGTCCTACTAGAAGAACCCCAGGACGCGGGTAGCCTTCAGGGCCGTGACCCCAAAATCCTCACGCACAATGGCCGGGTACTAACATTGGCTGACCTGGAAGATTACGTACCCCAGGAAGGAGAGACTTTTGGCTGTGGGGACCCCACCCCCAGCACCCCTGATGAACCTCCCTGCGAAGTCTCCGTGCTCCAGAGAGAGATCAGAGAGCCCACTGTGGGGCAACCTGTCCTACTCAACGTGGGGCGTCCTCCAGGCCCCAGTGCCATGCCCAGCTTCTTCAGGTCAGGACCCCAGGTCCACAGCCCCGAGGGTGTCTCCTTCCTCTTGCGTGAGGCCTGGACAGGGCCAGTGGGTGCCACCCCTTGGACAAGCTCCTTCCGCACCCATGTCCAGAGTTCTGTAGATGGCGGCCAGAATAGCTTCAAGACAGAGGTCTCTACCCAGACAGTCAGCTTTGGGGCCGTAGGAGAGACAGTCACTCTGCATATTAACCCAGATGGGGGAGAGGCCCCAGGCCCCTCCCAGGGTTGATGCCACACCCTGGGGACAACAAGGCTAGGCGAGTGGCCCAGAGCCTCGGGCCCTGCCAGGTACCAGCGTCTACCCTGGAATCCACAGCTTACCTCAGGGACCTTCCACCCCCTGCTCTTCTCCAGCCTGGGATGGAGTCTTCCTTGCTTTCCTGCCCAGTCTTTTCTACCTCACTGGACTTGTTCTCTGCCGGGAAGACGGGGAAGTACCTGAAGTACCTGCCGTGTTAGAATACGCTGCTGTCACAAGAGCTCTGGCCAGGAGCAGCTGAGAGGCCCCGGCTTTGGACTTCACCCCGCAATCCTTCTGTGGGGCTCTCAAAACAAGATGTGGACTTGGGTGTTTGCCCTGAGACATATCCCGACTGAGGGTCTTCCCTAGGGCTGCACCCAAGGCATGTGTTGGCCGGCCACCAGCTCTGTGGATCTTTAGGGCCACATCTGTGGTGGACACATGCTGCAGGGCGGGAGGAACTCCCAGGCCATTACCCTGATGAGAACAATAAAACAAGTCCCAAACCCTCCTCTCTGTTTCTTCTTGATTGTTCACCTAGAAGTTTAGGGTCCTACTCTTATTTTTTCAAGGTCACATCTCAGGTCATATAGGACTCCTAGGGTGGTTGGCTATCTGTGTACCCTGATGACGGGCATGCAGGTCCCAGTCTGTCTTGAGCTCCATGGGTAGAGTAGGGTCAGCAGTGAATCTTTCCTTGACAGTCTATGGGGCTGGTCCTTGAGACCCACAGCTTGGACCAGGGCAGCCCTCTTGGCCCCTTTTGGCCTGTCAGAATCTGGGCGGGCCTTCCTAAGCCACGGATAGTTGAGGCTATTGTAGGAGAAATGGGAGTCATGAGTGAGACTAGGTGACCCGCGTGCCCTAAGCTCTCAGCATTTAGGGGTCAATTCCATTGTCTTCAGAGGAGATGACCTACAGTCCTTGCGCTTGTCTGTGAGTTCCAGGCAATCTCTCGCCCTGAGGCTGTTCTAAGGGTGTTGCTGAGCTCTTGGAGCTGGGAAGAGTGTCTGGGTGCCCATCCAGCCTGGGTCTGGGGGTGTCAGAGATGCCTCATCAGCAAGCACTGAGGAGGATCTGGGTGGGGAGAAGGTTCTGGGCAGGGGACTTGCTAGCAAAGGAGAAGTAAGCAATCCTGGGGCAGCTGTTTGAGAACCTCATGTGGGTCTGAAAGGTACAGGGGAGAAAAAATGAGCCACACAGGAGAGGGTTAGAGGATACTGGGGTTGGACCACTTAGGTAAGGGCAGGAAGCTTTCAGTCACATGGGGCGAGGCCTGCGTGCCCTGGGAGGTGAAATATGGGCGTGGCTTCCTGTACACCCAATCCTCCGTTCCCCTGGCCCTTGATATGTGCCAGTCTGTCTAAGCTTTGGACTCTGGAGCCGGCTTTGAGGGGAGCCAGGCCTGGATGGAAGGTGTGTGAGACTGCACGCATGTTGAAGACAGGGGCTTTCTGAAGGAGATGTGCTTGACCTTTAGCTTCAAGGAGGGTGGCCCTGGGTGTCCATGGCTCTGAAGGAGGAAACAGTGGTCCTCTGCCCCTGGGCTCAGAGCTCCTCACTGTCCCATATCCTCCTGGGCCTCCCCATGCAGGTGGTTTCCAAAGCAGGGAACAGCAGACGGCAGGACAGGCGTGAGAAGGCAGACTCTGAGAACTGGGGTGGGCACTCGGAGCCTGTGCCTGGGATTTCGGTCCTCAGGCCAGACTTACCTTGTGTTCCCATTCTCCTGTCCAACAGATGCCCCTGTGGAGGACTCTGTCCATCCCACCCAGGATGGAACTGACCAAGAAGCCACTTCTGTCCTTTGGAGAGTGCTGAGCTCAGAAACCCCCAGCTCCTCCCCGGGGGATTTCCCCCACACCAGACAAACTGAGCCGCCTGCACTTGAAGAGGCTGCTCCCCAGATCCCAGGCCTGACAGCCTCAGGTACACCTGGTGAGGCCCAGTGGGGAGCTGACTCCAAAGGCTTCTCTTCTCCCCAACCCTGCCTTTGCTAACCCCATCCCATCCTTGGCCATACCATCCAAGGGGGTCACTTTGATTGCCCGCTCCATGCTAACAAACTTGCAGAGCTCTGGGTCATCTTGGAATCTTTATGGCCGCATGTGCCATCATGTGCTTAGCCTGGTCAAGGCCTAACCTTACTTAACTTGTCCTCAGATTTCCTATCTGTGACCTGGGCCCACCCCTGCCATGTACCAGGTGCCCACTTCTACCTAGAGTCTCAGTTTCCCCAGATGTGCCATCTGTCCACTTAGTTTGGCCCAAACTCTTCTTTTCTAACTAGTCAGTATGGTGTGTCTTACCTTGTCGATGAGTAAAGTGTCCTCTATAGGGTCCTACACTGCAACCTGTGTCCTGCTCTCATGTCACTGTAATGCCAGCCTGGCTGGATGTGCAGGTTCTGGAGGGCAGAGCCTCTCCATCCCGATACCAGCCTGGGCAGCACGTCTCCTTCCTAGTGCCAGCCTGGCTGGTGGGCTAAGATATCAGGTTTGTCACCTTACTAGGAACTGGAGGACCTCAATGTCTGGCTTCAACAGGACAGCCAGCATTCCTTACTATGCTGTGGGGGCCAGGGCTCATTGTGGGTGCCTGGTTTCTACTGAGGGCCCTGGTTCTGGAGCCACTCTTGACTTTGTGATTCACCACACACTGGCACATGGGGCCCCGTGCTTGTTAAAGAAAGCCCTCCTGACTTCAGCCTAGCTTCAGCTCACCAGGCTTCCTGTCTCCTACCAGCCGAGTCCCCAGAGGCCTCACAGCCTGACACACACAAAGGTCTGGAGCAGGAGACGACAGCAACTTCTGGGGCCCAGGAACGGACTGTACCCATTCGGTAACTTTCTGAACTAGATGGGTCGTGTGTGTGTGGGTGGACCTGTTCTCCGAGGGACGTCCTAGGTTGGCAGTGCAGGTTGGCCCACCTGCTCTGGCTTCGTGGCCTTGAAGAGTTGGCAGGGTTAATGATCTCCAACATACTTCTTACAGGTTCCAACCCAAGCTGATGGGCAGGGGAGGGAAAAGGGACCCACCCTAGAACCTAAGGGAGAAGCCTGAAGCCTCTGCCCACATATCTGACCTCACAAATAGGGACATTAGGGTCACCATCCCGTCCTGAGGCACAGCTACCTGAGAGGTACAGAGTCAGGGTGCCTCACTGAGCAGAGACCACCCTACCTTGACTCCAGGGTGGAGGGAACAGCTTGGCCAGGTGCAGGCACAGGGCAGCTGCTCTTGGATGTGCACAGCCGAGTCGTCATGGAGACCACACAGAGGACCTATGTGTACCAGGCTCCTGATACAAGTGCTGCAAGTATGGAAGTGGGCCATCCAGATGGGGGTGCACCCATGCCATCCAGATGGGGGTCACTCATGCTGGGTGCAACGGGTGTTTTTATGAGGGCCTGATTACATCACATGGCATGCCTCAGCCCACGTTCCCCACCCTCCTCTTTCTGAGCAGCCCCTTCCCTCTTCTCTGGGAAGAGACTACCAACAGCAAATGTGGTACCTGCAGGTTCTATACTTGAGAGAGATTTTTAGCATTCTGCCTGCTTTGGCTTGACCTTCCATGTGATTGCTTGGCCGGCTGAAATTAAGGCAGGGGAAACAGCGGCTGGAATGCCCTTTACACCTGCTAGATGCCTAGGCAGTGAGGTGGTTGGGGTCCCCGTCACCAGGGAAGGAGGTGGGCTTTCTGGTCCAAGGCTTCACTGACCACAAATGTACGTGGTGGACTGTGCACCCAGGGCTGTGAAGCCTGAGGGTCCACACACGGGTTCTCTTTCCCCCTCTCCCAGGGGCCCCATCCATGCAGGTCACTATTGAGGATGTACAGGTAGAAGCTGGTGATGTGGCACAGTTTGATGCTGTCATTGAAGGCAACCCACCTCCCACAGTGACCTGGTACAAGGTAAGAGCAGTCCCAGGCTGCAGGGGGAGGAGATAGGCCTCGGGAGCCTGAGGGTATGGGTGCATGTATACATGCACCCCACCATGCAATCTGCAACCCCACTCCACAGCCCCACCCTGCAGTCCTATCCTGTACCTTCCCATCCCACTTCTGGCCTGTACCTGGGGCTGGGCATACAGCAGGTATTGGAAGGGCTGCTCCAGGATGAGCGTGTGGGTCCAGGCCCAAGTATCTCCCAGGGCAGGCTGATGGGAGCCCAGTCTGCCTCTTGTGTGTTCAGGACAGCAACCAGCTGATGAACAGCGACAGGCTGAGCCAGCGGCAGGATGGAACTAAGTATTCCTTGGTGTTGACTGACGTGGCTCCAAACGACGCTGGTGTCTACACGTGCCTTGCCCATAATGCAGGAGGACAGGTGCTCTGCAAGGCGGAGCTGCTGGTCCATGGTGGTGAGTTGCTTGGCTCCTGCCAGGTCCTGGGTGGGGTACAGGGACCAGGGAGCAGTCCCCATCATTGTGTGGGAGAACAGCGGGGCCAAGGCTGTCATCACTGCCTGTACTGCACATAACCTGTGCTTTGACCGTAGGGGACAAGCTAGACTCAGAAAAGCAAGTGTATCGGCGAAAGCTGCATTCCTTCTATGAAGTCCAAGAAGAGATTGGGAGGTATGGCTTCCCCACCTTCCCTGCAACCTGCGGTCCTCCCTCCTCCTCACCTTCCTCCTCCACCCTTAGCATGACACTGACCATGGTTCCCTCTCTCCCTCTTCTCCCCCAGGGGTGTGTTTGGTTTCGTGAAAAGGGTTCAGCACAAAGGGAACAAAATGTTCTGTGCTGCCAAGTTCATCCCCCTGCGGAGCAAAACTCGGGCCCAGGCGTACCAGGAACGAGATATCTTGGCTACGCTCAACCACCCGCTGGTCACTGGGCTCCTGGACCAATTTGAGACCCGGAAGACTCTCATCCTTATCTTGGAGCTGTATCCTGCACCTGGACCCTGGGAGAATCCAAGAGACATTGGGTCCCAGGCTAGGGTTGGAGTTACTGAGAGTGGGGTCCCTGGGCCTGGGCGTTATAGTGACAATTACTAGCCACACATTTGAGCATCCCTGTTCCTGATGCTGTGACTATGTGTGTCAACAGCTCCTGATCCTATAAGTCACAGTGTCATGATTTGGGAAGGAGGCCACTAATCCTGAAGGTTCTCAACAAGGGTAGCCTGGGGTCCCTCTCACAGGTGACCTCATGCGTGTTGGAGAGAATTTTCCCATCCCAGCTTCTCTAGATCTCCATCACTGTCAAGGGGCCTTGTTTGGGGGTCTTCTGTCCTGCATGGTCTGGCTGCCCTGTCATTCCCAAAGCTGTGTCTTGGGATCCTGGGGAAGGGGTGCTTAGTGTTGGCTCTTGAAGAGATGAAAGGGTGCTTCTGTTCCAAAACACAATCGTCCAACAGCCTGTCCTCAGGGTCTTTCTGAAGACCACTTTCTCAGGGATGGTAACCATCTGGGACCCTGGGGCTCTCCATTCCATCCCTTTCACCTGAGTACCAGCAACGCTAGATCTGGATTGCAGGAGCGTCAGGTCCTGCACACCGCTCTGTGAGCATCGGTGCCCAGGAGTCAGGCGGGTTCCAACCAGTTGCAGCTTCTCCTTGACCAAGCTGAGGTGCTCATCCGAGGAGCTGCTAGATCGCCTCTTCAAGAAGGGTGTGGTGACTGAGGCCGAGGTAATATTTACCCTCTCCTTGTCTGAATGGAGCCCTAGGGTCAGTGTCTCTTGACCTAAGACCCTTGTGGCTTCCAGGGTACCCAGACATATCCATCCATTTCCTACCTTCCTGGCCATATCTGTTCAGCTGTGCTGGTGGTGCCCGCTTCTCCCTGATTTGAACAGGCCACTGCTTCCTGCCTACACTGGCTTAGCCCGTCTTTGGGATGTCCCCTCCCCAGCCCCGGAGCTCACAGATTTCTTGAAAGACTTTTCCAGTAACCTGTCCCATGGGGCCTGAATTAAGAGGAGGAAGGCTTGATTACGGGGGCAAGCAGGAATGTAATAGAGGAGGAGGCCGAGGCAGGCCCCTCACTACCCGAGCCAGCCTCTTGGGCTGGTCCCCAGTTAAACCAGGTTTTTTACCACAGGTCAAGGTCTATATCCAGCAGCTGGTGGAAGGCCTGCACTATTTGCACAGCCACGGGATCCTTCACCTGGATATAAAGGTACTGACCCCAGGGTACCTCCAGAACTCAGGCTAGGGATAGATGGGAGCCTTCCTGTGCTTGAGTTGCAGTGAGCATAGAGGACTTCCCAGCCCCCGGGTAGGGTTTGGATCAGAAGGAGTAGTAGAGGTGATGCCGGGTCTGACCTTGGGGCTCCCCACTGCCCTTTGCTCCAACAACTCTGCAGTGCTCCCCAAGGCCCAGAAGGATAGGCGTTGCCTCCCTCATGACATGTAGCCCTCAGCAACTCCCCAACTCTGCCTGACAGCCCCCCAACATCTTGATGGTGCACCCAGCCCGGGAAGACATTAAGATCTGTGACTTTGGCTTTGCCCAAAGAGTCACCCCTTCAGAGCCACAGTACAGCAAGTACGGTTCACCTGAGTTCGTGTCCCCAGAGATCATCGAGCAGAGTCCTGTGAGCGAGGGCTCAGACATCTGGTAAGTGGGTGGACCACAAGGAGGGCTGTGCTTCTGTCTGTCCTCTGTCTGTCTGTCTGGCTGGCTGGCTGGCTGCTGAGGATCCCCTGAGCCTCTGACTCCTATCCCACTCCTAGGCTCCTCCAGCCCCCACAAGCACACCCCCTGCCTATGGGCCAGGCCTGGTTTGACTCACGGTGTGTTGTGTTTTCATTCTTGCAGGGCCATGGGTGTCATCTCCTACCTCAGGTGAGCGGACCCTGCCCTGTCTCCTCTTCCAAGCTGACTCCTCCATGTAGGTCACACACACTTCTAGCCACTGCCTACCTAGATCAGCCCCGAGACCCAGCGGGCGGCTATTTTGAGACCAGGCAGGAGGCCAACCCTGATAAAAAGGTTTCCTTTAACACTTCTCACTAACATCCAGCTGTCACGAGGCAGATCTTAGCCACTTTCCTGTAGGTCTGGTGGCTTGCCCATGGGGCACATAGTGGCCATTGCTGCCCTGAAGGTGCTAGTGGTATAGCCTGAGTTTGGATCTCCTCTGTGGGCTGAACCTTGATCTCTACCCTGGAAATGTTTGTCCTACTCTAAGCTGACCTTGAATCCTATCCCCCTCTGAACCTGAAGTTCTGCCTTGGATTAAGGCTGGGCGCCACCTCACACTGATCTTCATACCTGGATCAGCTTGAACCCAGATTCGTCCCTCACATTAAGGCCAAATCCATATCCGAAGCTAAAGCCCTGTCTCTCTCTTAGTTTGGACATGAGTCCCCATGTCAGGATAAGGGCTAGTGACCACCCTAGGATGGGCCCTTTATCTCTACCTAGGTCAGAGCCAAGACACCACCTCAGACTTAGGTCATAGCCCCTCCTCAAGCTGAGCCTTCTATAGGACAAGTCCTAACCCCCATCTCAGGCTGATTCTTCCTTGATCCCAATCTCAGCCTAAGCCTGGATGTACATTCTAGTCTGAGTCCTGAGAATGACTCTAGGCTTTGCCTGGCTCCCTACTCTAAGCCAATCCTGGATCGCTGTGGTCCAGCCTGAGGCATCTGCTAGAGCACTGTGGTCCAGCCCGAGGCATCTGCTAGAGCACTGTGGTCCAGCCTGAGGCATCTGCTAGAGCACTGTGGTCCAGCCTGAGGCATCTGCTAGAGCCCTCAGGTCTAGACGAGTGTAGTGCACATCCAGCCAGGGACTCTCCTCTGGAGTCAGCCTCCTCCCTTCCCGGCTTTTAGCCTGACCTGCTCATCCCCTTTTGCTGGAGAGAGTGACCGTGCCACCCTGCTGAACGTTTTGGAGGGGCGGGTCTCTTGGAGCAGTCCCATGGCTGCCCATCTGAGTGAGGATGCCAAGGACTTCATCAAGGCCACACTGCAGAAGACCCCCAGGTGAGTGCACCCCTGTCCCTTTACCTGCCCAAGCTCTGGTCACCCTGTCATGGGACCACCGGACTGACTAGCCCACCTGTTTTTCTTCCTCCTCCAGGGCCCGGCCTAACACTTCCCAGTGCCTCGCCCACCCCTGGTTCCAGGTAAGTAAACCCATCTTGGACTCAGCTCCCTGCTCTGCAGAAAGGGAAACGAAGGCCAAGATGTCTCATCAGCATGGATTGTTCTGCCTGTTGTCCCCATTTCAGAGGACATCAGTCCCTTCATATAAGCCAGGGGGTCCTGGACCCTCAACAAATAATTGCTAGGCAGCTAGAAACAAGACGTTCCTTCTGCTTTTGTGGGCATCTGGGTAAGGGACTTGCCCTCGAGTGTCTGAGTGGAGGAGATCCTGAAGCTTGTAGTGGGGGCCAGTCTGCTGCCTCTGCCTTTCTGGGTCTGTGCATCCTCAGAGGGACCCCACCAGGGTACCAGTGTCTCTTTGTCACCATAGCCACTCCCCATCCCGCTGCAGAAATCCATGCCTGCTGAGGAGGCCCACTTCATCAACACCAAGCAACTCAAGTTCCTTCTCGCTCGAAGTCGCTGGCAGGTGAGTCCCCCTTCCCCAGGAAAGAGGTGCTGAGGCCAGGGAAGGGAACCTGAATATAGCTGTGTGTGGCGCTTAGGCCAGGAGTACAGGGGTTAGACTGGCCTGTTCCATGCTTCTGGGTTCCCTTGAGTGTGCCAGGTATTGGGGGCAGAACAACAGAACACCAGATACAGAAGTCCCAGATGTTCTGGGTAACCCCGCTGGGCCCCCTGGAAGCATAGAGGCAGTGGGCACCCCACCCCTGCCATGCCCAGCCATGCCCAGTGGGTGTTCCTCTGTCCTCCTTTCCAGCGCTCCTTGATGAGCTACAAGTCTATCTTGGTGATGCGCTCCATCCCTGAGCTGCTCCAGGGTCCTCCAGACAGTCCATCCCTAGGGGTGGCCCGGCACCTGCGAGGGGAAGCCAGTGGCTCCTCTAGCTCATCGTCTTCCTCAGACAACGAGCTGGCCCCCTTTGCCAGGGCCAAGTCACTGCCGCCTTCCCCTGTGACTCACTCCCCGCTACTGCATCCTCGGGGCTTTCTGCGGCCTTCAGCGAGCCTCCCAGAGGAGACAGAAGCCAGCATGCCTCCTGCTGACGCAGCCCTGTCAGCATCCCCCCAGGGTGCTGGACCTCCAGCAAGCCCAGGTTGTGTGCCCCGACACACTGTCATCAGCAGCTTGTTCTACCAGCAAGGTGGCGAGAGTTCCGAGCGTGGGAGCAAAACCTTGGGTGCCAAGAGGCACCCGGCTCGGAGGCGGCACCTGCTGAAGGGCGGGTACATCGCAAGGGCCCTCCCTGGTCTTCGGGAACCACTGATGGAGCACAGTGTGTTGGAGGAGGAGGCTGCTAGGGAGGAGCAGGCCGCTCTGATGACCAAGACGCCCTCCTTTGAGACTGCCCTGAGACTACCTAACTCCAGTACCCGAGAGGTCCCAGGCCGAAGCCGCTCCCTGGACCACAACCCACCAGACACCACTGGCCCCTCTCCTGAGGAATGTGGGGGGCATTACCTCTTCCCACCCTCCTCAGGGGTGACTCATGAAGCCACTGCCAAAGACATGGGACACTCAAAGGGGTTCTTGAAGGGGTCTGCCCCCTGTTCACCTGCTAGTGGTGATTTGAGGCCTGCTAAGCAAGAGGGTTCTTCCCAGGACAGCTGTAGAGGGAAACCACCCTCTTCCTGTCACTCTGACCTGGGTTCTGGCTCCCAGGAGGGGTGCGGCTCTCCATCATCACAATCGCTTGGCTCTTTACCTCCACAGTCATTGAAGAAGGACCTCTTGACACCCTCCCTCTCAGGACAGACTCAGGACAGCTCTCTACAGGGAAGGCCCTGTCCGGGTCCCTCCAGTTTCCCAGAGCCAGGCTCCCAAGTGGGTGCCTCCCTAGATACTGAAGGCTTGTCTGAAGCTGAAGACACATTTGACCTCACACCTCCCCTGCAGCGGCCTCAGGAGCAGGCCACTACCCGGAAGTTCTCCCTGGAATCCCGTGGGGGCTATGCAGGGGTGGCAGGCTATGGCACCTTCGCCTTTGGCGGGGATGCAGGGGGCATGCTAGGGCAGGGTCCTCTTTGGGCTAGGATGGCCTGGGCTGTGTCTCAGTCCTCAGAAGAGCAGGATGAAGCTGGGACCGAGAGCCCTAAACCTCTAGACAGCTCCGTGCCCATTGCTGAGGCCAGTGGGGTTCCCCTAAAGACTTCTCCAAGCTTCCCCCCATGGCAGGAAGTTGAGCAGGTTTCCCTGGTTCAGATCCGGGATCTGTCTGGTGATGCGGAAGCAGCTGACACTATCTCCTTAGACATTTCCGAGGTAGATCCTGCCTACCTCAACCTTTCTGATCTATATGACATCAAATATCTCCCCTTTGAGTTCATGATCTTCAGGAGGGTCCCCAAACCTGTAGAGCAGCCAGAGTCACCTGACTCTGAAACTGAGGCCGGCCAAGGGCTGGCAGACTTCCTAGAGGAGGCGGCGTGGCCCTGGCCAGGAGAGCTGGGCTCGCATACTGGCTTGGAAATCACAGAGGAGTCAGAGGAGCCAGAGGACCTGGAAGCACTGCTGGGAGAAGCTGCCCTGGGCAGAAAACGCAAGTGGTCCCCTTCCCGTGGCCTCTTCCAGTTCTCTGGGAGGTGCCTGTCAGGGGAGGAGCCTGTGGAGCTCGGGCTGCGCCAGAGGGTGAAGGCTTCCATGGCTCACATCTCCAGGATCCTGAAGGGCAAGCCGGAAGGTGACCTCCCCCGACATCTATCATGTCCACATGTCCCTTGTGCTGCACCCATGGGGCTACTTCATCCTCATGTGCCCTCTCAAGTCCCATTGTCTGCCTTCCTGTTCTATGCTACCCACACCAACTAGCCTGACCTCACAGGACTTGGCTCAAATTCTAGGATCCTCTCTGCAACCATGACACCCCTCCTTAATGGGTATCTGAGACCATCCCTGACACGTAACAGCTGCAGGGGCCTGGAGCCAGCAGCAGGGTCAGACTTTTGGGGAGAGAGAGGGTTCATGGATCAATTCACCAGATCCCAAATCTCTGACCCAGGAGCCACTCCAAACCCAGACTCTATGACATGGCCCTCAGTGACCCCATTTCACTTCCTCTTCAGAGCCTCCATGTGTTTCCGAATCCTGGGCCCAGCCCCCAGGTACCCCACAGCCATCTATCTATGTCCTGTGCTCAGGCCTGTGTCCTGACAGACTGTAGCCAAGGGAGGTTGGTGGTGGCTTCAGCAGCTTAGTTCTGGTTTTGCAATACTTCCTGAGGTCCTGGCCTTTCCTCTGGCTGATTTCCCATCGTGAGGAAGCTGATGCTGTCTTGCTTCTCCCCATAAGCTCCTGGCCCTCTTTCTCCTGCAGGTCCTGAGAAGGAGGAGCCCCCCAGGAAGAAGGCGGGCCTGGCTTCTTTCCGGCTGTCAGGCCTGAAGGGCAGGGACCAAGGTGAGCAGGGATCACAACTGTGGGAGTCCAGCGTGGGTTTCTGGTGTAGAGGTCTAAGCAGTTTTGGAAGGCTTCTGTTGAAGCCGAGGGAAGAGCTGAGCAGGGCCTAGCCTGGGCTATCTGGTCAGGAAGTCTCCTCTCAAGGGTCATCTTATGCCCCCTCTCAGCGCCATCCTTCCTAAGTGAGCTTTCAGATGAGACTGTGGTCCTGGGCCAATCAGTGACACTGGCCTGCCAGGTGTTGGCCCAGCCAACGGCCCAGGCTACCTGGAGCAAAGGTAAGGAGCTGTCCCAGAGACTGGGTGCTGGATTGGTGCTGACAAGCAACAACCACAGTCCCAGTGGGATGCTGTGGCTGTCCTGGGGAAAACCAAGGCTGACTTTGTTTTGACACAGATGGGGCCCTCCTGGAGAGCAGTGGCCACCTCCTCATCTCGTCCACCCTGAAGAACTTCCAGCTGTTAACCATCCTGGTGGTGGAAGAGGAGGATCTGGGTACATACACCTGCTGTGTGAGCAATCCGCTGGGGACAGCCGTCACTACAGGTGTCCTCCGGAAAGCAGGTGTGTGGGCCACACCAGACGTCTCTGCCAGGACAAGGAGGCTGGGCTGGGGGTTCCAGGAGGCCCTGATCTTGATTAGTGAGCAGGACGTTGCTGGCTTCTTATGTGAGGGTCCATGCAACTGGGACTCGGAGGAAACTCACGAAAAGTCAGAGGTAGATAAAGCTGCTAATGTCCATCTTGTGCCAATCAGAGCTTCCTCTCCAGATGGTTCCTCCTCATTTTCTTCTACTGCTTTCTGAATTGGTTCCTGCAGCGTGCAGGGGTGTTTCTGGAGCAGTGAAGAAAGGGACTATTGGCCTGCCTCTGGTACCCGTCCGTCACTGGGTGGCCTGTATGCCTTATGCTAGGGCACTCAGAAGAGATGAGGCACTAACCAGGGCCGCTCCCTAGGGTCTTGAGTAAGCCCCGTGAGATGCCAGCTGAGAGGGATCGTGACAGAGGTAGCCAGGCAGATACCCCTGCATCCCCACAGCCTCTTCTCCTCATCCACTCTTGAAACCCCTCTCCAGATTGTTGAGAGTGAGAGAGGTGTGGCCAGAGATTGCTCCTTGTGGGTCGAGCCTCCGTGCTGATCACAGGGTTGCCCTTGCAGAGCGCCCCTCGTCCTCTCCACGCCCAGAGGTGGGGGAAGTGTACACGGACGCAGTGCTGCTGGTCTGGAAGCCCGTGGAATCCTGCGGCCCAGTGACCTACATAGTGCAGTGCTGTATAGAAGGTACAGGCTTCCCGAGGCTTAGGCCTTTGTGCAGGGTTGACACGTAGAGGCACTGTGTGTGCGTCTGCTCTGTATCTGTGGGTGGCCTCAGGAAAGGGGTTCCTTTAATTTGCCACGACTGCTTCTCACTCTCTCCTGTGTGGTCAGGAGGCAGCTGGACCACCCTGGCCTCTGACATCTCCGATTGTTGCTACGTCACCAGCAAGCTGTCTCGGGGTGGCATGTATACCTTCCGAACAGCGTGTGTCAGCAAAGCAGGAATGGGCCCCTACAGCAGCCCTTCAGATCAAGTCCTCCTGGGAGGGCTCAACCACCTGGGTAAGCTTTGGGGTGGATGGGGCAGCGAAGGGTGGCCATCAGATCAGGCATAGACACCCTCTTACCCATGGATGATCTACCTGCCTGTATTCAGCATTCAGAGCTTACACTCCCTGGGAACCCTAGCATCTTCCTGTCCCCTTCACTCACCAGCTCCTTCCTTGTGTTACCCCGGGGAGTTGATCATGGTTGATTTTTTTACTTTACTGTGTGCTGTGTTTGCATCTGATGGGAGAGTGCTGTGGTTGACTGGAAATGGCCGGTGTAGACTCAAGAACGGCAGGTGTCGGTGTCCTTTGATTGCTATCTGGTTCCACCCTGGAATGTCCTCTACCATATCACACACCAGTCAGTCAAGACGGCAGACTCTGCCACGACCCTCCCTTGTCCAAGTTTCTCCTCCAACGCTCACAAAATTGTTCAAGGAATGAGGGGTCAAAGTGCATGGGATCCTAAAGAAGGACTACTTTCCTAGGGCTTGGGAAGGGACTATGAGAGATGTGAGGGACAGGACTACCTGGATGTCCCTCCCCGACTAGGTCCCCTATCTCTCCTTCTACAGCCTCTGAGGAGGAGAGTGGCCGGGGGAGGCCAGCCCAGCTGCTCCCCAGCACAAAGACCTTCGCCTTCCAGATGCAGATTCGGAGGTGCAGGGGTGTCTGCAGAGGGTGGGGGGACGGTCCCTCAACTCTTCCTCTGGGCTTTTCATGCCCCGCGCCCCAGTGCCACTGCCCAGTACAGCTGTCACTTGCCCCTTACCATATCTATTCATTGAGCTTGGTCCCTGCTGCTCTAAGTGGTGGGGACTTTTCACAAGCGCCCCTCCCCCCTCCCGTGTTTCCTTTCCACAGGGGCCGCTTCAGTGTGGTACGGCAGTGTAGGGAAAAAGCCAGTGGGCGGGCGCTGGCTGCTAAGATTGTCCCTTACCGGCCTGAGGACAAGACAGCTGTGCTAAGAGAATATGAAGCACTCAAGAGACTGCATCACCCACATCTGGCCCAACTCCACGCCGCCTACCTCAGTCCCCGGCACCTGGTACTCATCCTGGAGCTGTGCTCTGGCCCTGAGCTGCTACCCTGCCTGGCAGAGAGGTGAGGGGTAGCACGGGTTGCCTAGGAGACAGGCAGGCAGATGTCTCTGGGAGGGACCATGAGAACTGTGACCACACATCAAGCAGGGACTCGGCGGAACCCGATGCTCCTTTTTGGCTTTTGCCAGGACAGTGTTCTCAGCCTTCCCTGGTGTCCCTAGCCCTGGCAGGACACCCCCACCTGCCTTGGGCCCGTCCTGAGTCCTCTGTGCTCCTAGGGACTCCTACTCAGAGTCTGATGTGAAGGACTACCTGTGGCAGATGCTAAGCGCCACCCAGTACCTGCATGCCCAACGCATCCTGCACCTGGACCTGAGGTCTGAGAACATGATGGTCACTGAGTACAACCTGCTTAAGGTGGTGGACCTGGGCAACGCTCAGAGCCTCGGTCAAGAGAAGGTCCCACCCCCTGAGAACTTCAAAGACTACCTGGAGACCATGGGTGCGTATGTGACTCCAGGTCTGTGCGGGGAGGGAGGGAGTTCGTCCCTAACTGGCCTCCCTCCCCCCCAGCTCCACTGACACCTCTCACAGGCTGGGCATCTGGGCTCCGATGCCCGGCATGTCACCTGACTCCTCCACTGACATCTTCCACCTGACCCACCCAACTGTGCCCAACCACCTGTGTCCACCCATGCTCCTCTGCAGCTCCGGAACTCCTGGAAGGCCAAGGGGCTGTTCCACAGACAGATATCTGGGCCATTGGTGTAACAGCCTTCATTATGTGAGTCCCTCAGGTGTCTGGGGAAGCTGTGCTAGGTGGGTGGGACAAGCCCCGCACACAGAGCCCTGTGGGTCCCCACAAATACATCCAGAATTTGGTCCCCATATGCCACTATTCATTATGGTGAGCTTGGTATCCCTACATCTCCTATCCATCCCTGAGCGTCTCCTGTGCCTCTCACCCACGCAGGCTGAGTGGCGAGTACCCCGTCAGTAGTGAGGGGACTCGCGACCTGCAGAAAGGCTTGCGCAAGGGACTCATCCGGTTGAGTCGCTGCTATGCAGGGCTGTCTGGAGGTGCCGTGGCTTTCCTGCAGAGCTCACTGTGCGCTCGACCCTGGTAAGGAGTCCAACCTGTGCTCTGCCCGCTTTCGCGGGCCCAGCCCACAGTGCTGGCCTCACCCACCGTGCACCCTTCCCTCTCTGTTTGTCTCGCCCTGCACTCCGCCCTCCTAGCCTAACCCTCAGACCCCGGATGGTTCACTTAATGTTTCAGGGGCCGCCCATGTGCCACCACCTGCTTGCAGTGCGGGTGGCTGACAGAGGAGGGTCCCGCCGGTTCCAGACCCACGCCCGTGACATTCCCCACCGCGCGATTGCGCGCCTTCGTGCGCGAGCGCGAGAAGCGACGGGCACTACTCTACAAGAAGCATAACCTGGCCCAGGTACGCTGAGGTCCTGCTCTGCTGGGCAAGATGTGCCTCGCCACACGGGGACACCTGCGCCAATAAAAGATGCAAACCAGCCAAAAGTTTCCTGCCTCATTGAGTCACCTTCCTGGCATTTGGGATCTTCATTCATAGTTCTGGAACTTGAGAATCACAACTTGTGCCCCAAGCGATATCCACTCACCCATCCTCAATAAACCAATTAAAATGTGGCTCCATTGGGTAGAGGGACAGAAACATAGCAAACCCCTCAAGTCGATCTTCAGCATCTGAAGTGAGACTTAAAGTTTAGAGGGCCAAGGATATGCACACCTCAGCAGTGCTGGCCAAGATGCGGTCTCATCCATCCTGGTAATCTGGGTTTCACCTACACCTTGTGAAATGCGCTGATAGGTTGATAGAACTGTTTGAAATCTTTTTCGGAGACAAGTGGCCCCCCTGGATGGTGCCTTTTTCTGGGGGTGGGGGTGGAGGGACGGCGATGACTCCTATTTCTTTAGGGTCTGTTGATAAAATTGAGAGACACAGGTGCTTCTTTAGAACATTATTGCTGCCAGGCTGGTAACAACCGGAGCAGATCCCCCAGGAACCTTTGGCTCCGGAAGCCTGAAGTGGTGTAGTGATGGTCTCATATCCAGTTCCTGCATTTCTCTTACCCTTTGGGCCTCAGCTCCTCCTCGTCATAGAAACCCGCTGGCCTCTCCCCTGCCCTAGTGTGCAGCTGTGACCTGAACATCTTGGTTGTATCAGGTCTTGGTCAAGAAATCAATCAGGAGGCACTGCTGGGGTTGGACAGATGGCTGAGTGGTTAAGAGCACTGACTGCTCCTCCAGAGGTGCGGAGTTCAATTTCTAACAGCATGGAGGCTCACAACCATCTCTAGTGGGATCTGATGCCCTCTACTGGCATTAAGGTGTACATGCAGACAGAGTACTCATACAGAAAATAAATATTTGAAGGGGTAGGAAGAGTACCTCTTGGCCATGAACCCCTGAGGTCTTTATCTAGGTCTTGTCTTGGGATTGCTGGTTCATGGCCATGGTGAAAACCAAGCCACCCTGCAACATTATCTATACTGTGTGTGGCCTTGGATCCCCTGCTTTTACACATGGATGTTCTGATAAAGTCGCCCCATTGCATTCTCACCAGAGCCTGTGGTGAGGAAACCCGTCACTGCCTCTTCCAGAGAAGGAAAAAAACATTCCCCTTGGCCAGGATCCAAAAATCAGTTTTACCCTCTCCCCGGAGGGCTGACCTGAGGGACCTCCCCATAGGGCCTTGACTCGCTAAGATCCTAACATCCAGTAGCAGCACACTAAAAAGCAAGCCTGTGACACTTAGATGCCTGAAGGCTAGTCCACCTCAGGACTGCAGAAGCTCAGGCAGGGACATCTAGGAGCAGGCAAGGAGGGAGGTCCCTTTCTTGGAATAAACCCCTTTGCAGAATCTAACCTTGGGGGGCAAGCTCTTTCAGCCAGAGCCAGGCCCCTTCTGCCATGGATAGAAACAAGGCTTTGCTCCCCTTTTATCATGGTCATAGGCCAGCAATTCCAAACCAGTCTGAGAAAGACCCCGAGTGTTCATGGCCAGTGGTTTCTCCTGATTTTCACTTGGTCAAAGACTGACTGGTGCACTGTTGATACAAATGTCCTGGGGGCAAGCTGCAACCATGCTTGCTTATAGCTGGGTGCCCAGGGGTTGCTGCTCTGACTAGTCTCCTGTGGCTGAGAGGCTTTGAGGCACCAGTCGGTACTGTCTCTGCTTTTTGAGAGCATCCAAGCTGGAACCAATTCTTGTTTACTGGCCCCTTAGGTATTTTTGCACCTAGGGTACCTTGATCTCAGAACTGGGACTGGTCCCCATCTTGCCAATCTTCCCACTGCCCCTACCTCCCTGCTGTCCTGATTTCACCAGGGCCTGTGCAGACATGCCCCTTGTTGGTTGCTATAATATAATAATATATACAATAATAATATAGTATAATATTGCACTCGGGGCTGCTGAATATGTGACAGGGATCATTTATCTTCTCATTTGGGAGGGGAAAGTCCAAGTCTGTGCCCCCAGGACTCTGCCTCTGGTGACAGCCCCTGACGGTGTGGATGTCGCTGATAAAAGATAAAATGAGATGTCCTCATGTTAATTATGAAAACCAGAGGGTGGGAGAATGGGATCACAACTAAAGCCGCAGATGCAAACATACTACGGAACCTGGGCTTCAAGGTCCACCTACTGGGATAGAGCTCAGCCACTGCTATGGTAGAGCTCAGCCACCGCTATGATAGAGCTCAGTCACTGCTATGGTAGAGCTCAGCCACTTCATTAACCTCTGTCCTTGAGCCTCACTCACTGCATGGTGTCTGTTCCACCACGGGAGTTCCTGGCTGGACGCATACTCCCTCAGCAGGGGCCCTCCCTAGGGACCCATATTAGCAGCACAACACTAGACTTACAGAACCCAGTATTTGGCTTCGGTCATGAACTTCATCCTTCCTCAGAACCTGTGTCCAGCTCTTTTCCAAAGCCATGACTAGGGCTATGAGCATATGTTGGTCTCAACCACACGGCTGTCCCCTCTGTTTGTAAGGGTTTCCTTGTCCCAGAAATTACACACGCTGCATTGTCTATAAGCCACAGCCAATGCTGATGCATGACACAGGTATTACATTTACCTGCTAGGCTTCCCCTGCCTGGAACAAACATGTGGAAATGTCGTAGGGCATCCTCTTCAGAGAGAGCTGGTTACAGGTCAGGAGCAAGATGATGAGCTATGTGAGAAATTACCCACCAACCCCAGGGGATCAAGTCCTTTTGGTGCCACACACTCAACACACATGTGGAATAAAGAACACATGGAACCTCCAGGTTGCCATGCCTGTGTGGGAAAGAGCTGTCTTAGATCTGGTGACCTGTGAGCCTCGTTTCTTCAGTGACTACCTCCTTGAGCCACGTCTGCCCGGCATGTCATTTTTTTCTTCTTTTGCTTTTTAACTGTGTGTGTAAGAGGGTTTTAAGCAGCGTGTGAGTGCAGATGCCCTCAGAAGCGAGCTGTGTAATTCCTGGGAGGCGGAGTTAGAAGCAGTTGTGAGCTGCCCAACCTGGGAACTGAAACCAAAGTCAGTTCAAACTCTGCCAAAGCAGCATGTGCCTTTATCCGCTGAGCCACCTTACCAATCAAGGTCCCGGTTATTTTACCCACAGGATAAGCAGAGGACACTGTTCCAGATAACCGTTTATTTAAATGTTTCCCTTTCAATAAATAAAAGCTAAAACTCCCAGAAGTGTAACACGAAAGCAGTCACTGCTGGCTCCTGTGTGCTTGGGAAGGGACTGTGTGGCTCACTCTGCAAGGCAGGCAGCCGCGGGCAGTGTACCAAAGCTAGCCAGACGCCAGGGGAGCCCCTCTGAAGGCAAAACCAGACAAGTCTCAGAACAGAAGGGTGTGTTCAAGTGCTGTTTCTGAGTTCCACGTCTGGGCCCCTTTTGTGCTGAATACAAAGGTGGACTACTTTAGGATCCGCCCCCAGTAGACGTCCATCTCTGGGGCCAGGCTGCTGCCCGCTCATCCTTCCCTGTGGCCACACCCACCATGGTAAGGACTCTGAGCAGCCCTTCCATTTACAGGACCAAATCCTGAGACGCTGGTGGGCTTGAAGCTGGCTCCCTACCTAACCTTGCCTAGTTCCTTTCGGGGATGGTGTGGCACTTTTTGGCACAGCAGTGTGGACAGGCCTGTATTACTTCTGGAAAAGCCCATCACATCACTGAAACCTTGAGTCAGAAGTGCTGGTGACACATGGGACTTAGAGATTTGGTGAGGCCTCTTGGCACTAAGTGCCATCAGTGGCGGAGAGGATCCCCCCGAGGACAGAGCCCAGCCCAGTGTACTTCCACTCTTCCTGTCTCTGAGACCGAGGACTTGTGATCCCCACGTGTGGTCAGAAAGGCACTGTGTGCGTCTCCTAATACTCACAGGACATTGTCTGTCTCCTGGGCCTCTGCATGGTCAGGGCAAGGGACCAGGAGAGGTGAAGGGACTTCTCAAGACTGTCTGGGTCACTGGGGACCAAGGGTGTCCCCAGGTACACCTATCAGCCTGCAGATGGTCATAGGGGTCGGGCTACTAGACAAAGGTGAGAAGAGGGGCCGGAGTGTACCTGAGAAGGGGGTCTCAGGGAAAATAAAGAGCAGCGACCCATCTGTGGCACTGTAGAAGGAGAGATGGCCAGCTTCATAGTCCAGAAAGATCCCCACACGCTTGGGAGGGTCTCGTAGGGGGGAGAAGGCCCGCTCGGTGGAATTATAGAAACTCCCCAGGAACACCAGAATCCAGAACCCGTTGCCAGCTGACAGCTCCCCCTTCTCCTTCCTGTTGACATTTTCTTTACATACACCAAGCGCCCAGCTGGTACGGTCCCCAACTTCTACCTCCCAGTAATGGCGGCCAGAGGTAATGCGTTCCTGGCCTAGCACGCAGGGGCCTGGGTCAAACCGCTCCGGGCTGTCAGGCAGGGCCTGCCGCTGGTCACCACGCTGCACACTCCTCCGGTCCTCAGATAAGACCAGCTCCGGGTTGGCGGTGTCTGGGTCTAGAGTTATGTCCCCTGTGTAGAAGCCCGAGGTCAACCACACTCCCAAGTCAGCCCCCATCTGCTCTGGCAATCAGCCAAACCCTCCCCTGCTGTTGGCTGGAGCCTCAGGTTGAACTAACTATCCCCAGTAAAGAACTTCACCTCCCTGGGAAAAAACACCTACTCTATCTTTACCCAGAATGTTCTAGAAACTAGTCCTACATCTACTTATGCTGACAAGAGAGCATTCTGACTGCTTGCTTACTACACAGTCGAGGGTGACTTTCAAGTGTAGATCCTTCTGTTCCCCCACGTCCTGACCACTTTTTACATTTGTTTTTTGTCTTTCACTCCCCAATGGAGGACTGGGTTTGGGCAGCAACGGCACCCTGGGCCCTGTAGGATTCTAACAGGGACAGGCTCAGGAACTTCCCGGACTACAGTCTCAGGGGACTTCTGGTCTACCTACCTCTGGGCCTGGCGTGCCCCCCCCCCCATCGACCTTTGACTTGAACCAAGGGCAGCGGTCCCTTGGACAACCAAGGCTTAGCAACAGAGTCCCTCCCTGGCTCCCGAGGAAGGCCTGACAATGCACTTTGCCAGTCGTAATGGTCCCCTTACATCACACCTGAACTTCTGCTGTTAAGATGGTTCAGGTGGGGCCTGCTGATAATGTCAGGAGGGGGTGGTCACCACAGCCAGCTGTGGGATAGAAGAATGTGCACTTCAGCCTCATTCACGGGCTCCAGGAGAGGAGAGGAGGCAGGAGTCAAGTTTGCTCATAATGATCTGGCACAATGACCCACAGAACAGAGCCTCCCCCAAAACTCCTTAAAGGTGGGGGTCCAAGGAGATACTGAGCTGGGGAGCTCATCAAGGTGCCAGGCGGGAAGTGTCCAGTGAGGGCGGGAAGGCTCCGTGCCTATCCTCCAGCCTTGTCCACGCATCTCTTTTTTTGTTTTGTTTTTTGAGACAGGGTTTCTCTGTAGCTTTGGAGCCTGTCCTGGAACTCGCTCTGTAGACCAGGCTGGCATCAAACTCATAGAGATCTGCCTGCGTCTGCCTCCTGAGTGCTGGGATTTAAGGCATGCATCACCACTGACCAACCATACAGCTCTTTCTTAACTGCAGCTTTTGTAACAGTTAATACTAAGCAAAGTGTCTCCTGGATTTTGTGAGCCACCCTAGCTAATTATCTGACATTAGGTAGGGGCTGTCCTCACAACCCTTTGGAGGAAGAGCCGGGAGACAGAAATATGGGCACCCCTGGGTCTTGGAAGGGGCATTGAAGTAGGGCAGTCTTGTGAGGCTGGGCCTGATGGAGAACGGCTTGGTTTGGAAATAGCCATCCATGGTAACATGTCTAAAGCAGAAGGAAGTTTCTAGAACAGCTGCTCTAAGCTACTGGATCCATGACAGCTCTGCTCCCACGACTAAACACCTACCTTGGAACCTCCGCAGGATCTCCACCAGCCCTGGGACCCGGCACACGGTCCTCAGCTCCATGGGCACCACCTCTGGAGGCTGCAGCTTCACATCCTGCACCCTACAAGGGACAGCTCAGCTTCATGCCTGGGGCCAGCAGCTGGGCCCCACCCAAACCCTGCCCGGCTGCCCAGGCTCATACCTGCATAGGGCGTCCTTAATGTCCTGTAGAAGGGAGGAAGGGTACACTTGTTACCAAGGCTCGTGACCTCATCCTGGGTCTCCCCAGATCATTCCAGCCCCTTTTGGCAAAGACACACACACACACACACACACACACACACACACACACACACGTGGGATCAGGTCATAGGCCTGCGGAGAAATGTCCTGGAGGGTAGACCAGGTTCCAGATCAAGCTCTGCCTCTTCCTTTCACAGAAAATGATGGGTCACTGCCTACTTTGTCCACGGAATCCCATGTAGCAGGACTCCCTGCTACTCTTAGGACAGGACAGGCACATGTGTTTGCCCCATGAATGGGAGTGCTGTGTCAGGTGAGGCCCCCACTGTGCCCACTGTGTCCTCTGCCCCCTCTCCTAATACTGTCTCCAAGGTCCCACAGATGCCCCGGCTTGGCCTTCTGTGTCTATTTATCTAATCTGCACGAGCACTGCAGTCAGCAGCCAAGCTGTGTCCCTCCCTCCTCCAGACCTTGGAATGTAACTGTATTTCAAGATACAGGCTGTCGAAAATTACTATTAGATACATCCCTATTTTTTATGGATCAGAGAGGCTCCAAATGCCCCCCCCCCACCAAACACAGGCTTATGACTGCTCTTGGTTACCCACCATCAATAGAAGGTAAGCCTCTATTGTTGAGGACACAAGGCACTTTGGTCGCAGGTCATAGTGAAATCAAGTTGAATGGACCTGGAAATAACCTCCCTGGTGGCTAGCTGTCAGAGGACCAAAGTCATCAACAGACTCACTCAAAGGTGGATCCGAGTGCAATGCCAACCTATGAGGCAAGATGTGCCCACTGCAACAATAGTGGCATGGAGGCTATGGGGTAACCAACTGCTTTTTCACTGGGTTTGAGACCTGCTCAGCAGGACAAAGGAATTTATGCCTGTAAGGCTAGGGAAGCCCTTGGCCCTAGAGGGGAACCTACAACTGTGGATTTGCTAGACAGACATTTGTCAAACCACCTTCTAAATGTTTATGTTTCTATCATCTATAGGTAAGAACCTTGGCTAGAGAAGATTCTCTTTGCAGGAGGCAGGAGGCAGTGCAGAGCCTCAACACTAGTCAAGGTCCCGAGAATGCTCAACGCGTCATTTCTGTCCGCATGGGCATCCCCACGAGGGACATCACAGGAGGGAGCGGAGGATGGAGAGAAATGCTGGGAAATGCTGTCTCTGGACCTGACATGCCCACTGGACTTAGGAATTCACAGCAGCTGTGGTTACCCGCACAAGGCCAAGCCAGTCAGGAAGTCCAGCATGACAGGGGTGAGCTCATTAGGTGACTGCCAGGTTGTCTAGCACGTATGGGCGACACAAACCGGACTCGGGGTCATTTATATGAAAGAGAGTGAGAGAGCAGACAAGGGAAGAACAAATGCTGGGGTGGCGGGGAGTAGGGCATAGGTGTCTGAAACTTAAAAAAATTCTTTTTGCTTTTCTTTCTTTTTTTTGTTGGTTTTTCAAGACAGGGTTTCTTTGTATAGCCTTGGTTATCCTGGAACTCACTCTGTAGACCAAGCTGGCCTTGAACTCACAGAGATCTGCTTACCTCTCTCTGCCTCCTGAGTGCTGGGTGCCACCACCACCCGGTGAGAACTAATAAAATTTCTTTAAAAAAAAAAAAAAAGTCCCAGCAGGGAGGTGATGGTGCACACCGTTAATCCTAGTACTCAGAGGTTGAGGCAGACAGATCTCTGTGAGTTCAAGGCCAGCCTGGTCTACAAAGTGGATTTCAGGACAGCCAAGGCTATAAAAATCCAGGGAAAAGAGGAGCAGGAGGGGAGCAGGCAGTAGTGGGGTACAAGTGGGGGAAGGATGGGGGGCACATGTGCAGCTAGGCAGCCTGGTGCTGTGACATACGAGTGGATGGCCAAACCCACCACATACAAAAACAAATCCAAATCTGGTATTCACACAGATCTCTGCACCCCCAACTCCAAGTCACCCCTTCTTCCTAAGACCTTCCAGCATTTTGTCGTCCTATAGCCCAGGAGGGTGACTGTGGCTAACAACCTGTACCCTATCACGTCTGATGAACCACAAGATGGGTTTGACTTTTCGTGTTTCCTGTCTGGACCAGTGACTCTCACTAGTTGCTTACACGAGTATGAGCACCTTATCGTGGGTACACAGCACACGCATGCACGCATACACACACCACACCACACACACACAAAAAAACCTTTCCCTAACAACATACAGCAATGTGTATTTATCTTTGAGAAGGAGCATGAGATTTGAATGAACTTAGCATGCGCGCGCGCGCACTTACACACACACACACACACACACACACACACACACACGTTAGGTGAGAGGTGTGTCAGTGCATTTAATCTGCTCTACCGGCATAGGCCTCTGTCTCCTTCCTCTCTGTTCCCCTGGTCTTCCCTTCAAGAGCTCCCAGAGACATTTCTATTTGGCAGGCTCTAGCCATCTGACAGCTTGGTAAAGGTCAAAATCCTTGGGTGTCTCTTCCCAGTGAGCCACCCTCCTGCTATGGACCCAGCACCTGGGCCTCAGAGGGAGCCTCTGTCCTTCATGGAAGGCAAAGGGCCAGTCTTAGACCCCACATCTACACACCAGGGAGATGGTATTGGGGTGGCGGGTGGCACAAAGCACAGCCAAGTCCCTAAGGAAGGGCAACGGTGACCCCCACAGCTGCACTCAGCAGTCGCCCCCTGAATCCCATCAATGCCCACTTGACAAATGGGGAGATTGAGGCCCTGAGCCTGTTGAAGGGTCCTAGAACTGACTGCACTGTTCGTGTCATCTAGACTGCCCTGCGACAGAGGGCAGAGGGACAGAGTGTTCTGGCTTGGGGGAAATGAAGAGAAGCCAAGATTCGGGGGGGAGCAGAGCTGAGGCATACATCTCGGGGATAACTTTGAAAAGAAATCAAAGAAGTGAGGTGCAAAGGGACTGGCTACATTTTGAGGTACATATGGAAATTTAATCCCCACCACGAGGTCGTCTGAGGAGGACTTCTCTGAAGTGATTTGTCCTAGTGGTTCTGGGAGCCCCTATCAGAGGCCTGACCTTAACTCCCCAATCTCACACTGCTGTAGCAGAAAATGAGGGGGACGACCCCCCACAAAGATAACCAGACATTCAAGGTGTGAAAGGGCGAAAGGGTTGGGGTGTGAGTCCTACTGAGCTCTCAGGGTCCAGGAGCAAGGATGAGTAACCAGCGAGGGACAGAAGCACCCCCCTGAACTAAACGAGTCCTATCCTGTCCCCCAAAGTACATGGGCTGGCCTACATCCACTCTGCTGTGTCCACAGAGAACAGCCTGAGAAGATGGGAAGCCATTGCTGGGACTCTTTTCACAGTCTGCCTCACAGTGTGCCCTCGTTTCACGCCTATACACTCAACTGACTGGGGGTTGAAAGTAAAATCACATCTGGACTGAACACATGACACTTACCCTTCCCATTATCCCTTAAAAATGGCGCAGCAGCTGTTGAGAGCGTGTTCTGAATACTCAGACTCTCCGGTCAGCCCGCAGCAATGGAAGGCAGGCAGAGGATGTGCATAGCTGATACGCAAACCCTGTACCCTTTCATTTAAGGAACTGGCGCATCCCCACTGGGAGCCTTGGGGGCTGGCATCCCTCTCTGTGGACATCAAGGGCTACTTCTCTTTCTTTTATTCATCACACCGAGTATTGGGTGGCAAAATGCTGGGACACCCGTCTTAGTCACTGTGATATTTACAGAAGACAGGCAGGCCAGGCTCTCTGTAGACTCTAGTCGGTTATGGACAAGCTCTGCCAACACTTTCCCATTCTGAATCCTTTGCCAGCTCAACCCCCTCACATGGAGCACAGTAGGAAATACCAGGCCTGCCTGTGGCCAGTGGTGGAGGCAGAAGGCAGGCAAGTGGCTGGGACTTGGGGCTGCACTGCATGCCCCGTGCTCACCATGCAATAGGAAGGTGCAGACCCTGTGTGTCTGGAGAGGAAGCAGCGTGCCCAGCAGTGGGGTGAGGGGTGCGGACCCGATGTTCCCCTTGAGAGTACCGTGGAGCTCCGGACATTCCGCCCAGCCCACTCACCTGCAATAACCCCAGCGCTGGCAGCTGGCAGCGGTTCTCGAGCTCCGAGATGAGGGCTGCCAGCTGTGTGCTTTGCTGGCCAAGTCTCGCGGCGCCTTCGCGCAGCCGTGGCAGGACCTCCAGCTCCTCTTCCTCCAGCTTCTGCAGCAGTTGCTGCTCCTCCTCTGCCAACAAGCGGCGCAGCCTCTCAAACTCGCCCAGCACATTCTGCCGCTGGCTCTCCACCATCTTCTGTAGGGCACAAGAAAGACAGCTGAGGGTGAGGCCTGATGCCAGACCAGAGACTGACCATTTGGGGGTGCCCACACCCCAAATCCACCACCCTAGGCTGATCAGACACAGAATAGACCACCAGGAGCTGTCTAGACCCCAAGAGCTGGAAGCACATCCAATCTGTTATTCATGGCTGCCCAGATACACCGACAACTCTGGGCGAGATTCACAACCCAAACCCACCCCTTGAGCCAGCCGACCTCCAATCTACCACCTGTGGCTACTCAGATTCAAGATCCATTCCTGGGCCCAGCCACACCCAACATCTGTCACACAGGCCCCAAGTCCATCTCCAGATGTCAGCCAGACCAAGCTGCCATTGCAAAGCTAGATATGCTAATGCCAAATACCTCCCTGACCCCTAAATACACTATGGGGGACCTCCCCATACCTGGCCTGCTCCTGATATCCATCGAGACCCATCCTTGGGATCCCTCATGTCTGCTCCCTCTATTACCCTGAACTCAAGCATGTCAGGACCCCAGGAAGGGCAGAAGGACAGAATCAAACTTTAGCATCCTCGATTACACACACACACACACACACACACACACACACACTGGCCTGACCACAGGGTGTCTCGGGCTAGTCTGGCATCCAGCTACTGACTCAATGCTCCCTCCTTCACCCGGGACCCAGCACCTGCCTGCCACAAGGCACAGGTTTCCTCAGCCTGGGCTTGGAACAGCATCGCATCCTCCATTTGTTTCCGCAGGTGCTCCAGGGACTTCTCCAGCCTCCCCTGGTGGGATGGAGACCAGGCGGTGCCATGAGAATCCCAACTGGCATCGGGCCCTATAGGGGGGCCCAGACACAGAAGTCTGCCTCTTCCCTCCTGACCAACCTCTTCCCCATTAGGCCAAATGAAATTTGTCCGGATAATGGCAGGATACAATGCTCCCCAGTGGCAGGTATCCTCCTGATTTGGCAGTATCCCCTTTAGTGACAAAGGCTACCCCTCCCCCAACTTACCAAATGTCAAGGTTCCTCCTTATTTTCGGTTCTAGCCCTGTGACCCTATGTCAGTCCTGCTGGCCTCTACAGAGTAGACAGCTTGTTCCCTGCTTGGTGGACGCACCCAGGCTCCCTCAACAGGACACACCCACCAAGCTGGCACTGAAAACTGAGCTTCCCTCCTCCCTCCAAGCCACATCCCCCTCCTCTTCCCGTGTGGTCATAAGGGGTCACAGCAAGTCAGAGGCTAAGATTTGAGTGTTCCCCAAAATTCCTAGGTTGAAAACCTGATCGCCTAGGTGATGAGCAAGACTTTTGGAAGGTGACTGAGATATGAGAGTAAGGCCCTCTGGATAGGATCTCAGAGTTCCTGCTTCTTCCACGGGAGAACACAGCAAGAAGGGGGCCACTTGTGAGCCGGGAAGCAGTCCTTACTAGACACACCGTGCCCCTGGACAGCCTCCAGGGCTGTGTGCCACAGCTGTCTGTGGCTAAGACAGAGGTGGGAACGTACCACGGGGGCTCAAGCCAGATGCAGATGTGACTTCCCATCCCACCTTTTCTCCCAGTGCCTTGTCTGGGATGGATCTGATCCCGTTTCCATTTCCACGTCCCTGCAGTTTCGTGTACCCCAGAATGGCAAGCATTCCTATGAACAGGTCAACTGGGTAGCATGTGTTTGTCTCCAACAGGGTCTGTTTATATGGACCCAAACCTTATCAAATCCAGGCCTGGACAAGGTGCTGGAGGAAATCCTGCTGTCAGTTAGGGAGGAGAGGTGGAACCCAGATGTGCTCAACCATCATCAGGGCTATGGCAGAAGCCCTGGGCCTGTCCCAGATGCTGTGTAACTTCTCTTGTTACTTGGCCCCCTCATCATGTACACCTCCAGCTTGCGATCTAGGTTCTGTCCACGTCTTTCCCGTGTTTTCTCCTGGAACACAGGGCCTCACACATGCTAAGCGAGTGCCTTACCAGAGTTACATCTAGCCCTCTCTGTTGTAACAGGGTCTTACTGAGTCAGCGGTTACTGGCTTTGCACTTACTCTGCAACCCAGGTAGGGCCTGAACTTTGATTTCCCTGTCTCAGCCTTCTGAGTAGCTGGACAGACATGAGCCGCCATACCCAGCCATTTTCTCATAAAAAAAAATCCTTATTATCTTGATTACACGTATGTCTGCAAGTGGGATGTGCACCTCAGTGTGCATGCCTGTAGAGCCAGACATGTCAGCTCCCCTTAGAGCTCGGGTTACAGGTAGCTATGAGCGGCCCAGCATCAGTGCTGGGAACTGAACTTGGGCAATCTGGAAAAGCAGTAAACTCTAACTACTGGAGACATCACTCCTGACCCCATTTCCCCATTATCCATGCTGAGGTCAGGGACAGCATTTTAAACAGAGTGACCTTGTGAAGCAGCAGCATGTGACGCCGGCAAAAGCTTCAAGTTCTGGTTGCCCTGAGATAGCCTGGGTTCTCCCCTCAGCTCCCAGTTCCCGCCTATGTGAACCCTCCTCCCACCTCTCTGACTTTACTGCAGAACTGGAGGCTCCCCTCTGGGTACTACTCACGCATGGCCCCGGGAGCCACAGCCAAAGAGTGAACTTGTCACCAGAGCCATGGAAGCCAGTATGGCCCAGGGGACACCATGGCAAGCTCCGATGAGTGGAGGAATGGCAGACCCACTGATCACAGGTAAAAGCTGTTTGCTGACTTCCTGGTGTCCCTGTTAAACTGTGTCCCCATTTGCGAACCTGCCCAGGTGCTGTGAGGTTTAGGTGGAGGGAAGCGCTTCTGCACAGACATAGGCGGGCAGAAGGCAGAGTTCTGCAGGAGACACTCTGCCTTTAGCATCCTACTTCCTAGACAGGTCCACAATTGCTGAGACCCGGAAGTCCAGGGCTCTTTCTGGTAACTCCACCTGTTTGGATAAGAGCCCTAGGGTAACGGCTTCTCTGAGTATTTCTTTCTTTTTCCTTGTGATGCCCTATGCAGGAGAAAACGCTATTTGAGCTGTAACTTTTCTCCTGTTGATCTGTCTTGGTAGCTTAATTGTCAAGCTCAGACAACGACCCTAACAAGAAAGACGATAGGCTTTTCTTCTTCTAATAGAGCAGTTTTAGAGTTGCCCTGCCAGGATTTATCATGTCACTTCTGGAAAGATGTGGGTCCCGTTCCGCACCATCAAGGGGCTTGCGGTGGCAGAAAGGTAAACCCACTGAAACAATGAATCCGGTAAGGCGCAAGCAAGACGAAAACCACAGGGATAGCTCTGTTTATAAGCTTCGATCCCCTGTGCTGAAATCCAAAGCAAAGGAGACTTGGTGCCTGCTTATTCTGGTGACCTGAGTTCATGCTGGGATGGTAACATATTGGCCGAGTGTCAACTCTGACGTCAGCCAAACTGTTCATCGCACAGGCACAGCGGCCCCTCCAGCCCAGTCAAGACTGACTGCCAGCGCTCCGTTTTCCCGGAATGCCGGTGCAATCGCATCCTGGGAAAAGCCAGGCTACACTCCGACCACCTCAAGGGACCAGGATAACTGTAACTTACACTCCCTCACCCAAGGAGGGACAGTGACGGGACTTCCCTTCGCTCCAGGCACGGACCGGACCGGTTGCCTCCGGCGGAACGCACCTTGAGGTCTTCGGCCGCGTCCTGCAGCGGTCGTACCCGGTGAGCCCAGTGCTCTGAGCGCTCGCAGGTGGGACACAGCAGGCAGAGGTCGTCGCCGCAGAAGGTGGCCAGCGGCTCGCGGTGCGCCGCGCACACGCCCTGCGGGACCGGCGACGGCGGGTGCAGGCGCCGGGCCATTTCTGCCATTTTGGCGAGCGGGCGGTTGGGTCGCAGGTTCCTCTGCGCCGACAGCTCGCGGCACTCGGGACACGCATACGGGCCCTCGGGCTGGCCCCAGCAACGTCGGATGCACTCGCGGCAGAAGTTGTGACCGCAGTCGGTCATCACCGGGTCGGTGAAGTAATCGAGGCAGATGGCGCAGGTGGCCTCCTCCTGGAGGTTGGTGGACAAGTCTGGGGCGGCCATGGTGCGGGTGGCAGCGCCTGGACCAGGCTCTTTGCGGTGCACGGCGATCAGGCTACTCCGCTTGCGGGGGCTGAAGGGGCCACGGGCTCGGGACGAAGTGAACACACTCCCGGCCTCCCGTGTAGTGGGTATGCCCAGTACTAGGCTCGCAGACTTCCGCCGGAAGAGGAACCGTGGCGGAAGCAGGAAACTTTTTTTTTTTGGAACCCGCTTTTGTCCTGGATTGGCCGCTGCTTGTCACACGGCCTGGAGGTGGGACCGAATTGGAGCGCATTAGAGCGCCTATTCACGATGACAGGTCTCCGCAGGGGTGGCCCCTGCTCCCCCAGATTGCAACTTTGGCCGCAGGTCCGGAAAGGGATGTAGAGGAGTACCGAGGCACAGGACGACCCCGAGGACGTGCAAACACACCTAGGCTATGTTCGATGGAGTTGGTGGTTTCCCAATGCGCTTTCACCCTGTGTCCACAGCCCGCAGCACCCCTGGACTGTTGTCGCTCAGACACCCCCAACCCCACCCTCATGTCTGGGGGCAGACCCGAAGAGATCAGGGATAAGAAACGAGAAACGGTGTCCGGCCCGAGGGTCCAGAAGGCTCACAGTGAAAACCACTTCGGAAATGCGCGCGCTTGCCAGGGTGCCAGTAACTTGTAACGGGAATGGGAAGCGAGGGTTTCTCCGGAGAGGGAGTGGTAGGAACGGGCACTTTGAGCAAGGAGTGAGGAGCCCTTCCTAATCATCTTAAGGGGGTGGGGGCGGGGGCGGGGCGAGCTCCACCTTCTCTGTGAAGGATCCGAAGGCCAGAGGGCGCTAGGAACCAAGACATCAGCAAGCTTTTGGGGCGGGACCAAAGCTAACAAAACAGAAGACCAACTTGCCCGGTGAGCAAGTTCTCTCGGAAATGTCGGGGCCCTTTCCAAAGTTACCCTCATTTAGCATCTTATCAGTAGTCAGTTCAGAATTTGAGCATTTTAATCGTGGTTGTATTTCGGGAAATTGTCCTGCCAGCACAGGTATTGGCTCTCAGCGCTCCCAGAGAAAGCCTGGGTAGGTAGCCACGGTGGTGAAGTGCCCTGACTTCCGGGGAACCCAAGGCACGCCCAGGGACTGTGTCTGGTTCCAAGTCTCTATCCCTTCACCCACATGGTCACTGTGGAGATGACCATCTGGCCCGACTTTGGAGTTCCCAAGCAGAAGAACGGCAGCAGCGGCCCAGGGAAGGCGGTCTGGGAGAAGCTGTGCAAGTGACACCCATCGTTCACACTGTAGAAGGACACCTCCCCAGCCTGGAAGTCCAGGAAGATGCCCATGTGGCTGGGAGGCTCAGTGAGTGTGATGGGAGTGGAGTCAGGTAACAGGGACAAGTGCTTCTTCCCCTTGGACAGCTGCACTACCCAGAACCCATTTTCCGGGGATTTGGGCACCCTGTCCTTCCGGCTCACGTTGTCCCTGCACACGCCTAAGGCCCAGAGTCCATCCCCGGTAAGATTCATGCCCACTTCCCAGTAGTGCCTTCCAGAGGAAAAGCTCTTCTGTCCCACAGCGCAGGGGTAGGCCACGAACCGGTCCTTGCTCTGGGGGGTGCTGCCCTCTGGTGGTGGGCTCAGGTACCGCCTTTGGCGGCTCTCGTACAGGAGGAGATAGGGGTACGCAGAACTGGGGTCCGGCACCACATCTTCTACAGAGGGTCCAGGTGGACAGAGAAAAATAGAGGTCATTCAAGGTCAAAGGTGGGAAGGCCAGAACCCTCAAAATAGGCGGGGGTGAGGCATGGTGGCCAAATGGCTCTTTTCCATACCCACTCAAAATCCTCCCCTCCACCAGTTCCAGCTGAGAATCGGGGTTACCTAAGGGTTCCACACTCTAAATCCCCGTGGACATTGATGACGGGGAGTCACTGGGGATAACTGGGGAAAGCTTAATTCAGCAGATGGTCAGACTTGGAAAGACATTAAGTACAGTTTAAGGCACTAATCTCCAGTTGGTGACTCTGATGCTGCGTGGCATCCGGGTAAGGTGGAGCGGTGTCAAGGGAACTGGGACTCGCGATTGGAGACCTGGGTGTCCGCTTACCTTGGAAACTTTTGAGCACTTCTATCTGCCCTGGAACTCGGCACACGGTCTTGATGGCTACGGGGAGGGCCATCTCTGGATACTTCACGCAGAGGCTCTCCCTCCTCCAAAGAACACAGACTCATATGCTCTCTGGCTCTCCGTGTGGCCCTCCCTCACCCACCTCCACCACGACCTCTACTGAGGGCAACATGGTACCTGGCCAAGGTATCCTTCACGTCCTGCAAACAACGAGGAGGAGAGTTAAGAGCTGGTCCCGCTGGTTACCTCTAAGCTACCTCTGTTGCCCACTGCTTTGGGACATGTCCCCTTCCGGACAGCCCCTTCCCAGATAGCAGGTTCATACGCTCCCTGGATCTTCCCTTTCCCTCCATTTGGCAGGCGCTAACCATCTCCTCACGGCCACAAGCCTGGGGTCAGCAGAGAGTAGGTGACAAGTTCTGCGAAACCTGCACCACTTACCTTTGCAGTAGAGGGGACAGACCACAGGGCCCCTGCTAAGCAGGCACTCTACCACTGAGCCACCCCCACCCGGCTCTTTACCCAATACTTCCTTTGAGGCAACTAAGCCATGGATCAGTCAGTTGTCCTTGTATGTACCACGCCTGTGTGTGTGTGTGTGTGTGTGTGTGTGTGTATTATGATGCCGTTTGCGAGCCTGGCATAGAAGATGCTAACAGAACAGCACCACCCTAACAACAGAGTAAGTCTATGCTGTCCATCCATCCAAGCGACCCCAGCAGGCGACCTGCAGAGAGCTTCGCTTGAAGAAGGCTGCTCAGGCATCTCCGTGGCACAAATAAATTGCCAGCTTCTCTGCTCCCGTGCTTCGGAGCCATTGTTAACTAAGTGTTACTCGTGCATGACCACAACCCATGGAACACGTAACCCAGGGTACACCCACAACCCATGGAACATGCAACCCAGGGTACACCCACAACCCATGGAACATGTAACCCAGGGTACACCCACCACCCATGGAACATGTAACCCAGGGTACACCCACAACCCATGGAACACGTAACCCAGGGTACACCCACAACCCATGGAACATGTAACCCAGGGTACACCCACAACCCATGCCCCCACAGTAGCCTTGACAGCCGAGACAGTCACTGACACCGTGAGCTAAGGACTGGTTCACGCCCTGGGTGGATTTTATCTGAGTAGCCTCAGAAGAGCATGCAGTTTAAAACCTAAGAATTCTTTGCTTTCTGGATTTTTTTTTCTTTTCCCTTCAGTATTTTCAGGTTGAGCGTAAGTGAAGCCATTCAGGAAGTAAAGCTGTGGATAAGGAGGACAGGGTCCTGAGTTTTCCTTCTTTGGACTCAAGCAGCTGCAGATCCAGTTAGGGTGCATCCAGCAATGGGGCGAAGAATGAGGGCAGGGAACACAGTGGGCACGGTTTGAGGAGGGAGAGCCTAGGGCCTCTGGAGAGTTTCTAGAAACCCAGAATCTACAAACACCATTAACCTTCTGGCCTGGGAAATCCATGCATTTATAGTGTTCCCCTCGTGGTTCACTGCCTTGTCTAGATGTGGTGTGCTCCCCGGCAGAATCAGGTTGGAATACAATTGCTAGCGTCACAGTATTGAGCAGTCACAGTGTGGGCCCTTAGGAGGTGAGGAGGCCACAGGTCCCTCGGGGTAAACGGAGGTGAGAGGGGGTGGATAAGTCACCTTGCCTCATTCACGCTGGCAGATGCTGGCTGACTTTTGTCGTGAGGCCTTTACCAGAGGAAAGCAGTTGGAAGTACCATGCTCTTGGACTTCCAGAACTCTGGGCTAAAACAGCCTCATTTTTTTTTAAAAAAATGCATTTTATTGTCTCTCCCTCGGGGTGTGTGTGTGTGTATCTACTGGAGGGCAGTGTGAGATGTTCGCTGTTCAGCACTGAGATGGGATGGGTAGGTGGCCCTCAGCCCTGCCCAGCCCCGTCCTGTGTGTCAGGCTGCATGCGTTCTGCAAGCTCCTGGGCTGAGCGCACATCCTCAGACCATGCCCCACCTCATGGTGCACCCACAGGTTTGTGGCAGCACAGGGAAGGTCCCAGGGATTCTCAGCACCCTCTGGCCTCACCTGCAGCATCTGGAGGGGCCCCTGCTGGCTGTGCTCTTCCAGCTGCAACAGGAGCAGGTCCAGAGAGCTGCTTTGGCTATCCAGGAAGGCCTTGCTGTCCTGCAGCCTCCCTACGGTATCCTCTTCCTCCTTCTTCAGGACCTGGAGAAGCCGACGTTCCTCTTCCACCAGGAATAGGACCACCTTCTGGAACTCCTCCAGGATGCGCTCTCTGCGCTCCTTCACTTTCTCCTGTGGGAGTGGGATGTGCCCAGACAGGATGGCTTTCCTTCAAGGTTGCCATACAGCAGTTCTAGACAGTTGGTGACCTAGAACTCTTGGTCAAAGTTGGAAACCAGGGCCTTTGACAGAGGTCCCCATGCCATCTCTTGTTACACCCTAACCGATCAGACCCTGAGTGGCAGCATTCCTACATTCAAATGTCTGCGTGTCCTGGTGTGGGTGGGTTCAGAACATGCCACCTCAAGGAAGGACACAGGCATGATTCATAAAAAGGACAGTGGGCTCCTAATGACCAGGCTAAACGTCAGACTGGAGTTATCGAAAGCTAACCAAAACTCCTAAGAAATCAGAATTTCACCACAAGAGCTAAACTTTCCAATCAGGCCCCTCCCTCCTTGGTTTCCTCTCTCTTACCCCCACAGTGTGTGTGTGTGTGTGTGTGTGTGTGTGTGTTATGTACTTGTCTTCCTTTTTTTTTTTTTTTTCTGAGACAGGCTCTTCTGGGGTCACACACAGGCGCACCAACAAGCCCAACCCCCCGAATAGGTCATTTCCTGTGATCAGGAGGAAGTCACTTGCCCAGCAGTGATAAAGGACTGTTAACCAACTGGTCGTTTTTCTATTGTCTCCCTGATCCCACTTCACACAGAAGATAGCTTTGGAATGGAATGGCCCGTCTGCAGCCCTTCTCAGATGCGAAGGTACAACTCGCATTTGTTTTATGGGAAATTTGCCTGGTTCTAGACGAAATAGAGCTATTTAAGATCTGAACTAATTAAAAAAAACATTTAAAAGGGACTGGAGAGATGGTTTAGCAGTTAAAAGCACTGCCTGCTCTTCCAGAGGACCAGGGTTTGATTCCCAGCACCCATACAGGCTCACTCATCTTTAAGTCTTGTCCTGGGGGTATGATGCCCTCTTCTGGCCTTGTCTGGCACTGCATGCACGTTTTTCATAAACACACCCAGGCAAGATGAATTAAAATATTGTCTGAACTAGCCAGGTGCAGAGTGCTGTAGTCATAGCTAGCTGGGAGGCTGAGGCAGGAGGATCACTTAAGCCTACGAGTTTAAGGCTAACTTGAATAATTGTGAAGACCCTGTTTACAAACAAAACCTTTTACATGTGGTGTGTTGTAATTTGTCCTCTGACCAACTTCATTTGTTCTAGCAGGCTCCATCACCTGAGACTCATTTTTTGTTTGAGGACCATTCTCACTATTATTAAAATCATCTTTTAAAATCCTGCTTACCTGTCTTGTGTAAACTTAATTCCAGGTCAGACACCAAACCTTCAGAGTCCAGGAACCCCTTTCCTCCCTGAAGCCTCCCACCCTGAACGGGCCCTTCCTGTCATGGGATGAGGATGGATATGGAGACACAGGATGGATGACAGCCATTGGGCACCCACCTGCCATTGAGTTAAGGTCTCTTCCCCCTTGGCTTGGAGCGTCTCCGTCTTCGTCACCTCCTCCCGAAGATACTTTATGTCTTCCTCCAACTTTGTCTGGATACACAAACACAGGCCTCAGGTAAGTGGATCCCATGTCTGCTTATGTCTGGACTGTGTGGTCTTTCAGGTTGCACTGAGACCCTCTAACAGGAGCTCAGGGAACCAGACAGTCCCCATCCCCAAAGAGCCTCAGTCTCCCAGATAGCTATAACTATAGCTGTGCACTTCTGCACCTGGCTAGTTCGAATAATTTTTTAAAATTCATTTTGCCTGCATGTGTTTCCGGAAAAAAAAAATGTGCATGCAGTTCCAGGAAAGGCCAGAAGAGGGCTCTGGAACTCCTGGAGCGGGACTTAAAGACGGGCTAGCCACTTGGGTGCCAGGAATCAAAACAAAGCGAAAATCAGAGCACTTTGGCAGCGAGGTGTTCAGCCCATAACACGCACGAACAAATGACCTTCAGTCAGGAAGTAAAACTGGATGACTGAAGGTTCCAGCTCCCCACTCCAGTGGCCATGCCAGGCTGTGGGCCCCGAGTTAGCCCATGAGATGTTCAGGAAAGGAGTCTTTATTGACCTGGGTTTTGGAGGTTAGATCACTGTAATATACACTATATTCGTAAATTGTCTATGCTGCCTGAACTCACTGAGCAGCTGTCTTTGGAAACAGGGTAGCCCTGCATCTATTTTACACTCGGGCATGTTTGTCTCAAAATGTCCTTGAAAGCCCCTTGTCCTGGGATGGGCTGGCCCCCTAACTGTGATAAGTAGAGGGGTAAAAAACAACAACAACAAGCAAACTGTAAAATAGCCCAAGAATAAAAATGTGCCCTCGAGAACAATTAGAAGACAAGGCATTTTCCAGAAGTTAGGGCTGTTGATCCTGTGATAGACAAAACGCATCATGAGGAACATGGAGAGAAAGCTCAGTTAAAACAAATAAAAAATCTCGAGCTGACTGCCTCAACTGCCCCAGTCAACTCTGCTGAAGTCTCTAAGTCCCCGATTTGGCAATGTTGCCTTTTGCTCCTTTGATCAGGCTCCTCCCTCAGTTGTCTCCAACCCAAGTTGTCAGCTTGCTGTTGTGACCTCATTGGATGAAGTCTTGCGTTTCTCCACTGCTTCTATCTGCTACTCATTGTCTTTACTGTTGCTTGCTATACACCTAATTACATCCCTCACTAATAATCGTGCTACCCTAGACCCTCCTTGGGAACAGGCAGATCTGGCATACACCTATTTTGCCCTGGGGGCAAAGGACACTTCCTTCCTGTTGCTTGGCCTCCAAGCATGCACGTGCCGCCCCCCCCCCCAACAGCAGTGCTCTTTTTATGAACTGAAAGTCTACATTCCTCACACCTTGAGTAAAAGCCAACTTGACAGATCCCCCCAGCCCCAAGCGTTGATCACTAGCCCCTGGTCATTCTTCCCCAGTGCTGGCCAAGGCTCCTCCTGGACAGGAGGCCCCTCATCTTGCATTCACCTTATACTCCCTTGCAGCCTCATCCACAGGCTTCACGCTGTGCACCCGTTGCTCCTGGGCCTCCCTGCAGACCACACAAATAGGGCTCTGGTCATCCTGGCAGAAGAGCTTGAGGGGCTCTTGGTGTGTCTGGCACAAGTCTCGCTTCTGCAGCCCAAGGTGCTGGCGGGCCATCTCTGCCACCTTTATCAGTAGGCGGTTGGGCCTCAGGTTCCTCTGAGGGTTCATCTCCCTGCACTCGGGGCAGGGGAAGCAGCCCTTTTTCTTCTTCCCTTTCTTGACCTTCCCTTTCTCCCAGCTCATCAGGATGCAGTTTCTGCAGAAGTTGTGGCCACAGGCAGTCATCACAGGATCGATGAAGTAGTCGAGGCAGATGGAACATGTGGCCTCTTCTTGCAGCCTTCTGGCAAGTTCCACAGCATCCATGGCTCCTGGGGAGAAACAAGGGAAGGTTTCCACTGTAACCCCCTTGCTGGCAGAAGCACAGAACTGGCGCCCCATGTCTGCCTCCTCTGTTGCTCCTTCGTGGATGAGGACAAACGTTGGTGTCTGAATGTGGCATACAAAGACACTCTGAACAAATGCTAGCCAGACCCCTGAACCTTGGCTGCTACGTGTGAACTTGGTCCCTAAGTCAGCTTAGCCACAAGCTCCTTCCCATGCCTTCTGGGACTCCCCAGCTGTTGTGCATCTGCAGTCAAGTCCCACCTCAGCTCTAGGGCCACACTTCCATCCCAAAAGGCTGCCAGAGTCAAGGGCCAGAGTACTGACGTTAGCAAATGCCTGGTAAAGCAAAGGAACTTAGAAAGGAAGGGCGATCCTTTCCGTTAAGGTGCAACACAGAGATGCCAACACAAAACACAGACAGAGGGGCTCCATGCAGACACATGGACACAGGGGCTGCGTGTAGACATGGAGACACATGTGCATACGAACTTGCACACGGGGAAACATGTTTGTAACTACACATGAACATGTCTACACAGAAAACATGTGCAAGCACACTTCCACAGTGACAAGCACAGGCATGTGAACACACACACACACACACACACACACACACACACACTTGAAAGGATTCAGGAATAAGACTATAAAAACGGCCGGGCGATGGTGATGCACGCCTTTAATCCCAGCACTCGGGAGGCAGAGGCAGGTGGATCTCTGTGAGTTCGAGACCAGCCTGGTCTACAAGAGCTAGTTCCAGGACAGGCTCCAAAGCCACAGAGAAACCCTATCTCGAAAAACCAAAACAAAACAAAACAAAAAAGCTATAAAAACGTAGATTCCAGAAATAGAAATGTAAAAATAAAGAAATATAAAGTTGTAAGCCTAGGAGAATGAGAGCAGACTGTCAGCAGCTTCCTCAGTAGTTTAAGGATTAAAACTATTAACAGCGGGTTATTTCACTTTACAACCCATAGCTCTATTTACGAGGCCAAAGCATCTCTCTGCAAACTGAGAGCCAGCCTACTGATATGAGCTGAGTCAACTTTTAGGAAATAGATATATGACCTCTGGGTTACGCATTATCCCTGCTATGTGAAACTGGCAGCCTCAAAGGGAAGACTCGGGGCTTCAGTAAACACTGTCTGGAAGCACCCAGGAAGACAATAGGTTAAACACAAACATTAGTTTAACTGAAAAAGAAGATTGTAAGGTAATCTGTATCTGAATTTTACCTTGAGATTATGTGAGAAGCTTTTTGCTATCTTCCAAGTTCCCAGCCTAAGAACCAATTATTCTAATTTATTAACCCTCTGATATTACTAGCAGTCCCTTTTCTGACTAATTGCTAAAGACATCTGTTTTCTTGCAATTAGTGACTTTCACTGTAATTTCCTCTGAAACATATTTCAGGATAGCTGCCTAGTTACCCACTGACTTTAGAACCCACTCCCCCTTAAGGTCTCCCTTGACTAACTCACGGTCGGGGCAAGATCATAAAAATTCCTTTGTTCAGCCCTAATGCTTGGTGTCCCTACTATAAAAAGTGGGTTCAGAAACTGGCCGTTTGCCACAGCCTAACAAACACCATCTCTGGCTGTGGTCTCAGCCAGCTGATAAGCTTCTGTGCCCTGTGGTGTTATTATTATTATTATCATTAATTTTTAAGTTTGCTTCTGTTTTTCCTGGAATCTGGTTTCTGGAATAAAGTTTATTTCTGGTTTATTAGACTTTGGTGGTCTGTCCCCATCTTTGTGTGACCCCCTGGACCCAACAACACACACACACACACACGTTCATAAACACATGTACAATGCACTGGCTCCCTGGAGTCCTCCTACCCCAGGCAGTGGAGACCCCCATCCTCTTTCCCAAACTCCCTATTGAAAGTTCAGAAACGAAGTTGACCCAATACTTCCTTCCTGTCCCCTCTTCTCAGTCCTTAAAGTCAAGGCATTTTCGGACATTCCTGAGTGGTTGCCACGTTAGTTTCATCTGAACTTTCTGGGAGCAGAGCACATGGCATTAGCTCCTCCTGAACCTCAAGAGCCCTGAGGGGTGCACCGCTGATTACCTGATCAGAACATGAGGGAGGGCCAAAGGGGCAAGGGGACCTCGAGGCTCTTGGTTACCTAAAGTCCTTTGTCAATGAGGGTTCATCTAGGAGACCTATGCGGTCAGAGTGATTCACGGTTGAAGCCTACAGTTCGAAGTGTAACCTTTGATGGGCACAGGATGGCGAACTTGTAGAGTCTCGGCTCAGGGGGTGCTGGGGAGTTCTCTGGGTGGCGAGTACTCACAGGGAAGGAGTCTTGCACTGCGCCAGATGCCAGGGCAGGTGCGTCGCGTGGGGAGAAAGGCTGAGTTTGCCCCTTAGGACTAGGAGAGGCCGGGGGCTAGGGCAGAGGGGCTTTGTGACGTCAACGCACGCAAGTGGGTTCCCTAGCAAAAGAGCCGCGGGGGGCGGGGCTGAGACCGCTGCTACGCGGAAGGATGGAGGTGGGGCCTCACTGGTGAGGGGTGGGACCAGCGAGAAAGGGGCGGGGACAGATCAATGGATGGCAGAAGATGAGGGGTGGGGTTCATCGTTCCGATGGGGCTTTGGTGACCTGGTTGGTCCTGTAGGGAAGGTATGGGATTTGCAGGGATGGAGGCCAAGAAAACAGAAAAGAGAAGGTTTAAAAGTTGGGGCTGAAAGCCAGGCTGTGACAGCGCACTCCTTTAATCCTGTCACTCGGGAGGTGAGAGGCAGGTGGACCTCTGAGTTTGAGGTCAGCCTGGTCTACAGGCCTATAGGAATTCCAGAACAGCCGGGGCAGGCAACACAGAGAAACCCTGTCTCTAAAAGCCAAGAAAAAAAGAAAGGGGGAGGGGGGAGGATAGGATAAGTAGTTGGGGCTGGGTCGTTAAGGACAGGGCCTGGCTTGGGGTCCTTGGACTCACCAACCCTAGCTCTCCTACTTTGTCAGCTCCTAGACCAGGGAGGAAGGAAGCAGCTGTCCTGGTAGACGGTAGGGAAGGTTACTGCCAGTATTTGCAGGATTTTGTCCGTGAGATTGTCCGGCTTGTGTAGCACTGGCTGTACTGAAAACCTTGGCAGGCTCCTGCCTCAGCTTCTCCATTCTCCAGGTGGGAACCGCCAAATGGGCTCTCGGGGTGGCTTTGATGTAGTGGCCCAGCATGCTCAGAATCTCAGTCCAACTGAGAAACTGACGGGAAAGATAAAGCTGAGGCTGGGGTTATCGGGGTAAAGGGAAAAGGAGGAGACAGGGGTCCCTGGGCGGCTAAGCAGCGCCAGGATGTCATCCCCATGGCTAGACAGCCTGGCTCTCTGTGGAGATGGTGGCTATAGGTGTAGATCACTGGCTTTCCCAGGGCTGGCTGGGCTGCAAAGTACCCTGGGCAATCTCCTCCCTGGCAGGTGTGTACAGCAGCAGTCAGCGGGAGAGGTGCAGACTCTTGGAGAGTAGGTGTGGGGGTGGGGTGCTGAGCCCTGCCTTCTGATGGCCGTGGGTGCCTCACGTCCACCAGCGAGCAGATTCTGGATCCTAAGCCTGCTCACATTTGGAAAAAGGAACCACAGAATTGTAAAGGAAGTAATTTTTAAAACCAAGCAAACATGTCAGCACTAATGAACACACCCTCCCACCCCATCACCCTCCCACATCTACTACCTAGATAGCATCTTGCTGATTTTGCTAACTGCTCAAGTTCCTAATTGAGAGCAGAATGTTTTCATCTGTGGGCAAACCTCTGGGTTTTTGTTTGCACTGTAGGCATTTATAGCTAATTATTTATTTAATTGTGTATGGGGGGGGGGGTGCCATGGGCACACATGTGGTCATCATAAAAAAAAAGCTAGCAGAAATTGATTCTCTCCTTCCATGTGCATCCTGGGGGGTCAAACTCGGGTCATGTCAGGCTGGCAACAAGCCCCTTTACCTGCGGAGCCACCTTGCCAGTCCAGCACTGCCAGGATAAACCACAGTTACCCCTGCTGGGAATAGCTTTTTTTCCCCTTCTAGCTGTTGCCAAGGGCAACGCTGTTTTAATGCCCTTGGTTGTTTGCTGTCCTCCTTTCTCACTGTCACAGGATTCGGGGCTAGCCTGTGACGCGGGACACTTGAAGAGAGTCAGCTCTCAACACACGATAACTTACCAGGATGATCTGTATGATGCACTGCCCCGTGAGTGCTTGTTGTAATTCTGTTGGGATGTCCTCTACAATGCCATGCCTTGCTGCCACAGTGTGGCACGATTAAGAAGTGGTAGAGGCAAGGGTGTTAGGATGCCTGGGTGTGTCCACGAAGGGCATTAGAATGGTAGACATTCCCCGTCTCGTCTTTTTTGCCCACGAGGTGAACATCATTACCTCCAGTCAGTCATGTTCCTGATGACGGGGACAGCATGAGCCCCAAAGCCAGGAGAGCATGCATGCTTAACAATTCTGATTTCTCTATTGCCATCTGTGTGCAAGGGGACCTCGTGTCCTTCTACAGTGTATATGGGTCTGTATATGAGAGCATTGCCCATGGAGGCCAGAGGTGTAGAGACCCTGGAGCTGGAGTTACAGGTCCTTGTGGGCTGCCCCACGATATGAGTGCTGGGAACTGAACTTGGGTCCTCTGCAAGAGCAGCAAGTGCTATTAACCAGCTCAACATAAATGGTCTGTAAATAAAATACAAAGTCCTAATGACCTGTTCCCTATTTAAGAGTTGGGCAGCCCAGGGGAAAGGGCCAACCAGGGCTAGCAATTCCTAGATGCCAGTGCAGCCTAAAATACAGAAAAGGGTAGGCTGAGTTCACCTTTGAAATAAAAAAGGCTCTTAGAAGAGACAGACACACCGAACACTCTGGACCAAGAGAGGGAGAGGGGCTTGAAGAAAAGGCAGAAGTTGCTGAGGTTGTCTTGGTACAGCACAGGATACACCAGGTCCAAAGGACATACTCAAGGGCCAACCTGCATGGCACCGTTCATTTGCAAGCATGTGGAATTTTTCCTCTGGAGTCTTTTCTGCGTTATTAACTTACAGGAGGTTGGAGGAAAGAACGTTAGACTTCAGCATTCTCTAGATGATGCTGTGCCCCTCAAGCAAGTGACAGAACTTTTGAGTCTGTTTCCACACATCTGATCGGGAGAGGGCACTTTACAAAATGGGGTCTCGGGAACATGGTCCCCAGTGACTGGCTGATCTAAGGCCAGTCCAGCACCTCAGATCCAAGCTGGTGATCATCTGTCTTTCTCTGCAGGACTGTTTCCCCTGTGACCAATAGCTCCAGAGTCTCATAATTCCCACTATACTTACAGGTACAGCAAGAGTACATAGCTTCTCTTGTTTTGAATTCCAGATGGCCTTCCCTGTGCTCTGCGAAGGAAGGAAAACAAAAGTATTCCTTTTGTTGTTGTTGAGGAGATGTGGTAGTTAGGGTCTGAGCCCGGAACTTGGCCAGCTAGCAAGTGTTCTACTGTGGTTCCTGCAGAATCCTGCAGCTGGTTTGATTCCGGAGTCCTAGCACCTAGCTTTGATTTGCTTTTTGTGACCGCTACCTTTTGTGCCCGGTACCTACCTTTTGGAGTATGTAAATCTCATCTGAGAGTTTCCTAAGGGTTCAAAGCCTATGCACAAGAGGACTCAGCAAACTGAGATGTCCTGGGACGTTGGGAATTTGTGTTGACATTGTTTCTAAGGGGAGCTTAAATAAGAGGTTTTGGTATACAGAAATTGACTTGCTAAAGGTGTGAATTATATAACAATAAAAAAAGCCCTTTGCTGAGCTACAGTTCACCCTAGCTGACTCCTCCACCCCCCTCTCCCCGCCCTGCCCCGCCCTGTCCTGCCCCGCTGCTGGAAAGGCTAAAGAGAAATCATCCTTAGCTGCCTCTGTGTCTTCTTTCCTCGGATCCGCGGGAACCCACACCTGATACTACCATCAAGTAACACCAGCTGTGCTCATGCTATGGGCCTGTTTAGGAGACTAAGTCATAGACATTTTTTAAAAATTGTTCTTATTGAACTATATATTTTTCTCTACTCCCTTCCTCCCCTCCTTTTCTACCCTCTCCCATGGTCCCCATGCTCCTAATTTACTCAGGAGATCTTGCATAGACATTTTTTTTTTTTAAAAAAAGGTGAGGTTTTGCTATGCGTTCCAGCCTGGCCTGAAGCTTGTGGTCCTCCCATCTCAGTGTCTCAGGTGCTGAGACTACAGGCATGCTGCACCGCTGCTGGCAACACTAAATTTCTTCCTGTCTGAAAGGTTCTGGAGGGCTGCGTCTTTAAGGCTGCTCTCCTCTCCTTGGCTTGCAAGTCTTCTCTAGGTCCTCATGGGGTCCCGTGTGTGTGTGTGTGTGTGTGTGTGTGTGTGTGTGTGTGTGTGTGTGTGTTTTCTCATCTCTTCTTACAAAGACACCTCTCACCCTGACCTCAGATCATCCCACTACACTAGGTGGTCCTTGGTTATCTATTTAACAAAGCCATTAATGGGTGATTTCACTATGTAACAGAGGTAAAGTTTTTTTTTAGTTTTATAATAGATTTATTTTTAAAGGGCAAAGCACTCAATTTAAATATAAGTCCAACAGAACCGCTGTCAGTCAACCATCATGCAATCAGGTTTTTTTTTTTTTAATTAACCTCAGTCATATGTTCAGGCTATTCCCCCCAGGCTTCCACTATGCAGTTCAATTTAGGTTCCTTCCTGTTTGATTTCTGAGCAGGCTGATTATTCTCTATGCCTGTCATCCCTGGTACACCATTAGCTCTTTGTATTATTCAGAAGCCTGTTACACAGTACTGGACACTAGAAATCGGGGCTAGTGACATCCAGAGAATAAAATCCCAGGGCAAAACATCCTCTTGAACTTCTAAACTAGAGATCCTATTGCTTACCACTTAGGGTGAGTCAATAGTTATTGGCTAAACTCCCTACACTAAGTGGAGAGTCAGAGTCTAACACAGGATCCTCTGGATTGATGTGGGATTTCCCTCTGTATGCTGTAATTACCATTAATGAATAAAGAAACTGCTTTGGACCTATAGCAGAGCTATAGGGGAAGAGCCAGGCAGGGAAAACTAAACAGAATGCTGGGAGAAAGGAGGTGGAGACAGAGAGAAGCCATGTAGCCCCGTCGGAGCCAGACGGAACTTTACCCAGTAAGCCACAGCCATGTGGCGATACACAGATTACTAGAAATGGGTTAAATTAAAATATAAGAGCTGGCTGACAAGAAGTTAGAGCTAATAGGCCAAGCAGTGATTTAATTAATATAGTTTCTGTGTGATTATTTTGGGACTGAGCAGCTGGGAGCTAATTAGCGGCTTCCTTACTACACTGGATGTGTCCCTGGAAACTTTTTCCTTAACTGCCCTAGCAGATGGGCAAAGTTAACACAGGCTAGAATTTAATAAAACACACTCAGCTCCCTGTGCTTTCCATCATAGGAGAAAGACTAACTTCTAATGCACAGGAGTAGCCAGCAGCCTTTTTAAACCAGGTGAGTTATCCAAAGCACAAGATCTGCTGGGCTCCTAGTAATGGGCAGTTAACACAGCTGGCGAGTGGTGCTGGTACAGAAGAGCACACCAGGCCAACACTATGGTTGTGGCAGTGGGTTTGCCGCCTTTGGGGCTTTTACTAGGCAGGACCAGTCACATCTGCCAACCTTGAGGCTATTACGCCTTGTAAGTGAAGGCCTAGTTAAATTTGGGCGGAACTGCGGACCAAACAGCTTAACGGGTCCGCGGCTAAGCCTATGGACTGGGCTTCCCAGTCGACTCGTCCTGACCTCCAGTGAGATCCAATCTAGGTTACAACCACTTTTTTGGATTTTGTGGGTGGCTCTGAAAAGAGCCTTTGGGTTGTTGGCCCTGCAAGGATTGGGAGCCCGTGGGGTCTAGGCCCGCTCTCCGCGGATGCGCCGAGCCAGCTGGATGTCTTTCGGCATGATGGTCACCCGCTTGGCGTGGATGGCGCACAGGTTGGTGTCCTCGAAGAGCCCCACGAGGTAGGACTCGCAGGCCTCCTGCAGAGCCATCACGGCCGAGCTCTGGAAGCGCAGGTCGGTCTTGAAGTCCTGGGCGATCTCGCGCACCAAGCGCTGGAAAGGCAGCTTGCGGATCAGCAGCTCGGTGGACTTCTGGTAGCGGCGGATCTCGCGGAGCGCCACCGTGCCCGGGTGGTAGCGGTGCGGCTTCTTCACGCCGCCAGTGGCCGGTGCACTCTTGCGTGCCACCTTCGTGGCTAACTGCTTGCGTGGAGCCTTGCCTCCCGTCGACTTCCGCGCCGTCTGCTTGGTGCGAGCCATCCCTCTGAAGCCTTCCTGAGCTGCTCCTCAAAGGCACAAAATGGCCTGCGGGCACAGCTTTTATAGACCCCGCTGCGTTCCTATTGGCCGCCCGTCAGGCAGCATGATTGAATACTGAGCTCTGATTGGTCCATGGGGCGTTCCACTCTACAGCCTTCCCTTTAAATTCTCTCCTGGTGCCGCTATCTCTAGAGTTGTTAGTGGCGCCTCTCTGTGTAGGACTGCAGCTGGGATTGCAGAAAAATTTAAGTCATTTTCTCAGCGCCTTTTTTTTTTTTTTTAAACAACCCTGCCTCAACTGCCAAGTCCCAAAGAACCTATAATTCTGCGTGCTTCCTTTTTCCGGCAACTAGGCAAATTTTCCCGAGTTCTGGGTTATTAGAAAAGTAGTCGAGGTCTGGAGGTGGTTCAGCAGTTAAGCTAAGTATCTGTTCTTCCAGAGGACCGCGGTTCAGTACCCAGAACCCACATGATGGTCACATCCACTTGTAACTCATCTCAAGGGATCCACCACCTCCTGCTGGCACCAGGCAGTCAAGTGGTACACAACATACGTGCAAGCAAAACGCCCATAAACACACAAAAATATCTTTATAGTAAAATATTAAATTTTTTTGAGACAGGTTTTCTTTGTAGCTTTGGAGCCTGTCCTGGAACTAGCTCTCGTAGACCAGGCTGGCCCCCAAATCACAGAGATCTGCTTGCCTCTGCCTCCTGAGTGCTGGGATTAAAAGTGTGAGCCACCACCACCCAGCCTAAAAAATATTTTTATATTAAAACATTTAAAAAGATTTAAAATTAAAAATTTTAATTTAAAAGTATTTTAAATTAAAGCTATTCTAACATTAAAAATATTTTAGCATTAAAATATTTTAAAATTAAAAGTACTTTAAAATAAGAAATATTTTAAAATTAAAAGAATTATTTAAAAAATCTAAAAATGCCCCTGCTGTGTCCTTGCTGGCCCATGACAAAGTCTTGACACAAGCACCACAGGTTCCCAACTTGGCTACACCAACAATTAGCTGAACTTCTAGCTCTCACTGATCAATCTCAGCAGATGTGCGTCTCATACCCTCCTCTCTGCCAGTGAGATCTGGTGCCCTCTTCTGGCCTGCAGGCAGACATACAGGCAGAACACCATATATAATAATAAAAAAAATCTTTTTTTAAAAGTTGCTTCAAGAGTCAAGGAAAAAGGCCAAGTACCTTAATAGAACATATGCTTAAGGTTTTTGTTGCTTAATTAAAAAGGGGAGCTCTAGGAGTTATAAACCGGGTCTATGGGCCAAAACAAAATACATAGTAAATTTTAGTTACACATATATATGATCACAAGCTATGAAATTATATAGACTGGGCAATTTATAACATCAGAGACTCATTTCTCACAGTTCTGAGAGCTGGAAAGACAAAGCCAAGGCCCAGGCAGGTGGATTCGATGCCTGGTGGCCATGGACAGAGGCTTCTAGCTGCCTTTATTTGAAGAATGAGAACCTTTACCTAGAACCCTTTCTTAAGGACTCTCGCTTGACTCATGCCTCCTAAAGGCCCCACTGTTGACCGCTCTCACACTGGTGACGCTGTTTCAGTGTGTGACTCTGGGGACACGTGCAGACCACAGCACTAACCTTTGCCCTCTAAGCCAAGTAGCTAAGAAAGAAAACAACCTATCTGGTTAAAGAAAACAGAATACTTTATTCTGTCAGTAGCAATGGAAATTGGCTGGGCGGTGGTGGCGCACCACCTTTAATCCCAGCCCTTGGGAGGCAGAGGGAGGTGGGTCTCTGTGTGTTTAAGGCCAGTCAGGGCTACATAGTGAGACACTATTTAAAAAATGGAGGGGAGAAATAGAAAAAAAAATAAAGAAATGAGAAAAAAAGTAAATTAATGTTACTTGCTGGAAAAATGGATAGAACTCAAGGTCATTGTGTTAAGTCAAATAAACCAGATCCTGAGAGGAAAGCAGTGTGTGGATTCTCTAGCATGTGGAAGCTAGACATTTTTTAAAAAGATGTGAATATGGGAGGGGGTATTTATAAAGAGGAAGGTGACGGGGGGGGGGGGGGAGAGATGGTGTGTGTAGATATGAACAAACAACATTATATACATGTATGAAATTATCAAAATGAAAACCATTATTATGCACAGTTAATATACGCTAATAAATCTAAAATATACGGAAAGAAAGAAATGACTCAAAGATGTAAGGATAGCAGGGCATGGTAGTTCATGCGACATTTGCAGCACTTAGGCTGAATCAGGATAACAATTTTGAGGGTCGCTTAGGCTACGTTGAAAAGACCCTTTTTTCAAACAAAATAAAACATAGCTGGATCTGAAAAAATAAAAAGATTTCTTGAGGCAAATACTTTCACGGATGGGCTAGACTCAAGGGTCTTCCACAGGACACTACGTCACAAGTCACAATCTGGGCAACAAGAAATAATAACAGTGGTTATTTAGACCAAGTCAGAGTATGGAAAAGGTAGTTCCAATCGCGAGTCGAGAAAAAGACAGAAATCAAACTGTGTTGTATTTTTACGGATTTGGTAAAAAAAAAGGAAAGCACTGACCATCATCGTGTTTTGTTTCTAAATACCTACGTGTAGTCTAAACAGCCGCGAGCGAATACCGCAAAGGGAAGCAGGAGCCGGGTGTTCAGGGATGCAGCCGCGGGGAGGCGCTGCATCATCCCGAGGAAGGGGACGCGGGTCGTCCGTGGGTGGCGCCTGGAACCGGGAAACCACTCTCTGGTACACATAGTGATGTGAGGAAAATGGCTTCACTTTCAGAAAGAACAAACCGTTTCTCTTGCCTCTGGGAATACACGTCCTTGTGAGATACGGTATTTGAAATCCTGAGGGAGCCTAGGATGAGCTGTGGCAGAGACCGGGAGGCGGCGGAGCATCCGCCCCGGGCAGCCGCATCTCAAGCAGCCGAAGAGAGCAGTCAGAGCTTTCGGACTGACCAATCGGAAACGCCCTTGAGCAAGGCCAGGTTCCGGATCCGAGGCGTGCAAAAAGCACCGCTTCTCCAGCACCCAAAGCCAAGGTGCCCACCAGAGGCCTCCGGAAACCTTCCCTGAACCCCGGTGCTCACACTCCTATACTCCGGCACCCCAGACCTCCCGAAGGCCGAACTCTGTGCAATCGTCACCAGGGTGGTTACCAAACTGTGCGCTGCACCCACGAGTCCCACGGCCTTAATCTTAAATCTATTTTGCAATTCCAACAAGTCTAAACTGAGCTTCCCGGAGAGAAGTCGCGCCGTGCAAGGCTGCATGCAACTGCAGAGCAGCGTCTTAATATCTGGCAAAGAACTTCTTTCTAGGGTCTGTAGTTTCCTTTTCCTGTCAAATTTCTCCCAATCAGAACCTGAGCTGCACTATTGGCATTATGGGAAAGGATCAAATGGAGGTTTAGCTTGTAGTATTCAGGGTGGAAGGTGGGGATGGAGGTGGAACTATGGGGGCGGGAGCTCAGCTGTGGGACGCCGCTGTCCCCTCAGCTCTAGTCTGCTTGCTGTGGAAGCTCAATTTCTTTCCTTCTCTATCTATATCACTGACCAGACCGGGAAGAAGTCCTTTGTTTTAAATTAACTTTATCAAATACCCGTTCAACATTATGTGCAGGGCATACTTAACACAAATGTGTCTCTCTGCCCTCTCTATGTCGCTGTCAAGGGGGGTAAACTGTGAGGTGGTGAGCTGGCCACAACGTTGCAGAGTTTATCTCCTAGGCAGGAATAGGGTAATATAAAAGACTATAAGCTTATGAGAGTCCTGGAAGGAAGAGGACGCATTCTTTTTTTTTTTTTTTTAAACGACAGCCATCGTAACAGGAATGAGGCAACACCTCTCCGTTGTCTGATTGTTTAGTGGCTGTAGCGATGTCAAAGATCATGTGTGTCTTTACAGAAATCCCTATTAGGGTCCTTCGCCTAGTTAACATTTGAGTTGTTAAAAGTGAATCGTAAAGCTTTGCTATTTTGGGTATTATTCTCTGATCAAATGTATGGCTGCAAAATAATTGTTCCAGCCGGGCGGTGGGGGCGCACACCTTTAACCCAGGACTCGGGAGGCAGAGGCAGGCGGATCTCTGTGAGTTCGTGGCCAGCCTGGTCTATAAGAGCTAGTTCCAGGACAGGCTCCAAAGCTACAGAAAAACCCTGTCTCGAAAAAATCAAAATAAAATAAAATAAAAATAAATAATAAATAATTGTTCCTCATTCTGTAGGTTGCATTTTAATTTAATTGAGTCGATTATCTAATTTCTGTGTGCATATTTTTATCACAGCAACTCACGCATACACAGAACACAAAACAGGTATATTTTGTCTGTTTTTCTGAATTGAATCACCAGGGTGAGGACCACCTCGTGTGATCTTGACACCAGTGAGGGTGAGGTGCCATTGGCAGTTAGGAGGTGCTGTAGGCATGCAGCTTGGGGAAGAGGTGGGGGCTTGTGGAAGTCATGGTTTGGGGTGATAACACAGAAAAGGGGGACCCTCCTTGTAGCAGCCTGCACCTGTGATGTGCAACACGGACGCCTGCGATCCCTCCCGGCCTCCTGAACACAGGGCTTTGCAGCTCATCACATTCGGGAGGAATTGCTGCTTACACAGCCCGAGAGCAACTGGCCTGGCGCTTGTGTGAACCCCGGGTCATGGCTGCAGGGACAGTATGGAAACCTGCAGCCTCTGCAGTCCTTGGGCGAGGCCACTAACCCCCCAGAAAAGCTTTGCTGACTCTCCAGCTGACCTTTCCTGGCGTTCCAGCTCCTCTCTCTCTCTCTCTCTCTCTCTCTCTCTCTCTCTCTCTCTCTCATCATCATCTCTTCTGCACGTGCAGAGAGCTTTATGAGACCGAGTCTTGATCAGCCCAGCACAACTACTTACCCTACACTTATGTCACATTATGTACTAGAAGTTATGTTGGCATAATTTAAAGTCCTGGGGTTCCTGTGACCAATCCCCCTGTAGACACCAAGGGATACTGTAATGTCCTCTAGGCTCAATCACATGATAACACATGAAATGCTGCTTTTCAAACCTATGTAGTATTTAATCCGTGTATATGTCATTTTTTTAAAAAAATATTTATTTATTTATTATGTATACAATATTCTGTCTGTGTGTATGTCTGCAGGCCAGAAGAGGGCACCAGACCTCATTCCAGATGGTTGTGAGCCACCATGTGGTTGCCGGGAATTGAACTCAGGACTTTTGGAAGAGCAGGCAATGCTCTTAACCACTGAGCCATCTCTCCAGCCCTGTCATTTTTTTTTTCAAGACAGGATTTCTCTGTGTGGCTTTGGAGCCTGTCCTGGAATTTGCTCTGTAGACCAGGCTGGTCTTGAACTCACAGAAACCCGCCTACCTCTGTCTCCCGAAGCTGGGATTAAAGGCATGTGCCACCACTGCCCGGTGTATATACCACATTTTGAAGATATATTTGCTCCTCCATAGACATTTAGGTTAGTCCCATGTCTTAGCTGTTGACAGCGCCACAAAGAGCATGTCAGTACATATGTCTCTTCCACACACTGGTTTCGTTTCCTTTGGATAGACGCCCAGGAGTTGGAGAGATGGATCATATACTAGGTCTATTTTTAATTTTTTGATGTGGGGGATTATTGGACATGTGGATGAGCCTGCAAAGAAATGGTCCCACAGAGCAGAGACCGAATGTGGGAGGCAGGGCTGGAGGAAAGACGTGCACCTAGAAGAGGAACTAGGATGCGGGGGAGCCCGGTGGAGCGCTCCCACACCCTGCAATTTCTGCAGCTCTTTCCAGGGCTGGCTCCAGCTGCATGCTTCTGGAACCCTCTATCTCTTTTTCCTGTCTTCAATAAACAGCAGTGCATAGGGACACGTTGAGAGTGTCCTAAAATCATTCTACTACAGGCTTGTGGGTCAGGAAAAGACCTCCATGCTCCCACACAACATGCATGTGGGCCGGACCTGCCAAGACGAACTGCCAAGGCCGGTCCAGAGGGCCTGTGGCATCAGGATGTCCATACCTGCTCTTCCACGTGGTCTCTGATGATGGCAGCTCGGGTACCTGAGTTCAACCTCCTTCTACCTGAGCTGGGTCAGTTTTGCTCTAGAAAGCAAGCACAGGAACACACCGGTCTTCCTTCTGGCCCCCGCCCCACTTCCAGGCTTCCATCTTTCCCTCCCTCTCCCCTTGTTTGTGTGTATGTACACTTGCGCGTGTATGAATGTACATATGTGTATGAGTGCAGGCAAACATGCACCTCCTGTGTGGAGGTCTGAGGACCATCTCAGGTATTGTTCTCAGGTTCCACCTTGAGGCAGGGCCTCTTTGTTAGCTTCTGTGTATAGCAGGCTAGCTGGCCTGGGAGCTCTAGGGATTTTCCTATCATCCTTAGAAGCACTGGAATTATGGTCAAGTGCTAACCTGGCCCTGCGCTGCCTGGGACCTGGGAATTCATGCTTGCATGGCAAGCTCTTTACTGCCCCCATCTTGCTGGCCCTTCTCTGTCCGTTTGGTACATACTCCGAGTTTCTTCAAATTTAGGTGAGATTTACAAGATATGATGAACCACTTTAATGTGAGCAGTTGAGGGACATCTGGTACATTTCTTTTGTTGTGACCATCACCTGTGTCTTCTTCCACAACCACACGAGGAAAGTTCTGTTCTCTCCCCTCCCAGCTCCTGTGTCTATTGTCGGAACATGCCTGTTCTGGACACTGAGGTCCAGTCATGTTGTGCCTGAATCAGCGCTTCATTCCCTTCTGTTGACTAGCACTCTGTTATGCCGACAAACCTGTCTTGTGGATCTGTTCATCAGCTGATGGATATTTGGGCTCCTCTTTTAGCTTGTATAAATGATACTATCGCTGCATCTGTGTAGCTTCTGCTAGATATCTATTTTTATTTTATTGGGCATATACCCTAGGCATGGCCATGTGGTATTGAATCCAGTGAACATTCTCTTTTCAAGGCAGCTGCTGCTGGTACTTTACATTTCTGGAAATGGTAATCCAGAGGACTAGATTTTAGGTCAGGGTTGTTTCCGTCCAACTTTCTGTAATATTGTAGACACATCCAGAATCTGTGCTCTCTTGGTATTCACTGGTCACATAACCCTGAGCAGTAGACAAGCCGCATCTTGATGTTTTCCCTAATGGAAAATTAAATATTCCTTTTGGATGGTGGTGTGCGTTTGACAGGAAGCCTTGGAGGTGGGAGATGAGAAGCTAATCCAGTACATCTTCCTCCACAATGCTTCCATGACACCATTAAATAGTAACATCCAACTCCTAAGTTTAACTGCCACTCAAGAGATTAAGAAACTACAATGATCTATGAATACACACAAACTAAAGCTGGAACTGAAGAGTCTCACTAAAAACATAAGGGGAAGATCTCAAGGTCCAACCCTTGGGCATTGGTTTACTGAGACCACCCACCAGCAGACTGTACAATCTATATGCAGTTTTTGTCTACTGTGTGGTTGAGACTCACAGTTGAATACATTGCTTATTCTTGGGCAAACAGGCTTTTGAGATGTTGATATTTTATACAGATTTATGATTACAGACGGTGTCTGAGGAGTCCATGCTTGAATAGACCCAGTTTTGGTAGGGTATATATAACGAGCATTATATAATTGTCTTGCTGTCCTGTATTGCCAAAATTTAAAGAGAATAGCACAGTTAACAGGAAAGGGGACACATGTCGAACTCGGTAGCATTTTAACCAATTGTCATAACTCATTTAATCCCCCTTAACCCTCACTTTTCCCACTGGTAGTGATTTTATCTGTAACTGTCCCGGCATTCTGTATTCTGCCCGTGGAAATCACAATCTTCTCTAAAAACTCACATTTTACTTGATGTGATGCTAATCATGTTCTCCTTTAAACTATTGGACATTGCTGTACTCTCAAACCTAGTTTTACCAAAACCGACTAATTATTTTGTTCTTCAAGGTTAAGCTACTTAAGTGGGTAAGATTGATGAATTCCAAACGCCTGCTGGACCACCATCATGGCCATCTCTCTGTAATCCTACCACTTATAGGGCAGCACTGACCTGTGTCGCTCCCGTCCCGACAACTTCAAAAAAAATCCCTGACACTTGGAAATCTCAACGTTAGATCTTAACTCAAATGGACTTACGTTTCGATAGAACCGGAAGCATTAGCCTTCATTAGAGACACCAGTTTCTAACCTCCCAATGCCTAATGCTAACTCCAAACCAAGTGTCCCCTAAGGTTCAAGCACGAACCTTAACGGAGACCGAGTGTTTAACACGAGTGGTGGGGGACAAACCGCGGGGGCCTCCAAACAGACCCTAGGCCAACTGCAGAAGGAAGCCGTTGGCCTGAGCGGTCACCACCCCAGGCGCCGCGCGGAGATGCACAAACGCATGGAAGGAACCGGGAGACCCAGCCCTGGCCAATGCCGGGCGGTAAAGGCTCAGTGTACAGCTCTTTTTGAGGTTGTGGGTGGCTCTGAAAAGAGCCTTTGGTGTCCGTTAAGTAGCACTAGGGACCAGAAGGGCCTCACTTGCCCTTGGCCTTATGGTGGCTTTCAGTCTTCTTGGGCAGCAGCACCGCCTGGATGTTGGGCAGGACGCCGCCCTGCGCGATGGTCACGCGGCCCAGCAGCTTGTTGAGCTCCTCGTCGTTGCGGATGGCCAACTGCAGGTGGCGCGGGATGATGCGCGTCTTCTTGTTGTCGCGGGCCGCGTTACCAGCCAGCTCCAGGATCTCAGCAGTCAGGTACTCCAGCACCGCTGCCAGGTACACCGGGGCGCCGGCACCCACCCGCTCCGAGTAGTTGCCCTTACGAAGAAGGCGGTGTACACGGCCTACAGGAAATTGCAGACCGGCGCGGGAGGAGCGGGACTTGGCTTTTGCGCGAGCTTTGCCGCCCTGCTTGCCACGACCAGACATCTCCAACTGATAGCCAAAAGAGTAACACGAACCAACGAGAAAGCTAGCGCTAACCACCCCGTAAGCGCCAACAAGCCCTTATATATGATCAGGAGGGAGGCTAGCCTGCGCCTTTCTATTGGGTAGCAGCTTTAGCCAATCGGAAAAGGAACACTGCAAGCCTAATTTGCATATCACTCGCTCTGCGATGACGTAATGTGTAGTTGTAGCCAATCAAAAGCGAGCAATTTTGATCCTTCATTTGAATACAAGGCGTACAAATAGAGTTGGTGCAGCGGGCGTACGTGTCTCTCCATAGTAGCTAGCCAATATGCCTGATCCGTCCAAGTCCACTCCGGCCCCCAAAAAGGGGTCTAAGAAAGCCGTCACTAAGGCGCAGAAAAAGGACGGCAAAAAACGCAAACGGGGCCGCAAGGAGAGCTACTCCATCTATGTGTACAAGGTGCTGAAGCAGGTGCACCCCGACACTGGCATCTCGTCCAAGGCCATGGGCATCATGAACTCGTTCGTCAACGATATTTTCGAGCGCATCGCCAGCGAGGCCTCCCGCCTGGCTCATTACAACAAGCGCTCGACCATCACGTCCCGCGAGGTGCAGACGGCCGTGCGTCTGCTGCTGCCCGGGGAACTGGCCAAGCACGCTGTGTCCGAGGGCACCAAGGCTGTCACCAAGTACACCAGCTCCAAGTGAGGCGCTGCGCGGGCGTCCTCAATCCAAAGGCTCTTTTCAGAGCCACCCATACAGTCGTTAAAAGGGTCTTGAACACAGTGTGTGGAGGCATTGATGGTTGCCACGCACCTGATAGAAATTCCGTTACTGGGTACGACCAAGAGAGATGTGTTTGGAGTGAGGAATGTAGGGCTGCAGCTGCGCTGCTCTTCCTAAGGGTGGGATGTGGACGATGGCCACGGGAGGAGGCAAGGGGCGTGAGTCCCCTCCCCAAACCTCAGTCTTCCCCAGGTGGGCGAGGTCACAAGAATAGTAGGATTCTGGCTGCCGTGCGTCCTGGGTGGCCTCTGATCTGCGTTCCTTTAGAACGTTTCCTGGAATAAGCAGGCGTCTTATCCCCTGGATATGACCAATAGATCCTGCCCTAGCGGTTTGCTGGAACCGAGGTTGAAAAGGCATGGCGACACCCTGAATGCCTGTGTGCAGGAGCTGGATCTAGCCAGCTGCAGCAGCCAGCAGGGTTAGTGGTTCAGGGATGGAAGGATTTGGGAAAGAATCCTGTTGCTTTGAGCAAATGAGTTGCTGCCCTGAGCTGCTTTATTTTCTGTAAAGCATTGATATCAGAATTTTCCACACTCAGCATTTTTTTTTTTTTTCCTTTTCGGAGAATGCCATTTTGGTCTGGCAGGAAATCTTACCTGTGGAAAGAACACAGCTTTCCTTGGTTTGCCTTTTATTTATGGAGAGAGGATTCATGATAATTACTTGAACTGTTATAAGATATATTGAGAGTCTTATCGCCGTCTCTAGCACAGAATAATAGGTACGTTTGGACAGATGCTAAGGGGCAGTCGCCCGGAGACGATGTCTCCACTGGAATTTCCTACAGTAGCTGTGCCGCCTCCCCCTTTCCACAAAAAAAGGATTTTTGACAACTTCAAACGTTTTAAAGCTAGCATCTTAAGTATTTTTTGAAATACTAAGTCAAATAGCTGCCAAGATGAAAATGACAACATAGGACTTGTTTTTAATTAGTCTTAAAAATACCGTTAGAACATTAACACGAGTCAGGTCAAAGTAAACCAAGTTCTTTAGCAGATATTTCAGATGATTTTTCTGAGAATTTGTCTTTATCTTTCTTGTGCCTCAAATTCTGCCAACAGAAATTATATGTATATTACATTTTACCAATTGCTGATCTCCAGAGTTTTCTATTGAAGTTTAAACATGCCAACCAAATTATCTCCGTGTTTAAAGAGGTACACCAGGAAAGCAGACAATTGTTTAAGAAGCCGAGTCTTCCACTGAGGCTTGATGGGAGGAGGGGTTGGGTGGGAGACTATACTCAGGACCTCTAGTATGTTAGCCAAGTCTCTACCACTGAGATGCCACTCAGCCCTCTTCCTTCCCTCTGCCTGGGTTGTTTATTCAAATCCATTCATGGGTACAAGTAGTTAGTGTGTAGTATATAGCATTATTTTCATTTGACATCTTTTTATAAAAATATATAAGTAAGTACACATTAATAGAAGCCTTGTCATAACCCTTGACCCAGTACATTTCTTCTTTAGTTACAGTTGAAAACATAAACCATGTTCCATCATCATAGGGGAGACCACGTTCTGTCTTGTATCTGCGGTCTCTTACACACACACACACACACACACACACAAGTGTGTCAGTGTCATTATGTAGGCCTTGTTGGTCTAGAACTCACTATATAGACCAGGCTGTCTCGGCACTCAGAGATCTGCCTGCCTGCACCTCCCTAGTGCTGGGATTAAAGGCGTGCACTACCATGGACCCATGCCAGTATTCTTAATCGTCTCCAAAATAGAGGATTTGGAAGCCAGATGTGGTGTTGTCGACTTGAAATGGCAGCAGCTGGGAGGAGAGAGGCAGGGGAATCTTTGTATGTTCAACACCAGTGTGGTCTGCATATCAGGTTCCAGGCTATTCAGAGCTACACAGTGAGACTATCACCAAACAAAACACGAACAGGATATATACACGAACAGGCTGAATACAATCCTCTGTGAAGTGATGCCAAGTGATTGTCAAGGCTTCTGACACTTTTGCTATACTGATGAAGTATTCCATTACAGACCTGGATGGCCGGGCCCTGGAGTCAACTATCCATTTTAAAATTTTAGCTATGAATGTTTTCCGTGCATTTATGTGTACCACATGCGTGCAGAAGTCAGAAAGGGGGTCAGATCACTTGGAACTAGCATTATTGATGGCTGTCAGCCATTAATGACCCAGTTATTGTGGGTGCTAGGAATTGAATTCAGATCCTCTGCAAGAGCTATTCTTGACCCTGGGCCATTTCTTCAGCCCCAAGTTTTAAAGGAATATTTGCAGCTGCTTCGTCTAGGTCCGAGATAACATACGGTTTCAATAAACTGTAACCTTTGCCTCCAGGAGAAAGATGAGCCTGGCAGACGAACCTAAACATTTTTAGTACAAAAGATAGAATCAGCGAGCAAATCTAGCACACAATCACAATTTCCAAGTATGGTTCTATAACAATACATTTATAGTTGTTGGTAATACAATGGTTTAATTTTTAATTTTTTTCCTGACAAAAACTGGAAGTTGAGAATAAGCTGCCCAGGTGTGTTACTTTGGCAGCTACAGCTCAGAATGGAGAAGATTTGTCCTTCTGTAGGCTATGAATATTAAGGAGGTGACAAAGACTGGAAAACTGTGCTGCTGAGATTTTATAATATAGAAAATGGAGAACAACTGTGTACAAAATTCCACTGAACAATTGGAAAGAGTAGCAGTGTACAGCAACTATGTGAGAATTTGTAATAGCAACGAAGACAATGCAAATAATGTGTTTTCTGGATCTGGAATACTTAATGTTAGTGAGGTTGGAGGGGGAACGAGGGATCTGCAGGCCGGCAGTCTGAGATAATGACGAAACTGCCATTCCCCAGTCTCAGCTAGATGCTCAAGATAAACTTGCTAATTAGTAGGTAACAAAGTAGGAATTTCGAGCAAGGGAAAAAGCTGTCTCTTTAAGAAGTCACCGACAGAAAGACTCGCCTTTCCTGTGAGACAGTGAGAGGTTAAATGTTGACAAATGAGCGCCTGTCCCTGGAGGTGGTGCGAGGAGAAAGACGCCATTGTCCACCCGAGAAACCAACATGCAGTCGGAACCAGGGGCAACCAGGAGCTCATGGAAGATGGGTTTCTCCCACATACAATGAACCTCTCATATTGGAATTTTAGGGGGACGGTAGTTTGGACTGTTCTTGCACTTAGTCATTAATGCAGACATAAATTGAGCAGAGCACATATAGGGTTATTATTATTATTTTTTTGCTGTTGTTTTAAAGGCACCGATTTCCTTTATTTAAAAGGACGTTTCACCATTTACTAGAGTTGTGTTAATGTATACACACATTTTTATGATCTACATTCATGTGCACACACACATATGTATACATTGAGATGAAACAAAAGAACATTTCATCGTTTAAATATATGCACGGATAAAATGTCAGAATTTTCCCTGGCCAGATTTTGGCTTAGTGGTAAGGTTGGTGAGCAAGGGGCTGTGCATAGCATTTTTAGGCGTTTCGAGTAAAAATACCACAGAAGACCTGTTTAAACTGTTTTTGTCTGCAAGAGCTCTAAGGGTCTAATTCTGGCAAGGGGAGGAAGGAAGCAAAGGGATAGGGGAAGATGGCTCCGAAAGCATCAGTCACGAAAGCACAACAACCTGAGCCTCAACACGGCATTCCGCTGGACATAGGGGAGGCGGATGGATAGGGTGAAAAGATGAGGAGAGATCCCGCTGCTGACGCCCCCACCCCAACCGCGCAGTCCACCCCAAAATGCCCCCGGAAGCCATCCACTTAACTATGTTTTCTGTGGCCAAAATTAAATCAAATCAATTTCTTTATTAATGTATCTTTATAAAGAAGGCATGTATTACCTTCGTGTCCCAATGTCCAGTACAATCCCCATCCCAAAGTACATCAAATGAATGACAGTTCTTTATCACACGAGATAGCACGCTCCTTTTTTGAGATTGGAAGGTGGCTCTGAAAAGAGCCTTTGGGTTGGGAACGCCCGCGCAGCGCCTCACTTGGAGCTGGTGTACTTGGTGACAGCCTTGGTGCCCTCGGACACAGCGTGCTTGGCCAGTTCCCCGGGCAGCAGCAGACGCACGGCCGTCTGCACCTCGCGGGACGTGATGGTCGAGCGCTTGTTGTAATGTGCCAGGCGGGAGGCCTCGCTGGCGATGCGCTCGAAAATATCGTTGACGAACGAGTTCATGATGCCCATGGCCTTGGACGAGATGCCAGTGTCGGGGTGCACCTGCTTCAGCACCTTGTACACATAGATGGAGTAGCTCTCCTTGCGGCCCCGTTTGCGTTTTTTGCCGTCCTTTTTCTGCGCCTTGGTAATGGCTTTTTTGGAACCCTTCTTGGGGGCTGGAGTGGAGCGGGAAGGCTCCGGCATCCTGCTGCACTGGCGGCACCAAGACGAACAGGGAGACGGCGGAGGCAGGGTTATTTGTCATCCTTATATTTAAATGAGGGCTCCAAAGCAGTATCATCTGATTGGACAAACCTAAAATGTTGTAACTAGGAGACACGAGTTCTTTTTTCTTATTGGACAGTATCGCAACCAATCCGAAAGTGCGTTGACTGAACCGGCTCAGGTGTCTCATCTTTGTCTGAACCCTTTGTTTTAACTAGGAAGATTTAGCTTCTCTGGCAGTTGTGGCTGTGGCTGCAGGGACAATGCTGCAAGATCCGATTCTCGTTGAGCCAAATCACTGGCCATTTGTTTCTCATTAAAAACGAGGGAGAAGCTTATTGCCTGCTTAGTTGGAGGAGGAAATGACAGCTTCCGACTGCCATTTACCACATCATCGTCCCCCTCCAGGGGAAACAAAAGCAAAACCACATTTCTGTAAGAATCCTTGAGCGAAGTTCAGCAGTTCACGGGAATTCAGAAAACATACTAATGTAGTTTCACTGCGAGTGTGTGGCAGGGTAGATTTTCATCTGGAGAAGGGGTTTTTGGGACGTCCATAATGCCAGGAGCTGGAGCGAAGGCTGGTGTAACCTTATTGATGGGTTCCGTATTTACAGGACGCAGCGGGTTATAGAAGTTACGCCTCTCATAACGGTTTGTGCGCACACACCTAAACACACACACACACGGTGCTGAGAGAAAAATAAAAAGGCTGTATGTTTACATCTTTCACATTTCAGCATCACTTGGAGAGCTGGCTTTAGAAGAGCCGACCGCTAACTCCCTGCCTCTTACACACTGGGTCATGATCTGCATACTACAGTTGAGGAATCCCGGTCTGAAGGCCAATTAGCTGCCGTACCTGGGGTAAGTAATCTACTTCGTTCGCACCTCCATTTCTTCATGTGATGGTGGCACAATGCCTGTTGGATGCGGTGAGTTCATACGGGTGAGCAGCCTGGAAAAGGGGCCCTGCACAAGCTAGTGCCTAATTCCTGTGAGCTTCTTTTACATCAACACACATCCTTTCTCTCTCCCATCAAAACACAGAGCGAACTGTAATTCCTCACGCAGAGATATGGCTGTTTTTCCAGTGCCTACAGGACGAAAGGCAACATGGCATCCATCAGACGCCCAGCCAATGCTTGGTGAAAGAACAGACCTGGAAGCCCATTCAGCTGGCTGCTGGGGCATTGGGTGTCTTGATATTGGAAGACTTCAGGGGTAGGGAGCCGTGTTTTAGTTATCAGCATGAGAAAAAAGTAATTTTGTAAAAAAAAAAATCACCTAGAGCCTAGAGGTGATGGTACACGCCTTTAATCCCTGCACTCAGGAGGCAGAAGGAAGTGGATCTTTGAGTTCGATGCCAGCCTGGTCTGCAGAACAAGTTCCAGGATAGCCAGGGCTGCACACAGAAGCCCTGTCTTGAAAAACAAAAACATACAAAAATCACTTAGGGAAAAATATATTTTGAGTGTTGTTAACCCTCCTATACACACAATGTAAATGAACCTTGGGTTAAAATTACTTGCAGCTACCAAGAGTCAAAAGGTGAATATTAGAAATATCTATATAAACTAGAGAACATTTACAAATTGTTTAAGGATAGGAGTAGGAAAGAGAATCTTGAAGAATAACTACTGCTATTGATATATCATGCTAATACCAAACAGATGCTCATTAATACAAGGACAAATGTTTCGCCGACTGAGATTCTGGTGGGTGAAGCTGCATAGTTCAAGCAAGAACACTGCCATACATACACAAAGGAGGAAAGCTGGGAAGATGTACCACAATTTTCTACAGTGTGCCAGAAAGCCCACTGTCCATCGCAGTCTCCCAAAGTGACAGCCATGCTTGCAAGCAAAAATCAACATTCGCTTTCATAGATAGCACGTGTAAAAAAAATGTAGAAGTGATGAGCCCCACCACAGATGCTAAGATGTGTAGTAAAATAAATCGCGGCTTACTTTTACAGTGGGGTTTGTTATCGTCAAGACAAGGCCTCAGGAAGCTCATCCAGCCCTGAATTCTTGATGGCCTTGCTGTTATCTCCAGCGGGTTAAGATAATAGCTACCACAGCTGGCTCATTACATTGTCTTAAGGCTATTTAATGACAGGTGAAAATAATATTAAACCAAACTTACTAAGAACGACTGCATGAAGTGCTCCTCCCCGTGACATCAACATCTTAGTCCCTTTCAGTCCCCCTTGGCAGTGTGCTGCTGTGCCCACACTGTGTGCAGAATGGACGAAACCCTCTCTCTCTCTCTCTCTCTCTCTCTCTCTCTCTCTCTCTCTCTCTCTCTCTCTCTCTCCCTCTGAGACCACATTGCAGTGGAGACTCACCTATGGCGGCTGATCCTGAATAAAAGATCTTCCTGTTTTCCAGTTCATTTACTGTTATAAAAACATACCCAATGGGTCTGGTATGGTGTAAAGTATCAAAGCTGTGAGAGTGAAAATAACTCCTGTCAATCTTCACAGACTGTGGCGAGCTGTGGAGGGGCAAAGCTGAGAGGCTGGGAGGGAAAGGTGGCCTGTCAAATGGCAGAGTGTTCCATCACAGACTCCAGAACCACGAGCTTTTAAACTCACAGAAATGCTAAAGTCTCTCTAAGGGACTGAGGGTCATAGGTTAGTTAGATACAGTCTGAGTTTAATATTAATATGCCTCAGGGCCCAGCAACACATATGCAGACACACACACATGCACATACACACGTGTGCGAGAGAGTGCTCACATACAGACATGCATTACTTCTATATGGATATCTTCCCAACAAGTGCCTGTCCAATCCCAGACTGCTGCCCCTTTTGCTTATTGGTAAATTTGGTCAAAGATTATCGTTTAAAAATATCTTACACATTCCTTCTCATTTGTGTCTTTTGTTTGCTTCTTTCGTTTTGTGTTTTCGAGACACGGTTTCTTGTAAACGTAGGAATGGCGTTTAGGCATCTTTTGTCCTCTGCAGTTTCCTGCTGGCATCGTTGGGACAAAGGCCCTTCCCGCCATTACCCTGACTCCAATGACTTCTCTGGTGCGGTGGGGGGGGGGGGGCGCTGAAGAGTCCTTTGGTTAAGGGCGCTGTTTTCTCCTATGTGAGGAGGTCAGCTGTCCTGTTCCTTGCCTGTTCGCTGAAGGGCCTTCTGTGGACCATTACTCCTTATATCAGCAAAAGAAAAGCGAATTATCCACGATGGGAGCTATTGAGGCAAATCTTGGCAACCAATCCATTCAGCCTGAGAAAAGCCGGGCTACCATCTGAGAGCCGCGTGTACCCTACGTTTTGTGTCTTTGTGCACCAGACTAGCTGCTCCAGCCGCGTGGGCTCTGGCGAAATTTTCTTCGTTGTAAGTGACCACCTCCTCCTGGCTCCCTAAAGTAATTCATGCTTCTCCACCTGAACACAGTAGTTTACCGTCTTAGGGACTGCTGAAAAGGAACTGTTTACTCGACCCTACTCGGACTTTATAAGAGTATGTATTTCCTCAAGACCGGTGGCGTTCGCGCAGAAAGAAGGGGCAGGAGGAGGGGTAGAGGAGCCGCGGTGGCGCTGCTGGAGTGGGGTGGGGCGAGGGAGCCGGACCTGGAGATGGGTGAGAGAATCAGGAAGAAATGCAGCCTTAAGCGAGCTGCAGGTCACATCCCAGACCTTCCCCAGGAAACACCAGCCCCTGCCCGGCCCCAGCTTCCCTACCCACCCCCACCCGGCTCCCAGAGCACACTTATCCAAGGAAATCATCGTAATGTCTGAGAACAAGGGAGAAAATATGAAGGTACAAACGCTCACGAAATACAGCAAATTCCTCACCAGGATGTGAGGAGGTAAGCTGGCCTGCTCTGAAGGCCTCAGCCGAGCCTCGAAATAAAGGACCGTTTAGGAAAGGCGGTGGAGCTGCATACAGGCGATGCAGCTCTCGACTCTTGTTAGGAGAGTGCATTGAATGCAACCATTGAAATCGTCCTGGGCCTCTGGCTGGGTTCTCGCTGTTTTTTNACCCTATGATGGTGCTCTGAACGCCTTTATTCTGGAGAATTCCCACAGCTAGAAGGCTGTCAGCAGATGCAGCTCTTCAGCTTTGGGAACCCAGATAAGCTTTTCTCTATAAATTATTCAGCCTATGGTATTCAGTCACAGCTGCACAAAACAACAGACAATCCCCCAGCTGCCCTGGGAGCCTCCATCTTGCCCTGGTAGTCTCCTTGCAGTCCTTGTGGGTTTGATTGCTCAGTCACTTCTCTCCGCTGTCACAAGGCACAAGTACTCCACCCATGTCCCAATCCTGCAGTCAAGGTGCTTTGATACTCCCCACTTGGGCTTTGCCTCCTTAGCTTAGACAAGAATTTTACTTTTTAATTCAGGCATGGTAGTGCCAACAGAGCAGAAGACGGAAGACACGGGGAAAGCTGTCAGAAGCGAAACTGGAGCCGGTCTTTGTTGTCGGGACAGGGTCTCCTCTCGCCCTGACATGACCATGGGTCACCATGGAGTAGACTCGCTGTGGGCACCTGAAGGATGAACGACTCTAGATTTACAGTATCGGTAATGGGGCTGTTATATTCCCTCATAGGAAGGAGGATAATTGCATAACCTCCTTGGAGTTCCTACTGGAGTAAACAGGGAGTGGAAGGCTGGCTGGAGGCGGGAACACCCGTGATGGAGCTCTCCTGAGTTATCATCCATGCTGAGCTGGAACTTTTTGATAACTGCGGATTCACCCATGATCCTCTGCGTAACCCCTTCCCAAGACCTGTCAGTAATTCCAGTAAACTTACTGGCTCACTAATGTGAACCTGGAGGAATTATTTCTTCTATATTGTAGTGTCTTGATTGGACAGATAGACATTTCTTCACATCTTGGGAAGTCACACCATGCCTTTGTTCAGCCCTAACCAAAAATGTATAATTGTGGAGCAGGTGTGCCGGGTGAGGACTATCTCAAAAGACTCCACCAGGAGGACAGCCCTGCACAGAGGCTACTGCCGCCACACAGAGGGTAC